ATGGCGAGCTGCAATAGCACTGGACGACCCAGGATAACGCATGCGGACGCTTTCAAGGTCATCCATCTGACAGGTTCAGTCTGATCAAGGTGACTCAAACCAGATGACGACAGCCCAAATTCACATCTTCTGCGCCCCACCTGGAGCATGTTTCCAGTTACAGGCTGGAAGCTCAGTAACAAATCGTTCCCTCACCTTGGCCCCTACAACGGCAAAGGGAAATACTAGAACAAAACGGCTTGTGTGGGGATATCCGTGTCAGAAATACAGGGACGAATACCAGCCATTGTCGCGACGATGCCGGAGAGGCCAAGGGAATAATAAACACATCTGCCGTCGGCCGTAAGTTTGTACCAATGGGCGCCGGTGGTCCGTTAATGCACGCACGGTCTCTGCGTAACGATCACAAGTCGATGGCGAGCCGAAGCCGTCTTCAGCAACCGCTATGGAGTCGGCATCGGGAAGATACCATGGCCAGCGAGCCAATTATTCGTTAGCTGTTGCTGCATTGCGCCCAAAATGGCAATGCTGTCGCCGTATTTAGCTTCGACAACGTCGGTTTCTGTTTGTTGCTTGGGCGGGTTGTGCTTGTGCTACACGACTTGTGTCACCACACTTGTCTCAAGTTCAGCCTTCTGTAGGAGTTTGCAGCCGTGCTCTGCTATTGGCCAATAATTTGGAGCCGTACCTCATTCTCTTGCTCTCATCAGACATGTGGGAAAGGTTACAGGATTCATCAACATAGGTCATTGCTGTCTCTCTGTGTTCCTACAGAGTGACTACCTATCCCAGACCCAGCGACTACAGCTCAATTGTTGTAGCGAGATGTAGAGGAAGCACCTCTTATCTTCTGGCTCGTCTAGCATCTGCTACCGTCATTATCTTCTTCTAGCAGTCAGGTTTTGTACCGAGGCAAGTGTTTTCTATTATCACAGAATTGGATACCTTGGTGAGCTCTTCGCAAGCTATACCAAGCAATGGCAACCCTAGCACCTATTGAACCTATCCCTCACATCACTCTGGATATTCTCGGAAGACATGCCGCATAGAGTGTGGCAGCACGTCCCCTCCCCTTATCCATCATCACCCGAAAGCGTTACATTTCCCGGCCTCTTTGCTGCACTGATCGCTGGCTCAGGGTCGCAGCATCGTTGCGCCGCGGGGCCTGTCTGACGGCGAACGACTTTCAACTCGGGAGATTGGTTGGCACTTACACCTTGACGCCACTGTCCTACAGGTACATGCCGAATACCGTGATTTTCATAGTATCTGTACCTCGGCGTCGATTCTCAAACACCTTCCCAAGCCAGCTTACCGAAAACGCAGGGCGGAAGCCGTGGCTGCACCTTTCCGAAGCTTCCAGGCCAAGCCAATGCTCCAGACGGGCACCCACTGCGATGATATACGGGTTGCATATTTTGCGCCCTTGAGTCGTGAGTATGGAACTCGACCATGACTCGGCGCTCTACGGAGTTCGGTTCACATTAAGAACGATGGAATGGCTGAAAAAATTATCAGTGGCGCCATGGTTTTTCTCTCTCCTTTCTGGAACTTTGCCATGTGGGAGTGGATCTGCGAGCCGCCTTCGCTCCCATCTGACGTGTTTATTTTTCTCTCCTGTTGTAAAAACGGTGTGGACGGCTAATCAGTCGGCTTGCTGGGCACACGGTAAGGGATGCTTGACAAGAATTCCGCTGATTGATAAAGGTGTCTAGCTCGGTACGAGACACGGCAAAACCACCGTCGACGCCATCTGCCTAGCCTAGCAGTAGTAGATGGAGGAAGTGTTGTTAGCCTGCTCTTGGACATGAAAGACATCCCTTGGGCCCCGAAAAGGCTAGGACCAATGGCTGAGTTGGTATGGCATGCCGATCATCATGGCATGATCAGACTATCGCAATTAATGCTCAAGGGACGGAAGTACCGCTCCGTAGTATGCGGGAGTGCCTGAATTTACCACCCGAGCAACACTTTAACCATACGTCGGGCGTTGGAGATGAAGATCATTCGTCTCCCATCACTGGTGGAGGAGCATCCTATTGTGCCGACTTATTCGCACAAGATCTCATCCCTGGGTTCCAAACAAGGTACCAGAGCGGCTTTGGAAATTTGTCCACCAGCTACAGGTACGAAGTAAAGCTGCGGCTAAAAGCTCAGGCACGGGGGATATCCTTGCCCTAGATCAACGATGTCGGGAGGCCGGTACGAAACACGCCGTACTACAGTACCGTCAGCACTGAACAGCGATACTTGTACAAGTATTAGGCAATGACATGCATGCAGATTCCTGGGTAGCCCTCTCGCCTCTCCACCTGTTAGTTCCACTTCTCCTGCTTTTTGCCTCTTTCCTCGAGTTGCAGGTTGCCTTTGTCAGGAGAAGCTTCACACGAGTGGTAGTACTGGAGAATGACCCCCCGTTGAAACGAGAAGTACATATACACGGGTCTTGTTCGTCGGATCTTCAGGCTGTTCGATGAAGCCACCGGAAAGCCGCGTTGCTCCTCTTGTTTCGGGGACGGGGCTGGTGGCCTTGCCGATCCCGCTAGTACGAGTATGATACGGTTGATGCATCAGCACCACAGCAAACGCCAAAACGATTTCCACTCAGCCAAGGAGAAAGTGGGAGAAAGTAAGAGAGGGAACGAGGCGTCGGTTTTACTAATTGGCGCCAATTGAGAGAAAATTTGACATGGGGGAAGGCGCTGAACTTTGTCGTAATCTGTTTGGGCCAAAGCAATGGCCGGCCAGGCCCCCAATTGGGTTCCACCGCTTTCAGGCTCAGCGGCGCGCTCAACGCATTTTCCGCATGTAAGTTAGAAATGACCGTCCAGTTGGGAAACTTCGCTTCTGCATACCCGAGGCCACCGCGGCGGTGGAGTCGCTGCAAAAGGAGCGGACAGGTACTGTGCCATGCTGTTCTGTTCTGTGCTGTGCTGTACAATAAGGGGAGAGACTGGGGGAGGGAATGGACAGAGACTCGTCGTGTGCTTGGATACATGTAGGTAGAATGGGGGATTCTGATCGCCGCGACCTTGTGCAGCTCCAGCCGTTATCTCGTCCTCGCAAAGCTGCGGCTGGGCCTTTTTGGGGGTTTTGGTTACAGTAGCTCACTGGCGCCATAAAACCGGAGAGTTGTTTCGTCCAGCTCACTCGTGCTTTGGGGGGTTGGACAATCGAGCTTCCTCTTCTGCTCAAGGGAAGCCCTCAATTGAGCTTTCTAGCAGCGATACCCCGGCGCCGCGGCTATGCACTTAGTCAGATTGGCAATATCGAGGATCTCGGAGATGACCTTCTGGAATGCTTCGAAAAATAGCCCGACCAGTCATGCCACTGACGTCAAGGGGCAGTATGTCGGTGAGCAGGTACAGAGACTAAACACTTTAGATGACACAGGGTTCGAGATTGAGCTTTGGAGCTATTCATGCTGGCTACTGCTGGCTACTGCTACTACTGGTAAGGCAGCGTAGTAGCGCCGACAGCTTTATACGGCTTGCCAATGCTACGCTGCCGTATTGGAGCTGGGCCATGTGATGCTCGTCAAGGGCGGTAAGAGGTCGAGATTCGAGCCGTGCGCCATGGTGATAGTCTGATGCAAGGAAGAAATGAGCTTGATGCTGCTTCTGGGGGGTGGTCGAGGCCGTGCGGAATTTGTCCTAGCGGCTATTTTCCAATTGCGAGCCCTGTGAGTTGCGTAATCCTTTCTTGCATGTGAAAAGCCCAAGAAAAAAAAAAAAAAAAATCGTGAGCCTCGTATTCGAGATGACTGATGCTATTCCGGTCACTAATGCGGGCGCCCAAATGAAAGGTTGCTATAAAAGTAACAATTTGTGATTGACTTTAGCTTTGTCTCTTCTCTCCTGCTGCCGCCAAGAAAGTCAACGAGGCTGCTTGGGCTGCAGGCACAAAAGTCAAAAAAATGAAACTATTTCCAGGAGCCAGCCTAGCACAAGGCACATGATGATATAAGATAGGTAGCTTTGGTGAATGAGAGTGGCAGGTATCCAGGGTCCCAGCTCAGCTATCCAACAGCTCAGCGACTACGTGTTGTTGAACCTTCGTAGCAAGAGGCAGAGAAGGCACCTCTAGTATTTGTTACCTACCAAGATGCTATTACATGAATCAGGAAGCAATATATACACAGCGTGAATGTGTAATGAATATTTTATTTGATACCACAGTTATATATTTGGCTTGATTCTGTAAAATATTCTCAACAACTGCCTAAACATCACCACGAGAGGGCCGTCGCTCTTAATTGTCCTCCTCGTCTGGGGAAGAAGATGACTTAGGAGACCTCAAATCTTCATCAGGGCATTCTTTCGATTAGGAGGCGCCCATAAGTAGTATCTGCTGTTATCACCACAATTAAGTATTGGATAAGGCATGCAGAACAGCCGAATTGGAGTGCTGGATAGTCACTTCCTACTCCGTAGAACATATGTATCGCTCATGAATGATACTAACCCAATCACGTATTAATAAGGGTAACCATGAAAGGAATTTTGACAAGTAGTCACAGTATGATATTGATTAGCTTATGATTCGGGGTGCTGGATAGTTACTCCCTTATATTGTCCGTCTCATCTCCTTCAGTCGCGATAAACGGATGACAGTAGAATAGTTCCATTAATCCCAGTTGGCGTGTCATCGCTCTTTGCTACACGGAATCATAAAAGTATCCTCATTGGTAGATTGGGTTTGTAATAATGTAGACATGCTCTCCGAGGGCCTTGTTCCGAGCAGTCCATCACCAGGGATAGCCAAACACTTTGCGCCAAGTCTTGGGAATGCTGTAACCTCGGGGCGTCTCTCGCGAAATTCGAACTGGCTCTCTAATAGGCGTGATCCTACTTATCCTGGCAATATGAGGAGTTGCATGGTGAGCATCACCATGGGTTGTCCTGGGGCAACATTCTCCCAGCATATATCTGCGCTACAGTCATAGAAATTTGGGATGCTAAGGCGAAAAGTGGCATTTGAAATCTACATTGTGTAGCATTCAATTGAGCAGCGGTTCTGTGCTATGGATATTTGGACTATGGTATATTTGGGCAAAGATATTTCTATCTCTTGGGGGCAATTAATCGGTGCGCTTGACACATTATCCAGGAGCCCTTCATGTGCTTTCCGCTCCAGGGCTATGTGATGCAATAGACAGAATCCATGTCTATAGCGAATGCGCCATGACTCTTTATGCTAGCAGCTAGACGCCATGCGGAATATCAGAAGCCGCCGGCATAGCACTGTTCGAGTCCTTCTTGGCTTCGTCCGTGGGTCATCGTACAACTTCTCCATCATTAGTTTTTTTCCCCTTCCATTTGAGGTGGCGCCATTGCATGTCTATCGAGTAATGTCGGGATGAAAATCCTCCCTAGACAGGCTCATCCATTCGCCTGAAACTTCCAGGGTTGAACAGTCTAATATGCATGTTTCCAAGTAACGATTCGAGGTTTCTTTTTCTCTTCTTATTGTAGCATGTAGAGAGGAGGTTTAGCTGAGCAGGATGGACACCTAGCCTCTTCTATTAGCACCCTAGGCAATGGAGGGACTTGAGAGGTATACGTACGGCCATGACAACACAGCAGATACTTATATACGGACTTAGTCGTTCTCCTATCCTTGCACACTTCCAGAAGATACCCATGACACTTTAGGCGTTGATTAGCATTTGGCACGGTAACGAAGCCTGCGATTGTATAATATTGCACCGTACCCGTTCTTGTTTCGGTCCATGATGCCGGGCGTAAAGTGGTGGACATATGTGCTCGTACAGATTAAGAGCAGGATGACGAGCAGCAGGGACTTGAAGTTGAAAAGCGCAGACTAAATATTAGAATGTCAGTAACCCAATCTCGCTTTTAGTTTATGCATCTTCACAACCCATCAATCGCAGGGAACCCTACCATTTTGGCGATCTGGAATTAATGCTGTTCAAACAAGCAATTGTCTTTGTCCACAAGCTGTCCAGATGCTCGGCGCGGTCTCATCATCCTTGGAGCTAGAAGGGGCCAGATGTGGATAGGAGGAAAGATTTACCGATCCGATTGCACGCGCGAGCCCCACATCAGCTGCAATGACATGCATGTCCCCACCAACCAGAAGTTGCGATTTCGACGCAGCTTGGCGAGACAGTTTGTGAAGTTGGAGCCGCCTCAACTTTCAATTCATCCATATCACGACATTTGACTAGGCACCTTTGTATAACCACGAGCCCTTGAAAGTTCGATCTCTACACAATTTCACAAAAGAATAGAAGTCGAGGATCAGCAAGCAAAGCCGTTCAAGATGGAGCCTCGTGCGCGTGCCGGCAAGAATGTCGGCAAAATGAACTTTTCCCACGCCGAACGTACGCCATCCACCCACCCTTTTCATCACAATATAGGAGAGGAGAAGTGAAGTGAATTACAGGAAAGGGAGCAAAGTTTCTAACCCGCGTTGCTCTCTACAGTGGCCCAGCTTCTCTACGCCCACGGCGACATCAAAAACCCCATGCCCGAAACAGTCCGCGTCCTCGACGAGATCCTCACCGACTTCATGCAGTCCATTGCCTTTGAAGCCAACCGCGCAGCAAACTACTCGGGCCGACAGAAGATCAAGTACGAGGACTTTGAGTTTGCGTTTCGGAAGAACCCTTCGTTTCTAGGAAAGGTGCAAGAGGTGTTTGAGAAGCAGAAGGAGATTAAGAAGGCAAGAGAGATTCTGAGGGATGGAGAGGATGAGATTATGAAGGATGCGGCCGAGGAAGAGAAGAGGAAGGAAAAGGCGGCGCCGAAGACCAATAAGGTCGAGGAGGAGTTGGGTGAGGCGGACGATGATGCGGAGGCAGAGGCTGATGCTCTGGGAAAAAGGAGGTGATGGTGATGGCTCTGGTAGGATACACGGTCTCTTTCTTTGTTTGGGTTCGCAAAGCATTGCTCTGGAGTTGGGGAAAGCATGGACTGGCGTTTGGGGAATTTTGGCAAGGCTATGCCAGTTTTTTTTCCTCCTTTTTCTCTAGACACAGGTCTCTTCTACATATAACTAGATGCGGTAATCAGAGGCATCCATTTTCACGATCCTTCCGCAACTCCCTTCGATCTATTGGCAGCAGCTTGTTTGTGGTTTTCAGCTACGGCTGAACAGCCTGGTCTACCCCGTGTCCCTCGCATATGATATATCATGCCACTACGGCTGATAGTCCTTGTGCGGGGTTGGCTCCAGAAGCTTAGAAGCCTTCAAGTTTATAATCGCTTCTTACGCTATCAAAGGACTACTATTCTCTGACCAATATATACAGAAAAAGCCAGGGATCCATTTCAGCGCCTTTGGGAATAGAGCGGAGACAGCGATATCCGCTCGCTACCACCCACACCATGCCGCCGGCCCGGCCGTAGATAGCGATATCGGGTTATCGCGTTGACCCGACTCCTGCAGTTTATCTAGCTATTCGCACTTGGATGTTTAGTTTCGTTGTTTCGTGCAATGACGAGCGCCGATTCCGTAAGCCGCGCAGTAACCGCTCCGGCCATGGGCGAGATCGCGGGGGCGAGTTCGCAAAGGCGGCTAGAAGAATGACGAGGATATCAGATCCACCCCCCAGAAGCCAATAGGGTGCCATGGGAGAGGGTCGCCAAGCAGCGTAGGAGCAGTTTCTGCGCTGCTGATGGTGGTGTTGAGGAGAGACGGTCACCAGGCGGTTTTTTTTCCCAAGCTAGAGCTCGTAGGAGATGGACCATTCGTAATAGCACATCATTGTTTCCTGAGCCTACCAGAGCTTTGGAATCCTGCGTCTGCTTGGTGTTGCTTGTACCTGGTTGCCGCTATCAGCTTTGTTGATCTGGATGCAACATCATCCTCTTGTTTCTTCAAAGTGATTCAAGAGGACGATCATGGAGGTCAGCCGAAGACCTCGCTCTCCGCCAGTCGCGGCAGAGATTGAGCTGCACCTCACGCTGGACAAAACCCATCAGGACGAGACAGACGATTCCCTAGTTGCGCCGCAAAGCACTCTTGCACCAAACGATTATCAGACGAAATCGAAACCATCTCTATTTGCCGATGACTTTCGTCGCTTATCAATAAGCCCAGCTCCGAGTGGACGACTATCGCCAGTTCCTCATGGACCGTATAATCCAGCAGGAGTTTATCAGCCTCCCCCCGAAGCGTCGTCGTCTCGTCTAAAGCAGTTCTGGATAAGAAACAAACCTTCTATACTGGTAGCCGTCTCCCAGTTTTTTGGAGCTTTGATGAATCTCAGTGCTCGACTGCTGGAGTTAGATGGCGACGGTATCCATCCGGTGCAAGTCCTCCTCCTCCGACAAGGACTCACGGTCGTCTGCTGCTTCGTTTATATGTGGTGGAAGAATATTCCCGATTTCCCATTTGGAAAAAAAGAAATTAGAGGGCTCTTGTTGATTCGCGGCTTCTCGGGATTCTTTGGCATATACGGCATGTGGTACTCTATGATGTATTTACCACTTGCTGATGCCACGGTTATTACCTTTCTCGCCCCTGGAGTTGCTGGCCTGTTATGTTACTTTGCCTTGCATGAACCCTTTACAAGACCGGAGCAAATTGCCACGGCCGTGGCCCTTTTGGGAGTGGTCCTTATTGCGCGACCGGTTTCTTTGTTCACGGCCCTCTCTCCATCCGACGAACAGGTGGTAGACTCTCCCGAGCAAGTGGACGGAGCCTTCCCCAGCCTCGAGCATGAACCAACAGCCGAGGAACGATTAATGGCCGTTGGCGTTGCGCTTCTCGGTGTGTTGGGAGCTGCAGGTGCATTTACATGCATTCGTACGATTGGAAAACGTGCTCATCCCTTGATCTCGGTCAACTTCTTTGGCATGGCATGTACCATCATCTGCGTCCTCGCACTGACACTGGCACCAACTCTGGACGTTAGCCAGCCTCACTTGAGGTGGATCACACCAAAGTCATGGAAGGGATGGTTTCTCCTTTTATGGATAGCAGTGCCCGGCTTCATAATGCAGTATCTTCTGACTTCGGGACTCGCAGCCGACACGTCCAACAGAGCAAATGCCATGATATATACACACATGCTGTTCGCAGTCAGCTTTGACCGATGGATTTTTGGCCACAGCATGAGCATGATGAGCTTCGCTGGTTGTGCACTCATCCTGGGCAGTGCCATTACAGTCGTTTTGACAAAGAACCCGCCAGCTAGGACGGCCAATGACATCGAAAGACAGGGGAATGTAGAAGGGGAAGCGGAAGGCTCTCCTATGCTCATCGATACAGGAGGAAATGTTGAAGGGATAAATCTGAGGAGGACCTGATCTTGTAGAATTCATAATTTTGATGTTATAAAGAATGGATGGATTATGTGCAATCTGAGTAGACGTATAAATTAGTATAGTTTCATAGCATTTAACACAGTTTACACTCTTTTTGTTAAGTACCTGCCTAGTACCTATTTGATACTACCACTACGTCCTTCTGACATCTGCTACTATCGCTATTAAGTTAAAGGGTACAAATCCATAGCAAAATGCAGAATGTGAATAACAAGTGTTGCAAATGCTCAAAATTGCTGAGCAATCTCGAAGCTTCAGGGTAGGCAGGTTGCGGGATCTGGGCATCTGGGATCACGTGCTAAGAGCTGAGCTAAGAGTCGCGACGCCGCGCTTGGTAACTTCGATAGCTGCAGGGTTGCGATCCAATCGCAAAAAATCAAGATCATCGATTCTGGCCTTTGGCAATTCCGCTTGTTTCCTCGGATATGCTATAAATCCACAAACCTAGCCATATTCCATTCTAGGTCAAGGGTCAAACTTCTCTTTTTCACCTCTCTCTTTCTTATCATCGACGTCGAAACCCGGGAAGCATAGCCAAGATGGTTCAAATCAGCGAAGTCAAGGGCAACAAACGCGATAACCGCACCGCAGCCCATACGCACATCAAAGGCTTGGGGCTGAAGTCTGATGGATATGCGGATACACAGGCTGCTGGCTTTGTCGGCCAGGTTCCTGCACGAGAGGTAAGTGGCCTCTACACATGGCATTCTCTTTTCTTACTGCAGCCTGCTGATGATTTTTTTTCTTGTTCGCCAATCTAGTCATGCGGCGTCGTTGTCGATCTGATTCGAGCTCACAAGATGGCCGGCCGAGGCGTTCTGTTAGCCGGTGGCCCAGGAACCGGAAAGACAGCTCTGGCGCTTGCGATTAGCCAGGAATTGGGTACAAAGATTCCCTTTTGCCCAATCGTCGGCAGCGAGATCTACTCGTCCGAAGTCAAGAAGACCGAAGTCTTGATGGAGAACTTCCGGAGAGCGATTGGCCTCAAGGTCCGAGAAACGAAGGAGGTCTACGAGGGTGAAGTTACCGAACTTACACCAGAGGAGGCGGAGAACCCATTGGGTGGCTACGGAAAGACCATCAGCACGCTGCTGATTGGATTGAAGAGTGCCAAGGGTCAGAAGAAGCTTCGGCTGGACCCCAGCATCTACGAGGCTATCCAGAAGGAGAGGGTCACTGTTGGCGACGTCATCTACATTGAGGCGAACACTGGTGCTTGCAAGAGAGTGGGACGATCCGATGCGTATGCCACCGAGTTCGATCTCGAGGCCGAAGAATACGTGCCTATCCCCAAGGGCGAGGTGCACAAGAAGAAGGAAATCGTGCAGGATGTCACATTGCATGACCTTGACGTTGCAAACGCCCGGCCGCAGGGTGGCCAGGATATCATGAGCATGATGGGCCAACTGATGAAGCCCAAGATGACGGAAATCACCGACAAACTACGTGCCGAGATCAACAAGGTTGTTGGAAAGTATATTGATCAAGGCGTAGCCGAATTAGTTCCGGGCGTCCTGTTCATCGATGAGGTAAATACCTGCCCGATTTCATTATGATGGGGGGACAGAGGTATACTGGTAACAGATACTGACATTGGATTACAATAGGCTCACATGCTCGATGTGGAGTGCTTCACCTATTTAAACCGGGCTCTGGAATCACATCTTGCCCCCATTGTGGTTCTGGCATCCAACCGTGGAATGTCCACAATAAGAGGTACCGACGACGTTGTCGCGGCCCATGGCATTCCTCCCGACTTTCTGGCCCGGATGCTCATCATCCCCACCTCCCCATATTCGGCAGACGAGATCAAGAAGATTGTCAAGCTCCGCGCCACGACAGAGGGTGTATCTATTACGGACGCTGCCATTGACAAAATTTCCGAGCACGGTGTCCGTGTCAGCTTAAGATACTGCCTACAACTGCTGACACCCTCAAGGTGAGTCTCATGGCTGTGAATGAATGAATAGGTTCCTCGCATGAGACACAGAGAGCTGACGTGTGATGCCAACAGCATTCTTGCCAAGGCGAATGGCCGTACTCAGATTGACGTCCAGGATGTGTCCGAGTGCGAAGATCTCTTCCTAGACGCCCGCCGTAGCGCCTCGCTACTTGCTAGCGAAGCGGGACGGGGCTATCTGTAACCTTGATTTTGAGAAGCTGTAGACGAGCAGGGCTAGATGGGGTGAAGGGGAGGGATCTCATTGTGAAGGATGACGCTGGGCGGTGTGCCGATAGCGCCACTGTTTTATAGGTCACGACGGATTCAACAGAAATCCCAGACGCTTGTGTGTTTCTTTTTCTTTTTTTGGCTTGGCTGTTTTCTGCGCGATGTACGGAGTATGAGTACGGGGCTAGACAGCCCTGATAAACTATTGGGCTTGGATGAAAGTTTCTGAAATGGCGGGCGAGCCGTGTTTCTTAGGCGGCCAATGTAACAAGATTGTCCTGCATATTTCTACAACAGTGTCGGCCTCCCTTACGCCGCACGCCCAACTCCCCGAGACATCGTGGACCTTTAGGGAGAGGGAAGCAGACCGAGCCAGTGTGGAGAAAAACGTTGAAGACCGAGAGCCATGATTCGTGCTCCACCCGTCCTCTTTGTTTTCGCTCCGTTGTCCAGAAGGATGGGCGTGAAGATTTGACAAGGTTAGCATTGGTGCTATAGGACGCCTCGTGGCTGAAGATGGATGGTGATATGCCTACGGATTCGCACTAGACGGGGAACAGAGGCGGCGGAATCGGAGGCAACGACGAAGAAGGTCCATCATCACGTGTAGTAGAAACTTTTGCTTGGCCCTCGCTTGTGAATCGTCGACTTTGTCTCAGAGAGTAGCATTCCAGAGGACAGATGGCGCGCATTCCAAAGACGGCATTGTCCGTCTTTGGACGAGGTCGGAAGGGGGGGAGGGGTGGCAGTATAGCCCAGAGGAAGAGACGAACCTGAACTCGGCCTGGCGCATTATGGAGTCGTGTCTTTGAGAAGCGAATCAGAAGGCCATTGTGAGAGGAAGAATGTTTTGGCCGAGAACCAGAGAAGGAAGAAGAGGTGAAGAGACAAGGTGACGATCACTCGAAACAATTGCTCAGCTGCCTAGCCGGGGCTTTTTGTCGCGACCACCGTGTGCGGACGTGCGCGCATCTTGCTGGGAGCAGCGATCAAGCAGAGGCACACTCCCGTGTCTTTTACTTCCTCTTTCCCCCCTTTTTTCGACGTCGTCGATTGTCGGCTGGTCGGAATCCTGCGCTTTTGCGAAGGAGGTGGGTAGGAGAACGAAGGGAACAAACGAACCGCAATATTCCGAGAAGCTTATATCAACCGCGAATCTTTTTATTTTCCACCGCTACTGTGCCCAAATTTCATCTCCCAACGTTTGTACCCGTATTTGTTTGATTCCACTGTCCATCTCGATCAACAGTTCAAACATCTCCCTTGCCTCCATCTTCTCTCAAACCATCCGGACACACTGCTCCTCGTGTTGTCCTCGACATAGGCGGAGCCATCAAGTGGCCTTACGGCCTTCTCCAGTCGAGACATTTACTGAGACATGCAGGGTGTCCTTGTCCACTCATCAGAGAGCATCAAGTGGCGGCTGTCGACGGGAAAGAGCAGCGCTATTGTGAATGGCATCCTCCGACATTCACAACCCCCCCGGACTTGTTAACCTTTCCACCCTTTCTCACAGTCCTTCTGTTCCCGCCTATCGTTTTCCGAATCCTCAAAGCCTCGATAGGCCAGCTTCCTACCATTCAACGCAGCCCTCAGTTTGAGTCTTTATTGCTCTGATTGTTTCCTTGCCATTTGCTTGACTCCCCTGGGGTCTCTGCATGCTCCCTTGTTGTCCTATTGTTGCTCGGGAACAATAAACTCAGATCCCTTAAACATAGCTTGCGAGCTCTTTGACCCGTCTTAGAACTTTCTACCTAACATACTTTCCGTCATATTTTTACTACAATACGTCTCATGTTCTGTCTTTGGCACCCCGACGTATAGGCATGATTACGTTCCATGATCGCAGCTATCTTAACGAGATGGCCAAGAGCAGCAGGTCACAACCAGTGTTTGAGGGCTCACAGAACTCTCCGAGTCCAACAGGACGATATCTACCTGCTGTTCCAGCCCGATCTCCCTGGGAACACAGGGACCAGCCGAGCCGGTTAAGCCAGCCTGATCCATCCCCTCTCCATTATCGCAGCCATCTACATGAAATGGACCAGAGAGGCAGATCTCGGGAAGAGGTTAGAGGCTGGCAGACATCTATACTTCCCACACAGTTTCAGGCAGAGCCTGAATACGCAGTCGAGTGGAGAAGGGCTGAAAGGCCACTGGCTTCGCCTTTCCACGACAGAAGCCATCTTGATGAGAGGACTCAGAGAGGCATGCCCCATGCAGCTTTTCAAAGCCTACAGAGCTCTCCAAGCTTTGCGGGACGGCGTATGGAAATGGGTATGGCCCAACCTCATATGAGTACGGATTTTGTCTGGAGAGGAAGCTCTGAGGAAATGGCTAGAGATTCGCAGAACTCCTCAAGTCCTACAGGACGGTATATGAATATGCGTCCAACCCGATCCCACATGAATCATTTTGATGAAATGTCCCGGAGAGGCAGCTCCGACGCAGTAGTCAGAGGCTTTCAGGAATCTTCAAGCCCTGTCAATAGGAGGCTACCTGCGCCTCAGGGCACACCCAGCACGAACCACGAAGACCGGAGGTTCAGTATCTCATCCTCATTGCAAACTGACGGTGGGGAGGACTTTGAATGCAAATGCCCAAAGGAGCCCCCTAGGCCCCGAAATAGTAAGTTGAGGCCTTTCTAGTTGACTCTTTGTTGTGGTAAAGATGCCCAGGAGTATCAGCCACCATCTTCAGCGTACTATCACTGAACGGAGCTGCTGAGAATCATCGCTGACTGAGATTTTCCTATCACAGGTTTCATGTTGTATCGACAGCATCACCAAAGTTCGGTGGCGAAGGATAACAAGGGTTCATCCAACCCTGAGATATCCAAAATAATTGGAAACATGTGGAAGCGCTTGACGGAGCACGAGCGTGAAATCTGGACGCAACTCGCTGAAGAAGAGAAGAAACACCACGCACTCAAATATCCAGGCTATCGATATAAGCCGAACCGCAGACCCAAGTCTCAGGGGAAGCAAAACTGGCGGTGCTCCAAGTGCGGTGGTCGGCAGAATAAAACCACACGATCCGCAGAGTCACCAGGGTCACCACGTTCCCCAGAATCTGTTGGATCTTCACAATCTTCACCATCCTCTCAAACACCACGGGCACAACGGGGGCCTCGCGGACCACAGGGGTACCAAGGGCCACGAACACCGCAGACCCCAATCACTCCTTTTACAGCCTCGTCTGAAATCCCGTTCGCAACTCCGGTGTCATCAAATGGCTATAGGAATCCAGAGTCACATCCTTGGCCACCTCTCAGTGCGCCGAACTCCAACGTTCGTCGCCATACTGGAAATACGCCATCTCTCCATAGGATCATTGAGCAAAGGGAGCCTCGAAGCCCCAGAGATTATGGCTCAGCATCACCGGACAGGAGACGACGCAGAACAAATGACGCCGGAGATTATTGCTCAATAGGTCATGGTTTTGACACTGGAAGACGACCAGAACGGGCAGACCTGGCGTTCCATGGGAGGCCAGTGACGCCTGTTATGTCTGAGCCTGCGTCTTTTACTAGGTCACAAAGCCTTTCTACTCTACCGCCGCTTACGGATCCACGACAGAACTCACTTTTGGGAGATCCTCCGCGTCTTGCTCCTCTTGAGCCCCCGCTGCCACAAACTCTATCGGGGACATCCCTGGGGAATTACAGTATACACAGGCGTTTTGAGGAAAAGCCTTAGAGGCTTACTGCCCTCGGGCGGATGCTTTGTTTGTAACGAGAATGAGAAATATAGGACGATATGATTAAAAGATATGAACCAGATGATTCTATAAGTCCGACATACACTACCTATTGTGCGAGATGAATCAAAGGCATCTACATGAAGTTTGGAGGTAGCCTTGGTAGCTTGATTAGAGCTTTGGAGCTACCGATACAGGCCGGGGACAGTTTATTTTCTAAGCTCAGAGGAATTGGGATTTTTTGTCTTTTTGTCTTGGTAATGATTTAGCGAGGATGTAGTTGGAGTGAGGGACTACCTACATACACACAACTGTGTTTGTACTATGCATTTACCTCAAGTACATAGAAAGGTCTAATTATGCTGAATCCACGAAGCCTTCCTGGCTTATGTCGGTCCTCGCGTTGTTGCTAATGTCTCTGGTAGTGACTATTATTGTGGTGATCCATCTGGCTAGAGTCTTCTGCTCTTTCGGCACCAATAGGATCTGGTATATCCCTGTCATTGATATGGACGTAAGCATCTGTTCTTATGATCGCCACGAGAACAAAGTGCCGCTTTCGAATAAAGAGGTAGCTGCTAAGGAATCGACATTGAACATATTCATTGTATTGTTCATTTTGTAGAGCAATAAACGGTGACTATGTTCTTTTATCAAGTCAAGTTTCTTCTTTCTCAGTCCACTTTAGTGCTTTAATAGTTCAGAGGGCTTAAAGAATTGTGTTTGCAAGTTGTGCATGAAATTGAACAACTTCCGGGTTCTATCCAGCTGGCTTCATGAACAAGTTGGCAGTGATCAAAAGCGCCTTTGTACTCCGTAGAAGCAACGGGGTTTATTAGCACATTATTGCAAGCCAGTACAAGTACCCGATACTTTTGCCGAGCTCCCTTGCATCTTAGTGGGAGCCAATAGCGGGTGTATATGCAGCCCTTTAGCGGCTTAGTTGTTCACGGAGCTCCCTGAATGCTGCGCAAGCGAAGGGGCAGTTCCTCCAGGCATGTACCCAGTACACACCACACCTTTGAATCCTCCCTGCCCTTGTCCCTCGCGCACAGCAATCCAACGCGACTTTGGCCTGCCTCCACTTTAACCTCCATACAAGTATTGCTTAATACCTCTGCTTCTAGTCCCCTCGCTAGCTCATCCATACCTACAGCTTCCGAACACCCCTTGGACGTCAATCTCGACGGCGGCAAGCAAATATTTCGAAACCGGACAAGCAGGCGCCCACCTCCACCGCCGCGAGCCTCATGATGCAACATCTCCCCTCTGACCTGTCGACATAATGCCGGACTTCAAGCCTGGGCAGACCGTCTTGCTCAACGATGGCCGCAAGGCTATTGTGCGGTTTGCGGGCCCGACTCACTTCCAGGTGGGCGAATGGATCGGTGTCGAGCTCGAGGAGAAGACGGGGAAGAACGATGGAAGCGTCCAGGGCGAGCGATACTTTGATTGCCCCATGGGCTACGGCATGTTTGTCAAGCCCATGATGGCCACCATCATCGCGCAGCCCGCCGCTCCCAAGCCAGCAGCAGCAGCTCGCAAACCGGCCGCCAGACCGCCTGGGTTCCATCCCACTGTGGGCAGAGCTTCGGTTTCTGGAGGCGACGCCAATCTCAATAGGAGGAGGAGCATCAACGCGCCGAGCCCCAGCCCGGTCCCTCACCACAAGCCGTCGCAATCGTCGACCAACCTGCGGGTAAGTTGAAGCGCCCTTGATCTAGCATGTCTGTATTAACCGAGAACTAAGTCGCCTTCTAAATCTCCTACCAAACAGCTCAGCAGTTCGTCGAGTGCTAGCGCGTCTCGAACGGGGACACCCTCAACCGTCCGAGTGCCGTCTGCCGCGGGCAAACCTCGCACCGCCCTGCCAGCGTCGCGCACGTCCATGGGACCCCCCCCAGCTCCTCAGCCTGGCCAGCGATCGTCCGTGCGACAGTCGTCAGTATCGTCAGTCCATTCGCGATCCGGCAGTGCCCCAACGAGGCCTATCAGCGGGCGCGGCGGCATTACAGCTCCAAAGGCGGTGTCGCGTCCCGAATCCGGCCGCCGGACTTCTGCCAGCTCTCAAGGGGGACGAGATTCGAGTTCAGCCACGAGATCCGATGAGCTTCTAAGCTCCCCAATTGAAGCCGAGGAGGATGAGATACTCTCACCGCAACCAACGAGCCCAGCCGCTGGGAGGGCCAATGCGCTGGAGAGGATTGCGGCCGAGTCTTCAGCCGTACTTTCTATAGCGGCCCCATTAAAGAAGCCTGCAGCGGCTGGTTCATCACGATCCTCCATTGGAAGCACTGCTGCGAGCAGAGAAATTGAAGATCTCAAGGCGAAGCTCAAGGTTCTGGAGCGGAAACGGGTTGAAGACCGGGACAAACTGAAGCAGCTGGACACAATTCAAGGAGAAAGAGACAAATTCGAAGGCATCATTCAAAAGCTACAGCAGAAATATCAACCTATCCAACAAGAGAATACAGACTTAAGAAAGGCCCTCAAGGAGGCCGAGACGAGATTTGAGTCAGTCGAGGCTCTTCAAGCAGAGCATGACACTGCCCTGGAACTGGCCACCCTGGATCGAGAAATGGCCGAAGAGACGTCTGAAGTTCTGAAAATGGAGGTGGATGCTTTGAAGGAAAAGGCTGAGGAGCTGCAATTGGAACTCGATATCCTGAGAGAAGAAAACGCTGAGTATAGCAAGGGCATGACTCCGGAAGAGCGTGCTAGCACGGGCTGGCTCCAAATGGAACGCACCAATGAGCGATTGCGAGAGGCGCTGCTACGACTGCGGGATCTCACGCAAGAGCAGGAACAGGAGCTCAGAGACCAGATTGCGAGCATGGAGGAGGAGGTTAAGGAGCTCAACGCCCTGAAGGAGGATCACACCACGGCTAAGGAGAAGCTGGCACAGTCGGAGTCAGCCGTGGAGGACTTGCGCCAGCAGCTAGACACCGCACTGGGCGCTGAAGACATGATTGAAGACTTAACGGAGAGGAACATGAGCATGTCTGAGCAAATCGAGGAGCTCAAGGCAGTCATTGAAGACCTGGAGAACCTCAAGGAGATCAACGATGAGCTCGAGATTAACCATGTCCAAAACGAAAAGGAGATGCAAGAAGAGCTTGATTTCAGAGACAGCGTCATCGCCGAGCAAGCTAGACGAGCACAGCAACAGGATGCTAACCTGGGCGATATGGAATACACTCTATCACGATTCCGAGAGCTCGTTACCAACCTGCAAAGCGATCTAGATGACATGCGGGCCTCCCAGGCCGTCACCGAGGGCGAGTCTGAGAAGCTCAACGACCGCTCGAGGGCCATGATGGACCTGAACATGAAACTCCAGATTTCTGCCTCCAAGGCCCAAGTCAAAACGATCGACCTCGAGCTGCGACGGCTCGAAGCTCAAGAGGCTGAACAACACCTGGAGATTGTCAAACTATTCCTTCCTGATAGCTACCGAGATGATCAGGACTCTGTTCTTGCTCTCCTTCGATTCCGCCGACTGGCATTCAAGGCAAACCTTCTCAACGGGTTTATTCGAGAGCGGGTCAACGCGCAGCCTGAACCAGGCCATGAGGATGATGTTCTTGCCGGATGTGACGCCATCGACAAGCTTGTTTGGGTTGCCGCCATGTGCGATCGCTTTGTCAACGACATTAGCCACTGCACTATTGAGCAATTCACCAAGTACCAGAACTCTCTGCTGGAGCTAGAGCCCGTCGAACGTGCGCTAAACAGCTGGATTGATGGCCTGCGACGAGATGAGCTGAAGGAGCAGAAGTGCGCTGACGAACTGCAGCGCACCATTTCGCTCATGTCTCACCTTGGAGAGGTACACATTTCTAGTGATATTGCTGCCTTTGCTGATGACATTCACATGAGAGCTCTGATTGTTCAAAGCCACCTTGATTCTGCAACTGTCGCCTTTAATGTGATCCGGAGCATGGTCCAGCGTGCCATCCCGGCTGCAGGCGAAGAGGAAGAGCTGGCGCAACATTTCTCCAAGAAGATTGAGCTCGCCATCACGCAGACCAGAAGCACCAAGGTCTTTGCCGGAAAGGCTGTTCGTGCTCTGGAGGACCTGAAGGCACGATCCCTCTCGCTGGGCGAGGATACAAAGGGCGCGTTTGAACAATGCGAGACTTTGACTCAAGAGCTTGCGCGCCTTACTCGTGATATTGGCCTCGGTATCCACAAGCTCCTCACCCATGATGAGGGACGAAACGAACCCTTCACCTACGGAGAGATTAACGAAGCCGTCCGCCAGGCGGTTCTCGAGTCCACCCAGACCAATGAGTCGGACCTCTTCTCCAGCTATCTTAACAAGCTCAAGGTTGCCACCGGACAGATTTCTGATCTGGCTTCACTCGCCGTCGACTTGGACCAAACTCATGACTATGATGTTAGCCCGTCTCCCTGGCGTCTTCGTGCTCAAGAACTCAGGATACTCAAGACAGTCCCCGTGGACACTGAGGAGGAGCTCAGAAGGCTCAAGGCTGAGCACAACGAAGTTCGTCGGACGATTGCGCAGCGGGATGAACATCTTAGCACCGCTGTCCTCAAGATTGAGACGCTCGAGTCTCGGATGCGTGATGCCCAGGCGAATGTCGAGCGCATCGGTAGCTTGCAATCTGAGCTTGAGGATGTCAATGGTCATGTGGCCAGCCTCAAGGAAGATATTGAGAAGCAAGACCGAGAACTCAAGAACCTGGAGTCGGAGCGAGACAAGTGGAAGAAGATTGCTAGCGATAGTAGGGCGTATGCTGACGGCGCTGATGCTGCGGACATGAAGGCCGGCCAGGAGCGGGCTGTTGCCACAGCACGCGAAATGGATGCGCTGAAGAAGGATATTGAAAGTCTGCAAGCTGCAGTCCGTTATCTGCGTGATGACAACCGCCGTGCGCGCATGAAGGAGCAGCAAGACTACGAGTGGCTCTCTGAGCCTTTGAAGAAGGAGGCCAGCCCCGAGCAACAGCGCAAGGCTTTGGTGGTTGCTGAGGGCAGAGATGTGCTTGGAGAGCTCATCAAAATGGCAACGTCGGCCACCATCTTCGACCTCGGTGCCGCGCCCAAGCAGAAGCTGGCCTGGCGCCCTGCCAGAACTACACCACAGTATCATGCCGCTAAGCAGACAGAAGAGCTCGAGGCCTGGAGGACATGGCAGGAGTCGGTGCTCAAAAAGACAGACATGCTCTTCGCTCAGGACCGCAGCGTCAACCTCGGCAGAGAGAAGCTACAGGCTGGTACCAAGCGAGAAGCTGCGGCCCGGCTGAGAATCAGACTGCCTCGGGATGCCACGCAGGGCAAGTTGACGACGTTCGCGGGAGACAATGTGCAGATTGTCGGGTCGCAGGAGTGGGATGCTTTGCAAGCTGCTACGAGAAAGTTCGCCGCTGTATAATGAGCCTCTGAGAACATATGTGTATGAACGCAAAGTAACGACTCTTGCATTTTTTGTTGTTGTTTTGAGCCCCTTTTATTTTCCCCGGTTCTTTCTTTTTTCCTTTTTGTATTTGGTGTGAGTGGTGTAGACAATGGGAAATGAAGCTTCTGTATACCCCCTGTTTGCTTAGCCGACCTCCCGAGGTGTCCTGTGTGTACCTTAGCTTATGTACCGTTACGATGATTCTTGTATGTGTCAAGACTTTGAGATTCTGATGCTTGTTGTGTGGAGCGAGCGAGCGAGCGAGCAATGCAAAGATAGAAAAAAAAAGGGGGATTGGTGATGATGAATAGATGTGATGACATGGAATTCTTGCGTGTTTTAGATTGTGTATGTTGAGTTGGTTCTTGTGTGTGCAATATGTGTGAGAAGGAGGTTTATAATGCTCATAGATTCACATTCACATGGGCTCCAAGGGGTCATACAAGTAAACATACATCTTCCGCTTCTCACATTTCTGGCCCGTGTTCACTGAATCATTACGAATTCGTCATTATTGAAAGTCGTATAACATCGCCATCATCACAGAACCTCTCTTGACTCTGGACGAAACCATGGATAAAATAAATTGTACAAAACCCCCTCCTTTTCTTTTCCCCGGTCAGGGTATTAACGAAACGCCTCCCTCTCATCAGTGTTGTCCATCAAATTCATCAAGCTTTCCCCTTGCCCTTCTTGTCCTTCTTCTTCTTCTTCGTGCTCTCCTCAGAACCGCTCATGGCACCGCCCGCCTGGCTGGCCATGAGCGCAGCCATGGGATCAGCACCTCCCTGCATCTCCTTCATCATATCCTTGAACAGATTCTCCGAGACGCCTCCGCCCGTCATGGCAGCGCTCAAGTACGGCAGATACTCGCCCATCTTCCACCCGCGCGGCACCGCGGGCTTGGGATACGGCTTGCCCTCGGGCGGCTGGATCTGGCCGCCGAAGCGCAGCCTCAGGCCGGGTGAGTTCTCCGTCGTCGGGTTCTCGCGCAGGTGCCGCGCGACGAGGACGTAGAGGTGGTGCTTGTTGGTGATGGCGGACGAGCCGGGGCTCTTCTTGAGCCCGACCTTGACGCGGCCCGGGTTGGCCCAGTCCTTGGGGTGGATCTTCTCGGGCTCGAGCAGCGTCTGCAGGCGCAGGCGGGAGCAGGCGTTTGCGATCTCGCGGGCCAGCGGGTTCTTGACGGCCAGGGCGGAGCTGACGCGGCGGCCCTCGGCGCGGGACCGCGAGGCGTCGAAGTAGACGGGGTAGAGGCACTGGTAGCTGTTGTAGACGGAGCGATCGGCCGTGGGGGGCAGCGTCGACGTCTGGGGGCCGGACAGCGGGTTCAGGAACTGGGCGGGGACGCTGGCGTTGATGTCCTCCTCGTCCTCGTCATCTGAGGACTCGACGATGCGCTGCTGCTGGGCGCTGGGGCGGGCGCGGAGGATGTCTGATTCGGCAAAGTCGTCAAGGTCGACTTCTTCCGGGTCCGAGATCATGTCGGGGTCGCTGTCGGACACTTCTTCTACCCGTGGGTGAGACATTGCGGGCGAGACTGGGGGATATGCGCTGAGTCGGTAGGAGGAGGAGGATGAGATGATGCGGAAGAAGGAGGGGAGAGAGGTAGAGAAGAGGGAAAGTGAGTGGTGATGCGAAGAAGACGAAAAGAGGTGGAGGATTGGGAGGTTTAGGTGGGAGGTTGAAGTTGGAATTTTGATATTGACAGTTGCCAGATTCAATGGTGGGGTCGCTGCTGGAAGTGGTTGGTGGGGTCCAAGGCTGTACTTGGAGAATACCTGGGGTACCTGCTGCCATTTGGTGGGACATAATGTCCTCCAGAGGTACCGTTACTGCTCAATATAAAGAGAGCACATGCTCTCATACTGGAGTCTAACAATAGAAAAAGCAATAGAATTAAACGGGGGAAAAGACTTGTGCACTCGCTGTATAATTACTACGTACAAAGTAATCGTACTTGACTTAGGTAGAGAACATTCTGAGCCTAATGCCAGCGCTCCAAATTCACAAAAAGCCGTGCCATGCGCAGATAAAACAAAAAAAAAAGTCGCCTCCAAACTCCCAAAGTTTCGTGTAAGCAACGTCTCTCCCAACGAGGTCATTCTGGTCTCAAGCTCTTGCATTAATTTCGTATCGCAATATAGAACCATATGTTATTGTTTCTACAGTTCCAAAAAATTTCAGTGGGCATCAACAGAGGCCCCCAAGCAAGGTGTCGAACTCTCTCTCATTATTCTCGTATCGTAAATATTGGGTCGTATGCCATTGGTTCTGTACTTCCGAACTTCTAGTTGGCAGTAATAAAGGTGTTTTTGAACTTTGTCCCGGGAGGATGAGCTTCTTCTGAAAATTTGCAATACGGGTGCTGGCAGACCCCATCTCGGATGCTGGGACACTGTCAAGATGAATGTGAGCATGCTGCGGAACAGCTTGTGTTGAGAGTTAGAAGAGGAGCCATCACTTACATGGTGACCGTATATGCAATCATCGAGTTCGCAAAACTGGCCAGACGAGCATGGGTTCTGGCGGGCCAGAATAGCAACTGCCTTCATTTCCTCGTCGCTGATCTTATAGTCGTGAGCAAACGGGCAAATATCCCTCTTAGCGCAAGGCCCTCGGAGATAGTGATTGTTGCATAGCTTGTCGCCGTCTTTTCGCCTCTTGATAACATCCAGAATCTGGGTGTTGACTCTGATGGGCTCGTCTAAGCCGCGAGCGCCAGGGTACCAGTCCTCGGGCGTGCTCGGAGGGATCAACATGTAATGTGACTCTGATTGAGTACGGGCCTGAAGCTTATCCCGCAAAGATGCCGTCTGCACTGGCTTTCGTGGTGCCAAGGGGAGCGTGATTTGCGGGGGTGGGCTGGCACTCGATACGATGTTGGCATAGGAAATGATCGGAGTGCGAGTTTGACTAGAGCTGGCACTGATAGCTGGGCTTGCCGTCCTAGATGCCGCGTTTGCAATCGTCGGTGTCGAAATGGTTGAGCCCGTCACAAAGGTTGTGCCCGTTGATTGACTGGATGCCGGATCTGGCTGCGAAAACAAGGGAAATTTGTCAAGGAGTTTGTCGTCGCGGAAGAGACCGTCGCCTAGTTTGGTTATGCCGATTTTAGTGGCGAAAAGTTCAGGCACCGTCGTGATACCCTCGATGATGCTGATCCTCTGCCGAGTGGCCTCGTTCTGAACGGTTTCGTCCAGGAAGGGAGCATAGCCGGCATCGTGTGAGATGCCCAACAGAATATGTCGACAGTTGTAATTTCTCAGGTGCCACCTCGCCGTTTCTGAGTTGACACAAAACAATGTTAGCCCCTATGGTCACAAGTGTTTCTTGCTCAGGCCGAGCTTCATCTTCATCATACCTTTGACTTTCAGGTCTGCCCTTTCCTTTCCAAAGCCAACATCAATATAGTCGAAAGTGGCCTTGGCTTGAGTGAAGCCGAGTGTAAAGTCTTTCAGGAGGCTTGGATTGTCTATGCAACCATCCCGCTGCATTGCCTTGCTCAGGCCGGCGAGATTGGCGACGACTTTGACGACAACTTCCAAATCTCCAGCCTCGTCGCCAAATTTCTCCAGTACAGCGGATAGCAAGGCATTGGCGGCCTTTTTGCCACCTTCAAGACCTTGTTTGATCCATGTGTTTCGGAACTATCAAAAGTTAGTTGCAGCCTTTGGAGAAAAGCATTCAACACCTCAACGTACCACAAGACCATCGCCATCTATCAGGACCATGACGTAAGGATTATGCTTCTGTCAGGGATGTCCGTTAGTATCTGCCCTCAGTGGGAAAAAGAAGAAGAGGGGTTTCACATACCTTTGCTTTATCCAGTTCCCTGCTCATCTTTTCCTGTGCATTTTCTTCCCGATCTTCACACTGCCTAATGCGCTGGAGCAGCTCCCTTTGGGCATTGACAGCATCTGCAAGGTTCATTTGAGTGTTGACCAGTCTCTGGCTTTCCTTGCGGAGTTCATTTTCGACATTGTTGCAGTGATATATGAGTTCCTGAGGATGAGAGAATGGTCAGATGATGAATAAGAGTATTTTGCACTGAAAATTCGTGATAAAAAAAAAAACCCCCCGTGATGACCAGAAGTGAAGAGAAATGAGGCACACATGACTGCATCTCTTTTCATTCATACTCCCGTGTCCGACCTGGGGGAGGAACAGCTGGTTGAAAAAAAAAGAGGCATCGTCAAATATCAGGGAGGGAAAAAAAACCTACCGTGATTAATTTCTCTGCACTATCATTCTGATCATGCAAAGCGTGGTAGCGGCTGACAAAATTCTGAATCTCCGGTCCAATGTATGAAATCATCTTATCCGCCATGGTTGAACAGCTCGGTGATAAATAGTTCTGTTTTTGTTTCTTTTGCTTTTTTATATTTTCTTTTGGCCTGTCGTCACAGTGCTTGATATCGAATTTTTCTGCTTTTTGCCTAGTGAGAGACAGAGAGAGGGAGCGCTAGGCAGATATGGAAGCCTGCCAAAGAAAAAAAAAAAGAAGTCCAAGTAGAAGAACCTCTTCGTTATTATATTTGGCTTTTGACTTTCTGTCGAAAATAGGCAAGAATGAAACGAATAGCGAAGAAGAAAAAAGATTATGCAGAGTGATTGATTGTTATTGTTATTGTTGAGACCAAGGTGGTGTGGCGATTCAGTCCAGAATTTTTTTAACCCTCTAAAAAATCCAGCTCAGTGATTGTTTCACAGTCAACTGCAGCCAGCCGTTTGGCGGTTCGCAACGCTGGTATTGCTCTTGGCGTGTTTGCACCGTTAGCCAAGCCACTTTGTTCCGAATCCGAAATGCAAGCAAGCAAGCAAGCAAATAAATGACTGAGGCTGAATTTATTGCAGTCTCAGCTCTTGTTGCCGGTTGTCTGCCGTAGTGTACTATTGAATAGAAGTAGAAGGATTTGGTTCAGGTTCTTTGCTTGCGCTGTGTCCACCAAGTAGATTGCGGTACAGCACGAGCCAGAGGACGGTCCCTGTCCCGCCCATTTATGCCCATCTTGAGGATTAAATTTAAACATGGCGTCGTAAATTGATCCCGAGGCCCGTCTTAAAATTAAATCTGAGCACTTAAATTGAATTTAGAGTCTTAAAATTGACCTCGAGGCCTTTAAATTAAGCATGTCACCACCCAACCACATTGTATTAAAACTAACCTCTGATGCTTCCATCACCAGGCGCAAAAGCTGGGGTTTGCAGCCACTAGAAATCGCCCGATGCCCGCTACAACGACAGCGGTAAAACAAGGCCCAGAGCAGACTAGCGCAGGCGTTTACCGCTCTGTTGATTGGGGCCCCAGAGACTTGAGACGTTGGGCGATTTTGCCTTCCGTCTTGTGCTTCGTGGGCAGAGCAAGGCGCTTCTTGGGGCAGACATTCTCTGTGCTCGTACGACTAGGAATGCAGTACTAATAATAAGCCGTGGCGTTGGTCCTTTGCAGGTGTGTAGCGGCAACTTGGTGGTATTCGCATGTACAAGTAGGGAGTCAGTCTGTGGCTTCAGCAGGGGAGGCACAGCTGGAAGCCAGGGGGTGTGTCTGCTTCTCGTCAAACACATTTTGGGCTCGTTTGTCGGCCTTGGAGCCAATCATCACTGCTCCTATTGACTCCGCCACTTGACTTCTTTCCCTGTGTCTCAGAAAAACGAGCAGAGGCGTCCAGCTTAGTTGGTAGTGTCTCACAGAATCAAGCCACCTCATCAAACCCTCTTTCGCCTCCCTCCTGGTCTGTACAAACCACGCCGTCACCGCCAGTTCCTCCAGTTGAATCAGACGGCACGGCGCATCACGCTACCCTCAGAAAATCTCCCGTCTCAGCCGGTTTCGTTGGTTCCTGGCTGATGCTGGTTGAAGATCTGCCACACTGTATCTTGTCCAAAACCTCCTTCAAATTGCCACATGAATGAATCTCCTCCAAGAATTTCCGCGTCAGTCTGCAGTGTGACATCTTCGTCCTGGTCTACCGTCAGGTCTTTGTATATGAGATCTCCCATCGCGAAGAAGGGCGCAACGCCGGGAAAACCACTCCCATCTTGTGGCATCTCCCATCCGCCAGGCATCATTGCCGAAAAAGCTGACGACTCATCCTCTCCGGTAGACTGGGCCGTCGCCGCCGACGACACCGGCTCCGAGGATACTTTGAGGCTTCCTTCCACTGAACTCCTGCCGATCGAGCCCTTGCCGATCGAACTTGCTGGGGTTGATCCCAGGGTCCTCGTGGTCGATAAAGGTGTATCGGAGGCGTTGCGTTGAGAAGAGGGTGCACAATTTCCAATGGCTTTGACAAGTCTGGCCACGACTGCGCGGAGAACCCCTATTGCCGACTTGGCCAAGGGATTCATGTCCTTCATAGTTGCGAACCGCTCAACCGTCCAGTGGCAATGCTGCAGCGCAATTTCTCGATACTCGGCATTCTCGTAAGGGAACAATATGTAGATGGTTGCAATCAGCGTAACTGCGTCGAAACTACCGTAGAACAAATGCCAGCTAGACGAAGAGAGAGAGGAAAAGTTAGCCAGTATTTCTCAACGAGTGTGTGTGTTCAGTTTCAGAACTTGGGCGAGACGTACTTCCTCCACGATTTGGGCGGCAGCCCCGCAAACAGCTGCCTCTGCATTTCGAGCATGCCGAGACTGCCCTTGATCACCTCAACCCGACTGTCTTCCCGATGGAAGATGTAGGGCCGATGAAGCGCCACCAATGTGAAGTAGAACATTTGTTCAGACAAGCACCTTGCCTGCGGAAGCCAATACATATCGGACCTTTGATCCCATTGTCTGTCGGGGTTCTCCACTCGGAAGACGGCCGGCGTGCTGTCATGGATCTCCATGATGTTCTGTTGTACCTTGAGCACCTTTGAAAAATCTCTGGGGCACGGCCCTTCCGACTCCAAGTCTAGAACATCCCGCAATGGTATCATGACTTTGTACAGGAATAAGTTTCTCGTCAGTGGCGTAGGGGGATCGATGCCTTCTTCCCTGGGGATGACTGGCGTCTTGGATCGATCCGAGGCCATCGTAAACCGTGCATCAATGGGAAGCGACGGCATGCCATGCCTCCAATCTAGAGAGCCTGGGCGGCCCAAGATGAGACACATGTGAATGTCCCTTTACGCAGATTTCGTATGCATCGTCAGCAAACTCCGAGTTTTCTCGTGTAGGTGGTAAATGAAAGGTACTTACCATGTTGCCAGCATCATGTACAGATGCCTCCTCTTCTCTACCTGCCACTGATTTAACAAGACGCTTTCTACATCGTTGGACGTCGGCTTGGGATCGAGTGCATCTCGGTGCATGCCAAGCTCTTGCGCGTCTCTTATCGTTTTGCCAATCTGGTGCCACTAATCCACACAACCACTTGTCAGTCAAATCATTACAGCTACGTGATAAGAGTCCCATGGGTATCAACAAACCGATTCAGTAACGTTAGCGGTATACTTGAGGAAGGCCGCTCGCATGAATCCAACCTGGATTGACGTCGAAGATAGCATCTTGGGGCCAAAGAGGTCGATGATGGCAACCCCAGACTCGCTGTAATCGGCCGCCAGATCCTCAAATGTCATGTTGGCAGCGTATTTGAGCGATTCAAACGACTCGTGTAGAGACTTGGGGAGAACAAGCATTGCTGTTGCAATTATTTCGAACAGCAGTGCTGGAAAGACTCTCAGATCTGGTGACAAGGCTTCCGGGCCGCGTGAAGAGAGGACTTTGAAGGGCAAGTTGCTCCATTGATCAAGCAGCTCGTGAAAGATCTGGGGCTCGACAAGGTAATACTGCCAGTTGAAGTCCTTGAAGAAGATTTCGGCCAGCTGGTCAATGTACATCCTGGCGGGCAGCAGTCGGATCAGCCCCTTGTATTTCTCCTTGACGGCAAAGGTGTCTTGGTATGATGCCTGACCCGAGGCGCTGGACAGCGCGTCCTCGCCATCTGCCGTGCTGGCCCTCTCAATCTTCTGGAGGAAGCAGAGTGTGGATGCTCCCGACTGAGCATATCCCCAGGACGAGGCTATGGACGACAGCGGCTCGGCCTTTGAAGTTGGCGGGACGCCATCGTTGTGCTTGGAGGAGTAGAGGCCAGCCTGCGTCTCCTGCTCGCGGGCGGTGGGCGCGCCGGCCTCATAGGCGCAGTGGGCTTCCTTGTTCCTGGACCTGCAGTTGCCGCATGGCAGCTCGCGATCGCACTGCTGCTACGTTAGCATTCCATTCCGCCTCGACCACCGCACGGCTTCACCCGGTCCCGACCTTTTGCTTCCGTCGATGGCACTCGGTACACGAAATGACAACCCGTCTCCGCTTCTTGGTCGGGCCCCGCTCGGACCGCACGTTGACAGCCACCTCAATGTCGGCCATGTTTCGCTCGCTCGTGGAATTGCGTCCGTCGCTGCAGATGAGGCGGTTCGAGAGTCGAGAGAGCGGCAACGGTGAGGAGTGAGAAAATGGACGGACGAAAATGCCCCAATACGGAATTGCGCAAGCTTGGGAAGGCTTGACTGAGAGCTGCACCGAAGAATGGCAGCAGGTGGGGCCACCGGCGACCGCGGAGAATCATGGCATGGCCGTAGCAGGCTCCGCGTTAAATCCGGCCCGCCGGTGATTAGATAGATGCAACTTGCTCCGATGCGCTTTGCTTGCTAATGCCATCTTCTCTCTACTGTATTTGCCAAGACGGCCATGGGAGAGATACTGTACAGCGGATGCTGATCCTCCTGCGATGCCCTGTAATACTAAGTAGGTGCATGTATGTATTAGATAGGTACCCATGATTCATGCAAACATCTCCAGCGTAAGTAATGCCTGTCTGGGCGACTCGGGCACCTGCTCCCTGTCATTATTGCTTGAACCATCCCATCTACCTATGAGCTTAAAACAAGGTACAAGCCAAGCGTATTCGAACGAGATGTTAGTGGTCGAATCACAACGCCCAAGCGATGTGTAGTCATCAAGGCGGCCTCTTCTAGGGGCCAAGCAGCAGCTCCAGCTTGGCTATATATATAGCGAATGAATAAAGCAAAATCGTGCCATTGGCGCATACTCTGTATGGTAGCAGCCCTTGTCGCGGATCAGGAAATAGTGCGTCGGCGGACAGTGTTGCTCCGTGCTTTACTAATCCCGGATATGAGCAGCCTTATTACCAGCATTAGCACCCTCTACGCAGCTGTACCTAACCCGGTTCGGTGCTTTTTAGACTTGGATGGTTCCTATCAGCGTGCGGTTGGTTTTATTTTTGGCATAGATGGGCCTCTTCTCCAGAGCTAGCAGATAGTGCTGGGGAATACTGTGTATAATCACACAGATGCGATGCTGCAGCGGTTAAAGTGTTTATATCCTGGCAGCAGAGCAGCAGAAGCCTCTGCAGGCTCCAATACTAGCATTGACATGAAACTGCCGTCATATACTACCTAAGATGATCAAAATAAACTTTGAATAAAATCATCGACTTTGATCCTAAATGTCCCTACAAAATCCCAACGTTTGCCTTAAACTCGCGAGCATACCGAATTCCAAATTCCAGATCCACCAATATTCAGTTCGCCTCCACCTTTGTGCATGCAATGATATCAACGCAGCCGGACAACGTCCCAGCTAGACCACAAAAAGGAAGAAAAAGAAGAAGATAGAGTTCGCCTAAATACATTGCATTCTATGATGCGGGCATTGGACAAGAGCTTCTCCCAGCTCCGCACTCCTCCCCTCGCCTGTTTTTTCCACCCTTTTATCTCAGTAGCCTCTCTGTGTAGGCTTTCCACGCCGCTGACCGATATCGTTCTGCCTCTTCTACGGGATCTGAGGCCTTGAGGATACCTCTGCCCACAATGGCAATGTCGCTGCCGCAGAGGCCAATGATCTTATGCGGCGTATTGTACTGCTGGCCTTGGCCATCTCCTCCAACGGTTCCGTTCGCCTGCTGGTCTTCATCTTCGGGGGGGAGCTGGCAGCCAGGCGTCATGTGAACAAAGGCATCATCAGCCTCCGTGTTCAGCGTCTCCTGAGAGATGAAGCCCATGACAAAATCCTTGTGCTCCCTAGCCGCCTCCACACAAGCTTGAGTGTACTCCTTGTTCATGAAGTTGCCCTGACTGGACATCTGGGCGAGAATCAAGAGGCCACGGTTTAGCGGCGCCTCCTCAATGCCGGGAAATAGTGACTCGTCTCCCTCGGCGATTGCCTTTGCCAACCGGGGCGAAGCGACAGACTCGTACTGCTGGGTGACGGTAGTGATGGAGACGATGCTTCCCTTGCGGCCGTCTCCGGTTCGGCCAGAGTAAATGGGCTTTTCCATCATGTTGGAGGAGCCATTGCCATTACCATTGACGGTGACGGGCTCGCCGTCCTTGGTCTCTTCGATATCGTCAAAGGAATCCATGGTGGGCGTGCCAACAGTGACCGACGTCTTGACCTCGCAGGGATAACGCTCCAGCCATCTCTTGGCTCCTTGTGCCAGCGAGGCCACAGACGCCTTGCCCGGGACCATGTTGACGTTGACAATGTGGGCCCAGTCGATGATGCGCGCCGACCCGCCGGTGTACTGCAGCTCGACTGTGTGGCCAATATCCCCGAACTTGCGATCCTCGAAAATGAGGAAGCCATGCTTTCGAGCTAGCGTGGCCAGCTGGGCACCGGTGCCGGTTTCTGGGTGGAAATCCCAGCCAGAGACCATGTCATAGTGTGTCTTGAGCACGACAATGGAGGGGCCGATTTTGTCAGCAAGGTAGAGGAGCTCCCGCGCTGTCGGTACATCGGCGCTCAGGCAAAGGTTAGAGGCTTTGAGGTCCATGAGCTTAAATAGATAGGCGGTTAGAGGGTGCGTCGCCGTTTCGCTCCTCGCGGCGAAGGTCGTCTTGAGAGTTGGGTGTGGTGCCATGGCTGCGGCTGCTGGAAACTCAATCTTTAGGGTGCTGCGGTGGCGGAAATAAGGGAACGATGCTGGCGCAGAGCTGTGGGAGAGATGACGTTGAGTGTGCAAGCCGTGCGAGGGGAGAAGAGGCGATTGAATTGATGGCCCTGAGCAGATGTTGCTTTAATATCGGATTCGTCCCCTGGCAAGATTGTAATAGGGAGGAGTCTGAGCAAGAAGCAAGTAGATGCTAGCGGAGCAGGCGAATCAATGCCGGCGGCGATACCCGATATTGCGAGGTTGGAAAAGGGCAGGCCGGCGACCACCGAATGGTTTTAGCAAAGAAAAAAAAAAGTGGCTGCGTGAATTCGGTGGACCAGAGGAGACGAGAGGTAACGGGGGGATGATACAGAAGAAACGAGAAAGGAAAAAGAAAGGAAAGGAAGTTGAAACAGCTGCAACACCGGGAGAGATGATGCCGGGTCACTCAGCGGCCAGATGTAAAGCCCACCGGTCCAGAAAGGGAGCTCGGTCAGTTGAGGAGCCCTAGATATGAACAACAGCTGGTAAACGTGACAAACGCCACAAAAAGAGACAGATAAGCAACTACCCAGTCAGATCTTTGACAGCCAAAGCGAGAGAAGAGCAGAGAAGAGAAGAGAGGAAGAGAAAAGATGAGATGAGAGAATAGAGACCCGGAGAGCACAGCTGGTGCTTGGCATGCGCCGTTCCGATTGCCGCAGACGACAAGCAGTCTCGAACGGGATCCCACAAGGGCTTTTGGTGACCGTGCCTGGAAGTGCCTGCAGCAGTAGGATCAACGAGCCAGAATTGCTGGGGTGGTTCGAGCAGGGGTTGTTGTGGACGGGATGAGCGCCAACGGGGGGGGGGGGGGGGGTTCAGTCGATGGGCGAAGGAGGTTTTTTTTTTTCTCGGCTTGTTTGGTTTTGGTTTTGGTTTGTTTTGGCTTGGTTTGGCCTGGGCTGGGGAGCGCAGCAGAAGGGGCTTCGCTCGACGCTCGACCAGGGGCTGATGGAGATGCTGATGGAGTTGCTGATGGAGCTGGAGATGGAGATGGAGATGCAAGAATGAATCTACTGGCTGGCAATAGTGCTTCGTACATGCACTGATCAATGTGTTCGCACGCCGGAGGTCCAAGCGCAGGCCCCAGCTGGGCTTAAAAAGGAGAGCCAAAGGCTAGCAAGATCCGAGTCAATCCAGTCCACTAGCAGCTCACTGGCGCCTTGTTGATAATGCATGCATGCGAGTTCGATGCTGGCGGCAAAAACTTTTTTCTTATTTTTTGTGCTCCTGGTCGGCTTTTTGCCCGTTCTGGTGCTTTTTGTGTGCGGCCAACTAGTTTAGAAGCTGGAGTCGTGCGAGCAGCTCCCCCGTAGGCTGAGGCCCAGCCCAGCTTCCGCTGCTAATGCTAAGCAACCCTAGCAGTCGGTGCCAAACGGTAGTGGCTCTAATAATGGGTTGGGGGGATGGGGATTGATGGCATGGCAGAAGGGGCTTGCCCGACCATGTACCGGTACTCGGCGCGTTGGTGGGGACCGGCTTTAGGAGATGGCGGGGCGCTGCCTCTCAGACAAAGGCAGCGCTGGACGTGCAGCCTGGGCCGCAGGTGGCCAGCATCATGCTACGGATCCAGCCCCGGCCAGGTACCGGTACATGCGCAAGTCCCTTGGCGCTGGAAAAGCGGCGTGTCCAGCCAACTGGAAGTGGGCAAGAGCCACTGCCCTCAGCTGCGTCAGGGCATGTGCCTGTCCTCGACCTGGATGTGATGGATGGCTGAATCTCCAGCTGTCATCGGCTCATGTGCGAGTGCTGTACTGCTGTACTCGTATACGAGCACGACAAAAAACCAGCGCAGTCAATAGGTACGAGTACCTGGCATTACTCCAATACGAGGCCGTGCATGGCAACAGCGAATGGCTGTGCAGGCAGAGACACGACGACGACGACTGACGACGGCAGCGACACCGGCCAAGACTTGAGGCGTCTCTGTCTCGCTGGCTCTCGGCACCACAGACCCGCCTTGGGACATCTAAGCATCAAGAGACCCAACATCTGGACCGGACTAACAGGCGCCATCAATGCCTCTGGATCAACTACGAGCAGATACTCTAGTACGAGTACTCGGACTAGGAGAGAGTCCTACAGCACTAGGTGGCAGGTAGGTAGCACCACCTGCTTGGACTATGAACTTGTACATGCACCTACGACATAATCATGCTACTTCCCAAAGTCTATGTGTGCTGGTGGCGCACAACTAGAAGGCCCGGGCATCTCCAAGCACAAGATATACTACACGTCGGACCAGAGGTTATTTGGACCAATGTCTGTGCGGAGCTCGACTAGTGCTGTCCGCAGCCCTGCTCCGTGCAGATGGACGGCGATCCCCCTTCAGACGTCGGCAGTAAACATGCGTGTGCGGTGCTAGGTAAGTACTCGTACTAATAAACATCGTTGATCCATCCTCCGGTACTGTGCCGTACCGTACGAGAGAGTACAAGTATACGCCCGAGCAGCATCCCTTGGAGCCAAGAGATGCCGTTGGTAGTGCTTCGTACATACCGCTTTCTTGCCTGGATGTTACAGTAATATCTGTGCTGACCTGACCTAGTCTGGCCTGACCTGAGCTTGCGTCTAAAAGAGCAAAGTTTCCGTCTTGATGCTCCTGCATTGCCGTCGTCGTAACGCATCACATCGCAACGTCCAAAGAAAGGCAGGTCGCGTTGCGCTAATGCTCGAGCCTACATAGCGTCTTATCCCGGCCGAGATAGATGCGTTGGGGGCCAGAGCGGGAACAAAAAAAAAAGACAGAGAGAGAAAGAAAGAGGCGTCAGCACTCCCTCTAGTCAAAATGTCATTGCTGATGCGCTACTACCTGATGCATGTTCGCGCGAGCCTAGCCACTCGAGCCCATCTCCAAGTTGTCATCCGATCACTCACAAAGACAGAACGAGGGGGGGGGAGGATTCTCTTTGCACTAGCATAACGAACAAACAAAACAGTCCAAGCGAACAACAGACAAGTCGGCTAACGCACGAAAAAAAAAAAAATGGACTCAAGCATGACGGGCCAAGTCGGCTTTTCTTCCGCATCCCAACTATCACCAAGCCCCTGCTCGCCCTAGCATAGCGTTGTCCTGGAGCCCCCAGAGTCGATAAACGAAACCCAAGCGCCTTTGGCATCTTCGTCCACGAGCAGTGTGTTTGAGACTTGTCGCGGGCTCGAAACTTGGCCCTTTGCGCATCTTGTGTGTGTGGACTTCCATGTTTTTCATCGAGATGGTCCAACGACCATTTTTCTTCTTCTTCGGATCCGCGCCTGTCAAACGGCCAACTCCTAACGCCACAACGCCATCGACAAGGTCCCCATCTCGCCAACCCCATCTTCTCCTTTTGTTTCCGGCAACTAGTGACCGAGCCCTGTGCTAATTGCCTGACAGAAAGGAGAAGGAGACACATCTTTCCTTGGCCGATCTGACCCCAAGCATAACACCGGCAAATTAACAACCCAGTATTACGGAATACAAACGCAGAATACGGGGGTATACGGAACACGGATAGCACAGATAGTAAACGACCGTCCCCTTTGCCTGGCACCGCCGAAACAACTCACAATCCCAGTCCCTCGCTACCGCCAGCTTAAAAATCTCCGCTTTAATACGGAGCGGTACGGGCTGCTAGCATACAGTACTGGCTGGCACTTGCTATGCTCATCACATCACTCGATATCTATTATGTAGGGAGTGTACAGTATTCGTATTTATGATATATTGATAAGGAAAGACGAAACCTCGCGGGGCATAATGAGCACAACCAACAGCAAACAACGAACCTACAATCCCGTAAAGTTCCCAAGCCGACTAGCAGAGTTTGGATTAGGCCTCGCCCTCACTCCCGTAACGACCCTAGCCAATATATCTCATACAAAAGTCGGGCTTGTGGTTCGCGCCAGCGGCTCACTTAGACTGTGATCGACGGGCATCCCGAGATCTAGATGAGCAAGCGGTTGTGCTGACGAGAACGTTTCTGGTCAATGGGAAGAGAGTGAGACGGGCGAACTTGGTCCAGCTGGGCTGACGGCAGGAGAGAAAGAAAAGATGACGAATGATGCCACACGCAACCCCCCGCCTGCCTGTTTCTTCGTCCAAGCAAAGGTCGTCGGAGGGTTGCATTAGAAATCGTCGCATTTTTCTCTCCGTACTAATGCCCGGGGACCCATGGCTGTTTGCGCTGCTGTGGTTTCGTTTCGTTCTGCATCTCTGCGAAGGCGTCTTCGAGTCCTCAAGTCTCCGCAATAAGACCGGGAGTTTCCCCCTCTTCCTTCTGTCTTCCCGCAGTAGTAGTACTGTAGTAGTAGTAGTTAGTATGATGAGTGCCCTCAATGCCGGCAAGCATTCCCCGGAAGCTCGCCAAAATGATACATCACCCGTCCTAGGGGGGACCCTAATGCTCAATGGATGTGTACTTGTACAGAGTGTCACTCTGTTGCTCCTTCCAAGCACGGGGCTGCAGGACTAACACATGTTTGTTGGTAAGTAACGGCTTTAAGACCCAATAATGATGCTTGTCCTGTCGGCGCCAGTTGGCGTGTGGCTTCATCCAGAAGCGATATGCTGTTGGCAGCGCCAAATAGCCTAATTGGTAATTTTGAAACCGGGATCCTTTGTAAAGATAACACTCTGCACCCGATAAAGTTTGTCAAGAGTCACTGCGGCCCGGAGCCGATATCCGGAGTCAGTTGTAACATATGAGTTGCGCCACGTACGGAGATGATCAGTCAATAATGGGTAATGGTCCGGACAGCAGGAATCCGTGTATCTGTCTATTCCTTTTGATGAAATTCTTTCTATGCTTTAGTCTGTTTCCGTTCTAGAGCCTTTTCCAAGGCCGCTACCCTCTCATCAATCTTCTTGAACGACCAGCTCTCAAACGCAGGGGGGTAAAGGAAAGGACGGAGATCAAATCGGTGATCATCCTGAGAGTAGGCCAGAGCGTGATATGCAGGTGTCGAGACGGTTGACTTGTGGCGACTTTTGGTTCGTTAGTTCTCTTATCTTCACGTTATGTTGCAATGGAGGTTATATCATACTTGATCTGGTGATAGAAAAAGAAACGCTGCACTTTGTCGGCGATCTGGCGCGGGCTCAGCTTTCCTTGGCCGCCCCACTCGTTGAGCAGCCTCAGGAACATTCCATACGGTCCTAATTTGTGCTCCTTGCGCAGTGACTGTTGTTGACAGCTGGTTAGCTCAATTTGGGCTGTGATGGAATTGCTCTACTTACGCCAAAGCGGGACAACTCATCGTATGTCATGCCCATGTCGGCTGCGGTTGTCTCGTCAGCTTATAATCTTCCTCATTATCAAATTTTAAATTCGTTTACCTTCATCGCTCTGAACGTAGTTTTCAGTGATGGGTTCAAGTTCGGCCGTAGCTGTTTTGCGACATCAGTGACGATGATAGTACACGAGTTGTCGACTATTGACTCACGGATAGCGTGAATAAATTCCTCCAAAATGGGCATATCGAAATCCTTGCTTGCCCAGGCAATGAACCGTTTGCTTTGAAGGGAAATATTAGTAATCTCTTGCTTTGCATCGCTGGGACGTGTTTTGTAGGTCTTGGGGGTAATTTTTTGAGAGGTGATCTCCCGTCCAGCATTCTCTCCACTGAGATCTCGCATTGGGCATTTACTTACAGATCGGTCTTGCTGATTGATCCAATGGGATTGAGATCAGCGGAGCTACAGTCGTACTTGGTGAGATCTATAGCACAATACTGTCAGCACATATATGGTCAGGATGCCAAGGTTCCGAAGCTACTCACATCCTCGAAGGCATTCATCAACATTGCTTGATCCAAGGACCAGGAGACCGCCTCCACCTGGCCGTTGCCGAACCATCGGAAGCATCTGTGCATAGTAGTACGCGATGACCATGCGGGAGCGGCTCTGGATGTTTTGCAAAGCCACTGCAGTAGTTAACGAAGCGTGTTAGCAACTATACGTAGTCGTGGACTGGCACTGATAAGAAAAGACGTACAGTTTTCGGTGGCCGATCCTCCGTGAACCTTGAACTTGGGCTCAAATCCAGTGCCCTGCGTAAGCAAGTTCTTAGTGGCGTGATAGGTATCATCAATGTTCATATCCGTGTGGTAGCTGCCGATACGGTCGGCAAGATCCTTGGCACGCTGGCGAGTCTCCTTGCTGCTTTGGTTAGCCATGCCCATGTAGACGGTATGGAAGATTTGGTTGCAAAACTCCTCGGGGGTTTCGGGCAATTTGTCGGAGAAGGCAGCGAGTCTTTTGACATCGGCAATTACTTCCGGGTTACCGGCTTTCACGGCCTGGACGACCAGCCGGCACATGCTATAGACAATGGTAGCCGTGGCACATGAGTCAATACCTCCGGATAGGGGGACCAGATAGCCCGCCAGTTTACTTCGTCGCACTTTGGGTTCACGGTTAGTAGACTATATAAACAACTCGATGCTGGAGCCCATGTATGACATCGTAAATAAAGGGGTGGGCCTGAAAACTTACAGTAATCCCACAGCCAGCACGCTGGACCGAGAGCCTACTCGGTATCCATGGTTAGCAATAATTCCTTTGCGTTGTCGGGAGGACTAGGATGAAATATTGATGCTGTTGTATAAACATCAAGTTGAGAACACATACAATTTCTTCCTCTGGAAGGTGATATCTCGCTGGTCTAGTTGGCGTTGGGACTTCAAGGATTCGGAGGGTATCATGTGAGAGTCGAAAGTCGACTTCGATTCTCTCATACACTGGCGCTTGCGTGGCTTGGAAACCACGAGACGGAGCAAAGCGATATGATCGCACTTCCTCGAGATCGACTGTTGCAGTCACCACCTCAACATCGTCCAAGCTAAACTGTGAGCCCTGGGCGACGATTTCGCCGTTGACCATTATCATCGAGCAGCCATCATAGAGTAGACGATCGCCGTCACAGCCTGTATCTGGTCAGCAGAGGGATGGTTAACAAAACTACACAGGCATTGGACGCACCTGATTGGTTTGCGTAGAGATAGATGCCGCCATTCTTTCGGGTGGCCTCTTGGATCAAGGCAATTCGCTCATTGAGCTTCCGCAAGCTGTGGTGCGATCCTGAGCTGTTTGTGAAGATTTCGACGCCGTTCAAAGCCCTTGAGCAGAGTTTAGTAAATGCAAGTGACGGGGTAGCCTTTATAAGTGACTCGCAAATCAGGCTTAAGACAACTGCGATGCGCTGCTGTTGTCGTTAAAGACAGCACTTACATGTTGATGTGTGGCGCCTGAGGAGTGAAAAGTTCTTCGCAGGTCTCGGCAGCAACCGTCGTATCATTAAGAGACAAGATAATATCACCGAAAGGCACCTGTCGAACTCCCTGGTGTTCTTGGATTTGTGGTGGAAGGTTATACTTCTCAACATATCTAGGGCGATTCCAGGGAGTGAAGAAGCGGTTTTCTCTAAAGTTTCTATAGCAAAGGGGTTAGTCATTGCTCTCACCAGTGCGCCAAATTGGTGAATTTTGAACCCCGATGGGCTCTGGACACTGATATTGGCAAGCCCAAGTCAAAGATAGTCATATGAACTCACCCATCGTTGGCCAGGAATATCTTGGGACGAAGACATAGCAGCTTGCCATCAAGGATAATCGCACGACAATTATATCTGCAACCTCTATGCATAACTGGTAGACCAACATCAATAAGAATGCCATGGAGGGAAGTATCCGTTAGAATTTTGGATAGCATGTCCATGGAATGGTCATAGACATCAGCCTCGAGGAAGTGATCGAGACTATTAGTCACAGTTAATACTCGGCCATTTCATCAACTCAAGGTACTATCCCTGCAGCGGCCCTGTTGATGGCATTTAAAGACTTACCAGCCATAGCCAGTGATTTCCAGCTCAGGGCCTGTTCGTAGCGTAGCTCCAGCCTCTTTAGCTTTCAGGATACTCTGGCGAATTCTTTCTAAATTGCCGGTATAGTCAAGCGCCTGGAACCAGTTAACCCATTGCACAGAGCTCACTGTGGAATATCTTAAACCTAAACATACCCACTGGTTGAGAGAGCACGTGGCTAGAGTGATTAGCTGAGACATTGTGGACCATCAACAAGGAATGACGAATTGGTGATGCTCAAGATATTGCAAGGGAATATATCCACAAGATGCAAAGGAAAAGAAAGGAAAGTCTTTTGAGTTGATAGCTTTGACGATAGCGGGGCCTGGTAGAGAGGGGTGTGACTCTTAGGTAGATCGGGCTTGCTTAAGTAAGTTCAAGATCCCGAACAACGCCGACGCATATGATCGGAGTCATGTTACTTTTTTTTCAAGCTCAAAATAAAGAGAGAAATGTCTAGGTGCAAGAGATACTAGAGGCAATTGCATTTTTTATGGCAAGGAGATCTATTTGCTAAACATATGCGAGTAGACGAAGGAAAATCTGCTTTGAGAGAAAGGATGTACTTGCTCATTCGAAAGTTTGAATGAAGTCCGCACAAGGGAAAATCCCGGCGGAGAGAGTTTCGAAATAGCTGGTTCTCAAGGCAGAAAAGACTAACTCATGGAAGCAACTACATCAGTTTATGGGAAGTGTGGCGATCGTAAACTTGGGCGCCGTATCTGCACTTGTATCCTTGTATCATTGACTACGGCATACATGCGGCTATGTGAGACTCCAGCCAAACGGAGATTGAGAGCGGAGCCGTAAAGGGCATATGAAAGTATGTTTCATAAAAGAAATACAAGTAAAGATAGTAGTAAATATAGCAAATATCTAAGTATATGTAGAAGGAAAAGAAAAGTAAAAAGTGAAAAGGTGCTCATTCTTACCAATCATGCGATTACAAAGGCAATAATGTTTTAATTGCCAAGTTAAAGTCCCGCTTATTTTGTCAATTAAACGCATTCGTACGCGCGTTGCCTGTAACTTTTGGGGCACGACAAGACCAAATCTAGCACAGATATTGTGATGAGCAGTATTCACAGAATCTTCCGTATGGGCATGCCTGTAGTACTACCTACGTAAGTACCTGCGATGGATGGAATTAGGCGCTGTGTCGCGTGTCGCGAATACATGTACATGCCGGCTCTTCTCCCTAGCAGTGCGGAGGGAACCTTGTCTCTGGCCCGGGACCAAGGAGATGGGATCCTGGATTGGCACGGATTGCAAGAATAGTCCGCCGCCCTGGACTCCGGAGTTGCAGGCATCAATACAAACACCCATGCCTGTCCGCTCGGCCCGCTGTGGACTTGGGTGGTGTACACTTTGAGTATTTTCGCACGCAGGCCTCACTCGGTGACGTCTACAGGTCCTCCCGAGATTGCTGCTGACTGGGGCAGTAGCATCAAATTGGCTTGCGCACATCAAAAGCCTCAAAGTCGAAGAAATGGTCATGATGAGCTGGCAGGGAGGCTGAGGAAACAGCAAATTTGAGCCTTCAGCCTGGATCCCCAACGATCTGCTGCGTTTGATTCGGTGATGATGTGGCTGAGGAGCATATGGATCTGCTATCACAGGAGAAGCCCCCTAGCCTAACCCAAAGGCTGCCTCCCACCATCCAATCCACCTGATGAATGAGAGTTTCTGAGATACCCAAAGTCAAACTGCGGTATCCAGTCACGCCTCAAATGCAGAATCATGCCCTTTGTGGTGTGAGAGCGGAACGGAGATTGGGCAACGCATGAAATGATTCTAGACGCCGCCTAATAAATAATCTTCAAGGATCAATAATACGAATCCACACACAGCCACTAACCGCCCTCGGCGCATCACCACGTGCAGCCACCGCCGAGCAGGGCTGAGCGGCGACTTTCGCACCGCCCCAACTGCGTCCACGGCAAATTGCGACACCGTGTCCGCCACTATGGACTGCTAGTAGCGTACCCAAGCTTGGCTTTTTCCAAGCAAGCTCTCCTTAACTTTTGTCTGCAACATCTTCCTTTCGCATCCGTTCTTTCGCCCAGATTTTCCCTCTTGTGCCATCCCACGACGGCCGTTATATCTCGCTGCAGGTCCCCCGTATTTTTCTGCCGTTGCCCGCCGCGCGTGCAGCTTCCAAACCCGACCCCTCCCTCCCGCGAACTCCCGCCTGTGCCCTCAAGCTCAGGCATATACTATAAAGAAACTCCGAGCACACCCATCCTTCGGTCGTTAATCACGCGAGCTTGCTGGCACTTCGGCTACCCCTCGTACCTTTGCGGTTCAGCTTCGTGATAGAATATCGCACTGCATCACCATGTCGGCACCTCGGACTCGACGGCGAGCTGCCCAAGAAAAGCTCGGGCATGGCTCCGACGACGACCGCACCGCTGCTGTTGTTGACGGCAACGGCTCAACTCGCGATGCGCCGGAAGCCTCGGACTCTGACGGCGACGAGAACATCTTTCTGTTCTGGCCCAACATTATAGGTACGCGTCCAAACTTAGCGGATCGGCTCTTTGACGGGAGACAGAATCCGGCGAGCATTGCTAACATTTGCTGGGCTTCCAGGCTACTGCCGAATCGTCCTTGCCATTGCGTCCCTCTACTATATGCCGCTACACCCTCGCACGTGCTCCCTGCTCTACAGCGTCTCTTGCTTGCTCGACGCTCTCGACGGATATGCTGCCAGATTCTTCAACCAGTCGACTCGCTTCGGCGCCGTCCTGGACATGGTCACGGACCGCTGCACCACCTCGTGCTTGCTGGTCTTCCTGTCTTCGGCCTTCCCGCGATGGGCCATTGTCTTCCAGGGCTTGATTGCGCTCGACTTCTCTAGCCACTACATGCACATGTACGCCACTCTGGTTGTTGGAGGTTCCGACTCGAGCCACAAGAACATCGACAAGAGCCAGAGCTGGCTGCTGAACCTGTACTACACCAACAAGGTTCGCATGCCCCCGTACCACTAACTCCCCCGCCGTCAAAGCTTGGCTGTGCTGACCAAAGTGCTACTCTAGATTGTTCTTTTCGTCTTCTGCATGTTCAACGAAGTTTTCTTCATTGCGCTCTACCTCCTGTCCTTCTCCTCGCCCCTCCTTTCACCCCACCTCATCAAGAGCGTGGAGGAGACCAGCGGTGGCCAGATTCAGCCCGGCGTCCCAGTCAACACCTCTCTGCTCCGACAAATGTTCCCCGATCCCTTCAGCGCCGCTGCCCTTGAGATTGCCCGAGCAAACAAGATGGACTCTACCCTCCCCTGGATCATCACTGGTATCAGCTTCCCAATCATGTTGGCCAAGCAGATCATCAATGTGGTCCAGCTGGTCAAGGCGAGCAGGTGGCTCGCTGAGGTTGATATCAAATCGCGAAAGGCAAAGGGTCTGAACAAGAAGGCCAGAAAGGCTTAAATCGAACCGCGATAAGAAACAGACAATCAATAATACAGATGGACAGGCGACAAGCTACCAACACATTATCGTGAGGGAATGGGTGTTAGTAATGGGAGCTGATGAGCCATACTTTGTAAAGATGTCAATCTTTGTATTGAAAGGATGGAGGTCAACTGTTTTGTCATCTTGGGTAGAAACCAAGTAGAACAGTCTGCCTCCCTCGGCTCTTTTTCGCAACAAATGGGTGTTGTCTTGGTGGATCTCACACAGCGCTGGCCTTTTCGTGATGGCTCTTTCACGACAAGCAGCTGTTAATATTGCATGGCTTGGCGCAAACGGAGGCTCAACAACAGAGGTGGGTGGGCTGTGAACTGCCTCATCCGTATGGGTATGGGCAGATGGGTTGAAAGGTATTAAAAAATATTCAAAATTGGGGGGATATTTGGGAAGGGAGAGCTATGCTGTCCTTTTTTTTACTTTTTTTATTTATTTTGTTCACCTTTTCCCTAGCGTCGGATGCTATGGCTCCTATCTGAGTGGACTTGGGCTCGACCAACTCTGTGTCTCCCCCTTCTTTCTTTTCCCTTTTCTTTTCCTTTTTTTCTCTCTTCTGTTTTCGCTGTATATACATATCTTCTCCTTTTCTTTTCTTTTGGTTATTATGGTTTTTCTTAATCTTGGTAGATCAATGGTACTATCCCAATAGCTAAAATACGAAGAAGAAAATTATTGTTGTGTGGACAAGACAAGTCTGCAAAGTTCACCCAAAAAAAAAAAAAAAAAACGACTCAAAGTGAGGGACTAAAGTTTGGGGTATCTCAAAATTTCTTCCTTTTAGCAAAAATCATTATACGGCGTGAGATTATATAACTTCATATTTTGTACTCCTTCCACATTCATGCACATCATACTCCCATCTCTTTCGCACACATTGCAAAAGTCCTCCTCTTCTCAACTCCTCGAAATGGCGCCCCCGGAAGCATCATTGCTGGACGAGATTGCGCCTCTGGACTCATCGCCGTTGGCAGCGTTGGACGTCTCAGCGACCTCTGAGTTTTCGATGATGCGAGTGACTTCAAGGGGGACGAGTTCTAGAGGGGTGGACAGACCGTACCAGGCGACGACGATGACGCCGAGGATACCAGTAATGCAGCTGAAGACGAGGGCAACAATACCGCGGGGAGTGAAGCTGAAAGATGTATGTCAGACTATGGTATTTAAACAAAGGGGATATAGTAGTAGACTTACCCGCCGGGGATGGTTCCAGGAGGCTTGTTCTCGCCGGTCAGATCAAGGAAGTCGACGGTGTTGGCTGCAGCATTGCCCTTGGTGGGGCTGCCAGAGGCGTCGCAGACCGCGAGATGGTCGTCAGGAATAGTGAACTGCTTCTGGATCTCAAGAGGGGCCTCGACGAACGTGGCGAGAAGGCCGGAAGCAACGTGCCACTCAATGTGGCAGTGGAACAACCAGACACCTAACAAACACGATTAGTAACAAGAAACGCGAGATGATGTTGTGAAACGGCATTTGAGAAGCACGTACCAGGGTTGTCAGCCTTGAAGCGCATGACAATGTTGCCATTGGGCCAGATGACGAGGGTGTCACGTCGCATGGGCACGCTAGGATAGTCGCTCTCAGAGAGGTTCTCATCTTCAAAGGTACCAGCCTCCTCTTCGGAGCGGTGAATGGCCTGGAAGGCGTGGCCGTGAAGATGGAAGGGATGGCGGCCGGAGTCGAGGTTGTTGACGACAATCTGGACGATTTCGTCCTTCTTCAGGACAAAAGGATGGGTGAACTCGCCGTAGACGGCCGCGTTGTCGGCGAGATTGCCGGCGGACATGGCAGTGTACAGGGAGGGAACCTTGGGCTTAGTGTAGGTGATGTTGTTGAAGAAGGCGTAGTTCTTTCCATCGCGAAGGTTGTCCATGATGACATCGAGCTCGACAACTTGGTCTGGCTCGGGCAGCAGCTCCATCTTGTCATATGGCACAAGTTCCATGTCATCAAAGGGGTTGAGCTCATCGATGAGGACAGGCTCGGGGAGAGTGGCCTTGGCATCGTATTCCAACCAACCAGTGACATTGTAGTTGAGGTCATCCGGCAGGGTGTCAAAAAGGGTCTATAGACTGATTAGCATCATGACGCGCCGTTGGAGTTCTCCTCGTGGGGCAATCGCTTACAGTATCCATGCTAGAGACAATGGGGAAGTTGGCAGAAGTGTCGTTCTTGGTGGTGAGGAGGAAGCTGACTCTCTGAGCAGCAGAGATGTAGACCATGTCAGCCTCAGCAGCCTCGGTGTAGATACCGTCAACCTCAACGATGCGCATGGTGTGTCCCTCGATCCAGAGGTACTGGCCGGCAAAGGCACCAATGTTGATGACTCGGAACAGGTAGGTCTTGTTGGGCAAGACAGGGACACTCAAGTTCTGCGTTTCATTCATGAGCGCCGCCTTGGGCACCGGCTCAGCACCAGTCGGGTTGGTCTTTGTCAGGAAAGCTGGGAGAAGGGTGGCCATCTGGTCGTGGTACCAGTCCGAGAGGGTCAGGACAAGTTCGTGGTCAACTTCCTTCTGGTAGGGGAACTTGGGGTCGTGGATGATGAGGGGACCGCGAAGACCATCAGGGTACTGCGCATTGTGGTGAGAGTGGTACCAGTATGTGCCGGGTTGGTTGATCTATCGCTTTCAGTCAGAATACTGTTTATCAAGAGCAACAATAGGACGTCTCAAGTCTTACAGTGAAGTCGTATTTGAAGGAGTGGCCAGGAGGAATATCGCACTGGGACACACCCACAGGGCCGTCCATGTGCGTGGTGCCGTTCATGAAGAGACCGTGGAAGTGCAGCGACGTCGACTGGTTGCCAAGCTGGTTGTTGACATTGACGACAACGCGATCACCGACATTGGCCTCAATGCGAGGAATGGGCCACTGGTTGTTGATGCCAATGACGGGACGCGCGAAGGCTCCGTCCGGGTTGGCCGTGACCCAAGTGATGTTGAAGTCATAGTTGACAGTGGCCGCACTGGCAAGGCCCAGAGAGGCAGCGAGCAACGCCGCCGCTCGCGTGAAGCTATTCATGTCTGCTGAATCGTTCCGCTTGCTGGTTGTCTGGAGAAGCCAGCTCTCTCTCTCTCGTCTCCGGGACAGAGCAGACGGTTAAGAAGAGGTGAGGGGGGGAGGGATGAGGAGCGAGGGGACCACGGGGAGAAGAGAGAGGAGAAGAGGAAGAGGAGGGTAGCGGCTTCACACTCGATAGCCTTCAAATTCCGGGACGTCGCCGAGAGTCAGCTGGTGGAAATGTTGAGGCGCTTCCGATTATCGCATCAGAGATTGATAAAGCAATTGGGTGGGCTCGGCGCAAAAATCGCAAAGCCGCAATGACATGCAAGCCCGCAACTTGCTCCACTAGAAAAAAACAAGGGACCAGCCACCACGCAAATCCAAGCTAATAATAGTCGAATGTGGCCGAATGTTTCGTTTCTTGTCGATTTCTGGGCAGTGGATGCATGGATCGGGCGCTGCAGTTCCTCCGGCTGGCGGCACATGGACCCATTGGGAAAGACAAAAAAAAGAGCAGGAGCTTGCAAAAACAAGGATCATGCATAGAAATAAGCTACATAACTTTGCGTGCGGTGTTTATTTGCCTAGTGGGTAGCAGCCCTCGGCTCAAAGCAGCAAGTTTACGGGCATTCGACATGAATAGGATGCATGTGGTCACAACCGCCAGAGGAGCTGCTAGTATAGCACGAGTAGCGGTAGCTGGAGCTGCCACTAGCAAAAAAAAAAAATGCAAAGAGCCGGGACAAGCATAAAAACCTTGCTTTAATTGGCGCCTGTCATTGGACGATGAAGATCGCTAAGGGATCACGGCAATCCACCCATGGCCTCATCTGGCCAATGAATGAGTCAGACGGGGCGGGGCAGAGCTGATGGTGGACTGATTGATAATCTCTAGTGTGATCAGATAAGATGATCAGAAGCCGCAAGCTGGAAAGTCCCGGGTCTTTTTGCTGGGTAAAACGGGGGCCACATGGCAAAATGGCGCGCAAAGAATTGTCTGTCCACTGTCCACTGTCCACTGAAAAATGGAGAGCAGCCGCAATGGGGCTACGAGGTTTTGGTGGTTCGTTTTTGGGTGCTGCAAGGGGGGAGGCTCGGAGATACGGGCTGCCAAGCGAGCTGTCCGCGTATCCGCATCCTGTCCGTTAGTGCTAATATATACGAGTACAGGACGGGCACCATCACTACTAGATAATATAGATACATGTGTATTTGCACCAACGAAACAGATAAAACTCCAAGAAAAATCGACCAAGAAATGGCCAAGAGATAGAGCAGACGATCACATCACGGATCAGATAACTCCGCTTGGCGCCCAGCACAGCTTCTCTCTCCACATCCAACTCGGTCTTCTTTCTGCCGACGGTTTCCTGCGCTGTCACCCACGAGGCTCCATCGTCCATCCCAGTTTCAGCCTCGGCGCTTTGCTTTGCCCTTAGCCCATACGCGGGTTTTTTTTTTCCCTCTCCTCTTTAGCCGTGCTATTTCCTCTGCGATGACGGAAACCGAATAATCCCAGGAACCCCCCCTGCAAGCCATAGGAAATTTTTTTCGTTTCGTTTTGCTTTATTGGGGTCGACCCATCCCATGATCACGACTAGTGAAGGGAGTGGAGCCACACGCAGCCTTCAAAAACTAAACTTCTTGACAAACTTCCCCATCAAGCTTATCTGATCCGAGTCGGACCAAGAGCCCGGCTGTTGAATTGGGCCGGCTGAGACCCTTCACCATTTCTTTGGTCTTATTGCTGCCGACACCGCCGACCTCCCCGTCTGTCCATATCCTTTGTATGAGTCGATATCCCCTCGTCTCTCCTCTCTCTCTTCCCCCGTGCTCTCCATCCTCTCGTCTCTGCTCGCGATAGTGCTTCCGCAATGGCCAAGGACGTCTTCTCAGTCCCCGTCTTCCTCGTCGTCTTCCGAGAGACGCTGGAGACGGTCATCATCGTTTCCGTCCTGCTCGCCTTTCTGAAGCAGACGCTCGACGGCCCCAATGCCGACCGCAAAGTCTACAAGAAACTGCGAGCGCAGGTAAGGAGGCGCTTTCTGCTTGTTTCTCCTCTTCTGTTTGGGGGAGAGGCACCTTTTGGAATCCTTTCCCGCTAATGCGCCGGCTATAGATCTGGGTCGGCGTCGCAACTGGCTTCCTGCTATGTATGATCATCGCCGCTGCCCTCATCGGCGTCTTCTACACCGTCGGCAGAAACACCTGGGACAAGAGCGAGCAGTACTATGAAGGCGCCTTTTCCCTCGTCGCCTCCATCATCATCACCATCATGGGCGCTGCGCTGCTCCGCATCGGTAAGATGCAGGACAAGTGGCGCGTCAAGCTCGCCAAGGCCATTGAGTCGCCCATCAAGTTCAAGTCGAACCGCGGATGGTTTGCCCAGGCCATGGAAAAGTACGCCATGTTTTTCCTGCCCTTCATCACCGTCTTGCGTGAAGGTATCGAGGCAGTCGTGTTTATCGCTGGTGTGACTTTCTCGGCTCCGGCGTACGCTGTGCCTCTTCCCGTTGTCATTGGTCTCCTTGTCGGTGCTGTCGTCGGATATCTCCTGTACAAGTAAGTGAAGCCTTTTGTTCCTCTCCCATTGGGCAATGGGCGGTGCCGTGTCTAATACATGCTTATAGGGGAGGCTCATCGGCCAAGTTGCAATACTTCCTTGTCGCGTCTACTTGCTTGCTGTACCTCGTTGGTGCCGGTCTGTTCTCGCGTGCCGTTTGGTCCCTTGAACAAGGAAAGTGGAACAAGGCTGTCGGCAGCGACGCCTCCGAGCTTGGCTCTGGCCCTGGATCATACGACATTGCCAAGACTGTGTGGCACGTTAACGTAAGTAGCGCACTTAATAGATACATAGGCAAACATGAAGGACAGGAAGGCTAACAGTGGCTCTCAAATAGTGCTGCAACCCCAACGTTCCCAACAACGGCGGCTGGGGCATCTTCCAGGCCATCCTCGGCTGGACCAACTCTGCCACCTATGGTTCCGTCATTTCATACAACCTCTACTGGATCTTCGTCATGGCCTCGTTTATTCTCATTAGGTTCCACGAGACCAAGGGACGATGGCCCTTCCAGAAGGCCAAGCCTGCCGTGCCCTTGGACACAGAGGCCCGCAGTGGAAGTGAAAGCAACGATGGCGTTGTTGAGTCCAAGAACGTGTCGGAAAAGACGACAGCTGTTAACTAAAAAGGAGAAAAGTTGTAGCCGGGGATGGTATAAGAGGAACACGCTGCTGTGATATAAATGATCTGTCCTCCGATAAAGTTATCCGTAATGAACATGATAAATATACCCTCATTCAAACATTCTATGGATTCGTTGTGCTTAAAAGGGAAAATAAAACCAAAAAAAAAAGTCCTTGCGACATTGTCCATTGCCGGCATACCTATACAGGTTCAATCCCAAATCTGCCAAGTGGTCAATACACGTACCAGACGCCAAAACGTAAGACCTTGTTCCTGCTCAATCACCTGCTAGGCCTCAGGCGTCCAATCCCACGAGTTCGCCGTAAACAGGCTTTTGGACACTCTGTCAGTATACATGGCGCCTTCGTAACGAAGCCGCTGGTCGTTCGCCACCGCCCTGGTAAAGACGAACTTTGAGCCTTCATAGTCATACTCTGACTCTCGGCTGTCTCTGAGAATTGTCCACGACACATCGGAACGGCGCTTCTTCCAGTCAGCATGCGCGATGGAAGTGCCACTTGCGGACAGCATGGCCCGGATGTAGTCGATGATTGGCTCTATGCGAATTCTCAGCCCGCAGTTTGTGTGGTGCTTATCGACCTGGTAACTGGGGCATTGTTTCAGGGTAGCAAGGAGCTCGTCGATGTTAATCATGGCGCCATCGGGTACTGCATTCAGAGACGATGGGGTGAAGTCAACCAGGAATAACAAGTTCTTGGAAGTCAAGAACTTGAGCATCTGGCCGAGCTGGAATGAGTCACACGCAGCGCTAGAGTCGTATCCAAGCTTGCATTGCCGCTCCTTGGAGCAGTATAAATCGAGAAAGTGGCGTTGGACAGATGCAATGGTATTCAAGACGCACTCTCTCCTATATTGCAATTCCTCTGTAGTTTGTTAGTCAGCTCTTTTTATTCTCAATACTTGATATCTGAACCGTCCATCACTCACCCTCGATGCCATCAGGCAAATACCACCATGCAGCTGTAAGCTCCTCGCGCTCTTCACTGTACTCGCTCCATAGGCGAGATCCTCGAGAAATCAGCTCTCGTGCTGCCTGGTGCAGCTTCATGCCGTTTCCAAGAAGCCAGGAGACGAGAATCTTCTCGCGAAGCGTCTGCTCGACGTCGGTATGGCGGCCACTCTCGTCAGTATAGTTCCTCGTAGTTGTGACTGGCCAACGGATTCCGTTAAGAGACCGGGCCACGATGGTGATGCAGTCGAAGCGGTCTGCAAGAATGGCCATTGTAGCCACCTCTGGCATGGCCGCCCTCGCCACCTTGGGCGGCTTCTGGTGGATGATCCTCAGGATGTCCTCGAATGCGTGCTCGCGGCCCGCCGCCCTGGTGGCCTCGTCGTCATCCGTGATGGTGATCCATGGCAGATCTGCGGCGTCTGCGTCCGCCGGCTTCACCTTCCTGGTCGCAAGCTTCTTGTGCGCCTCCTTGATGAGGCCGGCCTCTCGAAACTGCGAGTTGGACAGCAGGTTGGCAAAGTACTGCGAGTGCTTCTTGAGGGCGTCCTGGTTGACCCGGTACGCAACCCGGACCTTTGTCTTGAGCACGGCCTGGGGGGCGACGCCAGGCTTCTTGGGCGCATAGGCCGAGGCTTTACGAGACTTCCTGAGCGTCTCCTTTGACGTTTCGAAGGTCACGTCTAGCACGATATCGCCGGCATCGGCGACGACGATGACATCTGGGCGCTCTACTTTGGGGCTTGCCGCCGCCGCCGCCGCTGCTGCTGCTGCTTCTCCCTCTGGCTCTGCGGGTGCTGCCGCAGACTCGCCCATGCTTCAAACAGAAACGACACTATCGACATACAATACAGAACAAAACAACAGTCAAGGACAGGACAGGACAGGACAGGACAGGAAACAAATTCTGACGGGCCAGCCGGTCGAGATTTGCTGAAGCAGCGGACGAGGACCTGCAGGTACAAGCGACGGCTGTCGTCCAGTAGCATATCAGCAAGTCCCTATCCGGCCAGTCCCTGATGCCTAAGCCGCAATGCTGGGTACGAGTACATGCGTTCCATTTTTATTTTTAATTTTTTAATTTTTTTTAAATGCCAGCAATTTTCAGTTAAATCACTGACTCGATGCCTGGGTCAGATCCAAAAGGCGGCTAGTGCCATCTCGCCGCTGGAGGCTAAGCACCGCAAGGCATCAATCATGGACAGGATTACTCATTGGTGTTAGGGGACGGAGGTTTATTCAGGCTGGCGCTTGTAAGAGTACCTGATGTAATAGTGGACAGGCACCAAAGTTACAGCGGTCGAGCTCCATTCACGATGCACTGTTTGAGAGCCTGCAGGGGCCCCCGGCAGATCAGTCGGAAATGATATCAGTCCTGTGCTGTTGATCTGGCTGCCTCTGCTCGGGTGTCGATGCAGATGGCTGTTTGGGCTGTGAATGTACGAGTATACTATGTATGTACTTCTGCGCACATACACTTGCCTCCAATTAAATGCCATCCATCATAATGATTCACCAAATGCATGCACAAAAAGCGCATTTAGAGGAACTATGTGTATAGGTCATGTAGGTTCTTGGCTGTAGCATTTTAAACTCAATGGCTCTCACTGAAGGGTGGATTCAATTCAGCCCAACAACAGCACTGCCAAGCGCCCTGTTATGTAAACTTCCGAGCAGAACACTGTTAGCAGCAACTCATTCCCTCAACTACATGCCGCCTCTCAAGTGATTCTCCTCTTGCACTCGTTTATAGATATTTCCCTATTATTATAAATTTCCCTCGCAGCCCGACCACAGCTCTCTTCTTTCTCCTTTCCCAAGTCCTCCAACAACAGCAGACCTTCCTTGTTGAGCCGAGTACAACCGTTGGACTATCCGACGACTAACCTCTCTGGCCTGAGACGACCATCTTCCTCTGCTTCTCCAACAGCGAGCCCATGGCTCTGAGCAGCAGCAACTTGACAGCGATTCGACTTCGAAAGCGACACCGAATGCCTGGGCTTGCGGATCTCGAGCATCGGCCAGCGCACACAGTCAACAATGGCCAACCTGGCAAATAAAGCGCTGTGCTCAGCATCGAGAGTTGCCGCACACATCTCGCCCGACACTGTCGCGATCCAGACGATACCGGCCACACTGCGAGCCGCCTGCCCAGGGGCCCCCCAGAACCCACTAGATGATGCCAGTCGGCTTGGGAACGAGAGCACAGTTAACCGTCGACGGCCATGTTCGACCTCAGCAGCGCGCGCAATTCTGCATCCCGCTCTGCCTTGGCGATGCGGAGCCCGCGGGGTATCTCGCGACACCCTCCTAAACCTGCCTCCAAGAATCAGATATGGCCAACCAGCTACCAGACGAGGCTTCCATACGTACTTCGTCACCCATCTTCCGTCTTCCTCACTACATCCAGACTCCGGCCGATTTCATGGGCCTGGCCACAAGCTGCCGCGCGATGCCTCGGAGCCACACACCCAGAGCCCTGGATCTGCTCCTGCTGTGTCGATACCAAACATGCCCATTCGAGATATGACAGTCGTTCGAATCCCCTTGCGGCGAGCCAAGCACCACTTTGGCACAGCGACTGCACGAGGAAATCGACCATACAATGAGGATGCGGACCAGGCGGGGATAGTGAACATGCCTGCTTTTGCAAAGAGGGCACCGACGAGTGTCAAGCAGAAGCCCGGAGAGCCGACCGTGGCAGGCAGCACTCTTGGAGATCCACAGATATTCTACTTTGGGGTTTTTGATGGGCACGGGGGAGTTCAATGCTCTCATTTTCTGCGTGATGAGCTCCACGGATACATTGAAGAAGCAGCAGCGGAGTTTGGCCTGCAAAGCAGCTTGCGCAAAAAGAACCCTTGGGAGGTCACCAGCCGGATGGTGACCCGAAGACAGGCTCTCGATAACGTAAGAATGAAAGGGCCCAACGAGGTGAAAGAGGATGCCGAGCTTCCCAGTCGCGAGGGCGATACAGGATTTGTCAAAGCTCCACGGCATGGAGATCCTCTTCCCAGTGCCAAGTCGGAGCCGGTTGAGGTATCAGATTATAAAAAGGCCATCAGTCTGAAGAAGGGCCTTGTGCAAGACTATAGGGCCTCGATTGGAGGATACTTCCGCCGGTTTCAACCAGAGCACTTTAATCTCTCGGATGATGGTGACAACAATACCATCTCAATTGAAGAAGCCCTCGAGTACGCATTTCTCCGCGCCGACTTGGATTTCGTCTCCGCCCAGGCCCGAAAAGTTGATCCGGATGATTCGAGAGTTAGTGACAGGCCTGTGAATAACGACGAGATATTGGGCAAGCCTCATGCAACGCCGTCGGGCCACTCCATTGGTGGCACTACGCGGTTCAAGGGAGGCTCCACCGCATCCATTGTACTCATCTCGACGCCTACTCCCGCACCGTTCTGGCATCCTGGTGCCCATTCGTCAATCATTGTGGCGCATGTCGGTGATACCCGTGTGCTGCTGTGCGATACCGCGACGGGCCTCGCTCAGCCCCTGACATCGGATCACCATCCCACCACGCCTGGTGAAAGCAGACGCTTGCGTAGGTACGCCCCAGCTGGCTCCATGGTTTCTGGCGATAGTTTCGGAGAGGAACGCATTGCAGGGCTAGCCAACAGCCGGGCTTTCGGCGACATCAAGAGCAAGCGCATAGGCGTCTCTGCAGAGCCGGAAATCACCAGGGTAGAGCTTGGCCCCGCTCAGTATTCCTTCATCGTCCTCATGAGCGACGGCATCTCTGGCACTCTTAGCGACCAGGAGATTGTGGACGTCATCAAGGAAGCCAAGACCCCTGAGGAGGGCGCTCGCCGTGTTGTCGATTACGCAACCGAGGTTTCTGATGATGGCGACAATGCGACGTGCCAGGTCGTGCGGCTGGGGGGCTGGGAGCGTCGGTCTGAAGGCGGCCTGGGCAGTCTTGGGACCAAGGAGTTTAGAGATGCTCGTCGTGCGGAGGCTCAAGACCCGCGACGACGACGCGGGAAGCTATAGGAATAAGACGAGGACGGAGGTTACGTTATTTGCTGTTAGATGCATACAGGGAGTGGATTTTTCTTTCTTTCTTTTGTCTCTTTCTTTCCCCCTTTTCTTCTCCTTTTTTTCCTTTCTTCCTTTCTTCCTTCTTTTTTTTTTCTTTTCTTTCTTTTCGTTCTGCGGCTGCATAAAGAACAGCGAGTCCTTGCTTGAGATTTTTTAAGCATATACAGGCGTATATACACTGTATAGCGTGGATTAAGGCCGGACGGAGTTTAAAGGCTTGCATCGAGGGTTTGGAATGGCGGCTGTGTGATATGTATACTCTGATTTTTATTTGTCTTATAGTTTCTTTTGTAACCTTTCTATAATCTAAAGGATCAGTTTCGGATAAGATAGCAGAGCAAAGAGTGGCCACCGGGGAAAATCAAGTCATAAATATGCTTCTTATATGAAAGGCAAGGTTTAAGAAAATGCAATGCAAGAACGTATATTCATGAGCTCCTCATTCAATGTAGACAATGTGGTATTTCATATCCCCGACACCTCCAACTTGTACTACTTGGCCATCCTCTTTATGTTTACTAGACGGATAGCGACAAAAACCTCCGGAAACGTACACGGTTCAGACAAAAGCTTCCAATATCCAACATACAAATCCCTCGGCTCTAGAAACATTCTGAAATCCCAAAGTAAGGAATGCTACACTTAGTAGCCGTGTCGATGTTCATGTTGAGAGCCCCAGGAAGGCGGTTGGTCCTGGTGGCCTTGACCCTGATAGGGAGCATACTGCGGCTGAGCTGGGCCACCGTATCCATGATGAGACTGGCCCTGTGCCCATTGATCCCCGCCGCCGTATTGCGGTTGCTGTTGGTGGTGATACTGCTGTTGTTGATACTGCGGCTGATGAGAACCATATTCCTGCTGCGAATGCTGTGAATGCTGCGATTGGCTGTGATAGCCTTGGTGATAGCCAGAGGACTGACTATGAGATGATTCCGTCTGAGACTGTGAATGGTACGAAGAGCTCTCTCCATAACCATAGCCTCCTTGAGCCGGTGGTGAGTAGCGAGAAGGAGGAGCTGGAGAATTGGAAGTATAATTCAAAGCTGGGTTTCCATCACGGCCCTCCATGGAGTTCAAGTCTCGAGTCTTGACTTGCTCCCAGAGAGACCCAGACACTTTACCATGACCAAGCTGCGTCACTGTATTCCATGCGTCATGAGCGTGGCCGCTCATACCACCCTTCGTCTTCTGGTTGAGAATGTGGTTCTTGCCCTGCTTGACAGAATCTGAGGAGAGCAGATGGTCGAGTTCATGGCGACGAGGATGCTCGTTGGCCCAGGTCTGAACGGTGCGGAACATGTCTCGTTGGATCTGAATGTGCTCATCACGAAGGGCGGGATGGTGAAATGCCCTTAGAACGTCATTGACAACTTCATCGACGGGTACATTGGTGTTCTCCCATGCGTAGAGAACGCGACTTTGACAATGATTGTTAGAAAACGGAATCCTGTATACGGAGGAATACGATACTTACGGAACGGTGTACTGGAGAATTGTAGCTGCAATCCGCCCAGCACAGGAGTTTAGGACATTGGTGAAATGGTCCTTTGACAACATCGAGTGTGTTGGGTCCGAGCTTCTTGGGTTATCCCACGGCTCGAATTGGGAATTGGCACTGGCACTGATGACGCCGGAGGAGCCATCCTTTAGCACCTTTGAGACCTGGTTGATGATGGGCCGAATAAAGGGTGCGAGAAGGCCGAGAATAAACGCAGTCAGCGTCTCGCTAATATGCTCGAGGAGTTTCTCGAGGCCAGGGATCTTTTCGATTCCACGGCTAATGGCTTTCACAATCCTATCGCGAAACTGCAAGATGGGATAGATTTGTCTTGCAGTCTTGACCGGATCGAAATTTGGGCTCATACCGGGAACCACGTTAGTGTTCCCCCCAGCACGAGATCGTGACTCATTTTCTCGCTCCTGGGCATCAGACATGGCCTTGAGCTCCCTAGCTTGAGCAGCGAAACCTGTTCCATCGCCAGGGATCTTGGCGATGAGCGAGATGAAATCCTTCGGGGCGGCGATATCCAAAAAGCCCCTGGAAGCGCCTCCACCGCTACCGGAGGTAGAGGCTCCAGCGTTCAGGAGAGCAACGTCGACCTCGTCGACCTCAGATTGGGTGAAGTGGTCATTTGCCTCGCCGATGACGGAATGTAAGAAGTCAACACCGCCAAACGTACCGGTCACCAGGGGATAGATGCGTTTTCCTCGGACTGTGATTTCGGCTTGGGTGCCGCAGTGTGGGAAAACGCTTCTATGTCCTAACTCACGGAGGGCCAGCTCGCAGTAGTTGCTGTGGGCACTGAAGTCCTCCATGCAGTGAAGGGCCTGACCAAGGCATCTGAGCGCTTCACACAGGTCTGCCTCCTTGCCGCTCTGTGATCCACTGGTGTAGAGACGGCCAAAGTGAATGCTTCGAGCGAAGCTGTATCGGAGATAGCCGGCACTGGTAGCCCATCGTCCGTTCTCATTAGCAATGTAGTTCTTCATACCAGTGTGTGGATCGATGTCAATCTCTATGGGATCAACCGGACCACGGAGGCGAGGGTCGAGTGTTCGAGCGTCAATGCCATCTGCATAGCCCTTAGGGTTGTCAATGTGCTCCTCCGGGCGGTAGCAACCCAAGCGTTCTTCGGTTACCTCAAATTCCTCCGTGGCGTAGCCAAAGGACATGAATGAGAGGATCCAAACCTTTGACCCGGATTATTATTAACAAAGAATTTTCGTCTCATCATCGGGAGTGCAGTTTCCTACCAAAATGCGAATTGTGGGAGCGTTGACGCCCTTGAGGGAGCCGACATCGACAGCTTGTGAGTAGTCACGGAGCCAATTACCAAAGTACGTTCTCTTGACAAGCATAGATGTCCATTTCTTGCCGTGTAGGAAGGCAATGCTTGTCAGCATGTCCTCAATATCTAAGACCGGAGAGTCAGTTTGCCCATAGAGATATACCACATGACATGTTGTGTCACCCACCTCCATGGCGCCAGTTGTGTCCCTCAACCTGAAACTCGTGAGCTTCTAGATGCCATATACACTTCCACAGTGAATCCAAGTACAAACCTGTGCAATCGACGGAATATTACCCGCTCCAAACGCAGCTGCTTTTGATGGTAGCAGCACGAGACAAATGCACAACACCAGCAACCAGGTGCCCCGCGGAGGTGAAAATGACGCCATGATGCAGCCGAGATGGCGGGGCAATGTCAAAGAAAAAAACGGTCGACTCAGCTTTGGACTGTCTCGAAGGTCGATGCCGAGAACGATAATGGAGGCTCTTTTATTTCCTTCTTTTACCAAATCAAGCTGTCGTCATTCGTATGCTGCAGGTCGGACTGGCTGCCTCCTCTGTTTGTTTTTGTTTGGAGCTACCTGTTAGGTAAGGTAGCGTGAGCTTCAGCAAGCCACGATTTGTGGGAGCCACACTTGCACATGATAATTTTGACTGGCTCAATGAGAAAGTGGCGTCGCACAGCCACATGTCTATGATAAAGTCTCACGTCAAAGCGCGCGAATCCTGTGCCTTGGCAGGGAGACTAATGTGCCTCCTACTAAATGCCGTGTGGTAAGCTTGATTTTTTTTTTTCTCTTTGCGGTGAGATTCAATTATGCGCGCGACAAGTGTTGGCTTACAGTGTGTGAGAGTGTGACGGTACTCCATACTCCATTCAGTAAACAATCATCCATGAAATCAACAGTCATGGTTCGGATACTTCGGTATCACAAGCAAAAGGGAAAAATGTAGCGCGATGCCCCTGATATTGATATTGACATTTATGGGCACTTGCTTCCACGCACGGGATTTCCAGGTGCCGAAAGCTGCCATGGCTAAAAGAGGAAATTCGGATAGGCTATATAATATCCTATGCGGAGTTATCGTCAAACGTTGGGAAACAGACACAATGTACTTGTACCTCTGCTACTCCACTGGAAACGGTACCCTGATGACGAAGCAGTACTAAAGAGGTACCTACCTATCCATCTGTCAAGTACATACCTCAAGGCCATCTCATCAATGGATCTTCTTTGTCACCGTAACCGTTCTATACCTAAGGTACCTAGGTACCTAGGTATCCAAGTATTATAGGTACTCCGTACTGTATGTACAAACTCGTCTCTGGGTCGTCGGTATTCGGAGACTGCAAGCTACATCCACTTTGCGATTTTAAATTGGATAAAATTTGTTTATGGAATACAGAGCAATAAAAAACGGATAAAGTATAGTGGTGTGACTTTTGGTGTGCTCTCTGCTGAGGTTCCGTGGTAACGCCACTCTCAGCGCTCGGACTTGTTGCGGGACATCAGTAGCGTGTCAGGGACCCTCAAAAATTAATCATCGGGGCTCCTAGAAACCCGCCGCCCATCCGATCTTCAGTAAATCTCCCGGCCCCTAATAAATCCTGCACTTCGTTTCCATTGCTTTTTCTCGACAGCGTGGTGACAGGTGCTTTGCCTTCACATTCAAATCCCTTTTCCTTCTTTTAGGTTTAAGCCTTAGATCTGGCTTGCTGTCAGATGCGCCAATCCTTCTTCTCTTAACTTTCAATCGCAGTGTCGCTTTTGGTCTGCCCCATTTGTCTTCATTAACGCCACCTCATCCCTGCCCGCCTTTTCGAGCTTCGCAACAGCACGACAAAATGCCTTCCAAAAAGCTCCCTACATTTACGCTCGCCGAAGTCGAGGCACACAACACGGGGAAATCCTGCTATGTCACTATCGGCACCAAGGTCTACGATGTCACCGAATTCCTGCCCGACCACCCCGGTGGTGACCAGCTCATCGTCGACTACGCTGGCAAGGACATCGAGGACATTATGAAGGACAGTGTTTCGCACACACACACTGAGGCTGCGTACGAGATTCTTGACGAGGATTTTCTTGTTGGCCTTGTCGTTTCTGAGAAGAACGAGGCCGCCGATGAAAATGACACAGCCAATGGCACGGCCAATGGTACGGCAAATGGCCAGCCGTATGTGCACCCAAGAACGGGCATGGCTACCGAAGAGGATCTCAGTAAAGACACGGACTATTCACAGGATTACAAGAAACACAAGTTTTTGGACCTAGGCAAGCCCCTGTTTCCCCAGCTCTGGTACGGAAACTTCTCCAAGAGGTTTTATCTCGATCAAGTGCACCGTCCACGCCACTACAAGGGTGGCCAGTCTGCTCCCCTCTTTGGAAACTTCCTGGAACCTCTTTCGAAAACCCCGTGGTGGGTGATTCCAATGCTCTGGCTTCCCTGTGACGCATACGGTTCATTTGTGGCCTTCCAAGGTTTCGAAAACCCCATCTTTTTTGCCGCATACTGGATCCTTGGCTTCTTTATTTGGAGCCTCGTGGAATACGGTCTGCATAGATTCTTGTTCCATCTTGACGAGTATGCTATCTCTCCCTATCCTAAGCTATCCTGGTGGCCTATTGCTGACTATAACACAGCTACCTTCCTGACAACCGATATGGCATTATTGCGCACTTCTTGCTCCACGGCATTCACCACTACCTGCCAATGGACAAGTACAGACTGGTCATGCCCCCAACCATGTTCTTGATCCTTGCAACTCCCTTTTGGTATCTCGCTCATACCATTTTCGCCTACAACTGGTTTGCCGCAACCTCAGTCTACTGCGGCGGAATTTTCGGTTACATCTGCTACGACATGACCCACTACTTCCTTCACCACGAGAATCTGCCTCTCTGGTATAAGGAGCTCAAGAAGTACCACCTGGAGCACCACTTCCTCGAATACGAGCTTGGCTTCGGTGTTACCACCAAGTTCTGGGACAATGTCTTTGGCACAACGCTGAAGCCCAACGTTGTCAAGACCCAGTAAATTCTAAGTGAGGCACGTACATATGTACCTACTTTTGCGAGCCCCTTTCATGAGGGTTCATGCTACAAAATCCGTTCTTTTCTCCAATCCTTTTGGCTCTGTTTCGTATGGGATGGGGCAGGCTTTGGTTAACATGAAATTTGAGAGTATTCATTATTACGAACATGGGCAGATGTTTTCACGAGGTTGCTATGAGCATGGGGAGAGGCAAAGTTTCTAATGGCTGCTGATACGGGTTACGGATGAATATGGAGATTCACGAAGATGGGGTCTAATGGCGACACTAAAAATAACGAATGTGGACTTGTAGATATCATTACACACTTTTAATTCCATGACTACATAATACTGTTACTATGAAAATGTTAGTTATCACTAATACATATCGTCTAATATGTAACACAGAGGATTGAAAACTTCTAACCCCAAGCCCATTATCCATTGGCTCCTGAAGCAGGCTATAATAAGGTAGGCCTGCAAATTGAATGAATCCCTTTTCAGGGTTTATGTAATCAAAGACAACGCAAGCGGCGAAGCCACTCACGTGACTCTGTCTCAGCCAGATGCCCAAGGAGAAACTCTCCGTGCTGAAACCTGAAATCCCAACTCGCTGGGGGCTTTCTAGTCATTGATCTCAACCACGACGTCGTCGGCTTGAGGAACCGCAGTTACAAACACTTTTATACTCGCAAGCTACTGTTGGTGATATATTTCCTCAAACGCTAGCAATTCCTCCTTTTTCAACCATTGATCGCCAGGGCAGTTCATCGTCATGTCTAATCTAGATGTTGAGGCGCTGCTCGACGCCACGGCTAAGAATTCAGAGAAAAAGCCGAAGAGCCCTGATGCTGAACGTTCCAAAGATGATGGTAAATCTGATAGGCGAGATAGAGACTCCGACCGCGATCATGGCCGAGAACGTGATGGCAGCCGTGTGAGAGACAGAGATCGAGACTACGACCGTCGCCGCCGAGATCGTCGAGACTACAGCCTTACTCGAAGCCGTCGAGAAACGCCTGATGCGGGCACTCCCCGTAGCGACACTGGTAGCCACAAAAGTAGGCGGAGAAGCAGGAGTCGTGATGATGACCGCCGTCACTCACGCCGTCACAGAGACGGCGACTATTATCGAGGTGGACGACGCTCGCGTTCCCGTTCGCCCCCTCGACACTATCGCCCTCGCGATGATCGCGATCGCCGAGACCGACGAGATCGATCCGACCGTTATTCCAATAATGACTACGGCCGTGGCCGAGATGATGAGCGCAATGATGCCCGCAATGAGGGAGGTAATGCCCCGCTCACGGAAGACGAGCGAGATCGGCGCACCGTCTTTGTCCAGCAGCTTGCTGCTCGGTTGCGGACTCGTGAACTGAAAGAGTTTTTCGAAAAGGTCGGAGCTGTTAATGAGGCTCAGATCGTGAAAGATCGAATCAGCGGACGCTCTAAAGGGTAAGTCGCTTTGAATACGTCTTCGCTGACCCTCTTGCATACATTGCTAACATGTTGCCAGCGTCGGCTACGTTGAGTTCAAAAATGAAGATTCGGTTCAGCTAGCCCTCCAACTTACCGGACAGAAACTCCTAGGCATCCCTGTCATCGTACAGCACACGGAGGCCGAGAAGAATCGCCAAGCTCGCAACCCAGACGCATCGAATGGCCATCCCAATTCCATTCCATTCCACCGCCTCTATGTAGGCAACATTCATTTCAACGTCACGGAGCAAGATTTGCAAGCTGTATTTGAGCCATTCGGAGAACTTGAGTTCGTTCAGCTCCAAAAAGACGACAATGGACGCAGCCGTGGCTATGGATTTGTTCAGTGAGTCATCTAACCCCTTTTCCAAATTTGCCGTCACAACAAAAGAAAGCCAACTAATGTTGATTTCCTCTCTTAGATTCCGAGATGCTGGGCAAGCTCGCGAGGCCCTGGAAAAGATGAACGGCTTTGACTTGGCTGGTCGTCCTATTCGTGTTGGCCTTGGCAACGATAAGTTTACCCCTGAGAGCACTGCCAACCTAATGCACAAATTTTCCGGTAATAACCAGGGCTTCCAAGGCTCTGCGTTCTCCGGAGCAGGTGGCCGTGGTCAGCAGTCTGCATTCGATCGAGCTGGTGGCCGCGATAGCGAAAAGACTGGTGGTGCTAGCGCTTTGGATGATACAGACGTTGCTGGCGTCAACTTTAACAACTATAGTCGCGATGCATTGATGAGAAAGCTTGCCAGGACAGACGAAGCCCCGACCAACGGCAACGACGAACGCCAGCAGATTCTCAAGCCCAAGACGGAGACGAAACCCCTTCCTGTCAACGTAAACATGGCGAGCCGCTGTGTCGTGTTGCACAACATGTTTGACCCCACAGAGTAAGTATTTGATTCGTTATCTCGATGCAATTTGCACTCGCTAACGGTGAAACAACAGAGAGGAGGGCGACGACTGGGTCAAAGAGCTCGAAGACGAAGTTCGCCAGGAAGCCGAAGAGCGGTATGGACATGTCGTCCATATCTCGGTCGATCCGAACTCCAAGGGAGATATTTATCTCAAGTTTGACAAAGTCCAAGGCGGCGAAAATGCCATCAAGGGTCTCAACGGTAGATACTTTGGCGGCCGAATGATCGACGCGTCACCTGTTGTAGACGCCGTCTACAGCAGTTTGTTCTCTCGCACCCGGGCAATCTGAAGCTAATGCTCTCCTATTCACATTGTGCAATCTAGGAACTTGGAGGTTGGTAACTAGTCTCATGAATAGAATCCCCAGAGTCTCTTATTAACCCACTGGCAGTCGTCCCTACGCCACCTGTGCAAGCTTTCCAGAACGATTCCCGCTATCGCAGAATAGCATCGAGAAGCAGGTTACACCTTTTGTCCAACCGAATACTAAAACAGCCAAGCTCTTTTGGTGCAGCAGATTTCTTGAATCACGGGGCGCCTTGGTCGCCAACTTTTGTCCATTTAATAATGCGTTTTAGCACCTCTTCACATGGCAATGTCCCAAACTGATGTTTGTGTGCCTAGGACGGTCATCGGTAGTCGTTTTGGCCTTGAAAATCGTTTTCCAAAATCGTGTAGGATTAGTTCTGATACCGTAGCAAATAGTAACAACAAAACTTTTTAGAGTATACAATACATCTGAATCACGATGAATCTTCTGATTAACCAGCTTGGAATGGGCATTGTGCGCAACGAGAAAGACACTGCTGCTGTTGACGCTCGCGGGTATGAATATCCACGTCCATCATATCCATCTTGCTACGGTGCTTCACTTGCTTCACCTGCACTCTCTTTACTCATTTTTGTCTCCTATCTTTGAACCATCTACTAGATGCCTCATTCCTTGGGCTTCGGGGGCTGTGAAGGCGTTTAAGCAGCACCGCGTGCATGTGTGTGTCATGACACGTGATGGCAGTTGACTCTCTCCCTCCTCACTTTTTGGCTCTGTTTGCTTCTTCACTTCTCCCTCACTTCTGGGGCGAGCCACCTAATATTAATATCTAATCTATTAATTCACTGTGCAGCCAATCACGGCACTGTTACTCTCAAAGTACCATCTTCTCTACCATCTCCCCAATTCTTCTCAATGAGGCACCTCCTTCTCGGCTTCTTGCAGGCTCCTTGGTGGCGGTTCAGGAGAAGCCCCACGGCCGGCAGAAAACTTGCCGGAGTTGCAGCACTCGACATTGACGGCCTCACATCTTCACTTTGGACTCACTTCGCACTCGGCACTTGGCCTGCTGGTCGCATTTTTATGGCGTGATTCTTTGGGGTGCCAGAAGTTTCGCGTTTGCTTTCCTTCACCTTCTACCTTCTTTCTCCTCCCTGCCTCGACACCCCGGCTGGAGATATTCCACATCCTCAGCATTTCCTTAGGAAAGGATTCACATACTTTTCAAGAGTATCGACATTCAAAGTCAGGGTTCTCTTTCAGTGGGCATTTTCCTTTTTTCACTTTCGCATCTACGCGGCCCTTTTCGTTTTGGCGTACTTGGACAGGTTCTACGGGGTTGGTGTCCACAGCTCAAGGGGCATAATTCTCAGGTCTGTTTTCTCCCAAATCGCATTGCTGATGTGTTTTCTTCGAGATATCATTCACTCAGCTGGGCCCTTTCGTCTGTTCCCTGGTCAAAAGCACACTACCATTCTAGCTGCTATCGTCATTGCCATTTTGCGTTGCAATTTGCATTCACTGGGCAACCATCCATAATACTAACGCGATAACAGTACAAACGAACGTCTCTTTGTTTATTGCAGACCTGCTCATCAATCATTTTCTTTTGGATTTCCCCTCTACTCTCGCACTCCACGTTGATAGTGACGGATCCCTTTTCACTCTTCCTCTTCGAAGAGAATGATCTGGGGAGATATCGGAACCCTTGCAGTAGAAAAAGGCTTCAATACCCGCGACTCATCGATCAGCTCAGCTGATTCAAGTATTCAGGGAGCTGCAGAAGTGATTGGAAACATGTTGTCAGTCAACTTTTCCACTCCGCTCACTGGGCCTGCCCGGTCCGAGAGGATTAAACAAATGTCTAATAACCACGTAAGTGTTTTTGCTCATCTCACAGTGGCCAGTAGCTAACCAGCTGTTGTTATGAAGCCCGCATACGAGAAATCGCGTATAACGCAGGAGATCTTAGTCAAGATACAGCACTCGCTGAGGCGAATGCCTGGTGTTTCAGCAAAGGAATCGGCCGAAATCATTCAAAGTCTAATAGAAGTTGGCCAGGTCATCAGTCAGGAAACGAGCGCACTCGTTGAAGCCGTGATGAACCTTCATCTCGATCAAGAAGATACAGATAAGGCGATTGCTAGGATGAGCATCGAAGCCAACCTTGCCAAGGCCAGAACGGATGACCAGAGCCAGACAATCAACAGCCTCCGCGAAGACCTCAAGGTCGAAAAGGAAAAAAGGGAACAGGCTGAGTCTACCCTCAAAAATACGATGGAGGGCATCGCGGACATCGCCGCCGAGTTTAAGCAGTTGAGAGACAAGGCTGACAGGCAGAAAACTGACTCTCTCGATAACAATTCACCATCTGCTACCGGCGATTTCATCCTAAAGGTAGGGCCCTCCCAACCCGATGGTGAACAGCTGAGTTGGGCTAACTGACTATTCCACGCAGGCTCTCGATAACACGATCCAAATTTTGGAAGACCAAGTCAATAAGCATCCTTTGCCTTGGGTTGGTCCTGTGACCCGAGCCATCGAGCCTGTCACCGAAACTGGCCAGGTTAGAAATGGCTATCATAGACCTCTGTTGCCTCTTCAGGAAGAGACTTCAGGAGACGGCAGCGTCTTCAATGATGCTCCGCCACCTCCCCGGGTTGCTTCGGCCTTTCAGCCCGTTCATCGCCCTCCTCCTACGGGACCACCACCGCCAAAGTTTGGCCAGTTCCAGGGCATGCCACCACGGCCTCCTACAGCCTTGTCTCATGAGCGTCGAAGCGCCAACGCATGGAATCTAGTCGCTCCTATCCAGGGTGGCAGGCCAGGCTCCTTCAACAAGCCCCAGCTCCCGGGCCCTCCTTATGGCCGAGCTCCCTCTCGCCAAGGATTCCAGAATAATCATCGCTTTCGGAGTGATAACTTCCCTCACTCTGCATTTGCTCTGCCTGAGAACCCGCCTCCTAGGCCCAACAGCGCATTTGCATACGGCCGTGACTATTTCCCTAACACCCCAACAGGTCCAGGCCGTGGCAGATACGGCGGCCGCCTGCGCGAGAATAATGCACCGCCGCCCCCTGCACTAGATTTCGGTGCCTCCTCATCAAGCGGCTCAACTTCTGGGCCTCCTAGTACCGTCGTCAACCGCAGTCCTTACACTAGTCAGCCAATCACCATCACGGAACAAACCGTCCAGGCCTGGCATGGGTATATGATGCATTTCTATGCGGCGATTCGCAACTTTGTCGAGCGTCATGCTAACAATCCCGATGTCACGGGAGAGACGAAACTGAGCCAGACTCATCTGTGGCCGATCCTGCTCGCCACGTACTTTCCCCTGTCTGAGCAGGAGGCCGAATCTTATCTCGAGTATCATGTTCGCAGCGAGAACTCCAAATCATGCATCGTCACTCGGGTCATTATAGATTTCGTTGTGAACCGTGTCTGGAATGCCAGCGCCTGGGCTGGCGCTGATGCTGACTCTACATTTGGTATCATGGAGATAGAGAGAGACTTGGATCGAACAGCAGGTAGATATCTCCCCTCATTTCCCCCTTTTAAACCTATATATAAGGAAAGTAAACTAACGCTCGATAGGTCAACCATCGGCTCTTCGCCAACCAATCCTCGACCGCATGGCCACCGTCATCGACGCCGTCATCAAGAAGGAGCAGGGCGGCCCCTTTGTGAAGAATAAAATCGAGGAAGCTACCCACACACTCCTCGCCAGCCTGCAACCCCTCATGAACAAGTTCTACAACTCTGCCGAGGCCTTCCGTGACCTGGAGCAGGTCATCGACAGCGCCTACGAGATTTCGTGCAAGATCCTCACCAGCCGCCTGACGTTCGACTTCCGCTTCCCTGAGATCGGCAGCCGATTCTCGTCCCAGTCAATGCTGCCCATTTGGCCAAATAGCGATCCGCTGGAGCTGCAGGCGAAGCACTGGCGCGTGGCCCTGGTGACTACCCCTGTGGTGACTTGCCGTAATGATACGGGCTCCAACATCTCTGCCCACTCTGTGTCTCTGGCAGACGTGTTTTGCATGCAGTGAGAAGACGTTTTGGTTGAGTGTCCGGAGGGAATAGAGGAGAGAGTGGCTATTTTAAGGTTATGAAACAAACAAAGGGATTCATTCAAAGAACCACAGGGAGAAACGGGAACCGAATTGGGTTATGGCGTTCTCTGACTTATCTGATTTCAGGTTTTACTTACTTTTAATTCTTCTCAAGAATACTTCAACGCCACTCGTCCAGCAGTCAAGCCCTTGGAGAGGCTTCATCGTTCTATTCCGTCTTCTTCTCTTGTTTTTCACAGAGAACATGGAGAATCATCTAAACACTTGCCGAAAAGGCACCGAATTGAGAATAACAATGCCACTGGATGATGGCCTTTTCTGAACGTCACGATCTGGGCACTGCGGGATATGAACCTAGTCTAAGAAGGTAGTCTCTTTTTCAGTATTAATAAGAGCATTTATGTTGATAGGCACACTCAAAAATATTCAGATATGGTGAACTTTCATTCTAAACATTGGCTGCTAAGGTTGCCACGGATTACCCTTTGGGTTAAACCTTTCCATCCACCCTTTTCCCTAGTCCAGAGTGATAACCGGAACACCCATGTTATTTTTTGGAGCCTGTAAGCCATAGTTTTTGGCACCAAATATAACCAGCCTTGTCAACCATCAATCAGAAACCCTCCCGCCGAATTCCTTCTATCTCAAATTCTCCGAAAGCCCTCATGAAAGCATAAAAGAAGAAGAATATCTGCCAAACAGATTGCCGCGTTCATTCAGTTTAAGAAGAGAAATCTTTCAACCCACTTGGCGATTTCACCAGCGAGACAATGTCTATCGTCTGCAAGAGGAGCCATCAAGTGGTAGGCCTCTGAGTAGGTAATTTGTCCAGGCGGCGAATGACCGCGCCGAGAACAATCTTAAGGATGGTGTCTCCAGAAAGGGTTTTGGGGAGAGTAGGGTCAAGCTTTCGGTCATGTTCTTGCTCGTCCCAGGTCACCGAGTCCACCATGTCGCGTTTGCCGCTCTCGGATCCAAATAGATCATCCAGCATTTTCAGATCATCTCCAGCATCCTTATCCTCCCCGACTTGGAAGAACTGGATGCCAACTTGATGCGGCGGTGCGTTCAGTCTATCGAGTTCACCAACGAATTGTGCAATGATTGAATCTGGATCGTCAGAAGCAACTCCGTCCGTGATGACGATGATGTTGATAGGCTTGACATTCTCGACGCCATCGGCTGAACATCTCCTGACATAAGGACTAAGGATGTTCGACAGCGTTATGCCCGTGGGTGTACCTGAGTGTGGATAAACGGAATTGAATAATGCCGTTATCTCTTGGGGTCTGTCGATACCATAGTATCCATGTGGCCCTTTACCAGCAGGTGCCCTGTTCCGTGATCTATGGTTCAAGAAATACAAGTCGATGCCGTCCTTATCGTGTGAGGTGCAAATAGGCGTGATAGCACGAAGCACATCGGCAGCCTCTTTCCATAACTTGCCCTTCATGGAACCGGAGTCGTCAATGACGAAAATGGTGTCAAAATATGTCAGAAAGGCATATTTATCTTCGGCATGTGAGTATTTCACCAAGTGGTCAGGAATTTCCTTGGGGGGGCCTCGAACACGTGGGAAGATGCCTGGCATTTTTGAGGAAGAGTCTTGGTTGGTTGAATAAGGGGCTGGATTGGCAGAAGAGGAGACTGGACTGATTGCGGAGGAAGCTGGATGGTGTGAGGAGTAAGCAGGAGGCGCCTCTTCTAGTAGCAAATTGTCAGCATCCATCCATACATAAGGCCTTGTTCCCCAGGAGTAGCATTTGCATCTTCTCCTGTAATAGTGGCTCAGAAGTTACAGAGGGCATCGACACTCACTGCGGTCTTCCCATGATTCATGCCAGCTCGGTTCGGCATACGAACTGCTTGAAGGCCATTGGGGGCGGTTGTCTCTGGGTTGTTTTCGAGAAAACAATCCCTTGACGCCTTCTGTGAATTTCCCCATTATTGTTGAATAGAAGAAGATGGATCGATTTCTGTGGCGTGACGGAAGGGCGATGATGAAGAGGAGGAGGAGGAGGAGGAATGCGGCTGCTTGATGGGAGTGCTGAGTGGCTGCGAGTTAAATATCTCGCTGCGTTTGTGGCTTTGTTTGATTGATGTTGACGGTGAATCCAAGTTTCACAAAGACAAAGACTGCACGGTGAATTATAGGCGCCAAGTCGTAAAGAGGCAGCAATGCCGGCAGCCGTGGCTTCCCTTTGTTGGCAACCCAGACGCTGCCTAAGCGAATGGACTCTGGGCTCTTCAAGTTTGAAAATGGAAAGTGTCCAAACCAATCAAGGGGGATATCAGCTTCCGTTTCGTGGTTTGCTTTGTGCCTTCGCCTCGTTTCTTTGATCCCTTGCGTGGGTGTTGCGTGTTGGGTGTTATCAGCCACTCAGATGCAGACTCGTGTATCAAACCGGATGCTTCCCCCCAGCTTATTATACCTATGCGTTGTTCATCAATCACTGTCCTACGGAGCACATGAGTCGAAAAGTCGCCAATAAACGCCATGACCTCCACAGCCCATTAAACTGGCCTCCATTTCCGAAGTTTATTAAACTCCAAGTATGCGCAGCACTCCATTCCCTATCTTAGGCGTATTCATGACTTGTCTCCTGACGTATCCAAGGGGTCATGTTTCTAGAGAGTTTAGAGCCTCGGCGGCAGGGACCCAACGCAGCGCTAACTCCAATCGGTACATAGGTAGCCACAGTACGGAGTACAGTAGGTAAGATCCAACGCCTCCCCAGTCAAACAGCGAACAGATCTCGGCCGTGAGGCTGTGCGTGGCTGTGCTGCCCAAGTGGCACATGGTGGTAACGCGCCTGCATCGTTGCCCCCCACACAATTTGCGAAGGGCCCAAGGCCGCTTGCAAGGCCGCTTTGGCTGCTCTTTGAGGCAGCCCTGAGATGCGCAAACAACCAGTAAGAGACACAGTTGGAGAATGTGGGTGAAGCCATCGAAGTCTTCGAGACGACCTCGCCCCTGTCTGCCTAGTACTCATGCGTCTTAGACCTCCCTCTCATGCATTTCGCTTGTCGGGCCCAAGGAACCGGTTGTATGTAGTTGGTTCGTGTTCCTACATAGCCCTATGGAGAGCTATGGCTATGGAGAGCTACTAGGTACGGAGACATGTCTGCTTACTCCGGGTTCTGGGTCGGCAGGTAGCAATTTCAGGTACGCGAGCGGTAAAGGAGCGATACCAAGGCAAGGCAGATCGGCTGGCGGCTACAGAGCACAGAGCACAGAGCACAGAGCACAGAGCACACAGGTTCGCCTATCCATGCAAAATCGGCGTTATTCATTCCAGGCATAACATTATGCTAATCCGCGGCCGTCAATACAGCCCTGTGACGGCCATCCATTCCTCTCGAGGTCATTCAATCTCCACACATGCTCTCAGCCTCATGTGTTCCACCTAACATGCCTCCACTAGTGTCATTGCTTTTGGAACCTTCACCTTCGCCCCCTTCCGGTCCGCGGTGAAAAGGTCGGTCAAATTGTCAAATTACGGCTGCCTTGAATTTGAGCAGGTTTCTTCCTCGTATCCTTAGTTGGATCGCTTGAATCTAGACCGCAAGTGTTAGTGGCCGATAGGCTATACATCAGCTGCTTGGGGCAAACCATACTTGTTGACAACCCTCTCAATTCCGTCCAGGCCTTGCTTGAGCACTTCCATTTTGGGTCCATATGAGAGACGCACGAAGTGGTGGCACGGGCTATCGAACAGGTCACGTCGTCGAGAGGGGTTGAGATCGAAAAAGATACCTGGAACGACAATGACCTTCTCTTCCAAACAGGCCTGGAAGAAGTTGAGGCCGTCGGAAATGGCCTCAGGAAGGCCCTCGAGGTTCAGCCAACTTGAAAGTATAAATAGTCAGCTCATTTATGTACAAATCACTCTTGGGGTTGAAATAGTCCATACAGGTAGAAGGTAGAGTCAGGGACGTATTTGATGGAGAAGCCCATCTCGCGCAGGCGTCGGACTGTGTAGTCACGCTTGTCCTATTCACCAGTCAGGCTCTTTATTCTCTCATTGTTTTCATGGATAGACAAACTCGGAAGTGTCGCTGGAGGTGGATCATCTCAGTCTGAACCAAGCTTGGCTCAAGCATGGGGATAGCAGCCTCCTGGAGGGCGTGCACAGCACCACCATCCAAGTAGCTACCGCAGGAGCCAATACTAGATAATCTGTCAGCAAAGTCGCGAAAATTATAAAAACAGCGTGATAGGACGAAACGTACGCGCTGATGTACTCTAGAAAGGAACGAGGGTTAGCATTCTTAGGCTACAACGTTATAAGAGAAGCTTGAGGCTTACCCTTGGGACCAATGATCCACGCAATTCGCCATCCAGGAAGTCGGAAGCGCTTAGTGAGGCCATCGATAATCAGGACATCGTCCTCATCGACGTCCTCGACGTTCTCGGCAGCCGAAATGGTGGTACCATCGCAGTTGCTAGTATAGTTGTATCCAGAGTAGAATTCGTCACTGATAAAGGTGGCACGGCCTCGGCAAAGGTCCTGGATCTCAGCCAGCTCGGGGTTGGCAACGACTCGGCCGGTAGGGTTGCGCGGGTTTGAGGTAAGAATGACAGAGGTACCACGGGCAATTTCCTCAGCAATCTTGTCGGGGTGGATGTGGTAGCCGTCCTCTTCAGAAAGGGGGACGGGGATAGCTGCAAACTATAGCACACGTGTAAGTCAAATTTGCTTAGCCTCTCATATTCAAACCATGGCAAGACTCACGTTCTTGAACAAACTCAGCATCTCATTGTACGCCGTGTAGTCGGGCAAGAAGAAGGACAGATATGAGCTGCCCAGAACAGCGGCAATTCGGATCAGACCAGCACGACCACCGGGAACAATGGCAACGTTCTCCCAAGTGTACTGGCTCTCCTTGCCCTGACGGTGCATCTCGTTGTAGAGCTTGGCAACAGCTTCTCTCAGGGGCTTGATACCCGCTGTAGGGCCGTACTCTCGCGCGCCCATGCTCATGTTGATAGTCTCGGGTCGCTTGAAGCAGCCGGCAATGTCGTCTTCGACTTCGGGAGCACCCTGGCCAAGGTTGGCCCACGCATCGGGCTCATCCAAGAAGCCATACTCGCTGGCGCGCTCAGTGCACCAGATAACACCGGTGGACGATCGGCTGGCGTCCAGGCCGGCGTGGGGCATGTGGCCTTCGTGCGCATTGCGGAATTGCCTGTGGACCTTGGAATGAAGCTCTATAGGGACAAGACACGGTCAGTTTCGTCTCGAGGGTTTGAGTATTCGCGGAGAATTGATATCAATGACAATTCGGATAATGAATCGCCGACTCGATTTGGCGGTGGCCGCGCTGGGCCAAGAGCTGCGGGGGAGGGGTAATTGGGCTTTGGAGTTGGGGTTGGGTTTTATGGCGGGGTCTGGACAAAAGAATAGAACAATCAAGCCCAGTTCGTGCGCCACCGCTGCTTCTGACGGCCGCCACCATCGCGAAGCTGTTGTGTGTGCGAGTGAGAGAATAGCGACGGTGGCGAATATTTTCTGATGATATGGATGACAGGAAGAGGGCATATTGAAAGCTACAGCTGTAGTCTCTGTGCGCATCCCGGTATGAGATAGTGTAGAAACATCACTAACCATTCATCGACGGCTCGACATTGCTGAAACGACGCAGCAACGGCTTCAGCGCGCCAGTGTGGCGATTGATGGAGAACTTACGTCCGGAAAACATGTTGGCAATTCGTTAGACTAAAGAGACGGCCGGATTGATCAGTATTCTGCTCGAATGGTGAGAAAGAAAAGGTGGGAGCTGCAGCAACAAACCGGAGAGGAAGTGGGAAAAGAGATGCGCTGTCCAGAGAAACCCAGAGGTAGGACGGCCTTCGGAAGAACGGCACGGTATAACGTCACTCAGCTACGCAGCGTGAGGAACAAGTCAGAAATGTCTGAGCTCCAGGGGCGATGCGGGAAAAAGGAGCTGAAGCTTCTGGTCAAGATGCAGCAAGCAATGAAGCTGAGCAAGGAAAATTACGTCCCGGATTCTCTGGGGGCGTCACCGCGAAGCTCAACCTATATACGGAGCAATTCGAGAGGCCCAGAGGGGGCCGCTAACAAACGGATCCGTAGAGACCAGAGCGCTAGACTCTTCAGATGACCCTCCTGGAAGGGCCCCCCAAAGCCACAGGGACGTTAGCAGGCGACAGAGCGCGACCCGGCAGGTTCTTTCAGGTGGAGAGGCCGCTGTTCGGCTGCCAATCCGGGACGCTGTCTGGACACCAAGTGTGACCAAACGGGGGGAGAGGCTTGTGCATCTTGTAACTAAAATCGGCATGTACCAACCGATTTAAGTGACGGCATGGCCGATGGCAAGAGGATCGTGCAAAGGAGTGAAATAAAACAAGAGGCTTCAGGTTTGTAAATGCAAAAAAAAAAGAGAGATGAAATATGGCTTTCAAAATTGATTTAAACAGGCTATTTTTAACAGAGAGTAGCCGTTAATTGGCATCACGATAAGACGCAGGGGAAGCAAAAAATAGGCAGCCAGGTCTCAATGAGGCTATTCCCACCACCACTTTACTCCTCATCCCCCTTCTCCTCTTCCTCCTCCACAGCTGCATGTTAGTTGATCACTTTCACTCCAAAATCCTGCTAAAATCTCCAGCAGTGGAGCTTGCATAGCTGACCCTGCAGCAGATGCAGAAAAGAGAACCGGGAAAAAAAGGAGGCGGTGTCCAGGGCCAGCTTCTGCTCGGTAACACGTTCGAGCAGACTAGCAAAAGGCCTCATGCTCGACGTCTGGGGGATGTCGCAAATAGAGGGCTCGACAGGTATAAATCGAGCAGTTGCCTTGGTGTGTTTTTTCGGTGTGCCCGCCTATTGTAACATGCAGCGGGCGGCGACAGTGTCTCACTTTGTGATGTCTGTCGTAATACGAAGCACAGCAAGTAGGAGAGCTGTCGCTTGTCCTCCACACGCATGGACGAGTGCAATGCAGCCGAGCGTGTCGATCACGGCCTGCAAAACCCGAAACAAACGCAACCTGCTAAGCCATCAACACCTCCAGGGCTACGAGAATGCAAATATCCTGCCGGCCATCGGCCCCCCCTAAATGAATCCTTCTTCCTTCACGCCTGATATGCTTGTAGACTCCAAGCTCGAGACAGGAGGCCACTTGTCTTGCGTCCCGGAATCTACCGCCCGACCCCGTATCGCCCCTCATTCCCGCCGCGATGCCCTACTATTGTATGGAGTTGCGTCTGATTCAGGCGCTCCAGCACGCTCCACGCTGGAGGTCCATCGGCTAGAGAGCCCAACATCAGCAGTAAAACAAACATGGAAAACACGGTAGTATTCGCTAGCTTGACGCGTTGGACACGACAAATTCGAAAAATCACCGGGGTTTCCAGCCTCCAACAAGGTAACAGTAAAAAGACGAGTCGGGAGAATGAGGGGGGGGACAATGCTTGGCATCACTTATCTGAGCCTCAACCAACATCAAGTCAAGGATGCTCCCGGTGCGAGTTCAGACGAATTTGTTTTCTTTCGTGTTACTCTAACGGCATCCACTGCCGAACCCCGACTAACGGAGCCGATTCTTTTTAATTCGTGCGTAGGACAGGCAAGACTAGGAACTTGCTTAGAAAACCGGTGCTCCCCCGGCGTAGTTATCGGACGCATTTCTCCGTATTTAAATGGGGTGGTTTAGTTTCCAGTATCCCATATTACGTACATGTATGGGGACGGGAGCTATCGAAATTTTGTTAGATGCCTTAGTATAGTGCTTTATGCCAGATACCAGAAGAGGATAGCAACTGCGGCAGATATTATGTACTTGAAAGAGTAGGTTAGATAGAAAGTTGGTCAAGGTTCTCTGCATCTCGCCAAGGCAATGTTGTAAGTTGGGGGTGCTAGCGAGGCTAGACCACCCCATCCTTGGTGTTGTAATTGGTTGATTTGCCTGGGAGTGGCTCGATAAGAAAAAATCCATCCACCACAATTCTAGAACTATACTATGTATTGAAATCTACCTTCGACATCCATCAGCTTCAAGTCCCATAAAAAAAGGTCCCAGATTCCTTGGGGAACACCTGATCCTGATCCTACACACTTACATCGGCACTTTAGGCGGCGCGGCAGCCGATCGGATTCCATCTTACCCCAGCCTTCTAGCTGCATCTCCTGCACCCACCACGACTGCAGTCAGAGCAACTACACGTCAAAGGACAGCAAGACTAATAAAAGCTTTGCAAAGGCATACGGCTCATCCTTCTTATATCACACCATTTCATCGATATATATCCCAGGCCAATGCTCCGCCGCAGTATCTTCACCTTCCGTCCCTCTCGTCTCAACCCTTCCGTATCTCAACATCTCATCTCGCCCTTTTCATCCTCATCTTCCAAGATGAACTCACCTCAAGACGATTCATCCTCTTCAACTCCCTCAACGGAACCATCGCCTCGTAATGCTCTTCCCGCTCCAGGTTCCAACAGCGAAAACGTCACAACCCTCGACGTCAGTGGCTCAGGCACAACCGTCAAGCTAGACGCTCTCGGCCCAATGGTCGTCAACGTGGACGGCACCATGTCCCGCATCTCCAACTGGGATAAGATGGCAGACATCGAAAAGGAGAACACGCTTCGCATCATCGGCAAGCGGAACCAGCAACGCTTGGCAACCTTGAGAAAGGCCCGTGGCATCAGTCAAGGGAGCAATGACAGCATAGGCGCTAGTGGCAATCACGGCATTTCTGGCAAACAATAGAGCATAATCATGACCTGACTCGGAGAAAAAAAAAAATGGAACATTTCATATATATATATAAATAAACGTCATTCCACATAGAGCCCAGTTCTTTTACTTTGGCTCTCTATTTTCACCACTTTGGATATATGCTACATAAAAAAAATGATTGCCAAACGGATTTCCGCCGCCCCGACCTTGTTCAACTCAGCCCCAGATTGGATCGGGTATCCCATGATCCAAATCTTCCCAGGGCAAGACAAAGCACCCATCCAGGTAACAGTATAAACGCCAATAACCAAAACAACGCCCCCTCACCCCTTCCAATCAAAGCAGTATTATGGAGGTTGGAAACACCAGGATGAATTGTGATTTATCAGAAGCTCGATTTCTTTCTTCAACTCTCATCCTTGAGCTTTTCGCCGCTACTTGACTCGGCAGTTGTGGTTTTGGCCTTCTGGCTGGCGTGCTTGGTGAATTCCTTCCACAGCGCGACAATGTCTTCACTGCCCTCGTTCTTCTCGACCAAGAGGTTCTTCAGCCACTTGTTCTCGGTCTCAAGCTGGGCAACCTTGCTCTCCAGGTTAGAGACCTTGTCAGACATCTCCTTAGCAGACTTCTCGAGAGCCTGTTCGCGTTGCTTCTTCTTGATACGGAAACGAGCGCTGGCAGCGGTGTTCCTCCTCCGCTTGTCCTCCTCGGCAGCCATTCGGGCAGCCTCCTCCTGGTTCAGGGACTCAGACTTGCGCTTGTCGCCAACCTGCGGGGGTGCCTGATGGAACCGCGCATGGTGAGGAGGAACCGGTACGTGGCCGTGGTTTGGCTGCAGGGGCTGGAAGCTCTGTTCCGGGAAGTTGTTCATGTGGGGCGCAGCATATGTGTTATTGTTATAGTCAAAGGCAAACTCTGATATCACCATGGATGATTAGCTCGGGAACGCCAAGTATGTATCTCACACCAATGGATTATGGGTGAGCAGTAAAAGACGAGACAAAACAAAACAAGACGGCATCATGACAGGTATAGAGAACGGGGATATAGGCCCCAAAGCGTCCATGGCCAGTAGCAACGCCTCGCTGAGCCATGGTTGCATTTGGGGATGAGTGTCAAAATCACCAGGTATTGCACCATCGCCCCGAGATTTGTCAGCGCATGGGAAGTGTGGGATGCCCCACTCGGTAGGCGCACTCAAGCAGCACTTTTGCTGCATCGCATCCATCTCTGAGACAGCTCGTCCCAATGGCAGCGGCGGAATAGACGAGAGGAGTATGGGGGAGCAGAGCAGCAAAAGGCCCAAAAGATGCAAGGGCCCGTTGGATGGGCCGCGAGTCTGCGAGGTGATTGCGGAGATGGTTGACGAAGTGTGCCCGTCACGCTAGGTGCGCGGGTTTGGCTGGAAATGGAAAAAGGCAGGGTCTCATTTCTTCCAGGAATGGAGAAAATGCAATGCAGAAAAGAAAAGAAGAGAAAAGACCAAGAAAAAACATCGACAAACAGAACATATGTGAAAGTAGAATCAAAAAATACTCACCAGACATGAAATCCAGGTTGGGCATCTCGCCAATAACAGATGGCGCTGCGCTGACATCCTCAGATGTGGTGCCACTGTGGGGTGTCTTGCCCTCAGTCTTGACAGGTTGAGATTGAGCCTGGAAGTCGGTGTTCTGGCCAGAGTCAAAGTCGAAGAACTGTGTGTTGGTGAAGAGAGCCAAGTCGTCCTCCATGTTGAAGGGCTCTTCGACGGCTGTGGTATCCGTGGGGCTGATGGTGTTGAGGTCGCGGAGGTACTGCGACACGTTGGGACCGTGTCGGCCGTTGTAAGTCGACATGGCAGTCTTCCTCAAAAAGTCTCAGGCGAGGACTCCGTCACCGATTGATCGTGTATCGTATCGTAGTCTTGTGCTCGTCGTAATCGATGTCGCCGCTGCGAGACGGTGTGGCGTCGAGATGCAATGTGGTGTTTGATATTACGGAAAATGAACAATGCAGGTAGTGTCGCTTCGATGACTGATGAGAAGCCGTTCGTCTATAGTTGGTGTCTTTCGAAGGAAGAAGAGTGACGTCGATCCGGCGACAACGTTGATGGTTGAAGAAAAAGGGATGCTAACACGAGTCTGTAGCGAGATCGCAGGGAGCCATGAATTGCTCTAGGATCGGGGTTATGACTCTCCAGCCCTCCAGTGGAGTTTTTCCTGGCAGCGAAAATGCGTGCAACGTGCCAGTAACCGACCGGTGGCCGAAGGGCTCCGACAGCAGTGGGCCAGAAAGGCCCTTTTAGCGCTTGCACAGGCCGTGCTGAGAAATCAATCAGCTGAAGCCCCACCGCCGTGACATCCATTTTGCTGGCCGCCAGTCTGGGGTTCCAAGTACCACAGCCAAGCACAGCCAAACACAGCGCAGAATAGGCCACCCTGACCATGTTTAGTGCCACTTGCAACGCCTTTGACGCCTGTCGAGCCCAATTCCCCACCTCCGCTCGAGCGCCGTGGCCAATGAGAGCGGCCGCAGCGACCGTATCGCCGCATCAATTTGCTCATTCGTTTTGTTAAAGAATTCGTGCTTGGCCAGGCTAGCGGGAATCGCCATGTGCGTTCGCATCCTTATCTCTGATACTGTACTCGTACCTGGACTTGTTTTGCCCATCCGAAATACTGCTCCATCGCCCTGCTTCCATGTTGCCTCTAAACCAGGCGCAGTGAATACTTTGCCCTGAGCTGATACCGATATGTACAAGCATTTGCCTCTCTTGTACGGGCTAGTTACGTAGGTGCTTCAGCACTGCGGTCCGCATCCCCAATCACAGCCTGTTTTCGCCTTTTGCCTCTGCTGATCAGACTGGTGATTGCCTCCACCTTCCCATGCCGTCGAACCACCACGCTCTGTCTTGCACTGTGCCTCAATTACTCGCACAGCTGCAATTAAGCCCTCACCTTGCTCAATGCCTAGCTCCAGTCCTCCCGCAAGTCACGCGCGTGCGTCTCTTCTTTCAATGTCCGATTCCACACACAGCCGCGAACGTGCGTGGGGGGCACTGCCCAGGCCGTCGTCAATAGCCTCCAGGCCCGGCCAACCAGCCGCCGCGATTCACGGACTTGCAGATGACGCTGCCTTGCCCCCCGCTGCTCTGTACAAGTAACTCTGCAACACCAGGCTCGGGATTCTCGCACTGGTTCCAGAGTGTTGGACTCGCCCTGCTTGCCAGGACTCCGCTACTCCCAGGCATCCGTTGGTTTCGCATTACTGTCTAGCCGAGGGCTTCGGCATGGTGATTACATGCAGGTACTCCTTTTTTATTCCGTATGATCCGCTCTACAGTACAAGTACGATATCGGATCACCTTGGGCGGACCCGTCACGGCTGACAATGACAAAACGCCACTTTCACACATCACGGTGGTTGAAAAAAGGAAAAATAAAATGATTACCGTCGCTTCGTGCGCTTCAAGATTTTCAGGATCTGCTCCCGGCAATCCCTGTCTCGGCTAATGGAATAGCCCTCAGAACTGCCAGGGTGCCAAATCCCTTGCTGAGCAGCTTGCAGCCGGCCTGCATTACCACATGCTGCCGGGCTCCTTCGATTGGTGCGTTCGTGCATGCCTACGGAGAAAATATCGCCATGTGATCCATTTTTGGCCGTCCGATGCACATATAAGGGTGCGTCGCATCCTCAAGACGCAATCACGCAATGAACGCTGTTAGGTCTTTTGGCCGAGTGAAGCTTCACCGAAGCCTAGACTGCTCAGAATGTGGCTTGGACCGCCAGCCAACATGCTCCGTATCACATTCAAGTCCTAGCTGTAGTTTGTACCAGGTCCAGTCTGGAATAGTTGAAAGTAAAATCGGCGCATGCCACGAAAGAGCACCAATTGGATGTCTACATCTAGCCCTACCATCTCATAAGCGTATATATTAGCCACGCCACATTTTGTGCTACAATCAGCTGTCTGTGTAAATAACTCTGGGCTTTCCCGATCTATTGTTACATGCACGGATATTGCATGTGATAGGCGTTGGTCAATGACGCCTTCGATGTGTACTTCGTATCCATCAAGCTGTTAACCAATTCAATCATAGTAGTAATTGAAGGGGACAAACATGGCATACCTTCTTCTACCTGCAAACGGCATCATCCTAATCAGTGTTGGCATTCGATAGTCCAAACGCCAAGTCTTGATGGGCAGATGCCATTGGTTTCCGCTGAGCGGCTCTCCCCGATAGACATCGCCATTCCAAAGTCAAAGAAGCACGGCGCCTCGATCATGGGCATAAGTAAAATTAACATTAAATGGTTTGAGATCATTGTGTACGTAGGGAGGATGTGTTAATCAGCCAGGTATTCGACCGTGAACGGAATATCATTCAATATTTCATGTGCGTCAGATAGCCGGTGAAAAGGATGAAGGGAGGCGAATAGGCTACAGGTCGTCTGCAATCACAGAAGGGAAATATTGATCATCCGTGCATCCTTGAAGGCTGCCGGGTTCAATAATCACGTCTACGATATCGACAACCAACAGTCAATCTTCAAATTGTAAGATCAAGATATAACGAGTAGATACGGCCATCAACGGTCTTCAGCCATATCACATTGCTCTGTTTAAAGATAGAAAGGTAGGGCTTCAAAGTAATATTGGAGGAAGGCTATTCGGTGTCCTAGTTTAGCTACCTGGTATCCTATGTCCGAAATTTAGAGGTAGAAAAATAGCAGATTCAACAGGAATATAGCAATAATAGTAGAAAACAGCGATAGCAGCAAATAGTCAAGGAACCGGGCATTTGCTCAGGTAGTAAGTAAAAGGCATTCCTTCATCTTGTTACGACCACTGAACTCCACGTATTTGCTGGATATTGGATAACCACTCCCAGCATTAAGAGGCAAAGTAGCGACATGCATACTTTAGTTTTCAAAAATTTCCTCTCATGATTACAATTGTTTGGAATACTCCTTAGAACAAAATCACTTACCATAATCACTGACCTTGGCGTTATAATGAAGAAGTTTCATGACCACTTTCTCTTGAGGTTCTACAGAGTGCTGGCTGGTAAAACATTCCTCTTGTTTGTGTGACCAACCTACATGGCTCAACACTTTGGCATTTTGCTGCTGCTGCTCCTGCTGGAGCAGTGACATGAATACAGTCATCTCCCTATTCACAAGATAAAGGATTGTTATGGCATCTTTATCAATAATCTCGCGGGGGAATTTGGATGCCAGGTGGTGGCCAGAAACAATGACTTCCGATTCTTCGGTCGGCGGGTTACAAAGTGAGAGACCATAGCTTCTATTCCACTGTCATCTAGCTTCTGTCTTTTATATGACGTCTCATCGTCATTGACGGCTCATGAGGCGGTTATATCTTTAACCTCTCCGAGCTCTTGGTCAATTTCTAAAGATCCAGCCGATTTTGAGAAGGTTGGACGAGTGAATAAGCGGCGGCGGGAGGTGCGATAGCTCTTGATAGGCATCGCTACGTGGAAGACATGTAAGAGACAGGGTTCCCCCCCCCCCCCCCCCCCCCCCCCCCCCCCCAAGTTGTTCGTCACCCGATAATCTGTGCCTGTGAATCCGGGTGTCCAGTTATTTTCACAGCTTTTAAATGGCATTGTCTATGGTTAGGGTGCAAACAGAGCAGAAAATGTGGACGAAGAGGATAAAAACTAGCGAGGAGATATCGCATGCAGTGCTATTTTTGTGGTTAGGCTCCCAAGAAATACCGAATTGGTGCTGAACCACAGAAGTATTACAAAAACGTTTCGTTCACAGCGCTGTTCCCTAAAAGTAGGCGACGCAGAAATTCAACAAATGAGATGAGGATTATGAAAGATCTTCGAAAACTTAAAGAGAGGGGAAAATAGGGGAAAAGAATACATCGGGATAGTTGTTTCTATAGATACTACCAGAGAACATCTGGAGCTGAATTGAAGAGTGCTCTCGAGCCATTGACTCAGATCCCAGAATCCTGACGAACCAGAATCTAAGTGAGAACAGGGGCATTGCCAATGAGAACACAGATGAGAAGAAATCCAGGCCCAGGGATGCTCATCCAAAGGCAAAGTCATCTATTGCACAAGCTCAACCAGCAAGTGACCCTGGATGGGTGTCGTTTAGCAAGGATAAGACTTGGTAGATGCCCAGATGCTTGGAGGCAACATCCTAGGGTAGCACTAGTACTCACTTATACCGAGAGATCATATGGCTAGACTTCGGCCAGTATTGTTAAAGTATGGGCGACATTGAGAGAAATGGCGGTACAGGTGATTGCAACGGATCTTTATTGAAAACAGTTACATCTTATATTCACGTTAAATAGTAGGCTGGGGTTTGGAAATTTGCTAGAAAAACGAAGGTAGCCTTTGGCATAATTTGTTCCATTTCACCTGTTTTTGGTTTGTTACAAGGTATATCTACTCAAAGCACCAAATAATTCTAAGCCATTGGCAATGAGACCCTGAAATGCATTTATTCTTATACAATTGCTTGACTCTATCCTTCCCAATCGAATCAAGCCCTTCCCGACCCTGCCTGGCAGTAGAGGATCGTGATGAAAGCCGATATGTACCCATGTACCCATCAATGACCAGAGCGTACCCACCCCTGCCAGCCTAAATCCGTGAGTGGCGCAACAAACCGATTCGGCAAGGAAATTCTTCGTAGTGGGCAACTCCAGTATCTCTCTCAACTCCTTCGATTTTGGGGGCAGGCCATTTCGGCACCTCGGCGCGCAGTTGGCGCATTGGAAAGAAACCAGCGACTGACTGAAAAGCATTCTCCGGCAGAATGAATGGGCTCAGCTATTCGAATGCTTCCCGGTCGCTGCTGAGGGCCGCGCGGGGCATCTCGAGACAGGCTGCGACGTGCTCGATAACGACGAACGGAGCGAACACTACAGCCTCGCGATGGATGTCGTGCTGCTCTTTTCAAGGCTCCGGCAGAAGAGCGCTGAGGCGGACCGAGTGGACAGGCTTGAAGGCATGCCGACGGCTTGACGGCGGTCACCGAACCTTCTTTGCGCCCAAGACCATTCGCGACTACGAAGAACTACCGAAAGACTACCGTGACCAGACCGGCCTTGCTTTCGGCGGCAGGGATCTCTCTGAGGCCGAAGTGGACAGGATATTCAGCACAGGTATCGGTGGCAAAAGGGCAAACCACTTGCTACGGGTTTTACATGGCAGAAGGGTGGCCGGAACACTGGAGGATCCTGCATTTGCGATACACACGGCGCAGTATACGGACGAGGAGATTGCCAGAGCATTAGCGTACCTACGGAAAACCGTACCTGTGGAGGAGATTAGGAATGCAGGCCTCCGAGCAGAGGACGAGCTGGAACAGATGGAGCAGGAGATGGAACAGGCGGCTGAGAAGAAGGCCAGGGCGAGCAAGGGAGACGGCAAGGAAGAGGAGGATGCCGCCGATGTGTACAAGCCCGATCCCATCTACGGCCGCAGCAAAATTGACGAGATGCGAGCGCGGAACAAAGCGAGGAACAAGGCCAGAGAGAAGGCACTGGAAGAGGAGCTCAAGGCTAAGGAAGCTGTCGAGGGCGTTTCGGGTCCATTGGCGAAGCGAGATGATCAAGTCCGAGAAATTACCAACCCTCGTGTGGCGGAATACTACAAGGCTGCGCAGTCTGATATGGAGGCGCCGCCAGAGCTGAAGCCTTGGGAACGGATTCTGCCTTCTGCTACCGTAGTGGCCTTGGTGCTAGGCTTCATCGCCGCTGTGGCCATGGTGTACGAGGAGCCGGCGCCGCGGTACAGACTGTTCCGAGAGGTGTCGACTTCGCATGCTACGGTGGGTGCCCTGATTGGAATCAATGCCCTGGTGTACTTGGGATGGAGGATACCGCCTCTATGGGCTCTCTTCAACCGATACATGATCTTCGTGGTGGCGACGGTGAGGCCCGTCACGCTGTTCACCGCGGCCTTTTCACACACCAAGCTCAGTCACTTGCTGGTCAACATGGTGCCGCTTTGGTTCGTCGGAACGTGTTTGCATGATGAGATAGGGCGTGCGGATTTCCTTGCGCTGTATCTCGGCTGTGGCTCTATGGGTTTCCTGGGTAGTTTGGTCACGTACACGCTCAGGGGCTGGTTGACTGTCACATCCCTTGGTGCGTCAGGTGCAACACTGGGACTATGCTCGGCCTACTTTTGGGAGCATCGTTCGGATGGCTTCAAGATCTTTGGGCTGCCACAAGACGGCGTCCACGGCATCGTCTTTCTGGCGCTCATCACGGCCGTTCAACTGGCTGGCCTGGGAAAGACGGTGAAGCTCAAGGTGGATATTGCGTCTCATATTGCTGGCATCATCGCGGGTATACTGGGAATCGAGCTCCTGAATAGGACGGAGAGGAGGAAGACACCCCTGGGGGAAGACAAGGCCGTGATAGATATCTTGTCTGGGGAGACGGAGAGCCGCGGGGTGGCTGATGAGAAGAAATAGACGGCTCTGGATATAGAACTTTATTTATGTAACAACACTACTTTTTTGCATAGCATGAGAATTCCTGGGAAAGGGGTTTGTGATGCTGAGACATTTGAGACATGGCGGGGAACTGCACTGATGTGAGACTCTGCTACAGCACTCAATCAGCTACACTATCACTGCTGCTTGGATTCTTTGATTTGGAATTTCCAGACAATCAATGCCCAGTCAATTGATATGCATCTCCAATACCACGTAGATGCGTCATTCTAGAATTGCACTCTGCACGTTGCCGAACACGCATTGCAGATGATATACTATGCGTATGCGGTACGTACCTACCGATTTCTGGCCTTGCTGCAGCCCATCGTCATCGTTTGGGAGCCGAATGCAAAACGGAAAGCGCCCCACTAGAGAATGCTACCCTAGCTAGTTAGCGCGGCAGGTGTTTCCGGGCAACGGCAGCGTCATAACAGACCACCTTGGCAGGAACAAAGCCGGGGCCCCACTTGGAGTGCTGTGATGAGCTGGCAGGAAGCTGGGCTTCAATTTTTGGGTGTGGGAAGGTAATATGGAGGTGAAGAAAATGACGATATCTTGCTGCTCCCTTTTCTTCATCTTTTTTGGTAGATGCAGGGCGTGCATTAGCAGCTTCAGTTTTGGAATTTTGGAATTTTTACTTTTTCTTTTCAATTTTCCACTCCATCTCTTCCCTCTTCTCTCCCTTTCACTTCGTTGGGTTCCGTGGATGCGGATCTACCACCTTTACATACAGCGTATCAACAGCCACACCACGGCACAAAACTGGAACACAATGGGCTGGATGGCCATTGGCTCCCAACCTCAGTCCTAAAAAATCTGCGTTCCAGGGCTTCGCGTTTCCGTTCCACGCTCCTGGGCTTTGACACGGTACACGAACGCGCTTGGCGCCACCGATTCAACCATCTTCCGTGTGCCAGTCAAGCCTCACCTTGACAAGGCTTTTTTCGACAGAAGCTACCTAGCTCCGGACGAGGCTGCAAAGGCGACTCGACTTTGCCCGTGACTGGCATAAGCCTCAGCCCACTTGCGTCGTGCCTCTTCTTTCGCGAAAAGGGAACTCTAAACGCAAGCCCCCTTACGCCTGCAACGCCCCACGCTGCGCTAAGATTGTCGCTGCACGTTCGCGTGCCGGGCTTTAAAACAGCAGCTGGAGATTTGGCTGCAGGTTGGGGTACTGGCGGTGGCCCTCTTCTGGCTACTGGCTCGGGTCTTCACTCGTCTGCCCACACCCCCGAAACTCCGCATCTGGACCTGCAAAACCTTGGGACGCAAGCCGCCTCAAATTCGCTCTTTGATTCTGCACCACCGCGTTTGCTCAAGACTGGATGTAGCTGGAAGACAGCAGGAGTCACAGCTGAAGAGAAGGAACAACTAAAGACCGAGAAAAAAAAGGAAGTCGGAATTTTATCAGCTGCGAGATGGTCTAGTCTGGGGTCGCGGTGCACCTGAATTTTCTCTTTTTGGACGACCTTGCGCGTTCTTGCTACCACCCTCTCTCCCTTTCCCCTTCCCCTTCCCTCTCTTTTCACCACAAAAGATCGATCGACTTCAGTTCCAACTACACCATGGATGACCCTTCAAGCCCTCTATCTTCGCCTCGCGGCTCCATGCGCGAGTCGCCATCGTCGCCCCTCTCGACTCTCTCAAATACGCCCTCCCTGCCCGATATCTCAGTTTCTGCCGTTGACCTTTCAAGGCGCTATCCCTCGCCCATGTCTACGACTGCCTCGGGAGCTCAATCCCCTATGAGAATAACGGCCACCATCAGTCTTGGTCAGCCTATATATGACAATGATTCCTCGAAGAGCGCGGATGACGAGCAACCCCCAGCAAAAAGACGCAAGGTCTACCAGCCTAAAGAACGTACAACAGAATACTTAAACTACATGAACAAGGAGGACAAGGACATGACAGAGGCAGAAAAGGCTCAGGAAAAGAGACTGATTGCAGCCTTGCGGAAAAAGAAGAAGATTGTCGTCATTGCTGGCGCGGGTATTTCCGTGTCAGCGGGTATTCCTGATTTTCGATCATCCTCAGGTCTTTTTGCGCGTGCGAAAAACCAGCATAATATGAAGGGCTCAGGCAAACACCTATTTGACGCGTCTGTCTACCGGCACGATTCGTCGACTCAGTCTTTCCACACCATGGTCCGAGAAATGGATGAAATGTCCAAGAAGGCGAACCCTACTGCGTTTCACCGCCTGCTGGCATCACTGGCCCAAGAAGGACGGCTGCTGCGACTCTACTCCCAGAATATTGACTGTCTCGACGTGAGCATGAAACCGCTTGCTACCGAGATCCCGTTGCCCCTCAAGGCCCCCTGGCCGGCCACCATCCAGCTACACGGTGGATTGCAGAACATGGTTTGCAGCAAATGTGGCCACTTGGATAAATTCAACAGGGAACTGTTTGATGGCCCGGAGGCTCCATTGTGCGCGGCATGCACAGTCGACGACCAAGTTAGAACAAGGCACGCAGGAAAGCGAAGCCACGGCATTGGGCGTCTGAGGCCTCGATTTGTTCTCTACAACGAATACAACCCGGACGAAGAGGCTATTGGAAACGTTTCTAGTGCCGACTTGAAGGCTCGGCCGGATTGTGTCATTGTCGTTGGAACGACTCTCAAGGTTCCGGGCACGAGGAGACTGGTCAGGGAGATGTGCCAGGTTGCGAGAGGCCGAAGAGATGGTCTCACAATCTGGATCAATACCGACGCGGAGCCCAAGGACGCGTTATTCAAAGACTGTTGGGATCTTGTTGTGCGCTCTCCGTGCGATAAAGTGGCTTACATGGCGGCTCTACCCCCGTGGGATTGCGACATTGGCAACGATTATCTTGTGTCTACAGAGCAGCATAGCCAAAACCAGGAACGTCTCAAGAACACCAAACTTGAGGTTGCACTGCCTCTCAGCCAACCCAATGCTGAGCATGATCCTGGCCTGGACGCTATTCCCACGCCACGACCTAGCCCCAAGCTTGCGGCGAAGAAGCAGATCAAGCTCGCCCTCGGGAGAGAACCACCACAGAACGGCAAACAAGCCAAGGCAGCGAAGCCGCGTTCACGAAAGGCGAAGGCGCCCCCCAAGCCCAAGGCGCCTCCCAAAAACGCAGTCACGGAGACGTTCAAAGCCGTCAAGAATGTCTCCAAGGGAAAGACGGCAAAGAAGCTCGATGAACGCCCTCAGCCATTGTCGCTGCCGCCTCTGAAAATAGATCCTCTGAGAGTAGAACTTGACTTCTCCTCTGATGCTCCATTGAACAATTTGAACTCTCTACCTCCCTCCACACCCGTTGGAACCTCAGATCCGTATAAGAGGGAGACGATATCTCCCAAGTCTATTCCTCACAACATGCGAAATTTAATTGATTGCTGAGCTAAGGCTACGCAACGTTAGTTAGGTTGTATAAATGGCATTGGTAAAATGGCGTTTTCCCCATGGGGGGATGAAGAAAGAGCGGTTTGAAGCTATACAGCAGGGGATTCCGGATTTGGGTATATACATGATTAGGCTGGGGTTATGGCTGGGTCAAGGGGCCAAAGCATACAAATAATGGTAAACTTATGCTCATGATAAAGTATCAGGCATCTACTTGACGTAGAGGAAAGCCAAGGTTTATGCAGAGTTGGTTTTGACAAAGCACAATTAGGCGGGAAAAGAAGTACAGCAACAATGACAGATTTAATACCAATTATATTCATTCAGAGACGGGTGGCTACACCGTCTTGGAAGCTATAAAGAAGAAGAAAGAGATCCACCCTTACAATTCAATCATTTTGACCAACAATACAGATCATTGGGTTTGCTTTATCCCTCGGTTGGATTTCATCATACCTTATATGGACTCCAAAACAATTCATCACCATTCCACTTCCTGTGAAGTCGATCCAACTCGGCTAATTTCTCCTCAGGGAGTAGATCCCGTCGTCCAGGGAGGAACTTCATTGTGCCCGGGAATACTCTCGGAGCAAGACCATCCTCTTCATCGTCCTTTTGCAAAATAGCCGTGGCCTCTTCAAAGAATGTCACCAAGGCATCTCTTGTGGCGGGTTCAGAGCACCACAATACCCCAACAGTGCAAAACCCTCTGTCCCTGGCCTCGACAAATTTCCCCCTGCCTTCGGGGGTGGTGCCGAACTGGGCAAGCTTGGAAGAGTTGAAGCTTTGGAACATGAAGGCAGTGCGAGCAGCGTCGGGATATTTTTCTGTCACGGCGAGATATTTGGCAAAGGCGGTCTTGATGGCTTGGGGCGAGAGGCGGGAGATGCGAGCGGCGGACATGGATTTGAGGCCACCGTGGGCATTGAGCGGCTCGACGCCGTTGTTGATGTTGGGGAAAGGGATCTGGACTGTGTCTGCCTTGAGGGCCTTTTCGACCAGGGATGGATGAAGGAGGCTTGCTCCGGCTGGTGAGGCTTCTGCTTCGCTGGTTGGGCCGTAGTATGTACCTGTGAGGACTATGATGGGCTTTCCAGCAAGTGGGGTTCCAGGGGGCCCTCGAGAGAACCCAAAGATGATATTCATGGGCTCTGGAGGTGGGGCAAAGGCGAGAAATGCATCGACTGCGGTGTCTATGGCGGTTTGAGGGAATATCATGGTGCGGCTCCAGATGCTGGGAGTAGCATCATCTTTGCTTGTGGGCGAGAGATTCAAGCTGCTCAGGGGGTATACTCGCAAGGTGGCAGCAACGACAACACAAAGACCGTGGCCAGCACCGCAGAGGGCGTTGAACAGGGCGAGATCTTCTCCCGTGGAAGATGGCCCGACTTGGAGTATTTCTCCTGCAGCAGTGACAACTCGAAGGGACACGACGCTGTCGGCGATCCAGCCCACGATGCCGTTTACAGATGTGTTGCCGCCGCCTAGAAGGCTTCCGACGACGCCGACTGAGTTTGAGTTGACGACAGCGGTGAAGTAGCCTTGCTCAAAGAGATGCCTCAGCAGGGTACCGGTCAGGACGCCTCCCCCGAGATGAACTTGTTCCTTTTGCTTGTTTAAGATGATGGATTGGAGATTCTTGAGGTCCAGGTACAGCACCTTTGAATGGATGGGGATAGCTGAGCCATGACGGCCTCCTATGGGGATGATGGTGAGATTGTTAAGGCGGGCGAAGTTGACGGCTGAGACGACATCTTGTTCTGTGTTTGGAGAGATGATAATTGCTGGGGGGCTTTCAATAAAGGTGTCTGACCAACGTGAGAGGAGCTCGGGGCGGGAAGATTTGGGGTCTGAGATGGTGAAGGGACAGGCGAGGAGGTTTGTTCCCTTGAATTGAGGTTCTGCCATGATGAGCTTTTGCTTATTTGTAGATGAGATATTACGGAGGGGAGAGTGACTGGTGATGGGTGTTGGATGGCTGGAATGAGGTGCAGAAAAAGCGACGGTGATGGCTCTTTAATACATGCAGCAGGATGGGTGGCTTCGTTAGAGTTAACCATTAGATCATCGGGCTAGGGGTGTAGGTGAGACCGCGCAGACAACAGTTTGACAAGAATGTATATTGGTAAGTGACAAATGGAGCAGTGGTACTTTGAGGGTTTGCATAATAAAACCGTTAACAACCGTGATGATAAGCACTTGTTTCGGGCATCAGCAACTACTGTGCGTAGTCTATTCCCGAATACGGCTGATGGCCTTGTAGAACGAATCCACAGTCGATATGACTGCATAGGGGTATATTCCTTGTGATTAGGAATCACGCGATGGAGTTGCAGGGGTTATTAAATATCAAATGGAAAGGAGAGATGGCCGTGTAGTTGTCGTGGTATGAGGCTACATTGTTGGTGTAAGTGTATATGTGAAGCTAGGAAACCACTGGTGAAGCTACCAGAGCGGTGAGACGAGTGACATGAAACGGAATAATCTGTAAAACTAAATAAAAGGTGTGCTTATGAGTAAGCACAAGCAGGAGAAAAAATGGACAGAAAAAAGGTTACGGATAGGAACCGGAATAACAGTCTCACTCAGCGTGGATAGAATGCATAGTATCCAGACATTTTCCATGCTATGTACATATGTTTTAGCTATCAAATGAATGTGCAGGCTGACTTTCAAACAATACAGCAGCGAGATTCAGCCCTACAATTTGGAATACAGTCTTTTTGGGCTTAATCTGACAGATAGCCTGCAGGTCAGTGCGCTAACATTTGGAATTTCCAGCCACCGCATCACATGCCGTCAGCGGCAGAACAACACGGTAAAGAGAGACTGCAACCCATTCACGTCCCAATCGCCGTTAGTTTCGGCCATCAAGATCACAATCTTGAGATCTCAATACTCATCTCGCAGCTTGAAATCTCCTGGCGAATCTAGTCGTCTTCCCAACGGTGTCATATCCAGCAGCGTCATCGTTGGCTGTACCTTTTCGCCTCCCCTCATAAAGGTCGAGTACGTATGGTAGATTTCACCATCCTTCTTCAAAAAGATGCTGAAGCCAGGAATGTCGCCCTTAAAATCCGGCTTGAACCTCTCATCGTCCTCAGTGAGGTCCTCAAAGTTGTACTGCTTTGGGGCCACGGCTTCGTCCAGCGTGGCGTGGAAGTCGTAGTTGAAGTCGGATTTGCCGCTGGAATACCAGGGAAACGTCCAGCCGGCTTTGTTCTTGTACGCCTCAATCTTGTCGATGGGGGCGCGGGAGATTGCAACGAGGTTGGTGTTCTTTGACCTGAGGTGGCGCACGTCGGGCAGAGATTCGCCCATGTGCGTGCAGCCGGGGCAGCCGCGGTCGTCTTCGGGCTTGAACATGAAGTGGTAGACGATGAGTTGGTCTTGGCCCTCGAAGAGGTCACTGAGAGACACCGTCTTGTTGCCGGGTCCCTGGAAGAGATATTCCTTGTCTATCTTGACCATGGGCAGCTCGCGGCGTTCCGCGGCGAGAGCATCGCCCTTGTGCGTGTACTCTTTTTCTTTCTTGAGAAGAGCTCTGCGGGCAGTCTCCCATTCTTCACGACTAACAACCTTTTTGATGGTAAATCGTCAGTGCATATATGAACTTTTGAGGCTTGCCTATCCATAACTACTCACTTTGCCAGGCATATTGGTTAATGATAACCGCGAATAGTTAAACTTGATTTACTTGAGACCGTAGTAGGCACTGTATTGAATTCGATTCAAAGTGACGATTGAAGAGCTCTCCAACTCAAGAAGCTTCCCATTCACCCCTTTTGTATTCGCTGAGAGAAAGAATATTGCCATCACCAGCAATTACATGTTCACTAATCACATTATCTTGCGAATTCTGTTTGCCATTCTGCCTGTATAACTTGGCATCAGTTCGACGCCCGTGGCGTCCGGGGCAGGCAGACACACCACCCGCCTCAACGAGAAGGTGCGTAAGATGGAGGAACTCTTCAGGCTCCAGAAGAGGGGCTGCCAATTTGGTTTCATGGTGGCGCCATCTCCGACGATCAAAGAGGCGCCATGCAAAGATGGTGATTGGATGTTGGGGAAATCCTGTTTATAAGTGCATCTGTGAGGGGAACGCAAGCTGAAATCTGCACAACGCTGAACTTGGAGCGCCGTGATAATTGCCACAGTTCACAGCGTGAGAATTCACGGCAGGCTGCATATTCGTGTTGTGTTTGTTGTTGATGGTGAAAAAGCTATTCCGTGAACTTATTTGTAATATGACTTCAACCCAATGTGTCTCCGACATTTCTGTTTCGAAAGAGCATTTTGGGCGGGTCTCCTTCTTCATATGTGTCGTATGCTTTAATACCAAAGCTGTTGTAAAATATTATGAGGACTTCTTGGCCTACTTACGCTGTTTGTTCATAGTAGTACTAAGTCACTATATGCGACTTGCACTAAAAGCTAGCATCACCTACCACTCATCATGAAACCCAATTCCATGTTTTGACAACCCGAAACTCTCAGTTTCACAAGGAGAATAATATTAAGTTATATAGAGTCGGCGATAGACTATTCCACCTGCTTCCAAATAGACTCTAACTGTGCGATACGCATCCAGTCCTCAGGTCTATTCGAATCCGAGAGCCCATTCGTAAATTCATTGAAATATTCCCGTGACTGAGCGCCATAACTCGTGTTGAACCACCCAATGCTGCTATTCCCATATTTGTGCCCATCTGTATTACCGAATATACTCGACCTTGCATCCATGCCGCTGTACTGGATACTGAGTAACGCGCTGTTGAAGGCGGTCTGCTTCTTGATATTCTGCATGGTACGAATCACTTCAATCTGCGAAACTGTTTTTAGGTAAATCTGGACCCTCTGCACACAAAATGTCCTGAACTGCTCTAGGGCGGCGTCTGATTCTTTAGAGCCTGGCTCGCCGGCACTGCAAACCTCGAGCCACATCTCACGCAATCGCGGCGACCATATCTGGCAGAGCGTAGTCTCATCAATGTACCTTCCATTCAGAGGAAGCGAATTCCCTAATGGCGTGTGTGCTACAAAGTCAAGGTAGCATTCCTGACAGAATTGAGCTTCCGGGTATCCCCACCACCTCTTTTTGCTGTATCCCTTGATCTTAGGACACGCAGGCACTCCCGCAAAGGTCGTGACGAAATCTGAAAAGTAAGAAAACACTCCTCGGTCAAGCATCTCCGCAAACTGGACAATATACTGGCCAAAGCGCGGGGTCGAAGGGCAAAAGTCGCACACGTAGGCACTGGAAGTATCTCGATCTGACGGCTGGAAGAAACTATCCAGGCCCTTTGCCTGGATAAACCCTGCATAGCATGCCTCGCATATATTGAACTTTTCGCAACCACCCTTCAGAGTCCACCAGTTGCCGTAGAGGATGCCATCTGATGTGCAAGGGACGAGACTACAGATGACCCGCGCCGCCTTTACAAACACTTCAAAGTCGCGTCTGTCCTCGGCTTCCCCTAATGCCATTAGTGTTGACAGGTTCCTATCCGCCAGTCCACAACTCCACAGCTCCGGATCGAAGTCGTTATCGATGCATTGGAACTCTCGTTTGAAAGGAGTAAGTGCCAGCTTGTCTAAATAGCACGTCTCGCAAACCTGGAAATTCTCAATAGCGTGGTTCTTTGATAGATACCATTCACCGGCATCAGTTCGTATCTGCTCCCCTTTGCATGCCGGAAGTTGAAAACGTCGGCTAGCGGTATTTATAAAGCCGTTCCAGTTATTGTGCTTGGACATGGGAGCAACAGAGCCCGCAATGTATGAGATGCTCAAATCGCAACTGAATGTCGAGACTCCTTCGGGATAAGTACCAAACTTGGGCTCAAAGCTAGTCCCAACAATGTAATCCTCGTAACAGGCCTCACATGCGACAAATCCCTCAATATCATTGTCCATCATGCCATAGAGGACTCTGCCCTCGGCGGCCTTTGTCATAGTCAGCCCGGGACAGGGCTTGAACTGCAGACGTCTGGTCATATATTCACGCAGAGCATTCAAGTTGTTTGTCCGAATAGCTTCGGGCCAGAGAACCTCTTTGATACGAGGAAACCGAAACCCGCAGACGGCAACTTCGCCATCGGGCCACTCTATCTGTTTGAACTGAGCTTCAAGGGCGGTTCCTTTGATATGGTCGGCATGACATCTGGTGCATATCAAATAATCTGCCGTGTCGTCGAACACATTTGGGAGGTAATACCAGTTCAGAGAGTACTTGATGGCCACCCCCCCGGGGCATTTTGACACAGTTTCTAGTGGATCTCCAGTCTTTCGAACTGAATCGGCCGGTCGCGGGCCATCGTTTTCATATTCATTTGACGTGTGCGAGAGTAAGTCCTGTTTTCCCGAGTCAAGATTTAGATCGCTCAACTCTGCAACGAGATCGTCAAAGGGATTTTGCAAAGCCTCAGATTCCGCCATAGTTTCCTTATTTTGTAGCTTATCAATAGTATGAGCGCAATGCAGCCAACTATATAGTATTTGATGATAGTTTGGAAATTCACAAGAGGAGTGAACTGCGATATTTACTGGCTATAGCGCTAAGCCTCGAAATGAAGAGTCTCGTGCGGCTGAATTCATCCGATGATAGCAAGGCAGATTCTCCATGGTGCCGCAAGGCAGTGCCTGTAATGTTCCACATGCGCGCATACACGCGTACAGATATGTGACAGGCAGGGAATAATACTTGTATCTATGACAGGGTGAATAAACGTGCTCGACTATTGGTCGCTGTTGCTCCCATTTAGCCGAGAGATGTAATAAGATCCAATAGTTCCGAATCCCTTGTAAACATGTAGGATTATTATTACAAAGCATCGTAGAGTTATGAATGCATCACTACACAAGGCACATACCTCATTGTGATGCCTGGGTTAAAGATGCCGTAATCTCAGCCCATCACGGCAGAACGCTGCCGGGGTTCATTGAAGATATTTGCTAGCCAGCACCCCAAGTTGGCTGCCCAACATCCAGTGTCAAAATTTAATTGCAATGATATCAAATACAAAAAGAATATAGCGATAGTAGCAGACGATGTGTCCCAAATCATCCAAATGCATTTGAGGACGAATGATCATTGACCACGACAAGAGGCTGAGGTGACTCGAATCAGCCAATTAGGAAGTTGCTGAACATCGCTGGAGCAGTTCATGATTAGAGCCTGAGATAGCATGGATATATAAAAGCCGCGACGTTTTTATGTGTAGGCACCTCGAATTCGGACGTTGTAACACTGGTTAATTGTATGTCCTTCTCCACCCAGGCAAAACGGGCTTGCTCTAACAATGTGATTATATTTTCAACAACGATATGTATGCCGTGGAGTAACTGTGATCAATGGTGGCATGTATGTTGAGGATTCAGTGAAATTTGTACTCTTTCAAGACCATATTGGAGATGATATATGGCCATTTGATCTAACATCTCTATTAATTCTATTGTGGATTGCAACATCTCATCCATTCATGTGGTTATTGTGATGCAATTTGTTCTTCCATCAAAGCCTTGTCTTGCCAGCCGGTGTAGCATTTGGATTCACTTTTTGAGCCCATTCTTCGTCAATAGTAATCTGCTCTGTTCTTGACTTCTTGTTCCAATATTGCTCGAATTCGGCTTTCTCCCGTCGCCATCGCTCGAGCTCGTCTCCGAGAAACGCAGTGATGGCGTCCGCACACTCGGAAACCTTCTCCATCGCCACCAGATGACCACAGTCAAGAGTCACCTCCTTAACTCGACCTGCAGCAGCACCGCCGCTGCCTCCAACTCCAGTTCCTGTTCGTGCCATTTTCGCCTGTCGCTCTGCTAGCGGCGATAGGTTTGACTTCTCTCCAAAGATGTATAGAACGCTTGGACGCAATTCTGGCAAGCGACGAAAGACGTGAAGTGGTTCAGGGCGATAGAAAGGGTATCCAGGATACTCTTCGTCTGCGATGGGATCTTTGTCAACATATTCCTCCCCTGGGATTTTCGGGTATGTAGGTCGGAGGAAGGTGAATAGTTCTTGGTGTTTTGAGGTTGTAAGCGTGAAACGCTCGTTCTTTTCCGCACCTTCGGCAGGGTAGAGCTCCGTCGGAGCCTGGCGGAGGCCATACTCTATCCAGCGGTCAAGAACTCGCGGATCCCAGGACTGGAAGAACTTGCTTCCTTTGAATCTTGAAGTAGCTGCATCCTTTGACGGCCAGATATCTTGACGGGAAGTCGAGGACACGGCAGGGGAAATGCTGCCATTTGGGACTTGAATAACGGGATCAATAAGAACAAGGGACCTGAGTAAGCGTGGATGTCCTAGAGACAAGAGCGATCTTTTCTTGTGTCAGTATATAGGATAAAAGAAGATTGGACGTCTCCTACAATTGTGTACCGCCCATGCTGTGGCCTATACCAACGATCGGATGAGGCATAGAATCTTGTTTCTGGTTGATGAGGTTCATTAGGTCTCTGGCATGGTCGGACCAGCTCGCTACCACCAGTCAATAGCTGAAACAACATCGCAAAATGGTCACTAACGCTCATTTCCAAGAATCTTCTCATTAAGAATACCCGATTGACCCTGGTTCCAGATATCCGCTATAAAAATTGACCGGATGCGAAAGCCTGCTCGAGATGACCGTTGATATATCTCTTCCCAGAGGGGCTCATACATTTCCTGTTGTGCCGTTCAGCACATATATCAAATGCAGGGAGAATTTTCATGAAACTAACCTTTGGGAAACCGTTCGCATGGGCGCCAATGATTGTCACATCACCGGGCTTTGGTGTAGGGTTGTCCAGCGGAATGTACTGCTTTACTGACAACTTCGGCGTATCTGCATCACCATTGGCAGTCGCCGCGATGTAGTCTCTTGTATGGCACCCCTTGATAGTATGTTGAACCACACGAAATGACGATGCCATTCTAATAGCTATATTTCGCTGTCCAAGTTGAAGAACGAGACTTCGTCGGTTGGTCTTACCAAGACGGAAGAGTGTACTGGTTCGCCTTAACATGGCTATCGGCGATACAGTACTCTAAATGGAACTATTGGGCACCTACAACTACTATAAGAAGCCTCGGCTTCGACGGGAATAATGCTGAAGCTTATATGGATTAACACCGCTGGCCGACCTCGGGCTGGCCAACTGGATATTGGGGATATTGATGGCGACCGCTTTGTAGCGGGCCGCGGACTGCATGGGTCTGGCTACGGAAATAAACCGGTGGAATGTTTGGCGTCTCCATTGTGTTCAGATAGTTCCCTTTTCACTTCTTCTCCGTCACATGTGAAAGCTTTATTCACTGGCCCATTAAGTCTTTCTAATTAATACGCTTTCGCTAGCTCTTTGTCTCCTTGCCTTTCCAGAATCTGTCGCACTAGACTATCGTTGATGGGTGTCGGTACTCCAACCTCCCTTCCTCTTCGACACCAATATCCATTAATAAACTCTATCTCTGTCTTCTGCCTCCGGCGCAAATCCACCACCATCGAACAAGTCGTCTCTGATGTTTTAAGAATGATATCGTTCACTGTTTTCTCCAATTTGTCAACTGAGAACCGCTCCGAGATGCCAGACATCCCCTGTAACTCTGGAAGTGCTTGTATAACTTGAGAGATCTCAGTGAGAAGGGCTCGGCGAGTGTCGGGAATGGTGAACAAGAACTTGTTTTTGGCATCGTTGAGAGCACAGAGAGGATTGCAGAAGGCATTGACAGTGAGCTTTTCCAATTGGATCTGAAGAACGTCCAAAGTTGAGTACCTCGTAGCGTTGAACCTTGGGACAAGAGGAAGAGCTTCCAGAAGATACGATGGCGCAGTTTCTTCTGTGTCAGATTCTGATCGAAGAACAGGACCTAGTGATGTCGCAGAAAATCCAGTGTGCTTAATATCGAAGGGATCATTTAGTGTGATGCCGTGTGAGATGACACCGGTGAGATACTTTGGTCTTGTAGATTGTTCGGTGAAAACCTCTTCGTTGGCGGCTTCAACCATTCCAGATCCGTTCTGTAGAAATAGAATGTGCGAGGATGCGTTGAGCCTATGCTTTAGTGGTTTGAGTGCTGCTGTTGTTTGCGCATCCTTGACTGAAACAATGAGGTTGTCGATGATATCGTCCTGTACCGTTGCACTTAATCTTCCACGCGCTGTATCTGTCTGAACGCGGTGCCATCCACCTTTTTCCAAGACTTCGACATTGTATTTATCGTGGTGGTCCACAACTCCTCCTTCTATTGTTTCCAACCGTACTTTGCAACCTCTCTTAATAAATTCGTCGACGAGAGATGGGCGATGCAGTAACAAGGTGACGGACGGCGTCAGAGGAGCTGGCACCTCTGCGAGGCAATGCGCTGCAAAGGTACCAATGCTACCAAGTCCTAAGACATGCACTCTGGGTTGGCTAGTTTTTGCAGTCATCGTGTTCAATGTTCTCATCCAAATTGCGACCTTGGATATATACGTTTGGAGGGTGTTTGGCCAGCACTTTCTGTATGGTGCCATGAGGAATCTATCAATTTTAAAGAGAGAGGCTGCGATCATACGTTGCACATTTTGGCTTATTTACAGCTTTCTTACACAGTCGATTCGAGGCAGAGCATGCATAAATCTTCCTCACGCCCTGTGCATCGCAAAGTTTGAAGGTGATATGATATCAGGCCCACCATGGGTGCTTTTGCAACTCATTTCAAAGAGTCGTAGAGCGTGCATTTTTTTTTCAACTCTTAATGTAGGTCCGATTCTGTTAAACATTCAGAAAGGGCTATTTACATCCACGCCTATCTACTCGTTGGGCGTGGCAAGTTGCCCCTTCAGCGAAGATTCATGTTCCGAAAAGCCACATCTCAAGATAGATTTGCGCCTCTTTTACGGCGGCATGGAGTTGATAACACCAAAATCATCTTCTTTACTAGTTGCTACCGAGTCAGCCGACTGGTCATGTTTATACTGAAGCCAACGGGGCTATGCGATGGGCGCAGGGCGCGAAATCAGAATATCTCGGAACCCAGACCGGAGTGGAGCTTCCGGCGGCAATATCTCGAGCTAGGGTATCTCGGCAGGGATACCGATAATACCGATTCGAGCGTTGAGCTGCTCGGGATCCAGAATTCACGCCCTACGCCCTACGCCCTTCGCCCTACGCTTTGCCCTCGGGCGTGGCCCGGATTAGCAACCTGGGATGAAAATACAGTAGCATCTCCTCAGGTCCGGGTATCTCATGCGACTGCGACACTGTGTCCCGAAAACGGCTGAGAGGCCCAGAAGCAAACTTGGTTGGCAACTCTTAGGGGAGGCCGTGGGAGCGTGCTCGGCCAGGATGAGTTCAACAATACGCCTTATCTGGCTGCTCCAAGAGGCACGCCCTACTCCCTGGCTGCTTAATGCTTGGGTACGCCAGCGCTTTATTGGCTCCCATGACTTCGATGTCCAGATAGATCATAAGTAGCAAGCTGATGAGCCGATATGAATCAATGCATTGTTCATGTTTTTAAGTACAGGCCTCTCCTCGCATGCCGATGTGACCAACCCCAAGGCTATCAGCTGAAGCATTCCCAACTACGGCATCACTTGTACTTCCCTTGTATATAACCTTCGCAAAATGGCAGTTGAATCTTCCCCTGGGCCTCTGGACGCGTCCAGGCTCGAGATAAAAGCCGTTCCCAATCCAAAGGCCACTCCTGATGCCGATAACCCAGACCTTATGAGTCTCAAGACATCCACGGACCGAATGATAACGGCGTCCTGGAATGAGGAACGAGGATGGACAAATCCTCAGGTGGTTCCCTATGGACCTATCTCCCTGATGCCCTCAGCAAGCGCCTTACAGTACGCGACACAATGCTTCGAAGGTATGAAGGTATTCCGCGGTTATGACGGCCGTCTCCGCCTCTTCCGGCCTCTGTATAACTGTGAGAGGATGCTTAAATCGGCGACGCGCATCTGCCTCCCGGCATTTGACCCGCAGGAGTTACTCAAGCTTATCCACAAGCTTTGCGAGCTTGAGGCGCCGAAGTGGCTGCCCAAGGATAAGCCAGGGTCGGCATTGTATCTGAGGCCAACCCTGATCGGCTCTGATTCAAGCCTGGGCTTCAAGGTGCCGGACGAGGCGCAGCTGTACATCTTTATGGTGTACTGGCCAGCCCCCAAATCAGTCACTATAAATGGCGGAACTGCGCCTCAGGCGGGAACAAGACTGTTAGCGAGCAGAACATCGGCCGTTAGGGCATGGCCTGGAGGTACTGGAGCAGCCAAGGTCGGAGGAAACTATGGAACGGCGCTTATGGAACATGGTATAGCCAAGAAGCAGGGCTATGACCAAGTGCTTTGGTTGTACGGGCCAGACCGCCAGATCACTGAGGCGGGGGCAACAAATATCTTTGTGATATGGAAGACTTCTTCCGGCGCTCTTCAAATCGCCACTCCTCCGTTAGACAAGGACGGCCTGATCCTGGCTGGCAACATACGACGCAGCATCATAGAGTTGGCGCGGGATATGTTTTCCACAGTCACTGTAAACAAAGAATTGCAGTGTGAGGTACTGGAAAGAAAGATTACTATGGGTGAGGTCGAGGAGTCATCTCGCAGTGGTAGGCTAATGGGCGTTTTTGTGGTCGGAACGGCCTTCTGGATCCAGGAGGTCAGTGAAATCGGCTTCAATGGTGAGAGCATTAAGGTGAACATCGGTGCGACGACACATGTTCTATTGCTGAGGGAGAGAATGACAGAGATCATGTTCGGGAAGAGGGAGAGTGATTGGGTGGATATTGTTCAGGAGTCAGGATAGAATTCACCGACCTATGGATAAACTCCACTACTTGTTAGAGAACTTTGAGTCAGGGTGTGACAGTAGATAGTTGCACTTATAAACTGTCATCTGACAGACCGTATATGTTCAAGGGTCCTGCAATCAAACCGCGCAAGCCTTCCATCAATCCTATCCTGTGTTCCGCCGTGCTAGACGATCCATGGCGGTGACCATAGGGCCAAAAGCCACCATATAACCAAGCAACTCGTACACAGAAACCTAAGATGAATCTTGCTTTCTCATCGGTGTATTTTTGAGATGACGGTCGCGAAACATCGAGAGCCAGTCATCATTGTCGGCAATAGTCTGGTCCCATGGATCAACTGAGTCAAACATAATCCGTCTGGCCTCGTCTTGAAACATCCTATCCGTGGGAATAATGCCGAGTCTCATCTGTTCTTGAGCATAACGGCCCAGGTGCAATGCTAGGACTTCGGGAAAGGTCATGGAACTAGTTTCCTCACTGAGCGACTCCAATGGCGCCGGCTGCGTCGTCGACTCGGCTGAAGGCTCGGAGCCACTAATGGGCGAGGCCGTGTGCCCGCCATCCCATATTCCTAGGCTCTGCTCCGTTGCATGCTGGATCTGGGAGAGATGATCCTTGGTCCCGTGGCTGTTGACCAAGAACGGAATTATAGCTCTGGACTCTGCCCCAATGAGATATGGGGGCATTGCATGTGTGACCTTGACTGGGACGGAGGACTCAAAGCAATGTTCTCCTTTCCAGCTGTCCATCGTTGCACCCTTGCGGAAGTGTTTTGCTAAATGGTCGACACGTTCTTGCCAGGTCTTCATGCGGATGTTGCAGAAGCCGCATCTCGATGACACTGGGGGGCCTTCGTCTTTCCAGGAGTCAATGATGGGTAGAGTTTCAACATGGTGCGCAAGCCGTAGGTGCTGAACAAGGTGATCTTTCCGGCTGAAAGCGGGCGTCTGTCCCTGACTCTCGCAGGTACCGTGATTATGAGACTCGAGATGTTTGGCGTTAGGATCAAGTATACTGCAATATGCGCAATGCGCTCTCCCAGTTTCGGGGGAAATAACCGCGCCGCCAAATGGAGTGCATCGCCAACGCTCAAGATTAAGATGAAGTGACTTTTCATGCCTGGACCAGTCATATTTGCTCTTGAACGAATCACAACAGAATGTACATGGAAATATCCTCTTATCTTTGTCTTTCTCCTTCATCTTTGTTGCATTTGCTCGAGTTCGTTTCGCCACCCGGCCACGAGAAATGTTATTTGAACTTCGAAAGGCTGCTGAGCTAGTCGAGGCATTCGAAGCCGAGGAACAGCTAGTGCCGCTTCCGAAGCTAATGGTTGAAGCTGCGCGGGTGCCAACTCGTTGGCTATCGAAGCTGCCAGCTGAGGAACGGGATCGTAGGGGTGTATGTTTCAAGGCATCGGCAATAGCGGACAAAGATGCTGGCTCTGTTTCAGGTGGTGATTCTCGCCATCGTTGCATTGGATCCAAAGCATCACCAACCAATGTCGAGCTTGCGATGTCTATTGGTGCTGGAAGGGTTGGTTGATATTGTTGGCTGCGGAAGTACCTGCTCCGTCGTCTTGGGAGGCCAGGTTGCTGGTTCTCAACTACTGGGAAGTACTGAAACATCCCAGGAGGGCCATGGGTAGGTGTCCATGTAGCCGACGTCTCGCTTCTGCCCATTTCTTCGGTCTGTGATGCATCGTTCGGCGCTGAGCTTGGTTGTGGAGAGAATGACGGCGCCTTCCAGTAAGGCTCGTGGCTCAGGCTAGGATCTATCGTGTATGGCGGTGGAATGACATTTGATTCTATCGAACCGGCGAAAACTGATTCTTGCCCAAAAAAGAGTCCTTGATCTGACGAGCTCTCGTTCATCGCTTCTTCATAATGTGATAGCTGAAGGGGAAGGAAGTGATTTCCTGACAGGCTCGGATTCTGTGCGCTGGTTGTTTCATGATCGGTTTCAGTAGCTAAGTTAAGGCAAGTGAAGTCTAGTTGCGAAAATCTCATGACTGCTCTATTAGCATTAGGCTATAACGGCTATTTAATTAGAGAAGAAGGCTTACTAGCATCATCGAGATTCTCTGCCGAGTATCGTTGCTCTACGCCCGTGTTATCACCGATTTGCGCCATTGGGAGTTAATGCAAGATTCTCCAAGATCAAAGAGCTTCTGAAACAATAAATCCAATCCCCGAAAAGGCAAAATAACTGGTGCAACTGATACGGTGATGCAAGCTCAGTGAGATTAGGGTTGTTTAGTAAAAAGAGAAGATGTCGAAGATCTTCGGTCACAGGGAGCCTAGCCCCTCGTTGGTTTCCGGGAGTCGGACATGGCTGGCCCCATTTGGTTTAACATGACTTAGTAAAGCCATGATCAAGTGGGACACTGCTGCCACCTTGAAGATGCAGTAAAACCCGAAATAAGTGTCCGGCTTTATTTATGTCGAATCTCTTTCCCCATGGGCCACGCTATGGGGCTTGTGGCTTATACAGTGTGAGGTACAATTTTATAGTACGTACTGTGTCATTACGAGCCTTACAATCCTTGTCTAGTTGTTAGTTTGGCTGAATGCATTTGTGACTAATGTTCTTAATCCCACTTACTTAAAGCTGCTGGTATTCAAGGAGAATTTATTCTTTTTTCGTTCAGTCTCTTAACTTCTCCTTTGTTCTACATCATTCTGCAGTTTATACAAAGCCAGCTCTCAGGAAAGGGGAAGCTATCCGAATCCTTTCCTCTTTATGCACTATTAAGACTCAATAATCCCTAGCGGAGAGACTAGCTGCCAGGGCGGAAGAATACTTCTAGAGAAGAGTTGAGCTTATTGCTGTTGGTATGTACATACCAGACTCAATGTATATAATGTAACAGAAGGCCAAGAATCTGCAATTGTTTGCATTACCAATTCCCAAGTGCAAAATATCTACACATCGCTTGAGTTCTTTCGCCGCTTGTTTGACGAGAATGGCTCTTTGGACCCCGGACGTTTCTGAACACGGCGAGTATATAGTACATATGTATGTTGAAGAAATATATTGGCGCAATTAACTATATAAAAACGTATAGGTAGTTCTTACAGCCCGTTGGAATATACACAGCTTCCTAACACCACTTATCAAATGCAAAACTTGTTCTAGCAATTCATTGTTATATCTTTGTATAGTAAGCAGATCCATAATCATCCATCTCCCTACCAAGTCTGGCCGAAGCGGGGCCTTCAACTGGTATTACCACCGACCGTTTGCCGTTTTCCCGGAGCTATAGTTAACAGTAATCCTTCCAACTCCACGCGAACCACTGAAACTGGAGAGAGGCCGAATATTTTCGGGCTAAACACACCTCGCGGGCCGAATGTCCCTTGTCTACGGAGTACAATCATGCCAAAGCCGCGGACGACCGCGTTAGGGCCGCAAAAGCGACTGACGCGTTCGAGAGCGATGACGAAATTCGCGAGGATGGCACAGCAGTTATATAGTGTGTGCATGAGAGGGTAACAGAATTGTGTTCCTTTCCCTGAGTCTTGTATGAGTCTCGTACAGAGCGTCGACACTGGGCATCATGAGACTCGCAGAATCGTCTACGGCCACTGCGCTGGCAGCGGCTGCTGCTGTATCAGCAGCTTCATATGACACATGCGTAAGGCCAGCCTGTTTTCCCCTCTCTCATTACCTTACTTGTAACACGATACTGACCTGCCGCAGTGCGCTCGTCTCGCCTCAGCGCTGGGCGATGTAGTCACCACCACGCCGTTCGCCGAGAGTGACTACTTCTCCCTACAGGAGTCGACCCTCGTGCCGGCCTGCATCGTCCGGCCACGTTCCGCACAGGATGTTAGCAAGGCGGTGACAATCCTCACCACATCACGGCTACCAGGGTGTCAGTTTGCTGTGAAAGGTGGCGGTCACACACCGGCCGGAGGCTTCGCCAACATTCAGGGCGGCGTGACCATCGACATGACGAGCCTGAACGCGACAGTGCTGAGCGAGGATAAGACCTCGGTAGCCGTCGGGGCAGGCGCTGTCTGGAACGATGTATACGGCTACTTGGACGGTTTCCATCTTGCTGCCGCTGGTGGGAGGAACGGTCTCGTCGGAGTTGGTGGCCTGCTCCTGGGCGGTGGCATCTCGCATTTCTCGCCGCGTGTTGGATGGGCGTGTGATGGTGTTGTTGAGTACGAGGTATGTATACTTGTTGCTCCCTCTTCTTTGCTATGCTTCATCGCTCTCCCTCCCATATTCCAATCTCCCGCATTCTGACTTCCTAAACAGGTCGTCCTCGCAAACGGCGCCCTCGTCAACGTCTCCGCGGCTAGTCATCCCGACTTGTATCGCGCGCTCAAAGGCGGTGGAAACAACTTTGGCGTTGTAACGCGCTATGAGTTGACGACGTTTCCGCAGGGGAACATGTCAGTGAATACCATCTCATACGACGTATCCCAGGCTGGTGCCGTGTTCGACGCTTTCACCGGCATCGCTGCCTCGCCAAACTTCGACCCTTACGTGTCCGTCCAGACGGGCCTGCTCTACGCCTCGGCAGCGAAGGCGTGGTCGTTAAGCAGCTCGGCCGTCTACACGAAGCCCGTGCTTCACCCGGAGGTATTCAGCGGCCTCGAGGCCGTGCCAAGCATCTCTAACACCTCCGAGATCACGACCGTGGCTTCACTGGCTGCGGAGAATCCCACTCCGCCACTGTGAGTTAACCACCACCCCAAGATATATATGCCGACGAATTCCCTATGAAGAGGACGAATGTACCTAATGCAGAATTTGGTGGATAGGAACTGGCTTTTCGCCACGCTAACGTTCGGGACGTCGAGCGAGACCATGCTAGACATCTTCAATACCCTAAACGGATCGTTGTACAACTTCAATCCTGCCGGTGGTGTCACATGGAACTTTGCCTTCGAGCCCTTGCCATCTGTGATGCTTTCACATGCCGCTGCCACCGGAGGGAACGTTCTCGGGTTAGAACCCGAGGATGGCAATAGTGTCAGTAAGTTGCTCTGCCCCGGAATCTTCTCGCGCCAGGATGTATATGCACGATACTTGTCCATAGGTCTGACTCTGACATGAACAGTCCTACTCTTCTCTGCCCTCTGGCCGAACTCGAGCTCTAACGATTCTATCTACCGGCAAGGCCGAGACACCTTTACGGCTATCAAGGCGGTCGCTGAGCGAAAAGGGGTGCTGCGGAAGTTTGAGTATCTGAACTATGCAGGCCCGCACCAGTCACCGCTAGCTTCTTACGGGGCGAGTAGCCTGGACTTCCTCCGCCAGGTCAGCAAGAAGTATGACCCTATCGGAGTGTTTCAGTCCAAGGTGCCTGGTGGCTTCAAGTTGTGGTGAAAGTATACGTGTCACAGGACAAATGGCTTGACTGTTAACGCAGCTAATTGAAGCCATCAACGCCACGGATATCGCTGTATAGACTGCTCAGTAAACCGTAGAGCCCATATCGCGTATATTAATTGACCTGGAAGCCCCCATTGATGGGTTGAGGGGTCAGTGATCAGTTTAATTGAATACGGACCCTATAATTGGAGCCTTGAAAGAGGGTCCTCCTCAGGGTACGCACTCTGCCTTGTAACGCCCCTAATAATACATGTACGTGACTACAGCTGGGAAATGTTCGGGGATGGTCCACACAGATACGCATACTGTGAGGGACTACAGCCAAATGCAATGGTACCGGAACCTTCCTTGGTTGATCATCCTATTTCGGTTTCTACTGTACCGACAGTGACTAAAACGGGGGGAAATCACAGGTGATATTCTACATGTTAGATACTCCGCGAAACGGGCTACAGTATGAAGTTGTTTCGAAAAATATGATTCTTGTGGTAATTCTCTACGGTATATAACTAACTCTTGACCCCGATAATAGCTCCTATCCATCAACAAACGTGTTTGCTACTTTGTCTCTCCTTTCCCGCCTGGCGTTTGCACATTACGCTTACATATAGTTTAGGAACTGGTTGAGTTGTGAGCTATGGCTATGGATATCAATTTTGATTTTCAATACATTGCAACTTCGAAGTGGTGATGAATTCAATGTTCCTAGTGGGACGTGTCAAACAAGAGGGGACCTGTGGTCAGAATAATGAGGCCAGGCTTGCTCTCCATTGGCTGATGGCTGGGCGAAGTTGGGTTGCCAACTGGCTAACTTATTCAGATATGGGCTCTGGACTGATCGACAGGGATAATAAGCTTGCGTACATCCGCATTTCCCGTATTACTGGCCAGATTCCTCAGTCCCCAAACACCAAACCAACTCGGCATTTTCGGTACCCACATGCCGGCAAAGAAGCATCATCACAAGCGAGTACGACGTTCGACCCATTCTCGGCAGTTCTAGTTTTGTCGTGGGTGATAACTCCTGTGGCCGCTGGTTCCCTCATACAATAACTCTGTTACCTGAGACATGATAACCATGTTGCCATTAGTGAATGCAATTCCATCTTCTAGGTTTAGTGCTGCCACCATAGCTGGCAGGGGCAAAAGTTTGTTGTATATGAATAAAGTGTGCCGCTGGCGAAGAAAATCATGGCTACCGGCTCCCGTACATAACTACATTGCGGCTGAGGTATAGTAGGGTGGCGCAATGAAGCTTATCTTCTATGATTGGTAAGGAAAGCTTCCTCAGCAGAAGGATTTTCACAGTACAGGATTGTGTCACGTATGCGGAGTAATGAAATATCTCCCCTCCCCACAGGGCTGTTCGGGTATCATACCGAAATTGCCGGATCTGTGCGGCAGATGTTGCTGTCGATCCTGATGGGATGGAGCTGCATCAGGACGTTCGGACATCGCGATAGTCTTGTAGAGACGAAGCTGAGAAATCAAGCTTAGTCTCTGACCTCAATTTCGTCATCATGCCAGATGATGTGGGCGGAAAGAATCCTTCCAAAGGACCACTTGCACATATTTAAACCACCCGATTACCACGAACAATTCAATTGATTTGCATCTACATCTTCATCTCAGTACATTTGAGTTAGTTTACACTCATCCTAAGTAACAAAACAGTAGCCGTACAACATGGCCGCATACCTCACGCAACGCATTTCTCACCCTCACATTTCTCATCCTCACCACGGCATCATCGTCTCACGAGCTGGAACACCCGCCCCTGAGAAGACTGCGAAATGCTCAGCGGCAATTCCAAACGTCGCTGCCAAGGGCGTCCCATTCTTTACACCTGAGCAAGATCCGGTGGCTGGCAGCGCGACCGCTGTCCAACCGTCTGGCAATCCCATCCCCAAACTCTTCACGCCTCTCAAAATCCGTGGCCTTGAAATGCCAAACCGTATCTGGGTCAGCCCCATGTGCCAGTATAGTGCACACGAGGGCTTCCACACGCCTTGGCATATAACTCACTATGGTGGTATGGCCCAGCGAGGTGTAAGTGATGCCTTTCATTCAAGCTCCTCTCCCCATCTATTTCTATAGTGAACTAATGCAAGTGACTTAGCCGGGCCTCATCATGCTTGAAGCAACTGCCGTGCAGGCCAATGGCCGCATCACTCCGGAAGACTCAGGCATCTGGCTTGACGCACACGTCGATACTTTGAAGAAGCATGTCGACTTTGCCCATAGCCAAAATGCTCTCATCGGAATCCAACTTGCCCATGCTGGTCGCAAGGCTTCAACAGTCGCACCCTGGCTTAGCTCTGGAGCCACAGCCACCGAGGCGGTTGGCGGCTGGCCATCAAACGTGGTGGGACCAAGTGATGAAGCATTCAACGAGCATTACCCCAAGCCCCGAGCTATAAGCCTAGCTGAGATTGCACAACTCAAGAGCGACTTCCTTTCCGGCGCGCGTCGAGCTCTCCTGGCCGGATTTGATGTAATCGATTTGCACTTTGCCCATGGTTACCTTGTCTCCAGTTTCCTCTCTCCTGCGGTAAACAATCGCACAGATCAGTACGGAGGAAGCTTTGAAAATCGTACGCGCCTTGCGCTTGAAATTGTTGACGCAATAAGGGAGATTATTCCAAAGGATATGCCCTTGTTTGTGCGCATTAGCGCCACTGACTGGCTGGACACAAATTCAGACTGGAATGGTCCAAGCTGGACCGTGGAGGAGAGCATCAAGTTTGCCAAGATCCTGGCCCAGCGTGGAGTTGATGTACTGGATGTGTCAAGCGGCGGTAACCACGCACAACAGAAAGTCGTCGGCGGACCTGGTTATCAGGCGCCATTTGCGAAGGCCATCAAGGCAGCAGTTGGCGATGCTATGCTAGTGAGCTCTGTGGGAAGCATCAAAACGGGACTCGTGGCGCAGGAGATTATCGAAGGAAAAGACGCAGACGACACTCCGTTGGATTTGATTGCCGCAGGACGAATGTTCCAGAAAAATCCAGGTTTAGTGTGGGCATGGGCGGATGAGTTGGGTGTTACCATCAACGTCGCCCACCAGATCGGATGGGGCTTTGGTGGGAGAGCGTCTAAGAAGACGGCGAAGAAACTCACAGTTCCTTGAATAGCTATATAGAATACTTCCTATCTTGGTGTAAGACCGAAGAAAGTGCTGGGACAGAGATTGTCCAGAGCCCAGGTATACTACGAATAGAGCAATGATGAAATTATTTGATGACTATTATAACAAAAAAAGAGTATATTTGTCATTTCTTCAGTTCAATAGAGTACTCCAATCCATTTCACAGTTATAAACGGTTTGTACTAAACTTTTCATCATAAAGTGAAATGCGTGTTACGTGTAGGCACAACAAAGGGCCTTACAACGCCTAAGAGCTACATGTATGCTCTACTTGCTATAATCCAGGAAAGATAATATGAGAAATCCAGATGTTTCAATAATTTAATAATTTCCACTCCTAGACATGTGGGCAAATCCGAGAATAATATTGGAGAACCAACTCTCGGGCCTATGACAGTTCCATCTCCATTAAGCTGGGATATTTATTGTGGCGCAATACGCGCGTTGCCACTATGTGTCTTCGGTAACGTCGGCTCCGTTCCCGCGGCCTAGACAAGCGACCAAAACGGGACCGGCTGAGGTCGTCGGAGATGTCGGTCTTGCCGCCGTGACAGACGAGGGTTTTCTCTCATTCATCATCTCATCCTGCATATATCCACGTCATTCCGAACGAGATTCAGACTCCGAAATGGACCGACAACGCAATAATGCTAGCTGGTCCTCCCGGCGGAGAGACGGCACTAGTCCATCCCTCCTTGCAAGTGCCAACAATGATAGGACCGACAATATCGGACCGGCCCGTCGCCAGCGTGCCATAACAGCATGTTTGGTGTGCCGCGCTCGTAAAGTCAGGTGTTCAAATGGCAAGCCTTCTTGCTCCGGGTGTGTCCGGCTCGGTTGTGAATGCGTGTATCCTGAGCCGCCAAGATATGGGCCACAATCGTATGTGATATACCTTAGTGTTAGGACTTGACGTAGTAACGGATGAGTAGCAACACCTCCCCTAGCTCTAACCAGAGCAATTCCGAAGTCCTCGATATTCTGCACGAATTACTGAGGAGGCTACCGCCAGCCACTGAATCAAGGCGTGAGATTCAAGCTACCAGCTCGGTTACTACCATTTCGCTTGCATTTACAGCTATGGGTCATGTTTTTGAATGGCCGGTATTCGGCATCAATAGACCATCCCATGGGGTGGCCTTTGACGTTTTAGGTACTAGTCATGTGCAAGATTCCAACCACGGGACGAGCCCGGCTTTTGGGATGCCACGTCTAGATGGCGAGGAAATCTCTGCATTATTAACAAGATTCTTGAGGATGGTCCACATAATGAATCCAATCTTGGACTGCACCACTCTGATGAATTATGGGAGAGCCGTTGCTGAACTTGGTCCACAGTGGGATCCCCGCACCTGTCTTGTGGTAAGCCAGCATAACCTATTTTGAGGTCAAGCAGCACGTCGATTCTGCATATCTCCATGCAATTGGTGAATGAGAAGAATAACCTTGGACAGCTTGTTGCTGCGGCACTGGGCGCGATAGCCGATCCATTCAATTCGTCCACGGATACAATAGAGACTCTCTCCAGCTCTTCATCACGGCAAGACGGAGCTCAATCTCGTCTAAGAGCCGAGTCGTATTATCAATCTGCCAGAAGGCGATTTGGCCTGCTAGGCATAAGCCTTATGGCATGTCATTGTCATTTATTGTCCGGCATATACCTTTTGTATACCTTACGTCCAGTAGAAGCCTGGCAGGCGTTCTTTCAGGCTTCATCGCTGTACACTGTATATCTCAAGACTCAAGCTGCGGTGCGTATTACTAATGATTCAGACGGTGGTGATATAGAGATGCTGCCCGACGAGCATGACTGCCATGACCAGCTGAGGCAGTGCCTTGAGCAGCGAATGTATTGGAGTTGCATCAAGTCCGAAAGGTGAGCCCTGTGCAAGATATGGCAAAGTAAATACGATGCTGATAACAATCAAGTGAAGTTTGCGCTGAGGTCGAGTTACCCAGATCTGCTCTATACACCATAGACTACCCCTACCAGTTCCCTTCACCTCCGACACCAAAGAGCGTGGAAGGCTTAGATGATAGCCAATACCACAGCACATCAGCATCCTCCGCCGCGAATATTTCGCCATCATCCAGCCACACTGCTGATATCCAAGATTTTAAGGAGCTTCATGAGAGTACATGGTTCAACTACCTCTCTGAGATTTCTCTCTCCAGGCTCTCAAATAGCGTCGACCAGGCGTTTTATACGATGCCTCCATCTTCCTGGGCGAGCATGAATTTACTCGACATGATAACAACGGCATGTGACTTTGAGAGGCAGATAGAGCGATGGCAAGAGACCCTTCCTCTCGCCATTTCTTGTTTTGACAAGTCCTTGGATTTGTCGACAGTTAGTGAGCTCCAGCTAGCTCCTTGGTTGCGTTCAGCCAATATCAAGCTGCGTATCTACCGCCCATTCTTATACTGCCTTGCACACAGGAGAGATCAATGCTGGCCGGTTGATGACGCTCTACGGCAACTGGCTCAAAAGGCGGTACTATTATGCCTTGACCCCTTGTTCAACTTCGGATTGAGGCATAGAGATGCTAGAACATGGTTCAAGTGCCGCGAGACAGCTTGTCGTGCACTGATACTTATTTGTGCAGGGAAAATTGGGCTTCTGCAGAGGATGTCTCTTGAGCAAGCCGCGCATGAAGCATTGAAAGTGTGCCTTGCACACTTGCGGTATTGGGAGGCAGAGTCAGACGATATCAGATTAACCCGTCAGGCTCTTGAGAAGGCCATTTGAAGATAGTATATTGCGCAAGTCAGTAAATCACTATTCTTGGGAGAATTGGCTGCAACCATTACTTTTATTGTTTCAGCTGAATAACCGGCGATTCGCTCCAAATTTGAGTGCTCCATATGCTTCTGCAATCCTTAACAGATGAATCTTCCCGTGAATACATATTATCGTTAAATACCGCTTGAGCCAACCACTCATTTCGAGTCAGATTAAATATGATCCTTACCGACCGTCACACCTAGGTCTGTTGAATCCTCCTCCTCTTGCATTGATGTTCTCAGTGGTTCCCATTTAGGCAGGACGGCCAGGACTGCACTGACAGCCAGCATGGCTGTAGCTAACGCATAGGCACCCTTCAATGCTTTCATATAGGCAGCAAAAATCGCAGGCAGCTGGTTAGCTGAAAACATTTTGCGAAGCTCAAACGCTCCAACCGAGAGGATTGCTGTATTAGACAAGCCTACGTCGCTTGCTTTGATACTGTCAAGCAGTATATTCGTAAAGATGGACTGTGCCGCAGAGACGGAGAATGACCCACCAACCAGCTGGAAGAACAGTGTCATGGCCGATATGGTACTCATGTCCGCCATTTCAACAGCTGCAGTGTTGGCCATGATAGGAATCTGTGATAGAAAGCCCGTTGATACACCTCCGAGGATCTGATACCCAATCCATTTGCTTACTTCAGTGTTCATGTCTAGGGTATAGAGAAGGCCGCCTCCAACAGCACTAAGAGCGGCACCGATGGCCATGAAAGGAACCCATTGATTGGTGACACTCAGTAAAATCCCAGATAGCATGGAGAACAGACCAGCAACCAGGAAGGGGAGATTGTGCACACCAGACTCTAGAGGACCGTCGCCCTTGATAGACTGGAAGTATATAGGGAGATAATAGATAAGGATGAAAAAGCCACCCGAGTTGAAGAAGACAACAAGCAGGGTGATAAACATTCGTCGTTTCTTCAAAAGCCGTGGAACTATAGATGCTCTTTCGGCTATCTAGGCTTCGTTGGCGGCAAAAAGAGCTGACAAGAGCACAGCGCCGACGAGCGTACCGATGACGGTGCTGTCAGACCACGACTTCTGCACACCGCCCCATTGCAGCGCCAGGAGGTAGCACACAACTGCACTCAGAATGAGACCACAGCCAACCAGATCAAGCCGTGAAAGCTTCTCCAGCAGCGGGATAGCTGCGGGTCTCGCAGCTTCTGGAAGGCGCAGAAAAACAATGATGATGAGGGCAGCAAGCCCGCCAATGGGGAGGTTTATCCAGAAACACCAACGCCAGGAAACGGTCTGGGCAAATACGCCGCCAACGATAGGACCGACAAAACTCGCCAGGGGCATATGTTGCGCCCATAATACCCATGAAAGCGGGCTAGCGCCGGGGCGGTACCGTATGACCGATCACAACGAAAGTACCGGTGGTGAGGCCGGCTCCTCCAACGCCGGCAACCGCGCGGCCGGCGATTAGTGCCGTGCTGTTCGGGGCTGCGGCACATATAAGGCTACCCATCTCGAACACGAGGAGGGAGACCAGGTAAGACCATTTGATGTCGATGTGCTTGTACACCTTACCCCAGCTCGTTTGGAAGGCGGCAAAAGTTAGGAAGGCGGAAGAGCCATACCAACCAATGTCATCGATGCTTTGGAACTCGGTAGTTATCTTGGGCACGGCCGTGGCCAGAATCGTGGCGTCGAGGTTGGCGGTAAACATGCCCAGGAACAGGGCTAGCATTATAAGGACCATACGGCCGGGAAGAAGTGGTGCTGTCTCCCCAGTCATTCTTTGGCTAGAGACTGTTCTCGAGGTCTTGGTTGATTGGTAAGAATAGGCCACTAAGAGGCAAGTGTTGGTCTGGCTTTAGTCGGTGCTAAATACGTCTCGATATATGCCGTTCTGGTGCAAATATTATGGTAGATGAGATAAACTTAGGTTGCCGTAGATCTGAGGAAACAAAGCAACGAAGCGGCGTGCCACTTGAACTTTTTCAGTCTGGCTATATATTGCCGAAATCTCAATTCTAGTTCTTGTATCCACAGAGGCTCAAGTATCATCGATATCTTCCCGCCAGACATTTTGCAGGGTGGTCTTATGCACATTGATGATTCGATATAATCCCCCGGTTACTTTTGAGAAAGCCAGGGGATAGGGGGTAGGCAAGTATATAACTAGTATCTAAGCACACTGCACATGGCGTAACTTCTTGAGCTGGTTAATTTCCGTCCTGTACCATTATCCGCAGACAGATAACATACGAAACTCAGCACCGAATAAAATCTGTTACCAAGCAGTCATTATACCGCGAATATACCAGAACATCCTTCAACAATGGCTATGATCCCCCAGCTTCTGGATGTACTCATTATTGGCGGCGGCCCTGCTGGGCTCGCAGTAGCTACGGGCCTCGCACGACAGTTATACACTGCGATTGTATTCGATAATGCCATCTATCGCAATGAGCGGGCTACCCATATGCATAATTACCTCGGCTGGGATCATACGCCCCCCAGCGTCTTCCGTGCTAAAGCCAGGGAGGATATACTGGCAAGATACCAGACTATCCAATTTGAGAAGACAGATATTGTGAGAGCCAGAAGAAATGAAAAGGGGCATTTTGAACTAGAGGATGCTCAGGGATGTTCTTGGACTGGAGGAAAGCTTGTCATAGCTACTGGTTCTAAGGACTCATATCCTGACATCCCGGGATATCAAGACTGTTGGGCATACGGCATGTAAGTAACTTCATCTGATGAAATAAGCGAAACGACATGACGGTGCTAACATGCTGTAAGATACGCATGCCTGTTTTGTGAAGGCTATGAAGACCGCAATGTCCAATCCCCTGGGGTCTTGGCTATGAATCACACCGCAAATCTTTCCGTAGCCCTGCACATGTCACGGATGGCTCATCGCTTAAGTGCTCATGTCACAATTTATACCAATGGATCTGAGGACCTAGCCATCACCTTAAGATCACTCTTAGAGACCGATAAGGATGCCAAGGAAGGGCGTGTTCATGTCGATAGCCGGCAGATTGTGCAGCTGAATCGAGGGAAAGAGCGGAGCTCAGAGGTTATCATTACTTTTGCAGATGGCGAGATAGCCAGTGAGGGCTTCATAGTAAGTACGCTTTCTATTATAAATCAGTGTCTCTTTACTGGAGAATGTTTCCTAAGCTCATCGATTGTAGGTACACCAACCGATGAACCAGATTAATGGGCCTTTTGCTCAGCAGCTGGGATTAGAGCTTACTCCTTCAGGGGATATAAAAACATCCCAGCCCTTTGGAGAGGCGAGCATGCCAGGAGTGTTTGCAGTAGGAGATTGCGCCACGCAAATGAAGGCAGTTTCTCAAGCTGCAGCTATGGGTGCTCTGGCGGCTGGTGGCCTATCTTTCCAGTTGGGAGCCGAATTGGCCACAATTGGAAATTAAGGTGTTTATAGTATTGAATGCGATGTGTTCTCCTCAACTTAGGTGACACAGACACAGCGAGATTACCACCACCGTAGCTAGCCTCGGTGAAACTTAGAGAGTGAATCCTGTAAAATAAAATGACATAGGAGTTGGATTATAAGAGTACTCGAAAAAAGAAAGTTCAGATTATCCAAATGAAAGTGAGGGGTCAGGGCGAGTGATCGCCGACCACCACGACACCACAAGGAGGAGGGCCCAAACGACCAATCAGTAAACTTCTAATACGAGCTGCAAAAGTGTAATAGCCAATTTGTACATAACTTGCACGGTTTAGAAACTGTATGTTTCTCTAAATCGATTAAGTCTCTCTATAGACCAAATTTGTTTATTGTCTGTACACCGAAGGGGTATCACGAGGTGGGGAAAGGATATTCTGCTCTCAGATGGGTATCGACTTTTCACTATCCCAAAAAAGGCATTTGTAGAAAAGAGTATAAACTCTTACTTAAAGAGGCCTCCATGAAGTTATCCAACATAGCAGCCAAACCTTAAAGTCAAGTTAGACTCCAAAGCACGAGGCTTGGTACACTCGCTTGGTATCTGACAGATGCACTAGAGAGACTTTAGGCAAAGCCCAACACGCCTTATCATAATAAGAGCTATCCTCATAAGGCATATGCTGGTCAAATCTTAACTTTGCCGAAGCGAATAGCCGCGGTCGCTTAACCGTCATTTAGACTTCCAATCCCCGCGTGTAAGTGCTGCCGCTGTATGAGCTTGGCGACCTTGGCGACCTCAAAATAGTCTTGAGGCATCTTAGTCTGAGTAAGCGGCTTGTCGAAACTCCGAACGGTAAATGGTCATTCTAGGAGGCTGATTGGCTGAGTCTTGCCTCCAGAAGATGGGAAGCCGGTGAACCACCGGTTATGGGATGGCAGCCTATTGCTAAGCGCGGGCCCTTGTAAGCTTAATCAACTCCTCTTCAGTAATCAGATCAATGGCATTGAGTTTGAATCACCGCCCTAAACCCAAAGGACAGCCGGAAGTCTCACCCTCCTCTACCTCCGCTAAGGCTGACAGGCGAGCAGTGTTGTGCTATTTCCGGTTCCAACTTGACGGGTGCTTAAGTCCACACCTCCGCACCACCCGGCACCACATTAGTCACGGGTTGGAGCGAGGATGTGACAAACTCCGTGGCTGCCACATGAGGCTGCTGAACCTCCGTCCCCTCTTCCGCGATTGAGGGTGCCAGTAAGACCTAAGTCGCGGTCGCGGCGATTAACCAGTACCGGCGCTAATCGGGAGTCAAAGCCTGACAAATGCTTGTGCATCGGTTCACACCCCCTCCACCTCACGGATCGCGATAGACTCTATGACGATCATGAGGGAGTGAGCCGAGACTTCTCAGTGATTGGTTCTTTCGGCCTTGTGGGCATGGCCGATAGTTTGGATGGACGGGATTTATTCAGCTTCAAGGTTGGATGCTGTCGGCATCAATCTATCGGAAACCAAACTGTAATGTAGACTCAGAAGATGGCCGCCGAGAGAAAGCTCACAGCTCGTTAGGCAAGCTACCATCGTTTACCTCGTACTCAGGGTTTTGGGCGTTGTGCCATTAACAGAGGCGTTGCTGGCGATACTTGATCCAGTCTTGATCCGACAGCCACCGACAGCCCTATCAGCCATGGGCGTTACCTAGGACCGACAAAGTCCGTGGTGCTCCAGCAAACAGCATTATGCGGGGGAAAGCCAAATAGCCGCTGACAGAACGAAAGCGAGGGACCCGAGTCCATGGACTTTTCGATTTGCCACCGGGCTGGCCAATGAACACCCTCCGAGCACGCAAATGATCGATTTCGTCCGAACCGAAACCCAATGCAAGCTGCAAGCTAACAAGCCTGTAAAAACCGTTCGAATCGCCTTTATTGCTTCCGATGTTGCCCGTGCAACTGAGGAGCTCAATGCCGGCGAAGTGGGGCATCCTCGGTCTTGTGATGGACAGAATGGATACCGGACGCCGGAATTTCGCGACTAAAGGACTGAGTCGATCGTCCACGCCCTTCACACCCCTCCGACTTTTTGTCTTTTTTGTTCCTGAAAGTGGACAGGTGTAGACGTAGAAGAGGGTAGAGCTCTGGTTAAGGCCGGCACACCTGACCCGATCACGCAGGCACCGCGATCGGAGCGGTATTCACGCAAAGCAGACTCATCGGTGGATCGGATTCACGAAACACCACGGCTCGAAGGCGTGTTCATCGTGATCAAAGTACACGGGACTGGCGGCACCCAAGACAAGAGTCACGCGATCAGATTGCAGATTGAGGCTCAAGGTGACTTCTTTCGGCCCTCGAGAAACTTTCCGGTTGGTCTTCGGACATGTAGAAGCAGCCAGGATAACGAAACCAAGCGTAGCTAAGCATTTCTTGTCGCCACTGAGGTTGACGGTTCAACTGCTGGGAGATTGTACCCCAGCTTTTGGTCTCAGATCGAGGATCGAGGAGAAGGAAGATATGATGCCATTCATCTCATCTTCAGATCTGATAGGCCTTATAAAAATAGATTATCCATCGAAGGATTCGATTTCGATCCCAGAGGCGTTCATGGCGTATCAATGGTATAGACGAAGGATTCGTAACGACGTAACCGATGATTCAGAGGATGAAGCCATTCAGCCTTAGTAATCAGTCGGCAGGAAGTTGCCGCAAAGCCACAACATGGGGCGCCACAACATGGCACTGAGTTACATAAGCAGAGTTTCTGTTCACTCAAATTAGGCTTAGTGCTGTTGCTGTCTTCTCAAGGCCATCCCATCTGTGGCGTTTCGTTTTATGCAAGCTATGCACAACATGCAAATGGGCGAAAACCTCTTGAAAACGATATAAGATTGCGGATATCTACGTCGTCTACTGCTCCTTTTTGCAGGCCTAAGGCATTTGTGACTACTACTAATAGTAATCCTCTGATATATATGCTAACCCAATTGAACTTCCTCTAGAAAGCAATCGGTAAACGGGATCCGAAGAACAGAGAATGAGATACACATTTCACTTCCTGTGAGTTGCAATGCATTGCTTCATTTCTTTCATCATGGCCTATGTATTTTGTTGACATTAAATCATAAGATATCCCCAAAACAATATTAGTATGTCCTACTTCAACTTGACCCTGAACCCTCATAAACGGAGCACCTCAGACTACGTATATAATGTGTTGGCTTGAAACGAATGATACGTCAAGATTAGTAGATGTCCAGCAGCCACTCACTAAATGACAGATTTCCTCCTACAATTCATTTGACTAGTCCATTGATGTCTTTCTTGAGTATTACGTATACCTACCTATATAGGAAGCATATAATTCGTCTTCTTCAAATGAGTCTTGAAACTCAATGCCAAAAGCTAACGGTTCGCTGACAATTGCCTTTCCTAGAATAGCGCCGACAGCTGGTAACGTCTACTGTACCTTCATGTTAAGTGAGATGCCGTAATATTCATGGCTCAAGCTAAGTCATAACAACTACGGGAACTATGTACACAACAAGACAAATAACCCAAAGTACATGTAGATGAATTGTTTCAAATCACTGCCATTTTGTGTTATATACTAGAGCCGTTAACTTTGTGATCAAGCTTTCATCTGCAGCAAATCCTTTTGCAACTTCTCACGCGTCTGTGCATCTGGATATGCTAATTGTTCATTCATTTTCCAAGTATCTGTAGCATGATTTTATGATACATCAAGTGCTGGAGGAGTACTGTCCCACCCCCATTGCTGCTGTAGATTTGCAACTCTCTCCGCGGTTGAATACCCAGTTTCCCGCTGTATAGTCGCAAGAAGTTGGGCCAACGCCGTCCTCTGCTCATGTGCTTCGAAGCAAAGCCCAGCTATATACAAGGGCTGTACCATGTGCAGTCGAACAGGATCATCTGGCCGTCCTAGGGATATTGCACATATCTCATTGGCATGCCCTTCAATCTGAGCCGAAAGTTGGCGATATGCATTGAGGCGTTTAGCCACAAACTCCGCATGTGACTCTGAATACTTTTGATTCAGAGGTTTGTGCAACAAGAGGAGAAGCTGTACAAAATGATACAAGACTGCAGCTGTTGCGCACATGGCATTAGCGTAGAAGAGTTCCTGGAACGCGCTTTGAAATTCCGATCTCGGCGGCATATTGTCCGAAGGCGTAGGTATATTATTATATCGTTGTGCTATCCTTGCACAAGGCTCAAAGGTGTCTGGCAACGCAGCACACCAGTTGTCGAGATGTTGGGAGATATCATCCCAGCTTTGAATTTTATGGAGTGAGCTTCGATCTGTCTTTCCAGCATCTGGCGAGATGCTGTCTGATATTTTGTTGCTGCCCTTTTCAGCAGCCACAAACGCAAGTGTCTTCAAAATGACCCATATTAGGCTTCTGCAGGCCATCGTCTCCGTCATTTGCATTTGGTGGCCCGAGGTTTCATCATTGCAGAGCGAGACGGGTAGATGAATGCCATTGACAACACACATTGGTAGACCCGCTGCTTTCCACAACTCGAGATTTTCTATGTCAATGCGTGGTGGGGTCTCTCCAGTGTAAGATGTAACCCAGTCGATGCAGACAATATTCCAAAAAGACGCTTGCCAGGCTCTTCGAGTCTGTAGTCCGGAGGAAGCTCCGCCGCGAGGATTAAATTCGGTACTATCGAAGATTTGCTTTAGGTTGAAGGTAAGCAGATATTGTGCGCCGGACATGTGTCTAATTCAGGATATCATTAGCCAATAGGGTTCCTGGGGATAGAAGAAATGAACTATACCGGGAGACTTCTGCAAATCGATTATCAAGAGATTCGTAGAGAAGAAATACGGATATTGCCGCCAGGAGATCGTCCACAACATTATGAGAACTCTGACTGCTTTCGATCCGGCGCCTCTTGAACGATGGTGACACTGCTGAATGAAGGTTGAGTGTCAAATCCATCGACGATGGTGTTCCAGGTGGTGGAGAAGGGCTGCCGTCACGTAGTGTTTGTAGCAATCTCATCATATGACCAATAGCCTTGTCATAGAAACTTGCTGCCTTGTAAAACCAGTCGATATGAGCTACTTCAGAGTACTGCTCTAGCATCGACCTGCCAGGTGTTTGATGATTCGCCGAGTACGTCTCTCGCTTCGTCTTTCCAAATTGCTTTGCCGCAATGGCAGCCAATGCATTCTGTAAAAGCGGGCTTCGTATTGCCTTTATAGGAACAATGTGTCCAAAGAATCGCTCAATATCAAATACGTCCAGGCATGGACTGATTCGTTCGGCAAAATATCTTATCAGATATGCAGTTTCGTGGTCTGCCTCATTCGAAGAGTCTGGCATTGGAGATGAGAACTCGGTCTCTGGTCTCTCTGATCGCTCTGATCGCTCTGCGTCCGCTTCATATCCAGGCTGTGAATATCCTTCCAAATTAACGTCACCAAGCCAGGAGAGAGATGGCCCTTGCGGGCCATTGGCATCATTTATCAAGGAGAGAGATGGTATGAATCCACAACAGTTGTTCCCGTCAGCAAAGTAAATCTGGGGATCAATGTCGAAAAATCTGGCGTCAAAGTCTGAGTCAGAGATACTCTCAGTCGTGATAAAGGACGTGTCGTGAACCCCTTGGTTGGTAGAAAAGCTGTCATGGTCAGCCCCCTCCAGGCTAGAGCCATGCAGAGCATCATCTTGAGACGGAAGCTGAGCGTCGGCTGAAGTTGGAGTTGTTGCCTGGGTCTGAGCAACATCAATGCTACCTGAGGCCGCCGTGGGTAGCAAGGATGAATCGAGTGAACCAGAAAATGACGAGACAGTGGAAGCAGCTTCAGCCACCAGCTGCGAGTCTACGGGCTTGACAAGGCCACTCGCCTGCGGGCTAGCACCAGCCGAAGAGAACTTCTTTCGAAGGTTCTGGCTCTCATCGAGGAACCTGCGTAGATGGTTGTATCCGGGGCATGAGCGAGATGCCTTTTCACACCGCGCACAGCCCGGCAAGCGCTTGTCACACTAGGAAGACGTGAGATCACCGCACACTCCGAATAGGCGTAGCTGCTCGCCATGAACACGACACATACCTTGACCCGCCGTTTCCTGCACAGAGTACAAGGCACGGTGGAAACCTCCATTGCGTCGGCTCAATCAAACACGACGGGCCAGACTCTCAATGCTCGCTCCCTTGATCCTAATACAGAACGAGTGTGGTTGCGATTGAATGATGAAAGAATCCCTGGGCCGAGTCACCGAGCGCCCCGCGTGAGTGGCTCAACGGGCTGATGAGAGTTCAGTCCAGTATTGGGTTTATCGAGAGACAGAGCCAGCAAATGACTGGTCACGGCGAAGGTGAGCAGAATGCCGACAATGCCCATGTTGGGAATAGCGGCTTCCGACGAGGCTATTCCACACAAGGCAAGGCATGCTATCATAGTGACAAGGGTCCGATGAGCACGCACACTGTCATCCATCTTGAATATCTCCCGTCAATTGAATTCCAGCACTTGTGGCTACTGCTGCTGCTCAAACGGCCGCTAGAGCTTTGGCTTCCGCTGTTCCCTCTCATTCCTTCTCATTCCTCCCAGCTGCAGCTCATTGTCTTGTTCCGTGCACTCTTTTGCGGCCCACGAGGAACGCTATTAACGGCTTTGGTGGACGGATAACTTCGCGAGAGAGCAGCGAATGGTGACGGCCTCCCTGCAGTCTGCGCTATCCAAAATAGTGGTGATGAGGCCGAGCGCCGAGCGATGCTGAGCGCAAAACTACGTGTAGATGCGGCAACTCTGACCGACAGCAGTCAGGCAGCAAGATGAAAATCCAAAGGGTACCGAGTTCGTCCCATTACTGTCTCATCTCAAGTCTGCGGTCCAGGGTCTAGCGATTCTTGTCCTGCCCTTTGGCCCGCAGTCTTATAAGCCACAAGACACTTGCTAACACCACACCTAATTAGCTGTTCATCTATCCCGTCAAGTCACTCCTTCCAATTGAGGTCTCGATTGCAGAGATTACGAGCGAAGGCTTTCGCTTTGACCGGCAGTACATTCTAGTCAGAGATCCTCGGAGTCACCCGACTATACGGCCTCATCTGGCCGAACACCTTACCGTCAAGCGGGTATATAAGCTGGTGCTCTTCCAGCCGTCAATCAACGATGATTGGTCGGAACTGACCATCAAACACACGATAGCCAGACCAGAATCTTCAATCACTATCCCACTCACGCCGTCACCGCTGTCATGTCTGGACGCGCCGTCATATCAAGTGAGTGTATTCGGCACCGAGGCCTCGGCTGTCGATATGGGAGACGGCCCAGCCGAGTTCTTTAGCAAACATCTCGATATCCCCACGAGATTACTGTTTATCTCCGGATCAGGCAGCCGCGAGATCCCTGGAGCGGCGTACATCCCTAAACACCGGCTGCCATTAACAATTAAGGCCGCCGGTGACCATTTCCAACCGCAACGAATCCGTTTCGCAGATGCTGCTCCGTTTTTGGTTACATCAACAGCATCCGAAGAAGACGTCAGATCCCGCTTGCCACCAGATGATCGGCAAGAAGATGTCTTGCTCCGCTTCCGTACTAATATCCACGTCGACGTGGGATCTGTTGCGCCGTGGGACGAAGACCACTGGAGAGAACTTACTGTATTTTCAGAAGACGGAACTACGCCAAAAGCAGTTGTCCGCTGTGTCTTCAAGACCCCTCGCTGCCTGAGTGTCAACGCCGACATCAAGACGGGAACTGGATCCCCACGAAGCAAACAAGTCTATGGCTTGATAGCTAGAGATAGACGTGTAAACAAGGCATACCCTCGTAAGATTTCTTTTTCCCATCTTCTTCATAGAATGGTAGGGCTAACATATCTGTCCAGTCAAACCAGTTTTTGGACAGTGGTCTTTTGCAGGCCCCAATGGAGCTTTACTTCGAGTTGGTGACGAAATTCGGGTTACGGAGAGGGGAGCAAATGACAACTTGAGTGACCATGTAAGTCAGATTACAATAGCAATTGTTCATTTACCGGGTCAGCATCAATTCTAACGATTTCTCAAGGTTGTCAAAGCTTAGCACAGTCAAAGATGATGATACTGTACAGGTATAAAGTGAAAGGACATGGTGAACGGTCCAAGATCCTATTTTAATAGTGTAAGTTGGCATGTGTCCATATAAACATACGCCATTTCAAATTATTCACATGATGTGTGATATGCCCGGTATGTACATATGTGTGTATATGTCTCGAAACACATACATATATGAGCGGTTACCAGCCGTGTCACGATGACATAATGAAGAACAGAGGGGGCCATATCATAGTTAGCAAACAAAGGCTCATTTCTCAGCAAGACATACTCCGAATAGTTCAATCAAATGCCCACATGTAAGAATATTCAACAGTCAGCTACCCGCAGCAAATGATGTGAATTTGCTTCTGCCTGGCAATTCGCTTTCTCCGAGCCAGCGTCGTAGAACCTTTGAAAGATGATGTCTTGGGGTCTCAGGCACTAGTCCGAGATAGGCAAGCCTCAGCGAGCGTGCCGGAGATGCAACAGCAGCTGTGGGTATATCCGCCAAAACGTCAGAATAGCCAAGTTAAACGAGGTACTAAACGAATACAATCAAGATTTTGGTTAATCTAGCTTGCATCGATCGGAAACGGCTCGGTAGTAGAATATCTATGCGGAACAGATTATTCCGAGGGCGATCTTATGAGCTGATGCTAATTTTTATAAGTGCAAGGGAAGATATATGGATACATGTACTTGTATGCAGGAGGTGAAAGGAATAGTACATAAATAAAATATCAAGAACATTGCAATTTGATATTAAGTCCTCGTATTTCGATTGCATCCTGAGTCTTGTTTCTTCTACAGACCCCCAAAACACACATTTTTGCCTTTTGACTTTTTCTCCCTTGTATAGGAAGTACCATGACGGTTGTACAAAATCATTCCAGCGATGACGACGCAGCAGATTATGTTGGGACCCCTATTTCAGAAGAAACACTTGAAAACACCAGTGTACAGGAACAGCAACTGCGAGCGGATGAGCACGATGGCGGATACGGCTGGGTGTGTGTTGTGTGCCAATTGATGATTACGGCAAGCACATGGGGAGTCAACGGTGTAAGTAGATCAACAAGAACACGGCTTCTCCTCAAATCAATAGAAAGGAATCTAACAAGTCTATCTATGGCAGGCCTTCGGTGTATATCTCACTCACTACATCTCGACAAACGCCTTCCCCGGGACATCGGAAATCGCCTACTCCTTTATTGGTGGTCTCTCTCAGTCTCAGATCCTCCTCATCGCCCCCCTCGTCACGCACGCCACCAGAGTTTTCGGGACCAAGCCCCCTCTACTCATCGGAGCTGTCATGGAGACAGCTGCTCTGGTTGGGGCAAGTTTTGCCAAGCAGTCATGGCATCTCTTTCTTTCCCAGGGATTACTATTCGGCTGGGGCTGTTCGTTCTTATATATCGGTACCATTGGCATCATTCCCCAGTGGTTCTCCCGGAGAAAGGGCATTGCAAATGGAATTGCTGCTGCAGGAAGTGGTATTGGAGGTCTCATTTACAGTTTGTCCACGGAAGCCATGATTTCCAACATTAGCGTTGCCTGGGCCTTTCGCATCACAGCCATCTGCACCGCTGCAGTCAACGTTATTTGCATCATCCTGATTAAAGATAGGAACAAGCACATTCAGCCCACTCAAAACGCTTTTGACTTTACTCTCCTCAAGCGCCCTGAGCTTCTGCTAATTTTGGCATGGATTTTCCTTAGCACTATTGGATACACATGCGTCTTGTTCTCGCTTCCGGACAATGCCGTCCGGATTGGCCTCACTGCTCACCAAGGCTCTATCCTGGGAGCATTGGCTAACCTTGGAATGGCCATCGGTAGACCCATCGTGGGTTACTTTAGCGACCGAGTGGGAAGATTGAACATGGTGATCTCGGCAACAACTCTGGCAGGGATATGGTGTTTATGCCTCTGGACGTCTGGCACATCATATCCTATCCTGCTTGCGTTTTCTATTCTTGGAGGGACAACGATTGGCACATGTTGGGCTGTAAGTTGTCTGCCCCCCGTTTTTGGTAGGGTATTAAATTAAAAGCTAACACAAGGCTTCACAGACCATCGGACCTATGCTAGCTGATGCTTTCGGAATGAAGCTTCTCCCCTCTGCATTGTCCATAGTCTGGACAATTTCTGCCATCCCATCAGCATGTATGTTATCTTGCACATGTATCCCTAGAGTACAGTATGTCAACCGAACTTGATGCTGACGGTTTTACAGTTGCCGAAGCCATGGCCTTGGGGCTTCGACGATCGCACTCCCCAGTATACCTGGATGTCCAAATCTTCTCCGGTTGCATGTTTCTTGGAGCGGCGCTATTTTTGCTACCGCTGAGATTCAAAAAGAGGATCGAGAGCATAATGGTATCGGAGAAGCAATAAGACAACGCGCACTAATACCCAATCACCGCTGTCACGAAGAGCAATTCAGAGTTGAGCTACACCAACATCGACAGAAGTTATTATACAATATAGATTAAGACGACACAAGACGAGGAAAACATAGAGAAATACGAAATGGAGAATAGAAGGACTGAAGCGATGATTTCCACGAGGGTTATTAGAGACATGCATTATGTGGGCATTCAATTAGAGACTTAATAGAGACGTCTTATTTATTACAGCCATAATTAGCATAGATTAGTTACCATACAATTTCAGTTAACATGAGCATATATTCAACTAACCATTGCATCGTAAAACAACCTCTCTTTACAGCGAGTCTAAAACCATCGTACAAACCACTGACCTCGACACTCCAAAACTTGCATAAATCAAAGCTATGCACAAAAAGAAGACGCTAGCCCACGACATGTGGCTTGACACACTTAAAGCAGCACTGGCATGTGGCGCACTGTCAGATCTAGCAGGGCCCCGCCTCTTGTCAAGATAATCGTGCCGCAAAATCCACGGCGAATATCCGCGCGGGGTCCGCAGCAGAACCGCAAAGTTGATGGTCGACTCCGCTTCACATCTCACACAGACGGAGCTTGAAATGAGGATCTCCGCGACACCTCCGCCATCCCGCCTCTCACAATGGGTGTGTAGCTGGATAAACGGATAGACAAGAACTGGAGAAGCCGCTCGTGCTTATTCTCTTCAAGCTTTCGGCTTCAAGCCTTGTAGGGCTCATTTTGTAGCTCTTATTCCCAAGCGCAGATTACACTAACACCAAAACACCAAATGAAGCACAAACTAAGATATTACTTGAGCGCCCCCTAGAGCTCGCCTCAGCACGGCATGGCACAGCCAATAGCAGCGCCTAGATGGCCCCCAAAAGCAAATCAGCCAAAAACCGAACATTGGCCAAGTAAGCGCGAAAAGGATGGACGTTGTCCGAGGAGGACCAAATTGCCTCGGAGCGGGCGCTTAAATTCGTGAGCTCTTTTAAACTTCCAAGCCTTCCTAGGCATTATTGCCAAAATGAGGTCAAGGTATATTCTTCAACATCTAATCTTTGCTAAATGATCTATTTTCTGTCTCCCTCGGCGAAGCGCGTGCCGCCTTTTGTTGATCTTGTCAGCCTATCTTGTGAGGATGGTGGGCGGGGTCAAATAAAGAGCCGCCTGAGGCGGGAGTCATCAGACGAGCCGAGATTTGATATGGGGGTTGTAATTGCTTACATACGATAAGGCCAGATGCAATGCGGAGCAATCGTACCATTTCACATCTTAAGATGAATGGCGACACCACATGCACAAGACTAAACAAGGTCGAACGAGCCAAGTAAAAACGATAGTGCTGAAAAAATAAGCAAGGGTCGAGCTTAACCACCAGAAGCAGAGCTCTGCACGGAAATGGCAAATATCGCAACACCAAAAACGGGGGTCAGGAGGAAGAGGGATTGGGGGGGGGGGCGTGTGGTTCAATCCCGCCCGACACATGGCCTGATAAGCTGATGCGTTTTTTCCTTATTCTGAGTGTCCTCCAGATCCAATATACGCCCTTGAATTTGCTTTTTTTCTCCCTCCCTTCTCTCTCCTTCCAAGCTGGGAATTTCACGTGGGGTGGCGAGAGGGAAGGGTGATATTTCGTCGTTTTTACTCTACCCTTCTACCTTGTCCTCATACACTCGCGTAATTAAGCCGCTACGCCCATGTCTGATGCGTTGGTCACGCCTTAGAGGGGCGAAAGCAAAAGAAGGCAACGGAATAATACATAGTGAAGGGGTGATAATGCGCGGCGTGCACCTGGCTTACAAAACAACGGCAACATTTTCACGTTAAGCGGGATTACGCTCTGATTTGTTATTCCTCGACTTCTAGCTCTCTTTGCTAGTCATGGCCTAAGAAACATCCTAGGTATGCCAAGGTTTTTCGGTCAAGCAAGGGAAGACGGACAAAACAAGCCCGGATTTACAAGCCCGAGCTTCTGGCCAGATGGAGGGGGGGAGGGCAAAAGCAGGTGAAAGGGCGGGCTTTAGCAGTAAACCCATTCGGCATGTACCGTGGCTGTTGGTGCCGGATCTCATAAGCATCACGACGGCAAGCAAAACACACTCACACCGTCACTCCGGCTCTATCTAGTCCCCCTCCTTTTTTTCGTGCGATTGGGCCGTTATGCCCAATATCCAGCTGCGCTGGCGAATCACCAGCCGCCAGCAACTTCGCAAATCCTCACCCTCCCGTTATGGTTTTGCTGGCACAAGGGAATCGCTGCCCTTTCGCCAATTTTAAAGCAAGGGGGTGTGGTGGGGGGGGAAAAGCAAAGATCTGGATTGTCGGACGGCAATGCATCTCGTAAGGGTTTCTCTCTGCTCATCGTGCATCCTCCCGCCAGCTCATACCTTTTTTTTTCTTCTTTCTTTTTTTTCAATACACGCCCCTCGGTCTTAGTCCGCGGAAACAAAGCGGATAGCCGTAAAGTCGTAGTTTACAAAGCAACGCAGGCTAATCGCCGCAGCAAAATTTTCCTTTTTTCCTCTTGGTATCGGACTTGAGTCGTGTCCAGCTCTCCATCGTCCACGGGACCCAGGCAAGGGACCGAGCGCCCGAAGCATTAGAGTAATAGCAGATCCATTCGTAGCTGGGTTTTTCACGCTTCTTTTTTTTTCAATCGATTTTTCTTTTTTTTCTGCTGGGTCGGGCGGATCTTGCGGGCCTGGAATTTTTAGCTTTCACTGATTTTCTTTCCGTTTGATTCTGGGCAATTATTAAGGCTGGCGGTAAGCTTGAGCCGGCAATGTCGTAGCGCACCAGTACGTACCTTAACTCCTCGGGCCATCTGACCTGCGATTTGAAATGCAAAGCTGCGGTACGTATATCGCTGCTGCTGCTGCTTATCGGCTGCCACTCCCACCGATGCCGCTTCGCCCGAGCGGCGTTTTTTAGTGCCGCTCGGCCCATCCGCCATTACCGCGGATTTTCGGCTGTCAACTGCCAAATTGTCAATCAGGGTTCAGTCACAGTTCAGTCACAGTCACAGAGTAGAGAAGAGGCAATGTAGATGAGTTTGTAACAGTTTTTTTATTCTGTAATTGGGAAATCGCTATTCGATTTTTCCCATTGCTACTAACTCGTGGTCCACTCGACCAAAGGAAGACCAGTTCCAGGGAGCGGCCCACCAATGTGTACCCATGTACCTTGTCATTCCTCCACATGAAAAAAACCCATCCTCGCATTGCCATGACATTGTATGAAATAAGACGTTGAGCTGTGATCTCTAATGGTGTATAGTGGTAGTAGAACAAATGAAAGAAAGTAAACGCCGTGTGCCTTTTTATATTCCCTCTTGGGGTATCATGATGAATAAATCAGAACGCCTTGCCAAAGCCATGCCATCGCTAATGCTAAAGAATCAATTACATAGTAGTACAAGAAGAAGGATCGATGTCGATCAGTAGACTGAGATTGCCGACACCAGGCCCGCGGGTGTTCGCTGGCCCAGGTAGAAATCCTCTTCTTGGTAATATGATTCTTCGCTCTCTTCTGTCTTGGCGGGCAGAGGCAGCTCGGCATCGGCAGGCGATGGAGGCATAGCCTCGTCATCTGAAGATTCGGAGTCGTGGTCGATCAGCTCCGGAGGGGAGTTTGAGTGTGAAGGAGTGCGGACAAGCTCGAGCTGAGCGTAGTCCTCCTCGAGATCGTCGTCTCCCATGATCTCATCCTCGACAACCTTGACTGTGGAGGTGGGGATGATGGTGGTTCGGGTGTTGGTCATCTCCATCTCGTCGTAGTCGGACTCGTCGTCAGAATCGGAAGAGGAGTCGGAGTCGTACTCTTCGTCGACGGCCTCCTCCTCGATCCGGTCGGCCCACTGGATGTGTCGGTTGTTGTTGGATCCGGAGGTCTTGGTGTTGCGGACAGACTGGTTGAACCACCGCTCCTGCTCCCGCTCGGCCTCGGCAAGCTCAAGCATCAGAGAGTCGAGGAGGTTGGCGTGTCCGACCAAGAGACGGAGATCGTGATCGGGTTGAGCAGCCTCGCGAGAGAGCTTTGCTCGGGCCTTGTGGGCCAGGTAGTAGGTCTGAGTGATAGACATGCTCTTCTTGGTAGCTTGTCGGAGGAGTGATGCTGAGGCAGACATTTTGATGTGTGGTGGGGAGGAAGATGGATATATAGTGTAGGTGTGACTCAAGGCAGCCAGATCGGTTGCAGGGATGGTTTGAGTTGCCTAGTGGACTAGTATTTCTGCTGTGTATCTATGCGAGCACTGGTTGGATGGATTGTTTGTAGATCGAGTGGTTTGCTTGTTCTTGTAGTTGTATTGATGCTCGCTTGATTGTTGTGCTGAATGATATCGAGGCTCAAGGTCGGGGGAGTCGGCATTCTTTTAACTCGGAACCTCCCAGCCGGGTCCAGAGAAAAATCCATCGGCGTTGAGGTACGTACTCGGCACGCCCTTGGGTCCCGGTCCAAGCGGACTTTGCTTCGCGGGCCCGAAAGATCAATGCGAGGGGGGGAGGGGTGAGACAGTCATGATCATTCAGCAGAGGCGTGGATGCGAAGGGGGGGAGGGGGGTGCAAGCCATGGGCAACCATGGGTTTTGGCGCTGACTAAATCCGAAAGCCCAGCGTCTCCGGCACGGACGTAGCAGCGAGTCGCTCGTCCGCGAAGGGTACCCGACGCCTGGCTGCGACTGCGCCCCGCGCGAAGGTACCTCGCGTCCTGAGGTACACGGCACCGCACGACTTGGAGCGAGGAAAAACTGGGCGTACGCCACGGACGGCTTCGGCATTTTGGATGACTCCTACGAGCTCGCCCGTTGCTTTGCAATGGGATTACCGTGCTATCCCCCATTAGGTATTCGCACTCGCATACGAGTAGCCGATTAGTCACAGCCCGTCAGAAATTTTCCCTCCTGCTGTTCCTCGTTAGGGACTGGGACGGCAGCTTAGCTGGAAGCTTCCTTCTGGCACCTCTGGCAGGCGACGCTCGCTCGCTACGGGCTTAACGAGCACCCCTCGCCATTACTGATCACGATTGGCCCAGCAGCGTGCACGACACCGCTGATTCGTCGTGAGCACCAGCCGAAACAGTGGATTATGAATCAGTGAATCAGAAAAGGCCCCACTCCTGCTCTTCTCCCTCGAGGCGCCGCTTATTAACAGCCTGAGCCTGCATAACTAGCACAATGTCCGACCAAAGACCGTAGTCCGAGGCCTAATTGCTCCGTCCGTCCTATTTCTCAGCATCGCAGTCATTGCGTAGTAATACACGTAGATGCGGCACAGTCATCAATAGATCAGACTTTGCGCTAGGTGGAATCAAATCAATCTGCTGCATCCACTCCCCTTTCCAATGCATGCGTTATGCTTGATGTCGTCGTTGTCTTGTCTTAGTAACTAGTGCCGCCCAGCTCATGAGCAAAGCCACTCGCAATCGCAATCGCATCGCATCGCACTCCCCCATTTGTCACCACGCTGGATGGATTTGCCGTTTTAGGCAGTGCTATTCGAAACGGAAGCCATCGCGACGGGAGAACGTTGCCCATTGCAGCAATTGTCGTTGCGATCATTGTTACTCGGGCCAGGTACGCGTACGTGCGAAGCTACGCAAACCAGAAGCTGCTGCGCATTGCGCATCCGTGCACGAGGCTTTGTTCAGGGACACGCATTTGACATCCATAATTTAATCGCAATTAACAGCCGTCAATCTCAGCCGCCCGTGATCTGGCCTTTTTTGTCGCAGCCTGGGTGGCTTGCCAGTCAGCGTGACCCCAGGTTTCAGATCCTTTTGCGCACATTCAGTCCAAATGCGGTGGCCGCGGATATCCTATTCGGCAATGTTAATCTACGTGTCTCTCTTTTCTTTTTTTCTCTTATTACAGTACAGTACAAGGTACCTAGCATAACAGCAATAGTGCAAATACCTGCTCCATAGTGCGTCGCACGTCGTAATACGTCGTATACGAATCTGCCAAGCAGGCCGCGACAGCTTCTAGCACAGCCCTAAACGGCATTTCGGACTTGACTGCCTGACACCATTTTTCTTTTTTTACTCGCACACGTCCCAACGTATTCGTCGCTTCCCCTTGGTTTAGTCCAGGCGCCGCGTTGCGCTTGCGTCTCCCTGCTTCACTAGCAACAGCGATGCTCGCCGTTCATTTCTCGTGCCTACTAGGTAACCGGATGCCTGCAACACGTAGTAATACTGAGTGCCCGCAGCCGTTCCGTTTGCCGAGCCGTCTCACAAACTGTCGCTGCCAGCGTCAAGACAATACAGGAGGGTACGGTATTTAGCCCGGCTAATCGGTGCTCGGGGGACGGGACGTGGAGACGAGAGCGACGCATCTCCGAGACGTGTCTTGTCGGCCGTAAATAACCTGTGCAGAGCTGCCTATCTTGCCTATGTCCTATGTCCGCAGGCGTGCATGAGAGTCCAACAATGTGTGACTGCCTGCCTGCCTGGATGCAGGCCCTGATGCCCTGTCGCAGTCATCGCCGTGAATTGAATTGATGCAAATCTCAGCCCGGCCAATCAGACGCATCAATTGGAATTGGAATTGAGATTGGACCGGGGGTGTCGATATTCTGTTTTCCTCCTGTTGCTCCCAAGCTGGAAGCGAGGGTAGCGAGTTACATAGTAGGGCTGAGTCGATAGAGGCCCAGTTTTGATGACTCCGACGGTGGGTATCGTGGGTATCGTGGGTATCGCGGCCCTCGGCAGGACACCACTTGATTTTGAAGCCTCAGGGTACTTGGGTACATAGTACGTACCACCACCCGCACCTTAGAGGGCATCCTTAATGGGAGGGGCTCGGCACAGACCACGTCAATCAAAAGCAACGCCAGAACCCGCCATCAGCACAGCAAGGCTGATGATAAGGCCCAACCCACGATCTCAGGCGGAAAAGGGGGCTTGCAGACACTTTGCGACGTGGCGCAGGGAGGAAGGAATGCGCTGGTCGTACGAGGCCATCTGGCCAATGATGCGCACCGGAATCGGGAAGCGGCAAGATTTGTGTTTCGTCCGGCACTCTTTGGTCCGCCCGTCCAGAATGGCAGCCGATGTGGCCAATCACAGGTGCAGATGCCGCCTGTGTCTGAGAGTGCTGACAGAGCCTGAGGGGATACGCGCATCGCTCGCGCCCGAATGCCGAGTTGGGCTGTCGGAGATGTGGCTTTTGCACAAACAAAACCCCACGCGGCCAGACAGCGTCTGCGCTCATTCATTGCCGCATCGAGCCATAGCAGCGTCATCAAGTCTAGCTCAACTGCGGAATTCCGTAGCAACGCAACGAGCAGCCACAGCGGCGCGACTATCGTCCGCTCGATCTCGCTTTCGCTCACGTTCAAGCGTGGCAGCCATCGCGAAACGGCTCCAGCTACCATAACGGCAGCCATAACGGCTACACTTACGACTACCCTTACGGCAACCCTGATGGCGCAGTGCTAATACAATTCAAATTGTTATCTCAGCTACAGCAACAGGCGTCTTCTGGTGGCCGCTTATTTTTAGCCCAGGATCTTCTTTTCTTTCCCTCTCGCTTGATTCACTTGGTCGCCGAGACACTCCCCTCAGCCCTGCAGGCCACATACGAGCAGTCGTACGAGTTCCCTCCTCAGCACAGGCCTCGTTTCCGTCTAATTTCGCGGTAAGATCTCTCCCTGCAATTAGTGTCATCTACAATTATGTTTCAGCCCAGGCACGGGCACGAACCAGCGGGCGAAGGATGCCATCACGAACGAAAACATGGGCGCCATTCCCAAAGCGGCTCCGTCGCTCCAGGGCTGAATCAAACGAAGAGCCGGGGCTTCGGGGCTTGCGAAGGTGATGATTAATGGCGTCTGTCAGCAGCGGGTATTTCAAATCGCCGCATTGAGCCTGGCGCCAACTTTAAGAGACGCCCAGCAACTCCCGTCCGCTTGGGTCTGAAGGTTCCACCAGGGCACATGGCGCGGGAATCCACAAATCCGCGATGGAGACAACTTCCGCGCAGCTTTGCCGGATCATGATAAACTTCAGTGTTTTGAGTTTGTGCTTTGCCGCTGGGGACAATGCTTGGCATTTAAGCATTGCACGTGCCGCGATTCTGGGGACCAACTGCTTGTTCGACTCAGTCAGGCACCGCCCCCGTGACAAGGCCTTGTGCTCGCAACCCCAGATTTCATGAATCGACGTTTTGGCCATTCCACAATTCGATCATCGCCAGCGAGGTACAGTAATCAAACGGTAATCCCCACTGATTTTCTGCTTGCACCTTATCAATCACCGCTTGTTCTGTATCCTCTTTCCCTTTCCGAGTTGCTGTCAAATTGCACGCCATTAGACTTATCGCCTGGGGTATTCGGCAACGTCATCGGACGTGCGGCACAAATTGCGGCAATCCATCTGCTGAATAAGAGATTAGAGAAAAAAAGGGTCCAAGCGGTACATGCCGCCATATGTCCGCCACAATGCCGAAAGATGGACATTGCCCTATCACCATGCAAGCTCCCTAGTCCGTCTCCATCCAAATGCCGTCATTTTTTTTTTTTTTTTCTTTACGGAGTACTGCAGCCGGGGCTCGACTGAAAAAAAGAAGCACGAAAGAACATGCAGAGAAGACCCAGTCGTCCGATAGCCGACCCTTTGCAGCCAATCACCAGCACCATGACGCCTTCCTTCGCCCGGGTGAATCTTGCTTTTCCGGACGAGCGACGCATAAACAGCTCAGAGTGCCGATTGATGCCGCATCCCCTATTTCGTCAAAGTGCAGATACGGATGCAGAGGCGGTCCGCTTTGTTCTCATGGTCTTCTTCCCGTGATGCATGGAAGCACTCGGGCGTCCTTCTCCCATTCTTCTGTGCATTCCGACCATGCCGCTTTCGAGGCATATTGTTGTCGACACACCACAGGAATCTCGTGACTTCGCTCTCCGGTGGTTTGGCAGACTCCGTTGCCGCGGACATGCGCTCTCCCGTTGTTATGTAAGGCTCACCAATAGGCAGTCTTGCTTCCGGCCCCTGATCGAGTCGAGCCTTGCTCTGCGGGCGTCCGCGAAACCCGGCTCCATGGAAAACGGCGTCTTCTTGGGAACCGTTTGTATTTTTTTCTCTCACACGAGCCTGTATTACCGTAAACGGAGACATGCCAGCGTGATTTCTCTGCCGCGGCCTGCAAAGGTGCAAAGAGTGCATATCCGGTTCAGATATTCCCGGATAGTGTCCATACAGGACATGGAAATAGCAATGACAGCGACCCAGTGATCCACAAGTTTGGGACGGCCCGCCAGCGATCGCATTGCAATTCAGAGTACGTGTAAATCAGGAGTAAATACAAGTACACACGTACCCCATTCTTACCCACAAGGCCATGGAACCTGGTAATCCATTCGCTAACCGACAACCAACCGGCTGGTAGCGATCACTTGCTCGAAAGAACAATTATTCCCAGTTAGAGAAACGGAGTCGTCGACGCAGCCCTGTCTGATAAATTCGCTCTACCTCGGATCGCGTTTGTCCGTAACGTACGGCGTGTACCGGTTATTTGCGTGATTAGTCAAGCGGCCCCAATCACACGAGTATATTCCTCGGCTCTCCTCGTCGCACCCCTCGAACAAGGAGAGGAAAGAACCTCATGGGTGAAATGACTTTGGTTGCACTGCCGCTGGATCCGTCATTTGGAGGCATGAGATCTCAGCCTTGCTGCTTCCAATTGGCTTGATGATTCGATCATCTGGCTCGGTCAACTCAGTTGCCATGCCGCGTGCCGACTCGACCATGTCACTGATAGGGTAGGTAATTTTTGATGACCTTCTATCTATTTACTAATACAGGTCTCAATTCGATATTCGAAACCTCACTCGTGGCTAATGTTTCTTGTCACATCAAGAAAATACGGCCATGTGACTGGCCCCGAGCTTGATACAAGCCCAACTCCGCGTCAACCTTCACATCACCCATCCCGCGCATAGGGCAGAGCGAAAGCAAAGAGGCGGAGGAAGAGAAAAGGAGAAACTCCGCCGTAAACCAAATCAAGGATCGCCCATCCCGCAGCTTTGGTAATGAGATCGGCAAGGTCGTCCATCCCACCGGTCCCAAAGCTGATTGGAAGAGCAAAGCAGCACCCTGATCTTGGCACGCAACGCCCCCTTGCCGGTATGTAGAGAAGCCCGACAGCCCTGCTCATTGCAAGATAACTATCACGTCTTTGTAATTCCTAAAGCTATACGAGTACTTGGATGTAATATCCCCTGTTGGTTGCTGGGTTTGTGTGACAGCCGTGAAAAGCATCCGGGAACCTTTGAAGACAGCCCGTCATCCACATTTAACCCATCCAAAACATGGCCCCCCTGCCATAAGGCAGAACCTCATCTCTCATCCCCTCCATATCAAATACAAATACGGAGCACATTTACATACTCCGCATTCCGCGCCGTGCTTCGTAAGCTGGGGGAGAGGCGGGCCAACAAATCAGTCATGCCATCGCGGCGTAAGATGGGGCCTCCTCCCCCCCAAATTCCAACAACCCCTGGTCGTATTTTTGGCTCCCGTCCCAGCGCAATGGGCCGCCCGGGGACCTGTCAAATCCGTGCTATCTGACGGGAAGCTTCCACCCTCCCCTGATTATCATCTCCTCGTGATTCCGCTTTGGGGAAAGACAGCTTACCCAGCAGTCTGGAACCGGGACCTGAAGTGCGCCGTCGCTAGCTCTTCCCTCGTGGTCACTGCTTACTTTTTGGTACGAGTTGTTGAGCGTGGTGGAGGTGGGATGCTATTTCGCGCTGTTGCCGACGCTCAAACTCGTGCCCAGGTCCCTCTTGTACTGTACCCCAGCCCTGTGCTGACATCTTCCCCTGATCGACAAGTTGCCAGGCCATGGTACTGGATACCAACAGAGCGGTATCACGAAACGTGGCCCAGTTTGCGGGCGAGGCTTCTCTCCCACACCCCCTCCGAGAGAATGGGAAACAAATGGCCCGTGAGCCCCCTAAAGAAAGCAAGGAGAATGGCAATAACAGCAGTTGTATCTTGTAATTGCAGCAATAATGGCGATGAGACCCACACGCCCACAAAATGAACTATTGGGGAAGATGAAGAAAGATGTCGCTTGGAAATTGATGATGCTCTTGTAATGGTGAGATTATGCCCACGTCTATGTCTGAAGTTTCTGTTTCGTCCTTTTCCTCTTGCCGCCAACTTCCCTGCCCTCTTCCATCTCCAGCAACGCCTCCCGTTTCTTCTCGCCGACCACCTTTAGGGCGTCTCGAATCACCCTCGTCTCCAGGTTGACGCCCTCCTCTTCCCAGGCCTCCATCTGCCTGCCCACTCGCTCCTCGATGGCCAAGACTAATTCCACATCCCGTTGGCCCACAAGTGTCACGGCCTCACCTTTGCGGCCCGCACGGGCGGTACGTCCCACTCGATGGATATAGTCATCTGGGTCCCGAGGGATATCATAGTTGACTACCAAGCTAACTTCTTGGATATCGAGACCACGAGCCGCTACGTCTGTAGCCACCAAAATCCTGGCCGCTGAGGCCCGGAAGCGAGCCAAGTTATCTGTTCGCTGTCTTTGGGGAAGCTTGGAGTGCAAAGAGGTGACTCGGTGGTCTAGTAATCGCAGCAAGTGATGAAGGTACTCGGCCGTTGATGTGCGGTTGCAAAAGATGATGACCGTCTTGTTGATGTTGGCCTCAGTGAGCAAGAAAACGTGCAGATAGTGTTCTTTGTGAGTGATTGGGATCTGCACATGCTTCTGACTGAGAGTTGCCGGGATGGCAAGCATCTGTGTGTCCACCTCACAGACAAAGACGGGCAGCTTTCCAGGTCTCTGTGGGAGATCTTTGAGGGCTCGCACTTCCGGTGTGATGGTGGCTGTGAAAAGGAGCGTCTGTCTTTCGGAAGCAGGCGGCAACACTGACAAACACTCCTCGACATCTGGCAGCATACTGCCCGAGCCGGCGGCATGTAAAAGCCGATCTGCTTCGTCGAGAACCACATAACGCACTCTTCGTAGTCCACAGATGGTATCTTCTCCAGACGTTCTGATATGGTCCGCCAAACGGCCAGGAGTCGCAATGATAACATGTGGTCGTTGAGCTAGCGCAATGGCTTGGGATCGCATGTCGGCACCACCAGTCACAAGAATCATCTTGAGGCTCTGCGGAGACGAAATTGCCTTGAACTGCTCATAAATCTGAAGAGCAAGCTCGCGGGTTGGCGTGAGGACGACAGCAAAGATGGCGGTCGGGTCCTCTGCCCATTTCTGGAGAACGGGAACAGCAAAGGCCACAGTTTTTCCCGATCCCGTTCTGCTACCACCAATGCAGTCCCTTCCCTTTAATATTTCCGGTATGCAGCCCTTTTGAATACCGGTTGGTCGTCTAATAGCCATGTTTCCAAGCGACTGGACAAGCCACGGCCGCACATTGAGGGCGGAAAAGGTAGTATTGGGATCGGTCGGTGCAAGAATGGGATTCTGCGACTGTGGTTGCGAGGCTGCCGCGGGTTTGCTGACAGGCTTGACATCTTCTTTCTTTCCGACAATTCGTTTAACTCGAGAAGGAACGGCTATAGGAGCCACTGGTAGCAGTAGTTTTCTGCCACCATCTTCCTCGTCGTCGTCATCGCTCTCGTCGACTCCAACTTGAAGCTCGGGAGAAGTGCGACGCCGTTTCCGGGCAGCAGCACTGTCGAGGTAATCGGACTCATCGGACGACGCGCTCGCATTTGAGGAGAGTTCCGGATCCGAAGACCGGTCTCCACGCGAGACACCTTTGGCAGGCATGCTGGGGGCTTGGAGTCGTGCGATTTGTGGACGCACTCACAGCGTCTGATGCAAAAAAATTTGGCGATGTACTAACCGGTACCTAGAAAAAAAAAGTTGGAGTTTGGCCATTGGACGTGTGGGGCAGCGCGGCCGAGTGGGGTTGGACTCTCACCGCTTGCCTTGTTTGGTAGAAGCGCATCAGAGGTCATTTGCACAGTCCCATCCAGAGCCGCGTTCGATGTTCTATATGGAGAATAAAAGATATAGCAGTACTACTCTGTAGCCGTGGAAGCCTCTTGAATCTATTTTTAAGACACGCATGCATCTCTTTTTGCAGGCGAGGCCCGCTCGCTTCCCTTCCGCTGCGTGTCCACCTCTTTCGCGGGACTGCAGAGGGACGAACCAACCACAGGCTGGGCGCGTAGACGCGCGCTTGGGGAAACGCAAGGCTAAAGGCGCAACGCCGCCTATTGGCTCGACATCAGCCAGTCTGCAAGCTGCGCCGCACTTGAAACCGCAGTACTTGTGACCACAGCCCAATACGAGTTGCGCAGTGTTTTATTTTAGCAGCCCTCAAATCTTGTCTGCAGAGGCCCGGCATAGCGCGAACAAGTACGACGCGAGCTGCAGGCCTGGATATGGAGTACATGTCGGTCGTGTCCAAGGTTGACTGCGCTGGTGAAAGCTTGGCTGCAACACTGTTTGCCCGTCTAACTGGAATCGCCGTCCTGTGATGGTTTCTGGGCCGCGTCCCTGCATTTCCATTGGCCCGGCTCGGATGCAGTGTGTCAGACAACAATGCCTAGCATTGATGGGATTTTCTGGGCCCGGAACAGCAGCAAAGTCGAATGAATGAGGTGTGATGCCAGCCCACTCCTTCTACTGTAGTCTACTGTAGCTGCTGCAGGGTGGGCGGCCAATTCAGAAAGATGGTGGCCACTGGTCTTACATTCCACGTGTCGACACGCTCGGGACTTTTCCAGCAGGGCTGCTGCTCATATTTGACTGAATCCTTGTTGTATTGCCGCGGCTCAGCTACAAGCACAGTCAAGTCAGCGCCGGGCACACCAACGCTGCGTCTCCTGTGATGGCTTGAGATCAGCGGCCTTTTGCCGGAGGCATTCGCCATCAGTCTCACCACGGCTGACCTATGCTGCAGGCGGATGGACGGCTCAGGGGCGCAAAGAATTCCAAATGAACGATTCCCAGACACATGACATGGTGTTGTAGGGTAAGCTAACAAGAGATTTGATGCTTGGGATGAGCTTGATACTGCGCCGCGCCCAACGACCCTGGCTAGTGCTGCCGTCTCGCCTGGCCCATAAGGCCGGCGATGGGAACATTTTGATACATCGAAGCAATGTAACTTGCTGCCAGTAATACTTACTACTGTGCTCTGCTGCTTCGATACGCCGAACTGCAATTTTCCTTCCGCTGCCCCTGGACCATCGCTGTCGACGCTGATAGGCCTCGGCCGTGCCGTCCTTCCGCACCAAGCACGCGGTACCGGTACTTGGCTATCGGCGTCGATGATGACTGGTGCAGAGACGCATGATGCCAGTAGCACCCGTAATTGCTGCTGCTTGTTTGCCCTCGACGCTGCGGGTGCTGATTTGTCCGCCGTCTCTCCCAGCTCATCTCCACGTCCCGACGTCGTTTCACCACCACAGGTCTCAGAAGAGAGCCGCGGAAACCGGCTCACAAGCTGTGCTGCTCCACCCATCCCTCATCTCCACTGACACGTTAGCGCCGCCTGCTTTGCTGGGCACGAGAGCTCTTGGGGGCCTTTTGGGAGCCCTACAGTGCCTAGAGCTCTCCCCACAGCGCCCCCGTGGTGCTTCCTTGCAGCGCCTCCAAGTGTCACCCAACAGAACCTGATGCTCCAACGTTGTTTTTAGCGGGCATTGAGCCGTTCCATCAACTGCAGAGGTATGTACCCGCCCTGTCTAGAGGCTCTGCCGCTGGCTGGGCTACAGGGGCTGTCCGCCACTATGCGCCATGCACAATGCCACTGGACTGACTCCGCCGGCGCGCATATGCCGCTTCAGGTAGGTACATGTAGGTACTTGAGCTGCGACGCCCAAATCCCAGGAGCTGTAACCCACCTTGAATCCCTCTGCAACTCGTCCACGTACATGTAGCCCGACTTCTCCCCTACACAAGAAAAAAAATCTACTAGACCCCCGAGCTGGTCATAAGCTTCACCTCAGCCAACATTCAGCCATCTTCTGCATCCCTCGTTTGCCTCTGCAGTTTTCATTTGCCTTCTTCTTCTTCCTCTTTGTGCATCTGGCGGCGCTGCTTTTTGTCTTGCAACGACGCTTAAGCCGACTATCCCCTCTCGAGCGTCCCCTCACTCGCCTTCGACCCACGCTGGCACCAATAGACTGTGCATGCGAGCATTCGCCTCTTGCGATTTGAGATACTACTTGCCAACGCATAGCAAGTCGTCTGCCGATATTTGAATTTTTCCAGCATCAGCGTCACTCTATTTGAGCTCCTGTCCGCCCTCTCCCTGCCGTCCTTTTGCACTGCTTTTGTCCGGCCATTGTTGGGACGCTACGTCTTTGCTTCGTCTTTTTTTCTGCCGCGGCTGCTTGTACTCTGTACTTTGCTTGACTTCGAAGTGTTTTTTTGTGTACCGCTGCAACCTTCAGCCTTGCAAAGGTACCTGCATCTCACCACCATCAACAATTCGCTCGTTTGGACACATCGCGACAAACTGCCTTGACTGGCACTGCTCTCCATCATGGCTGACGCAGCCCCTTCACAATCCCAGGGCAGCGACCCCGCCGCCCAGCTCGTGAGTTTCATGTTCACTCTGGTCCCCTGGCCACGCACACTGACTGACCTGCTCCGCTACAGCATCCCGTCTCCTCCTCCGCCGCTCTCCCAACTCCTGCATCAACTCCGATGTCTGTGCCGATCATGAACTCTCCCGCACCGCTTCTGCGTCCTGCCATTCCAGGCAACCGGGGTCGTGCCGCTCCTAGATTGGGCCTGGCCATCCCTCCCTCACCGAACGTCAAGCCGGTGGGCAACCTGACTATCCAGCCGCCCGCCAGGCCCCCCCTACCGACTCTACATCTGGCAACTCCCATGGGGAGCCAGGTCACGCCATACGAACAACCTGCGAGGCAGCAGGGAATACAGCCCGGACAGTCTGCTGGCGGTGGCAGCGAGAGCAGTGCGGCGCATTCAAGGTCTGGGAGCTTTGGGCCTCTCGATGGCCGAGCAAGCAACCCCACGTCGGCTGGCTCTCAGTTTTCGGCCCTTTCATTTGCCTCCCAGTTTGGCATCCCTGTAACACGACCCCAAGGAACCCCGGATCCTGTATCTGCCGTCGGCTCCATGAGAAGCGAAGGAGGCGTTTCCATGGAGCGAGATGGGAGCCTGCAGGGCCTGGAGGGATTTGACCGACTCAGTATTGAGAAAGCAAGGAATGCAGATGTTGAGGATTTGGACGACGAAGGATGGAGAATCGCTAGCTTGGAAAAGCGAATCGTAGAGCTGGGCAATCTTGGTGAAGGTGCAGGAGGAGCGGTCACCAAGGCCATGCTTAAAGGCGGCAAGACTATCTTTGCCCTCAAGGTAAATGACTTTTTTAAGCATAACCACCATGGTGATGGCAATGCTAATACTAAATTAGGTCATCACTACAAACCCCGATCCTGATGTTAAGAAGCAAATCGTTCGAGAATTGGGCTTCAACAAGGAATGCGCCTCAGATCACATTTGTCGCTACTACGGAGCATTCGTTGACCCCTCTACGGCTACTATTTCCATTGCGATGGAGTTTTGTGAAGGAGGTTCATTAGACAGCATTTACAAAGAGGTTAAGAGGCTAGGAGGCCGTACTGGTGAAAAGGTACTGGGAAAGATTGCCGAAGGTGTTTTGGGCGGTCTTACCTATCTCCACACACGAAGGATTATCCACCGAGACATCAAGCCCTCCAACATCTTGCTTTGCCGTGATGGCTCAGTTAAGCTGTGCGATTTTGGAGTGTCTGGAGATTTCGGAACCAAAGGTGAAGCCAACACCTTCATTGGAACAAGCTACTACATGGCCCCAGAGCGTATTACCGGCCAGTCATACACCATCACCTCGGACGTCTGGTCTACAGGAGTCACACTGCTTGAAGTCGCCCAGCACAGGTTTCCCTTCCCTGCAGATGGAACCGAGATGCAACCTCGTGCGGGTTTGATTGATTTGCTCACGTACATTGTGCGACAACCCGTCCCGAAACTCAAGGACGAGCCCGACAACGACGTGTACTGGAGTGACAACTTTAAATACTTTATTGAGTGCTGGTATGTTTTTAACACCCCTTTGTTTCAATATTTGTCGCTAACCTTTGTCGTTTCTTTGTAGCTTGGAGAAGCAGCCTAACCGCAGAGCTAGCCCCTGGAAAATGCTAGAACACCCGTGGATGGTCGAGATGCGATCTAAGAGGGTAAATATGGTCAAATACCTCTCCTTTGTGTGGGGTTGGGATGAGAAGCAAGTCGGTGGTTCTCGATGAAGCTTCTGAACCTTAACAACTATTTGGAAATCGATATATCGCCACTCCTTACGGCTGGACCAGCTGGCTGGCTTCGTCGTACAGCACAGATTGCGAGGGCTTCATAAATACGAAACGAGTAATTAAGCATGTGAGATTATTGGATCACCATCGGGTTTTACTACACTCATGATGAGGAATATGGGCCGGCCGCGGTGGATTTTGCATGGGTCAGAAAGCGAACATGAAAGCACTTTCAGCAGGAAGAGGAAGAGAAGGAGAATAGTGACAAAGGGGTTGTTCATGCTACATTGTGGAGCTATCAAAGTGGCGCTTCTCAACATAAACTTGGATATCAAGCGCTTGCACATAGCGATTCTTCTGGTGTCGTTTTTATCATCTTCATTCTTGTCAAATATGGCGTTTATATACATGGGATTGTTTTAGTTATCCAAACTATAGCAGAAAGCAAAAAAAATATGAAATATGCCGAAAAGAGGTATCCCTTATAACCGCAGAGGACTGACATTTCGATGTACATGGAGATGCAATCTCCCATTAAGCCGCGTTAGTCTCCGGGGGATCTCCCATGAGTTCTCGCAGCGTGACGGTGGCGTAGGCACTTCTGCCGAGCTGGAACTTGATGACTGCGGCGATTTTGAGCGGCTGGTCTACTTCCATGGCTTCTTCGGCGGCTGTCGCCTCTGGAGCTTCTTCAGTCTTTTCAGCGCCGGTTGCAGCATCGTTGGCAGCATCCTCGCTCTGAGTGGCCCCCTGGACTTCTTCTCCTTCCACCTTGGCCACTTTGCTCGGTCTCGCGTCATCGCCTTCGTCACGAGAGCGTTTGTTGCCGCCGCCAGTTTTGCGAGCGGATCTGATGAGGTCCAGGTCGGTAGGATGCATCTGCTCCTCGTCGCTCATATACGTCTTAAACTCGACGGAGGGCTTGGCAAGGAACCGATTCATGAGCTTGCGGTACCGTCCAGGCAAGCTGAACTCACGGCGCATGCGGCGCATCTTGTGCGGGTCCAGCGCGCCGTTCTCCTCACGGCCCATGAATTCCGTGTAGAATTCGCCAATCTCGTTGTCCGGGTAGATGACATCGTAGCCCGGCGTGGGGAGCACAATGTCGTGCACCGTGTACTTCCCGCTGGATGCCTCTTCCTCGGTCAAGGGTCTGGCGCGCAAGGGAACGTCGTCGTCGTCCTCGACTGGGTTGATGATGTCGTCGCCGTCCTGGTCCTGGCCGCTGACCTGGGGGGTGGCCTCGGTTTCAATGATGACAAGATCTCCCTTGATGACCTTTTCGCCGTAGAGCTCCCATCGCCTGCTCGCAGCGTGGTTCCACACGTGGGATTGGCATGCGTGGAGGTACATTGATCGTAATCCTCTGGTGATGTGGATGAGGGCACCGACAAAGTCTCTTCTGGACTGCTTGCCTTGCCTGTTTAGATGTCGCAGGACGCATACTTCGGCCGAGAACCTTCTGGGCATAATCTCGATTGCCTTTTCGACGTCTTTTTCAGTCTTGAACAGCATGCAGGCAAGGTGGCGACTATATTCATCCCTCTTGGCCGGCTCGTCGGGGATTCCCTCTGTTTCTGCCTTTTGAGCAATCTCTTCGTCATAGGCAAGAATGGCGTTGATGGCACCCTCGTAGTTCTCTCCCAAGATCAGCTTTCCAACTTCATGAGTTCCGATTTGGTGGGTGCCAAATCTCTGATGGCCAAAGTAATTAATCCATCCATGCTCTGTCATGTGGTCCAATGCAGACTGAACATTTGCACGCATCAAATCGACCTGTTCGGAAACAGGGCTGGCGCTGGCCTCACCGACAATCTGGCAGTTTTTGATGGTAATGGCAAACTCGTTACCCAGTAACTCTCCCAGATGGATAGGCTCCGACTTGTACTCGTAGTCGCCTGTTGTTATGCCCCAGAGCTTTCCATTGATACCTGCGAGGCTTCTATCCCGCGTGTATCGAACGGAGCAGCGCTGGACTGTAGAAGCTCGTCGGTCCTTGGTGCCCGCATAATTGATTACCTGAGGCTTCACCTTGAGGATACGAGCAATCTGGTTGACAGCGTCCATGGTGTCGCGATTATCTTTGAAGAGTGAAAAGTGAAGATACTCGCCAATCGGCTGGTCATCTTGCTTGTTCCGGTTGCGATTGCGCCCACCTCGGCCTCGTTTGCCTCTCCGCGTGGGTGCCGAAAAGCTTGCAATAATGGCGCCAGCATCGTCCGTGCTGGTTTCTATCCTGGAGTTGAAGATTCGTCGGATTTCCTGGTGAATTTCACCGCGTTTGAACTTGTCCTCGACCGGCTCGGAGACAACTGGCTTCTTCTTTTCTGAAGCCTCTACCTGGCTGTCGCGGAACAGATTGACGAGCTCTTGCGCAAACTTTTCACCAGCTAGGTTGCTGAGAGCCGTGACATCTTCTGCGGGGACTTCTATAATCTCCTTCTCTTGAGGTGTATCATTGGCATCGGCGGCATCGACATTATCAGCCTTGTCGGAAGCCTCTTGCTGCTCCTTGGGTGTATCGGCCTCTTGCGCTGGAACAGCATCTGTTTTCTGCGTAATCGGTCAGCTCCATCTATAACCATCTTGTGGAGTCCACTTACCTGTCTATCTTGACCGTTCAGCCCAATCTTGTGTAGATGCACAACAACTCCGTCTTTTCCAATCTCATTGACTTGAAAATCCGAGAATCTATGGGGCCATTAGCAAACTCATCGATCCTCTTCTCATCTTGGGGACCTTGAAGAAGCGCGTACCTCACGCGCAAGTCGCCCACCCATGGGAATCGCAGTGGTGTGGCGCGCTGCGTAATTCCTATTGATTTGGCGTGGGACGCACTCTGGCGAACATTGTAATGCGCCTGCTCACTCATGATAACGTTGATGCAACAACAGAAGTATGAATCAATTGAGTCGAGCCTCACTATGTGAAATTCTCACCAAACATTCCCAGATTATTTGAGTCTTGTGGGGCGCATTTTGCCGGCAATAATGGCGATTTTAAGTGAATGTAGTAGGCGGTGAAAATTATAGCGCCTACTATTCTCGATGCGAAGCCAAAGAGGTAGGCGGTATAGAGCATCTTGGATGGTATTGCAATTGAAACATGAGAGGATCTAGAATGAATTCTCCATTACGGAGTACTTAGGTAGTGATTTGGGGCGGATGATATTAATTTCTTGTTAAAGATGAGAAATCAGTTGCTTGAGACGAGTCCGGCCATGAGGAGAAATACTTATGCAGAGCACCTTCTTATATACAGCTATCACGGGAAGAACGACTATCAGCAGCAATTCCTTCCCATCAATGTCTACATAGGTACCTCAAGTGTCTACCGTTGAATTTATCTTTAAGACTTGATCGATCCCACTTGGAGGGTAATCAACACGCTTATGACTTTAGAACTTATCTCACCCTGATCATCATGTTATTCCTACGATAATTCCTCTTTCATTTCTCTTACCCTGTCATTCATTCTGGTGCTCATAAGAATCATATTTCAAGATACACACAAATATTGCTTATCCTTTTTTTTGTTCTTGTTTGTTTGTTTGTGGCTACACCTCCAAACGTGACATGAAAAACACTGCCTGTTAGGCGCTCGTGTCAACATTTCATCTCTGTTGTGACGCTTTGTGTGAAGCAAAAGGCGAGAACCTAAAGCACGGTTCATCAACGCAGAGGAGCATTCAGCAAGATGCCTCGGCGTTTAAGATGGATCATTCCGGCTGTACGATTTGCTACCGACTCGCGGCCATCTAACAAAACTTCGGATTCAGACTCAGACTTGGAGGAGAAACGTCTTGGGCAACCCGGTATGTTTTCATTTGGGGCGCTTGTACATTTTTCTTCGCTTATCTCTACTAGATCTCTATAGTGCACTGTTATCAATCGGCTTGCTTGACTCGAGGAACAAGCGGTTGGACGACGCGAAGCTGTTAGAGCTATCAGATGACATCCGGTCTCATCTTGTTCAAGATGCTTCGCTAGGTCCCAGAGCTGGTGTTGTCAAGAGAGCGCTTCGCGAGTTAGTAAGAGATGAGAGTAGCGCCATACCGGCCATTGGCTTTGCGACAATTCAAAATGCTCGGCTGGATAAACTGCTCTCCGATATATTGACGCTAGGTCATCAGCAAGCGTCGTCCCATCTCCGACCTCGCATCGATACAGACATGGCCGAGAGATTACAGAGGTTGTGGATGGCTAGATTTCGCGAGAAGTATTTCAACCTTGATCAGACTCGGCATCAAAACTTATCCAACACTGGTACTCTGAAGGACGTCGTTTTCAACAACATAACCTCAGATGGCTGGGAGCTATGGCAGGCAAAGGAGTGTAGGACGCTGTCTGAGCTTGAGTGGAATCTCCAGTTCAAACCAGGGCAGTAAGCTTAACGAGACAGAGAATCTTCAACAATCCAATATTCTAATATTTACCAGTTAGTGGCTGAACCTGGCATGTGCACACCGAGATGGCATTGTAGGAAGTATCATCGAGACTCCAACAAAAGGGAGATACGGGGCTGCGGCACTTCCACTATTGACAGGTCGAGAAGAAGTGCTGCCTTCCGGAACTGTTCGATACATGCGGGAGGCAAAGCTCTCAGAAACACACATATCATTGATATCCTGTGTTGGGACCCAAATACGGATCTTGCGAGGTCACCGTCTCAGAAGCCCGCTCTCTCCAAAAGCGGGCATACGATACGATGGACTGTAATTTTTTTGCCCTTGTTTATAATTTAGAACAGAGTCAATTTCGTTGCTATTGCTGACTCATTTTGCAGGTACGTCATTCGGCGATACAGCCAGAAACAGAATCTACAGACTCGCCTTCATCGAACCATTGTCACACTGGAGAGAATCTCAGGCCAGCCGAATATCGTAGACCTTGCCAAAGTGCCTCGGCCTTCACAAATGGACGATTGGGTGCTCTTTGAGAAACTGGAAGGCGAAATGATTCGGCAACACCGTGGCGAGCAAAGCTTCTTGGACTGGAAATTGATGAAGGCGCAGGAAAGGATGGAGCAGCGGCAATGGAGACGCGCTCTCGAGGTTGGAGCTGCTTTGACGACGGCACGGCATGCAAGATACAGCTACGGAATGCGTGATTTGGTGCTCAAGGAGGATATCCAGGAGCCCCTAAATCATTAGAAAATGCTGCCTCTCACCTGACTGAGATATGAGATGTAGTACCGATGCAGCATCACATTTTCACTTTTTTAAATTGGATGAGGTTGTGGTGAACAAGTACTAATAAAGCCGGGTCCGATGATACTCTACATTTTGGAGGGGCTTTCTCGGCGGGGCTCTCAAGTTGGCAAACTTCACTCATACAACCATTGGCCGATTCACTTACACAAAACCTGAAAGATGGGTAAGAACGACAAAAAATCGGGAGATAAAGGCGGCGCCAAGGGAAAAGGTGCTGAGGGCAAAGAAGGCGGAGGCAAGGCAAAGGGGGCGATGTCTATCAACGTTCGTCATATTCTGGTAGGTGCTTGGATCATTTGCGAATGAAGAACGGCTCTGTCTTGTCCATTCCTCCTCCATCTCCAATGAGCATCTATCTCCACATTGAAAAAAAATGATACGATGAGATGCTGATGATAAAAAGTGCGAAAAACATGCCAAGAAGGAAGAAGCTCTTCTGAAGCTGAGTGAGGGTGTCAAATTTGACGAGGTGGCACGGGCCTATTCAGAAGACAAGGCACGACAAGGTATTCGGAATCGCCTTTTCCTTTGCATTCCCTGGCATTTTATCGACCAGCATTATTCTAGATATGGTTTACTGACAATTACTTTTCCACTCCTGGCAGGAGGTTCTCTAGGCTGGAAGACGAAGGGGAGTCTGGATCCTACGTTTGAAGAAGTTGCCTTTTCTTTGGAACCAAGCACTACGAGCAGTCCTAAGATTGGAGAGGCCAAGACGCCGTTTGGCTATCACATCATAATGGTGAGTTTGGAACGCTTATCTCCATTGCTGGGCATTTCCGGACCTTGGTTTATAACGGATTTTATAGGTCGAAGGGCGGAAATAAAAAATGGGCAACCGCAGGTTTGTCACAGATTAATGCACAAAAGAGCCAGCAATATCAGATGATTCTTTAAATTCCTTTTTTATTTTTCCCGTCATGCAAGATGGCCATGATATAAGGCCTAGAGTACAACCCTAAAGAAAGTCGTTTTTTTCACGCGTCCTGAAAAGAAACCAAGACCGCACCTCTATACCCCTTTAAATCAACGCCGTCCATGCCCTTACTGGGAAGTCTGGAAGTAGTTCAGGATGATGGAACGCTCCTGAGACTCCTCACCCCAGTCCTTAACGACGACGCAAGAGCAGTTGACGACCTTGCGGGCGTTACCCTCACGGTCCAGAACGCCTACAGAAAAAAAATGTAAGTAAATCTCTTCTCTTCTCTTCTTTTTCAGATTCCGTTGGAATATCACATACAGAGACCGGCCCACTCGCCGAGCTGCTTGCCATCGGGAACCTTGATGAGAGGAATCTTGTGCTCATTGCAGAGAGCAATGACCAGCTTCTTGTAGGCCTCCTCCTCGCAGTTCTCGTTCAGGACGCACATGTGAGCCTGGCGACGGTCCAGAGCCTTGGAGGCTTCTCGGAGACCGCGGGCGAGACCGTCGTGCATGAGAGCGAGCTTGAGAACACCCTTGAGGGCGTCCAGAACGGACATCTGGCCCTTGGGGGCATCTCCGGAAACTTCAACCTCCTCGGCGACCTCGGGGGCGTTGTTCTCTTCTACGTCCGACTTTTGAAAAATTCCCTGGTTAGCGCTGCGTTCCCAATCGTCAAGGGGGGGTATTTTCGCAATCGACAAGCACCGGCGAGGGGCTCATTTTTTCGTGCATTCGCATGGCGGAAAAAAAGAGCGTCGTTCCGACATTGGCGATTCGAAAATTTTGGGTGAGGAACTCACCATCTTGATTTGTTGTTCTCGTCGGGCGATCCTCGAAGATTAATTGATGTGTAAAGAATTAGTGACGGGGGTTTTTGCGTCGTGCGCGACAAGTCGTAGTAGGAGATTGAGAATAACGGGGATTTGCCGAAATCAAGGTAACCGAGTGTGCCAAGAGTGCGTACCCTTAGGGCATTTTGACGCGCACGGACCACCAGGGCACACAACGCACCACGCGAGGCTGGACCCATACCAGCGCCCAATTTTTTTTTCCCATCTCGGCCTTCCAGCTCCACGACCTCACTTCCGCTCTTCAGTCAAACTCCAAAGAGGTATGTATGGCCTTGGTCACCGCTGACGGCGATTCGGACCTGGCAGGATGACGCCTTTTATCGTGGCTGGGGACAGCAATCGTAAACGCCGGCCCCGATGAGCGACAATGGACGCGCGATGATGGCATCATGGTGGTTCTATTTGGCACGCAACGGCTTTGGCTGGCGTTTCTCGATACGCTGCTTCCCCTTCGGCAATGAGCGGGCTGAACCCTCGTCGACGGATCGCTGAGGGCACTCTCCACGCTTATGGGCCACTCCGAGTCTAACATGTGTTTCCCCTGTGGTAGATACCTCATTTCCAAACTCGACTTGAGAATCTCCTTTTCATCAATACCGCCAAAATGGTCCGCACTTCCGTTCTCCACGACGCCCTCAACTCCATCAACAATGCCGAGAAGGCCGGCAAGCGTCAGGTCCTGATCCGACCTAGCTCCAAGGTCATTGTCAAGTTCCTCCAGGTCATGCAGCGCCACGGTACGTTTGGACGATTGATATTTTGTTTTCCAATTGATTTTGCACGACACCATCTCCCTTGCCTGCCTTCGGCATGATAACTAGGGCTACGATCGATACTGCACCACGGTCCAGCCCCTATAAGTTGCCGATATATTATCCTGCGGTGGATTTTCTTCAGATTTCTATGCCTATTTTCTTCACGTTATTAATCGCCTGAGGTCTTCCGCAACAATGCTAATTCATCTTTGCAGGCTACATTGGCGAGTTCGAGGAGGTCGATGACCACCGCTCCGGCAAGATTGTCGTCCAGCTGAACGGCCGTCTCAACAAGACTGGTGTCATCTCCCCCCGCTACAACGTCCGCCTGGCCGATCTCGAGAAGTGGGTCGTCAAGCTGCTGCCTGCCCGTCAGTTCGGCTATGTCATCCTCACCACCTCTGCTGGTATCATGGACCACGAGGAGGCCCGACGAAAGCACGTTGCCGGCAAGATCATCGGCTTCTTCTACTAAAAAATCGGCGAAGAGAGAAATGAAAAAACTGAATTTGCGGCATTCTCGGCGTTCCAATGGTGGTCGCGGTGACAGTGATCAGCATCCTCTGATTTATACTGGGATAGTCACCTTTTAGCTTAGCGTACACTGGCAATAAATCACAAATGAGAAAGCCCAATTCTACTTGACCAGTTTGTTCGTGATATTGGCTCTTTGTGTTATACTGATTTGCTCTCTGTTTGATAGCTTACATAAGCAACTGTGCACGAATCTCACTTGAGTAGATTCACGTACCCAAGCACGAAGAATAGCCAAACTCTTTGTATAGCGGCTATACTCGTTGCTTTGGTACATCCACCCTTTTTATGAGATCAATGGAGAGTCGTCTTAATCTCTCGACTCTGGAAATCATCTCCAGCCAGTCATATGGCGGCATCTCCATACTTATGTAATAGGTCAGCAAAGCTCCCCACTAACAAAGCTGGGCATGTGCCGGAACTTGGTTGCCATCATCGCCTCTGCAAAGTAAACAAACCTTGTTTTGATTAGCCCAAAGGCATTTCTTGTCTTGTTCTGCCATGATTTTACCGTTTTTGGATCGTTGAATCGCCCAATTTCGTCTATATGCGCTATTGCAAGAGGTTGGCAATTTGAGTGCTCTTTTCTTCGCTCTGTCTTTTCCCGGGGTGGTGATGCAATTGTCTCATTTGAGCTGAGCAGCTGGGTTCCAATGCCAGATTTCAACATGCGGCGGCGTTCGTATTTTCTGGCCATGGCCGTTTTGCTGTCATGTTTCTGCGCGTATTCTATTCTTGAGATTTCCACCGACGGCTTCAATACTGAGGCTTATGCCCCTGCACAACCTCAGAAGCAGCAAAAGCAGCAGCATCAACAGCCGATACAAGCACGCCCCTCACCATCATCAACAACAACAAAATCAACAAAATCAAGCCCCACCTCTCAAGGCCCAGTAACATGGGAGGAATTGCCCGTTGTAACAGGCGGGCCACAGCCAAAGAAGGCGCCCGATGCGGCATCACATCCGATCATCCATCTCATGAAAGATGCGCAGCACGAGTTTGCAGAGGTCAAGAAACGACAGTCCAAGTCTCTTGGTGAGGCCGTCAAAGAGTATCGCAGGCGATACGGCATGCCGCCCCCTCCGCACTTTGACAAATGGTATAAATTTGCCGTGAGCAACAAAGTACATCTGATTGATGAATTTGACATGATTTATGACATGATGACTCCCTTCTGGGGACTGCAGCCACAGACAATCCGCGCAAGGGTGGCGGAGGCGCTTGGATATGATAATGGGCTGCTTGGAGTTGCCATACGGGATCACGGAATTGCACACATGGAGCACGGATATGAGTGGCAGAGGAACGCGACAAAGGGCATGATGGAAAAATTCATACAGTATCTGCCAGACATGGACTTGGCTTTCAACATTCACGACGAGCCTCGTGTCGTGGTTCCGCACGACGATCTGATTCGGCTTGTGAACAAGGCCAAGGACGAGAACATGGCCTCGTTGAATGGGAAGAACAAGCTCGTCAATGAATTCTCAACAAAACCATCCGATCTTAGTGACGGTAAAACATTCAAGGAGACAAAGCTCTCGAGATTCAGCACGATTCAATACCAGTCCACCTGGGCAGACTCCCGCATGTCCTGTCCTCCCGACAGCCAGGCAAGGATCCTTGAGGACGAGCGTGCCGACGACTTGAGCAGATACGGCATCAGCGATCTTGCTTTTGTGTACAACACAACCGCCATGTCCGACATCTGCCTTACGCCGTCCCTCAGTTCTACATATGGCTTTTTCGATCGTCCAAATTCGTTCAAAATCACCCATGATCTGCTGCCCATCTTCTCGCAGTCCAAGATCTCATCCTATGGCGATATTATCTACCCATCTCCGTGGTACTGGTACAAGAAAGTGGCCTACAACGAAACCAACGACATGCCGTGGGAAGACAAGGAGAACAAGCTCTATTGGCGAGGCTCCACCACTGGAGGGTACAGCCGCAACGGTGGCTGGAGAAGGCACCATCGCCAGCACTTTGTCCAGAAGATCAATTCCAAAGAGCAAGCCAAGGTTATGACCAACAGCGGCACTGCCGAAAGCCCCAAGTGGACGCCCAGGGAGGTACCGCGTGGAGACTACCAGAAGCTCATCGACGTGCACTTCTCCCATGTCGGCCAATGCGATCCCGGCGACTGTGAGGCGCAAAAGGAGTTCTTCGACGTGGTCGATCCCGTCGACCAGCAGGACGCTTGGGGATACAAGTACCTGGTCGACATTGACGGGAATGCCTTCTCCGGCCGGTTCTACGCCTTTTTGCAGAGCCAGAGCTTGACGTTTAAACTCGCCCTGTTCCGTGAGTGGCACAACGAATGGCTTAAGCCGTGGGTGCACTACGTGCCGCTGAGCCTACAGGGAGATGACTGGCTCGAGGCGGTGCGCTTCATCGACGAAGACACCAAGGGGTCTGCTGAAGGGCAGAAAATCGCAATGGAGAGCCGTGAGTGGGCGAACAAGGCTATTAGGAAAGAAGACATGGAGGTGTGGTTTTTTAGATTGCTGTTGGAGTGAGTTTCCCTGTGCCCGCTTCTCTCTTCTTTTACCGTCTTGTAATCGATGATGTGCTAATGAAACTTGTAGGTACGGTAGGGTGATTGACGACAATAGAGAAAATCTTGGATTCGAGATATGACAGAGCGGCATGATGGGGAAATAAAGCAAGCATGACTGGGCGTTTATATGAAATGATACCATTGTTTACTACTACTACAACGTATTTATTGCACCACGAATTGGGGAAATCACGACGTAATTGTATACTCACTCGCTGGTATATACAGCAATAGAATACTATGAAATCTCCCACTTGTTTATTTACTGGGCTTTCTTTCCTAGTTTCTCATTTATCAGTTCAACACATCGATAATGGAATGAGGCAACGCATTTTCATTACTGTCCATCTATATACCCGATGAAAAAAACCCATGTGGTGCAAACCCAACTACTCCCCAGCCACCAATCCTCCATGTCATTTTCCTTCTTTCTGTTGCTCTCCGGATTAACGAAACTCGTCGCTTTTGAAGACTCAGATTTCTCAAACGATCAAAAGATTAAGAAAAAAGCAAACTCCCATTTGGTAAAGACGGGCAATACAACCAAACCCACTCCCCCATCAGCAAGCTTAATCTTCATCTTCGTCCTCATCACCTTCAGCATCATGGTCCGCAGAAGGAGACCGGTCTTGTCCCCCAGAGGCACCGTTACGCTCAGCTTCTTCGCCATCGGCATCGACATCGGCTTCCTCAATGGACTGTTCAACGTGCTGGTGCTCATCGGCACCCTCATCCTGCTCCCACCCAAGAGGATGTCGTGAGTACATCTTCATGGCGCTCCTCATTTCCTCGGTGGGATCATCAACAGTAAGATCCAGCTGGTCGACCACTTGCGCCTCGTCATCCTCAGCAAGGCCGTAATTTGTGCGTGCAATGTTCTTGGTTCGCTGGGGCCGGATGGTAGACTTTTGCATGATGGGGTAGTAGTACATGGCCTTTTGCCTAGGGAAGGTGTCGTCGTCATTGAAGGCGAGAATGATTTCATCCTCGTATTTGGTTGGATGATCGAGCTCCGTCTCCTGAGCAGTCTCGTACGCCCTGATCCTGTTGAACTGAAAGTAGCCACCTGTGTCGGCCTTATGGGTATACAGGTCTTCATCATCATTGCTGGGGTCATCGATGTCAAACTTGCGACGGAAGCGGTCGGCATCAGCACGAGTCTGGCCGAGATAGAAGTCGTAGTTCATCAGGTTGGCCGGCTTGGGGTTGTTGGCGGGATCCTGCGCGTAGGCTTCCATGGCTGCTTCCAGTGCCGCTTCCTCGGCCGGCGTGCGGTCTATCGGCCTGAACAAGCCGCTGCGGAGACGATTATCATACTCGTTGGAGCTTGAGACGGGATTCGTGAGAAACTTGATGGTGACATAAGCACCCGAGTCGGGGAACGCGTCCAGGTCGGGCAGCAGAGGCGCCGCATCGACGAGCTTGAGGTGCTTCTTGGAAGGATGCTTGATGCGCTTGGGATCCTTGAGATCCTGCTCCGCAAGCTCGAAGCCCTTGTCGATCTTGCGTTTGATGACTTGTGGTGAGTCGGCGGCTGCTTCTGGGCGTTTGACTGGCCGTCGGTTCTTAGCCAACAGGGCTCTGGGATGGTTTGCTTCGAAGCGCTTCGGCACCAGGGACGAGATGTATTCTGTTCGACGGAGGAAGGAGACGTTTGCTTCGGCAACCTTGGGCTTGCCTAGGGCTGCAATAGGTCTAAGGAGGGCCCGGTCGTGAGGGTGGATGGCTAATGGCTGTGATGATGCTTGGATTGCTGCAGGCACGTCCCAGGTCAGGTTGATTCAGTCTTGAATAATCAACAAAACACACTCACATCGTTCATCTCCATCAAACACGCCTGGCATGCCCACTAGATCAAGCGGCATGCCCAGCTCTGCGTCGGCCTCGATGTTCAGCGGCTGCTCTCGCGCCAGGCGTGATGCAAACCCAGGCGTCGTGTATTGGCCGCTCGCGAGGCCGGTGTTGGGGATATCGAGCAGCTTGGGAGGATTCGGCGGCGGAGGCAGAGCATTGGAGAAGCGGATTCGCGCAATGAAGTCCTGGTGAATCATGCGCTCGCCTGAGCGAGCTCCCGAGGACGACATCTTGGCCTTGTCCCTTTTCCCCTACTCACTTCTGGCTGGTCGAATCAATGAAGCAGATGCTGCTAATGAGGCTGTAAATGAATGAATCGCTCGAGAGGCTCTAGCGTCTAAGCCCTCAATTGCTGGTCTGAAGGGCGATTGAAGGACGTGGCCGAGTGTCGGTAATGATGGAGGGAAAAAAAGAGTCGCGCACCGCACCTGAGAGGCGAGGCTGTCAAATCTGAGGTAGCCTCTGCGGCTCCCCACTACGCGACTTTTGCAGCAGAGAGGCCAAACGGCAGCAGTTTTCGAACCACCAAAGCAAGGAACAAAATATGCATAAAACGAAATGCAAAATAATCAAAATAAAAAAAATAAAGCAAATACAAATACAAATAGCTCATCAGCTCTCCATCTCTTAGGCGTACAAAGCTATTTCATTAAATTAAGTATAGGTAGCTAGCTCTCTGTGAGAGTTCGTCTCCAAGACCTGGTTCCCATGCGGTTTCGTATCAGTCATCCGTAGTCTAACCCATCCGTCTACGCCTTTTAAGGATTCAGTGGCAGGCCCTCGTTTGCTTTTTTAAATAAGAGAAAATTCTCCTTCAAAGACCCGTCATTCGCCGCACATGTATCTTGTACATCCGCCCGCGCAGGCGCGTTGACACATGTAGGCAGCTGCAATCTGTTACACGCGGCTCAAGCCAACCCATTGAAAAAAACTCCACCCCTAGTGTTCATTTTGAATCCCGGGATAGAGACTTCGTCTCCACGCGGTTATTGGCCAGTCTGCTTACGATCGGTCCTTGGCGTAGGACTTCTTGCCGATGGTAAAGGGCACGTAGCGATACTTGATCATGTGCTGGATCTGTCGGCGCACTGCAAAGAGTTGGTTAGCAGGGTGATTTCCTACACGGGTGTGAGGGCTTCATACTGGTGAGGACAAATAGTATCAACCAATACATGACCAAGACGGGCCAGAACACAGGAACGTCAAAGATGGCGAACCAGGTGCAGACAAATGAGATGCCAATGGCTCTCGTGGCCCAGTACCAGAACTTGAATTCGGGAAGGCGTCTGATGAAGGGCTTGAATTCTTCGTCCTGCTTGGTTGGGAGGGTGCCAACAGAGCCGTCTTCCATTTCGCTATCCAGGACATCGCTCGAAGGGTCGAACTTGGGCTGCAGGAAGGCCAGGAAAAGGTTCAAGAGGTAGATTCCCAGGGCGTATGCGACTGAGTGGCGAAAAAACAGCGTTAGTGTCTATTGCTTCATTTCTTCTTCTTCGTTTTTCTGCTTTGTAGAGAACTCAAGCGGGCTGAAACCAGAGACTTACCAATGTACCATCCTTGCGCCATGAAAATGCGCAGGAAGAAAAGAAGCAACGCCACGCCGGTACCGATCCATCGGTACATGACATACGGCGTTGACTGATCCAGAATCGCTTGATATTGCTGGCCATAGTTAGCACATCAGCGGCTCCAGGAAGACGATGCAAAGCCAAAGTCGCGAAGCCTACTCTCTGGATCTTGGTGGTGTGGGCTGTAACAGCCGCGAAAGGGGTCTGTTCGGGCTCCGGCGCATCCATATTGAAGGCTGTAACACAATTGAAACGGGGCTCTGGCCAAGCGGGAATAGAACTGAGATGAAAGGCGAAGACAGCGAGTTGCCGCACCGAGAATCGCAGGCCCAACGGCGAAATGGAGGCAGAATGAGGTTGTGGAAAGCAAGAGTCGATTTATCGCGAAACAAGATGATCTGGCGTGGGGCTGGCCAGCATGTGCTTTGCGTATGCCTTTGATTGAAATTCAGCCACGTAAGGCTTGACCCCTGGCGGCTAGGCGGAGGGAGCCGGTGTTTTGCCGGTGCCTGCAGACGCTAGCGTGGAGGAATATGGAGTTACTCCGACGGCTGGCGGGAAATGGGGGGATGAGATAGGTACCTTGCTATCTTGAGACGGAAAACTCTATACAAAGCCACGGCTTGTTGTGGCAAAAGTTCTTTTCCTTTCCTTATCTTTTACCCATCAGTACTCTTTAGACGGTTGATTTCGAGATTTGATTCCCAATTAAATTCTACAGTGTCCTCAGATATACATTGACACACTGATAGGGGCTTAGCTGTTGTCCAGTAATACAAATACCCTTGAATTCCCTTATATAGCCTAATTCTCACCCTCGAGTTCCATCAGCGGGTCTCCGTTTCCGACGGATATTCCCACCTGAAGCGCGTCATTGGTCTAGGGGTTAGGATTCAACTCTTCCATTCTAAATCGAAAAGTTGAGGCCCGGATTCGAGTTCCGGATGACGCATTTTTTGCTTTTTGCCCAAATTTACTCTACGGCACACCTCATTCACTTAGCACAATATCGAGGCTTCAAGAATCCCCTTTTTTTCACAGCTAACTTCATTCCATATACTGAAAATCCAAAGAAGCCACCTCTCCATTCTCTCAAGCCTCGTTCGCCTCAACATGCGTCACCTCTTCCTCAAAATCCGGGTTCTTGGCCCTCATCTGCGAAAGCACCGCGGCTGAAGCGCCGGTTGAAGCACCACCGCCCACCTTGGCTTCCTCGCCGTCGAAGTACTTGGCAATCTCTTCCAAGGGAGTGTTCTAAAGAAAAGGCTAGCGTCAGCATATATAAACATGAACATGAGCGAGGGTTGCTTGAGACCATACCTTTGTTTCCACCCAGAGAAAGTAGACGACGACGAAGATGACGCAGAGAAACACATCGTAAAACTACATTGGCCGCCGTTAGACTGATGTAACATGACAGTTGTGGCATTCCAACTTACAATGTAGAATCTCCATCCCTGAGACTCGATGCCTACGGGGTTGATGTACTGGTTGAGCACTGGTACAATCATCAGCCAACAAAAACCTTGCAATGGTAAGAGTGATATGTGTACTTACATGACGAACTGACACCGAAAAATGTAACGTTGAGACCCTTGGCGCGAATCTCATATGGCAGAATCTCAATGGGATACGCCAACACCAGACCTTGCCTAAACACTCCCATCATTAGCATTGTCCAGCATGGATATCAGATACATCGCTCAAACTTACCATCCACAGTTGAATGCCGTGTAAAACAAAAAGATCATGACAATGACGCCCTTTGCATCAGCACCATCTCCCGTAATGTTATATCGCGCCGAAAGAATCGTCCACAACACAAAGCACACAATCATCGACCCCGTACTTCCCAACACCATCTTCCTACGTCCAAAGCGGTCGATGTTAAATGCCGCCCAGATAGCCACAATGAAGTTCCAGATCTGCAGCCCGCCATTCAAACCCGCCTGCTCGGCATTCTTGGTGATGCCAATCGTCTCCAGCACAGGCACTAGATAATAGGACACCAGGCCGTTGCCGCACCACTGCGAGAAGAAGCCCTGCAGATAGCAGATGAGGGTACGCTTGCGGTTGCCTGGCGTGCTGACGAGGTCGAGCCAACCGCTCTTAGAAGCAAACTCGCGCTCCAAGGCCAGTGTCTCCTTGATTTCGGTGAAGGAGGTCTGGACGAAATCGGTGCGCTCGCCGTTGCCATGAAACTTAACCAGAATGTCGAGGGCTTCTTCGTGGCGGTCCTTTGCAATGAGGAAACGAGGGCTCTGGTTTCGTCATGTTAGACAAGTTGGCTGGTAGATAAAGATGGAAAATACGGTATTAAGATATTTACCTCTGGCAAGAACCAAATAAACATGATCTGCACAATGGCAGGGAAAGCCTGGATAATAGACGGAATGCGCCAGGCCCACTCACTGTCAATATTAATAGTGCTATTTTCGTCAGTTCTTAATATCGTTATCCCATCTAAGCTTTATAAATAGAGTGATTGACTATCCGGCACCATGGGTCCAAAATCTGTGGATAGTGATAATAGCAGATAGTAGAAGAGGATAGAGAGAGTAGAAGAGGATAGAGAGAGTAGAAGAGGATAGAGAGAGTAGAAGAGAGTAGAAGAAAGCAGAGAGAGTAGATGAAAGTAGAGAGAGCAAAAGTGATACGTACCCAAAGGTCACCCACGCGGCAACAATAGATCCAAAATACCACGTCGAGTTGTAAATCGCCGTAATCGTGGCTCGATGTTGCGTATGAGCAAGTTCAGTCACCATGAGAGGTGCACTCCCGTGGTCAATCATGACACCGAAGCCAACAATGAATCTTCCTGCAACAAACATGCCAACTATATCACACCGACCACGAAAGTCAGTTACACGGCGTGCTACTGGTAGGAATATCGATCAGGGGGGGAATGCTCAATCTTGTTCTTCTCACCATTGATACTAGCACTTTGAACAGCTACTCCAATGATAGCAATAATACTTCCAATCACAACGCCCCATCGTCTTCCCAACTTATCCGCAATTGTAGCAGGAAATGGGAATGGAATCACAGCAATCAGCTGTCCAAGCGCAAAAGCAAGGTTGTAAAACGCCAGCAACGAGCCACGAGGATGGTGGAAGTAGTTCTGCCACTGCCCGCTTGTCTGTAATGCGTTCATCATGGAGCCATCGTAGCCGTTGACCATAGAAGTCATGAGCGGCACAAGGAGTAAAAAGTATAGGTGCCGGAGACCTGGTTCGCGCCACCAAGTCACCTTTGGGAACTCTTTGTTGGCGAGTCTGAAGGTGGTGGACGGCGGAGCCGTTGACTTGAGCATGTTGGCGAACTTCATCGTCAAGTCACAATGGTTCGTTCTCATCAACTGTGGATTGAAAAGATGGGTGATCGACACCAGCTTGGACAAGATGAGGGCTCATGCATATCGGCTGCATCTCCGCAGTCATGACGGAGGTCTATATATACACACGAGGGAAGTATGGACGATCACACAAACAAAGGAGGGGAAGCATTTCATTCTCTGCCCATCAAGCCACTAACACTCTAAAGCTTCTCATGACTCTCATGGTCTGAAACTATCGACGATGCCCTCAGCTTCAAAAGAAGCCGGCAGTTAGTCCAGGTCAGCAAGTGGGGGAACCCCGTGCTTGAAATCGACTACAATAGCCATGAGCCGACCCCGGCACCGGACTTTATCACCTTGGCTTTAAGGATCGTCAGTGTATACTCCAAGTTGAGATGGTACCTTGTTGCCAAAGTGACAGCGCCAACAACAGCTCTAGCCCGAATATATTTGTCTAGCAAATCTGTCTAGCGCAGTGGCTGGCGACGGTTCTTTGATATAAGCGCTACAGACATTGTCGATAGGCCTTTTAAACGTTTACCCCCGAGCTGCCACGAGAGCAAGTAAACCCCATCATGGACGAGCAGAATCTGGGGAAACTCGCGCTTGGATGTTAAAATAGTCTGGGGAATGCTGGCCAAGTGGAGATTTGAAGGTGCTTTAGCCGGTTAGTTGGAAAAAGTGTGGAGTTGGACTGCCGGTGGTGCGTCCATCGCCAACTCGGCTATTTTCCCAAAATGTTCAGTAGGCGAAGACTGACAACCTTCAGAATATCGTCGTATTAGGATCCCTTCCCAATGGGACGACGACTCAGGAACTCGCGGCGTAGCACATGGTTCGGTTCGTTAGAGATGTGGATGATGCGGGGGAGCTTTGATATCATGTTCACATGAAGCATCGCGAATAGTTGCCAAATGTGGGGGAAAGGCCATCCGAGATCGCATCGCATTTCTCCCATGTGTTATTAATTTTGTTTGGTAGGGAGGGACTGCAAGATAAGCACTATGAATCCTTAAAAGAGCAAATAATCACAAATCTCAACTCTTCTTATATCAGCTCAGCTGTCGGTCCCTGATCGTTGATCTTGCATAGCTCGAGCTGTCCCCAAAGAATTTTACACAAACCTCCATCTTAATATAAATCATGGCCACATATCTACGCACAGACGTCCATGACGGTTGGGTCTTCAAGCAAGCAGACAAGCCAGACTCGGACTTCCGACCCGTGGCCCAGTTTCCCACCGTCATCCATCTCGACCTATTACACCATAACCTGATCCCTGATCCGCCTAAAGACAGAAACAGCGAGCTGATCCAATGGGTCGGTGAGAAGCAATGGCTCTACAAGACTTCATTCATCTCACCGCAGGCCCCATCAAGCACCGGCAAGGTGTCTCATACAATGGTGTTCGATGGCCTTGATACATATGCCAAGATCAGTCTAAACGGCAAAGAGATAGCCAGCACCGCCAACATGTTTCTTCAATACCGTGTTGATGCCACAGAGGCACTGAAGCCAGCAGGTGAAGAAAACAGCCTCGAGCTTCTTTTCGACTCTGCGTTCTTGGAGGGCAAGCGCCTGGAAAAGGCACAAGGCTATAAGAACCTGTTCTGGAATGGCGATTCCTGCCGTATGAACGTCCGCAAAATTGGATGTCACTTTGGATGGGACTGGTGAGTTTTCATAGAGTTTGGCTTTGCATGGCAATGCTCAGTCCCTGTATTCATTGACTGACCGTGACAATTACTAGGGCACCAACGCTGCTAACTTGTGGCCCGTGGCGACCCATTTACCTCGAGTCATTTGTAACACGTATCGCCGACGTGAACATTGATATTGATGTTGCAGACTCGCTAGATGTTGCAATTGTGACTGTCACGCCAGAGTTGCAGGGCCACGATGGCAATGATAAGTCGGTCCAGGTCAGCATCAGCAGTCCAGATGGAGAAGCTGTTTTCACTGGCAATGGGAGCAGCAGTGCGACCCTCAAAGACCCCAAACTGTGGTATCCAGTCGGCTATGGAAAGCAGCCGCTGTACACGGTGACAGCTACTCTGGGTGACCAGCAGGTCGTCCGCAAAGTTGGTATCCGTCATCTACGTTTGGTCCAGCGACCTCTCGAGAACGGAGCTCCAGGAACAACCTTCTTCTTCCAGGTCAACCAGATCCCCATCTACTGCCGCGGTGCTAACTGGGTGCCTGGAGATACCTTCTTGCCGAGGATCAATGCGAAGCGCTATCGTCAGTGGATCGAGCTGGCTCTCCACGGTAACCAGAACATGATTCGCGTGTGGGGAGGAGGTCTTTACGAAGATGACTCTTTCTATGAGATTTGCGATGAGCTTGGAATTCTCATATGGCATGACTTTCAGCTCGGGTGCGGTGTTTATCCTGTCTCCGACTTTATGACCAACACCATCCGTGAGGAAGCCATTTACAACCTCAAGCGACTGCGACACCACCCATCCATCGTCTTGTGGTGCGGAAACAACGAGGACCACATGTTTGCGGAGCTGCATCACCTTGAATACGACATCAACGACAAGAACCCAGATAATTGGCTCAAGACGAACTGGGCAGCACGCTGGTATTACGACAAGATGCTCCCCGATATCTGTGCCGAGCTCGTTCCTCGTGTCCCTTACCACAACTCATCTCCCTGGGGCGGCACATACAGTAATGATCCAACTGTTGGAGACATCCACTCTTGGAGAGTATGGATGGCAGATCAGCCGCGCTACCCGTACCAAGACTATGAGAAGCTCACCGGCCGCTTTGTGAGCGAGTTTGGTATGAAGTCATCGCCTTCTGTTCACAGCGTCCGCCAGCTCATAACCGATCCTGCGGAGAGACACCCCCAGTCTCGTACTTTTGACAATTGGTTCTGCGCGCCAGAAGACCAGCGCACTCTGTCAATGTACTTGATTGACAATCAAAAGTACGACATTGCCTCTCTGCAGGCATATGTATACGCTACTCAGCTCAACCAGGCCGAGGCAACCGACTACTCGCTGCGTCCTTTCCGGCGCCTCTGGAAGGGCCCTGGACAAGAGGAATGCGCTGGTAGCCTAATTTGGCAGCTTAACGACTGTTTCCCAGCCGCGAGTTGGTCTTTGGCCGATGCGTTCCTCCGCCCTAAGCTGGCTTACTTTGTTGCCAAAAGAGATTTTGCGCCCATCATTGTTGGGTGCGCAAGAACGACGGTAGAGCATCCTGCCGATGAGTTCACTCGTGTATTCGTAGAACGCGTTACCTCGGCGGATGTTTGGGCCAGCAACTGCACCACCTCCGAGGTCAAGTTGACCATCACGGTAGCCTTCTACTCCGTCTTGGATGGCAAACTGCTCGCCTCCAAATCTGAAGAAGTAACTCTACCACCAAATCGCTCGACGGAGCTACAAAAGGTCAATTTTGATGAAAAAGAATGGGGAGTCAAGCAAGAGTCTGTAGTCGTCGCTACGAAGCTCACCAAGAATGGAGATGTGCTGGCCCGCTATGTCAACTTCCCACAGCCGTTGAGACATCTCGATTTTTCCGCTGCGGAGGTTACCGTTACCAAGAAAGAAATTAATGATTCGACCAGATCATTCGAACTTGCCGTCTCGGTCATGAATGGTGCAGCTAAGGGTGTAGAATTGATGATTGACACTTTGGATCCGGATGTTGCAGACAGCTATGTCTTCAGTGACAATGCCTTGGATCTTGTTCCGGGTGAAGAGCAGATTGTAACTGTTACTGCTGTCGCTGGTACGAAAGCCGATCTTGAGAAAGTCAAAGTAGTGGAGCAACATTATGGTTCTGTGGCCACAAAACAGAGTCTTGTGTTGATGTAATAAAGCCAGCTATGTTTAAGGGTATCTCTGTCTGTGCGCCTGCCTGAGTTAGTGATATTTCTTCAATAGTATTGGTAAAGTAGATACAAAAATAAAACTCACGTTTACATGATCTAAGCTCTCAATCAGTTAGGCACCTCATTCCACGTCTGCTTTAGCTTTTCAACTGTTTGGGTTACATCCCAAGTGGTCTCAACTTGGATACGATGTAGTAGATCCAATAGGTGAGACTGAGATTTACCATCTCTTAGCGTGCGACCACCTATTTATCCAGTTAGTCGATGCCCGTTTACATATCATTGAGAGGCCTTCATTATTCGGTATATACGAAATTAGGTGACCGGTCAATGTACTCACAATATGCTAATATTTCTGCAGCATTCACCAGGGCTCCAGGATATCGACACTCCTTATACAAAAATAATCCACGGACAATTCCACAGACCTGAACAGTATGCTTGACAGCTTCTGCCTAGAGAGATGAATGTCAGGAAAGAGCAGTGAAGAGGATACTGTACTGTTATAAACTAACGATATCTGCACTCTCTGTGTTCGCGTCGCTTGACTGATTGGACAGTATAAAAATGACTCTGCAAAGATGGAAGAATTGCATTGCCACATCTGGCAGACAGCTCAAGAGTTAGATGACATATCCTAGATCAGGTTAGAGAGAAATTAAAATGACTAACTGTGCCAAATGCATGTGTACGTGATCGCTGGAAATGGATGATTGTCGATAACCACGGACAGTGGATTGAATGTATCAGGGAGTCTCTGCTGCCAGCTGTTCACAAGAGTGACTAGCATCTCCTGATGCGCAGAAGCTACTGTGGAAACGCGCGAATCAAAGTAGTGGTTGATTACTCGTGCAGTGACCCAGATGATGTTATTCGCCCAATCATCGTCCGTATCTCCGTCAAAGACGACGTAGTATGTTCTATCCGAGGTGTCAATATTGGTCGGGGAGCAGCCGCGGAGAGCGGTTAGTATCTCCTGGCGAACATATGTCCAGAATGCAGTATGCTTGAGACTTCCTGGACCAAACTTATTTGCGTTGTGGCTAAATAGAGAGAGAGACCCTCGCAAGTGCCGCTGCAGGTCAACTTCAGCACTGCGGTCGCTAAGCATTTCATGCATTCGTAGAATGACTGTCGACAGCGCCAATGCACTCTCAGATGCACAGGCTATATCTTGTAATGCAGCGATAAGCCGGCACACACAGCTATAGTGGTATTCATCTGCTACGAGGGGGCTGAAATCCTGGTCAGAGCGGCTCAGATACCGCGCCGAAAATGCAAAGATTGCGTCGAGAAGCATAGGACATTTCATGGCCAGTTGAGGTACAGAGGCTGAGAAGTGATGTCTTGGATCATTCAACGCTAACTGTATATCAAGTATCAGTGGCCATTCTGTAAGCGTAAGTCCTCACAAAAGTGCTTACCCATCCGCTTAGATGCTCAGTGTAGACAGTTAGCAGACGCGCTTCTCCTGGATCTCTTAAGGGTCCTCGTAGCTGTGGAAGGTATATGGGCAGCGTTGAATTTAGAGCTTCTGCTAGGCTTCCAATAGGAGTGCCTGTAGTTTGGCTATCCGAAATATCTTCAAAAAGGAAATGAGACACCGGAGGAAGGGATATATGGAAGAACCCGGGCTCCGTTTCTGTTTGGCTAGAAAACTGAGATGCTCTTGGGGAGTTTGGCTGATCGCCTTATCGATGTAAGTATGGGGGAACAAGTCGTTGTTTGTAGAAGGACTATTCTCACCCGGCGTGCTAATTCGAAATGCAGCTGCGCTTCCTCCTATTTTATGACGGTCTCGGCTGATTCTACGTGATTTCCGTCGTACATGATGGGCAAACCGCACTTGAAGGAATAGATTAGCTTGGCCCAAGTGCCAGAGATGTTTAGGATAACTGAACTTACAGGGAGACGGAATGTTGACCCAGACATGATCTGCTGGAAAGTCGAAATAGTCACTTTCTTCCAAGACAATTTCATTTGGATGGTCGGGGCTAGCTGCCCTAGGAAACGAACACGACCGGCCAGCTATCTCGCAGCGCCTGCACTCTGGTCTACGTTCGTCGCCTTCGTAGTGTCAGCATAGGAGTAGACAAAGAAAGTCGCACGACGTCATTGATAGAGAAGGGAGATAACAAATTCGATAATTAAGAGAGAGTAAGAGGATCGCCAAGAATAATAGGGCTGCCCTGCATTAGCTTACACTTGACGTGACGTTTCCTGCATGTTAGGCTGCCGCCGATTTAGTCAGTCGGTAGTGAAAATGATATACCAAGCCAACAAGGTATTTTGCAGTTTGGAGCACTGGAGTAAGATTCCATACCATCCTATACCTTCATATTAGAAAATGGGATTTAAAGTGCGTCACAGCCACGAGATTTGCATTTACCTGTCTTGACACGCTTCTGGGCAGTGCTTGTGGCCATGGTGAAACAATAAAAGCAAGCGCAGAGAAGCCGAGATGGATCAACTAGATCATCTCACTGAAACGCTTATATATAATAAAATATTAACAAAGGGGAAATAGACAAGGGCTTGGAGAGGGGATTAGATGTGTTGGCCGTCTAGAGTTAGATGAATATATGAAGCCAACATGAAGACTGAAGACTGAAGTCGAAGAAGAGTGATGCACGGCAATAGAAGCCCCGCAGCAGCTGTTATTCCCCACGCAGGCGCTGAGCACTAGTGAGGCTAGCGGTGCTGAAGATTGTGGAGAAGAGCAAGACATTGCGCTTTGATGATGTTGGGTGCATGTAGTATGTAGATTATAGAGCCCTGTTGAGAATACGGTGTCTGTGTTGAGTTTTATTGATATTGGATGCGATTCATTTGCATGATTTGATATGCATCGTGAAACAAACTCTAATCGTGCGGAAGGATGGAATACGAAGCGCCCTTTAGGTTGGTACCTGGGCTGTGGCAAGGCCGGCTAATTTAGAGTTCCGGGTCCCTGTAACATCAGCCTCTCGCTAACCATTACAAGCACCATCAACACCATCAACAACATCAACAACATCAATAAACACCCGCGCCTTGGAGCACCAAGCAAATGAGGCTGGGCCGTTTTGTATCTACATGTACAAAACTCACAGGACCCAAATACATACCAGATAAAAGTAGCACACAATGTTGGAAATATGCAAAAAAAGAAGAATCCATCCGACTCTCCACATGCCGTATAGGGTAAGTTTCAAGGTTGTGCACGCCAGCCAATAGCCGCTCAACGTCATGGGTGCAAAAGGATCAAATCAATTTCATGGATCAGTGGAGGGGCACCTCAAACTCAATGGAGCTGCTGCAGCAACGCGTCGCCTCACAGCCCAGCCTGATGCTGCTGTCCTGTCCTGGTAGCACGACATCCCATATTATAGCGCCTTGCGCCCAAGAATTGCCTTGCAAACCACCCATCACCCAACGTCATCCGCCTCACTCCTTGTCCTTGTCCCACAGCCATGACGGCCTGCGTCTCTGGCGCAAGGTTGCCTTGTTAGCATTTCATCGCATTTCGTCGCATTTCATTTCACTTCATCTTGGCGCATCTCATCTCATCTCAGTTTCGCTGCAGTTCATGCCATCACCAGTAGCTGCATACACACAAGATTAGCGCTACTCATCTCGGCACAACAACACTCAAACACCATCCATACACAATGCGAGGAGAGCCCGAGCCCGAGAGCGACTGGTCGTCGTCGGGCAGCGAGTCACCGCCGCCAGCTCCAGCTCCTCCCCGAGCTCGTCCTCATGCTCACAATCGTGCTCAATCTTATGCGCCAGCCCCTGTCTCTGCTGCAGAACCGCATCATGGCCATGCGCCACCACCCGCGAGACGCCTGAGCATCGCAGGCCGTTTGCTGGGCTCTCTCAACCAAGTGCGCGCGCAAAACAGGGAGAACAGAGAGAACAAGGAGAGAGCCAGAAATGAGCCGCCGCCGCCGCCCCCTGAGAAGAGGCGCTCTTCCGTCGCCGATAAGTCGTCGCCCATGGCGCGCATTCGATCGTGGCTGGATACATGCAATGGCCAGCATAACCACCACTGCGGCGGCGATGAGCCTGACACCACCACCTGGCGCCCTGTCTATCTCGTCGACTCTGTTGAGCGATGCTTGGTCAAGGCCAAGCCGACAGATCGCTATCTTGCCTTGAGCTATGTCTGGGGCCCGCTGAATCCGCGTCGAGGAGGCCCCAATGTCGTGGTGCAGCTGCTCAAGTCCAATATTGAAGCGTTTCAGTCGGGCCTCCCAGAGGTGGACATTCCCGAAACTATTCTCGACGCCATGTATCTGGCAAGGAAACTGGGCTTCCGCTACCTGTGGGTTGATCAGCTATGCGTTGTCCAAGACGACGAGGTGGACAAGGACAACCACATTCGACACATGCCCTACATCTTTGCGAATTCGTATCTCACAATCGCCGCAGCTTATGGCGACCTCTATACCGGTCTTCTACCCATTAGTCCAAGGCGCCAGCGCGACTCTAAGGCTGGTGGCAGCAGCAAGGATCACAACGAACTGCTGCGGCAGTCCAAGTGGAACACTCGCGGTTGGACCTTGCAAGAGCTTCTCTACTCGCGCCGCACTGTTTTCTTCTTTCAGGATGCAGTGACATGGGAGTGTCACTGCGAACTTTGGCAGAAAAGCTCCTTGAATATCATGCCGAAGCTACGAGGCAGTAGCCGGAATGAGTGTATTAACCGCCTCTCTTCTGCCATTCTTGGTTATCAACATCCCCCATGGCCTGACCTGGACGAATACGCTCGCATCGCAGCCGACTATAGCGCAAGGAGGGTGACAAACGTCGAGGACACTTTGAGAGCATTCTCGGGCATCACTTCCATGCTCTCACGTACATTTTCAGACGGCTTCATGTATGGCATGCCGCTCATGTTCCTCGACGTTGCTCTGCTTTGGCGCCCACAGGCATCAATACGACGGAGGGCACCACCGCGGGCCCCCTTTCTTCCATCTTGGTCTTGGATGGGTTGGTGGTTTGATGGTGTGCCTGTTGACTTGGTTTTATGGAAAGCTGCGGCTGATTACGTCGAAGAGACAAGCCCGACAAAAGTAGGACCCAACTCTAAACGGTTTCAATCCATGCAAACTTTCAGGATAAAACCCACTGTCACCTGGAATCTTACAGACAGAGCTTCCACAGTTACCGTGAACAACAATGGGCTGAGATATCGAGATCTCCGGTCCCGCAAAAATGCTGGAATACAATTGCCCCGTGGTTGGTCAAGAAGTGGACCGTCTTTCAAACATGAGAGCGACCGTGATACCATTTTCAAGTATCCTGTGCCAGTTATAGACCCTCCAAAAGATGGGCAGCACGCGCCAACAACCGCAGAGCAGACCTTCCCGGGACCGCTCTTGTCTTTCAAAACGGCTGCTGGCCTCTTTGACGTCGATCTTGCCGATACCATGGCACCCAAAGACCATTCAAATCCTCAGCTTGGCATCGGAAACATTTGGAGCAAGTCTGGTAAATGGATCGGCGAATTTCGAGCCCACGACGCGTGGATCGGCGTCCAGACGTCCAACTATGACGGAGGCGAAAAACTCGAGTTCATCGCCATTAGCACAGGAATAGAGCGCAAGGGCTCCTTCATATTCACGCCGGAGCGATTCGAAGAGAACAAAGATGCGGACGGCATACTGGATTTTGTCAACGTACTCTGGGTTGAGAGAATTGGCAGTGTTTGCTACAGAAGGGGCATTGGGCATATTTTGCTCAAGGCTTGGAATGCACAAGTAAGAGACCAAGTGGATATTGTTCTCGGATAAGGGGTTTCCCCCAGAGAGACACTATGGCATCCCTAGCGAGGGGAATGCGAGGCGTGGCGTTTGGGAGTCTGATTCGCTGAATCTTGGACCGGCGGAGTGGTGAATGTCGTTACCTGTTCTGTGCTCACATTTGTTCTTTATTATTTACTTCATGTTCGATATGTCCACCTTTTACGATATGTGTAACCGGGACATTGGCAGGCGGTCTCAAGAAACCTAGTAGCTAGCAGGGAGTTTGATTTTTCATTCGATTCTCCCTAATGTTGTCATTCTAGACTCGAGATTGCAATCTACCGGTATAGCACCTTGAGTTGAGTGGCTGCTCGGCGTTTAGCAAGGGCATTAACCAAGCATATAACTGTTCCTTGGTGATATTATTGCTGCAGACGACGCTCAGAATACCTGCAACGAGATTTGGATATTTTGCATGTGGCAACCATGCATGACAAACATGCATTGCATCAAGTCTCCATCACGTGGAGGCTTGTAGCTCGGCCCTCTGAAGCACTCTAGTCTATGCTCATAAGGAGCTTACTAGGCCTATGAAAATATGCTTAGAGAGGACTGGATTGATTTATTTCATCAAGTTTGTATTAGATCACGGCTACCTTGTGTGACGTTATTACCGTGTACATCTATATATTGAAGTAGTTGCCGCTGGCAGTATCACAAGCCCAAGCCTTGTCCCACGGTGGCGTAGATGTTTTAGACAATGTGCTGTCACTTTGAACTCTAGATGAATGACATTTGTTTAATTATATTAAAAAATAGCCGGTTGGTGACAAAATCCCAGTCATTTACACGGACTGAGAGAGTAAGGCTGTCGCCATTGGAGGCGAGCTGCATTTCCCATGAAGCAGTACTCTCGAGTACCTCACAATCCACCAAGCCCGACGTGTGTCTTATGTAATGGCTAGGTACCTGCTACCCCAGGCTCCATCGACACTAAACCGCCCTGCAGCCTCAGCAGCCTTAGCGGTACCCTCCGCCTGACCAAGTCCGTCCCTAGCGGCCGCCCAGCTTACATGCTTCCTCAGACGTCAACGCCTCGAATCCTCCGTTACCAACGTCACGAGTTTGCTACAGCTCACGCGACCGACCCGCCAATGCCTGGATAGACAGGCCTGAGGGAATACACCCAAGTCCCTCCTCAATCTCCCACACCGAGACCCGAAGAAGCAGAAACACACAAAAAGGGTCGCCGACTACTAGCACCTAAGGTACTCGATACAAAGATAGGTACAGAGCTAAAACCGAGTGACGCCAAACACTCCGATAACGACCTTCCCCCGGGATCGTCATCGCCAAGGGGCTCAAAATCGAAAGAAACTTCTGCTCACAAGTAGCGGAACCTGTCAGAAAAGATGGCTTCGAGGCCGGAATACACGTCATTGGCGGATATGGAGGATAACGCAGCAGCCACGCACGAAGATTCGGCGCTGCTAGGAGGAGACGACGAGGACGGCAACGAGGTGCCCTTTTCGCGGATCGAATATGCCATCTTTTGCTTCCTCGGCATGGCCATGCTCTGGGCCTGGTAAGCACGAACGAAACTCCCGCGTCTTTCCTCCCAACGTGAAAATGTATAGGGCAAAAAAAAAAAAAAAATGCTAATGTATTTGTCCTTCTCATAAGGAACATGTTCCTCGCCGCCGCCCCGTACTTCGCCGCCCGCTTCGCCGGCGACTCCTGGATCGAAGCAAACTTCCAGTCCACCATCCTCACCGTCTCGACGCTCACGAACCTCGTCTCCGCCCTCATCCTCTCCCACATCCAGCACTCCGCCTCGTACCCCTTCCGCATCAACCTCGCCCTCGTCATCAACACCGTCATCTTCGGCCTCCTCACGGGCTCCACGGCCGTCTTCCTCGATGCCTCGCCGCGCCAGTACCTGGCCTTTGTGCTCACCATGGTGGCCTGTACCTCTTGGGCCGCGGGCCTGATGCAAAACGGCGCGTTCGCCTTCGCTGCCGGCTTTGGTCGATCGGAGTACATGCAGGCCCTCATGGTAGGCCAGGGCGTGGCCGGTGTCTTGCCTTCCATCGCGCAAGTCGTCTCCGTGCTGCTCTTCCCCCCCAGCAAGGAAAACACAGCTTCCGGCGAGGGCGCTGGGGAATCATCCGCCTTCTACTACTTCCTCGCCGCCGTCGTCATCTCCCTGGCGACCCTCGTGGCCATCATCCCCCTCGTCCGCCGACACAACCGCCTGGTGGCCGACCGTCTCACAGAGCACCTCGCCTCCTCCATGGCCAGCATCGAAGAGGCAGAGCGCGCCACCCGCAAGGTCGTCTCCCTGCTCCACCTCCTCAAGAAGCTCCGCTGGCTCGCCTTTGGTGTGGCCCTGGTCTTTGCCGTCACCATGTTCTTCCCCGTCTTCACCGTCAAGATCCTTTCCGTGCACAAGGACGGCGGACTCCTCTTCCAGCCGGCCGTCTTCATCCCCGTCGGCTTCCTCTTCTGGAACATTGGCGATCTCCTCGGCCGCATCGCCACCAGCCTACCCTTTTCGCTTTCCCACAGACCGGTTCTGCTCTTTGCGCTGGCCGTGGCTAGAATTGCGCTTCTCCCGCTCTACCTCCTCTGTAACATCAACGGCCGGGGAGCCATCGTCCCGAGCGACTTCTTCTATCTTTTCATCGTTCAACTTGTCTTTGGCTTGACTAACGGATGGGTTGGATCGAGCTTCATGATTGCTTCGGGAGAGTGGGTTGAAGACAATGAGCGAGAGGCTACTGGCGGATTCATGGGCCTGTGCCTGGTAGCTGGTCTTGCATCAGGAAGTTTATTGAGTTTCACGATATCTGACATTTAATCATCGGTTCACTGGTCATTGTAAAGGCGTTATTGTAATTGGGACTTGTGTGGTACTTAATTATAGATCTTTAAGGCAATTCAATTAAAAAGAATATAAAGCCATCTAATCTATCGCAAGTACAGCTGAAAGAAATATATACCGGCAATAATAGTATTTTATAAACCCAGTAAGACCAAAGTGCCGCCGTTCTGTGTTCCATGCGGCTTATCCTAGCACTTCCCATGACCCATTCGCTGCGTCCTCCAGGATGCATTCCCCCCTACCTTGATAGCCTTTTGACGCCCCTTTTTGAAAGTTCCAATGCAAGTTCTGGGGACAAGACAAAGAGAGAAAAAGAAAAAAGAAAAGGGGAAAGGATAAAGTAACCCGCCCACCAAAAAAGACCCAGACCGATTATATTTTCATAGTACAAGATTCGTCGTCCTCATCTGGGATCGCATCTCAGGGGGTTGTTATAAATAGAATCCGATAGTGCGCCTTCTATTTCTCTTTTAAAGGGCTCCAGGCCCTTGTGTAGTGCCGCAAGATCCGCCGTATGCCTGTATACCGTTTTCCCGGTCTTCGCAGAAGAAGGAAAGTCATTATTTTGGCAGTTAGAGTGCCTATTATGTTTCGTGGTATTCTCTTCCATAAGAAGAATGACTGCGTCTCCCGTACGAGGGTCCCCTGACCACTCTAGCGAGCACAGTGACGGCGGGTGATAGTATGAATCACCGCAAACAACCCAGTCGGCAGTATAGAAACCGCCTTCGATGAGGTCTTGTTCCGTGCCGCGCCAGTGGTTGAATTTCTTCTGGGGGTCTTTAAAGTCGAAGTCGCCAAACCGAAGTTTGATTTCCTCGCCGTCGCCAGAAGGAATTAATGCGAAGCACGTACAGTCGCGCAACGTCATGGCGACGACAAAATCCAAGTTGGTGGGGGGTAGCAAGGGCCCGGAGTGATCGAGGCTCTTTTGGCAGTCCCTCAGCTTTCGGATTGCCTTGTGGTGGATAATTTTATCAAGAATAGTCTGGAGACGTTTGTCGTCCTGTAGGTCGGAGAGTTGCGGAGCAATTCGGAAAGGTGACGCGACTTGCTGAGGACAGTCGCGATTTGCAAGCGCAATCGGACAGGGTCTCCTTTCAGGGCGCGGAGACTTGGCGCCAGGCGTTTTTAGATAGTTGCGAAGTTCCAGGGCACATTGCCTGCATCTGATGGCAGTTTTAGGGGCGCTGGGTGACTGAAGAAGCCATTTGGGTTTGAACTCGATAAGGATAGAACCATCGTCGCCTTTGGTAGAGTTGTTAGCACCAGGTCGCAAGACGTTGAAAGTAAGCATGTGGCTGCGTTACTCACCGTTGGGCCGCATGTCCTCCACAAGAAAGCCCCAAGAGGCGTGGCCAATGAAAGAGTTTTGAAATTTAGGCTTGCGTAGGTGGTTCATATCCCGAAGCATGGCGTTGAGATCGTCCACAATGCCGGACTTGTGCAGCACCACCAGCTCCTGAGACACGGCATGTTCGCCGAGGTGCGGCTGGATATCATGGACGAAGAATTCCTGTTGGCGGAGGTAATAGTCGGAGGGAGTTGGAGCGCGGCCAAGAGACGGGGCTTTGGCCACCCTCAGGAGTTTGCCTATGAGAAGAGGGCGCGAGTTAGCAAACAGCAGTTCCGCACCGGGCTTGTGTAACCACATCTTAGCGTAGGCGAATGGGTGCCTCGATGCTTTCGCAATGCAGGTTTGTGGGGTTCTTTGGCCATCAGGGCCATTCGTCGAGCGATTCCCGCCTCCCCGGAGACAGGACAGACCTAACGTACCTTGGAACTGCGCACCGACGCGGCTGCCTGGGGGCACTTTGATCTCGAAGACGGCATTGGCGGCGCCTTCGCCAACCAGCCTGACGGGCTTTGTGCCTCGTGGCAAGATGCTGACTAGAGGGTGATACGCGTTGTCGTTGTCGCCCATATCCAGATCGACGTCTTGGATTCGAAGCTGAGGGCGTTGTCCAGTCCGCGGTCGAGTCCGGGTTTGGTCGCAGTTGTCGTTGGCGTTGTGTTTCTTGTCGTCGTCGCAATCGCAGCTGAGGTCGCGCGAGCGGTCATAGCTCATGGCCCGCAACCGGGCCATGTCCGCCGAGCTGACTGCGACAGCCTCATCGTCAGAGTCCTCAGCCAGCGAGTCGGCATTGGAGGGCGATTCTCTGCCAGCATCGGAAAGGAAGTCGTCGTCGAAGCAGTCGCCGGCAACGGAGGAGCCGTGATTGGAGGCCGAATCTTCAACAAGATGGGGTGGCAGCTGCAAGAAGGTCTGCGCCTCCATGATTGGGACAGTCGCGGGCCCCGTCCTGCAGGCCCTGCTGCAAGGGCTGCAAGGCACTGAGTCGGGGGGTGTGATAGCGCTGTAGCCGCACGTCTCAGGGAGCACAGAGGCCGGGCCAGCGGTCGAGAGGCATGCGAGTTGGTAGATTAGGTATAGCAGTCGAAGGGAGCGTTAAAAGGTGAGACAGGGAAAAGCGATATCGCCGTAGGTGGGTTTCGATGTGCAGGCCGTAGTATAACTTGCGTATAACGTCTGTTAGGTCTGTTTTCCCCTTGGCTGTTGGTTTTTTTTCTTTGTCCTTTCTTTTCTTGCCCGGGATCCGATGTTGAATTAAACCGCTAAGAGTGGAGAGCTGAAGCAGCGGAGTTCTCCTTGCTTGGAAATTAGCTGTCGTATTAGGTTGGCGAAGGAGGACAGTCGACAGAGATTTTGCAGGAGATGTTGGTTGGGTCGAAGGGAGAAAGGGGGAGACGAGAAGTGGCTTGTCGATAGATTTAAAGTTTAAAGAAGTGACGGATCGAGGCCGCCCGCTATAGCCAGTTTATTAGGACGGGCTGCCAATCATCGACTTATTACGGCGCACCTTTTAGCACGAGTTACAGGCACAAGCACACGTATGTAGGGAGACGGAAGTAAATATACCAGACAGTCAGTCGTAGGACGTAGGAGTATTCGTAGGAGCGAGGCAAGGGAGGGCGGTAGTGTGTTCAGGTCGTCGGCATACTGTAGTGTGAGCGGGCGTGGCGCGGCCAGCCTGTGATCTGAGCTGCGAATCTGCCAACTGGGATCGGAATAGCTGCTAATAAGGCAGACACTAGTACGAACAGAATTATGTACTATTGCCATACGACCCCTGCGAGCTGGACGTACAGAATGTCGCAACGTCTACGTGTACTTGTGCAAGACACGGCCCAAACGGAGCATCGTGATGATCATGATGGCAAACGGTGGACTGTACGAGGCATCTCCCCCCCTTTGCATGTCTGGAGGTGGCGTCCAAAAGGCTCAGTCACTCAGACCCCTCGCAGGAAACGAGGGCAAAGCATCATATCACTGGGCAGACATAATAATATTGGGCCTTTTGTGCCGACTTGGCAGAGCGCAGCTGAAGTCGCATCCAGTGACGTGCATTTCCCCCCTTGGCTCCGCAGCACACGCTGGGCTCTTCCGGGCAACGGCAGAACCGAGAGCACGGTGGTGGTTGTTGCTAGAAGCACCATCTTCCAATCACAGCCGCCATGTCCACGCAGCTTGGCAGCTTACAGCCTACACAGCTGGGCAGGGCTGAAGCACCAGACTGCTTACTAGATACGTACGGAGTAGAAGAGAGGCTGATCGGGCTTCTGGCCATGGCGGTTGGATGCTGGGACGTCCATGCGGCCTCCCCTCCCCCGCCCAAGATCCTGACACGAACCGCTTCCTCCTCTGCTGCCTCGACCTGTCATGGCGCCCGGATCGCGAATGCCACCACCACATGTCACGATGCTAGACATGGTGGGCTGATGCTACATATAGCTGCACTCCTTCAGAATGCCGCTTTTGGCTTTATGCGCACAAGGTGCTAGTCGTTAGTGGTGCCGTTGTACCAAGATCAGTGTGCGCCTGACCGTGTACATGTATGCATGTATGACTCGGCTGCGGCGCATCACAGGGCACCAACGCAGCCTCGGGAGGCGCTTCCTTTCGTCTCGCCTCTATCTTGCCGCCATGCGCCTCAGCAGAGACTGTCCAGCATCTCCTGAGAGAGTGATGACGGGGTTTTGTAACTGTCAACGCAAAAAGGCAACATACCTACCCACTGTACTATGTACGTTCTTTGGGCCAGAAAATACGCACCTATCTTCTGTACTGTCGCTAATGGATATTAAACGGCAACCCCCTTGCCCCGGATTTACGGTCCCTGTGATGTCATTAGGGGGCCAGCCACATGCACTCAAAGATGCCTTGGATCCCCGCATGTGGCATGAAGATAACGTCGAGATGCAGGACACATTCCCCATAGAAACGTCAGCAAGCTGTTTCTGCTGTGCTACCAGTCCATGCAAGTACTTGCTTTAAGTACCTGGCCTCCGTGGTCGGGCCTCCAACCAGTTTACCTGCCCAAATTAATGCTCCGCATCTCTTAGTGGCTTCTCCATCTTCTTTTCTTCTGGGTCGTCTTCTTTTCGTTTTGGGAGTAGCCAAACCAACACCCTGGTGATTCCCAAGCGTTCCTGTGCGGAGTAGGCGAGGTAACGAAGCATTGATTGGGTCACCTACCTTGGTTAGATATGCGTGGAACTAAATTATCGCAGCTGTAATTTTTCTGCCTGCTACTACTCTCTGGTGGTGCAGCCTCAAATGATTGGATGTATTGGTATCAGCCACTATCGCCCTTCTTCCAGATCTGAAGATACAGGGTATTTGCCCCGAGTACCTAGAGATAGTACCGAGGCCAGCCAGGAAAATATCCTCAAGATGCTTAATTGCCAAGCTCGGCCAATCACTCTCTTCCCTCCCCAGCCTTTTGTGGAATATGATGTCTGGTGGACTGTTTGTACAGTGCGAGCATCGGGGATAGCGCATGATTTTCGTCCCGAAAAGTGCCTTGCGTCCTACTCCGACCTCTACCTGTATCTCCCGGCTGGTCTCCTCTAATGCCGAGTTTGGACAACTTAGCCGACATTAAGCAGCAATGCTAATATTAGCTCGTTTCGTCTCCTTATGCAGCTTGTAAAACTCAAAAGCGCGTCTTCACGGAAACATTGGCATTGATTGGTTTTGGACGTAAGGGCTGACGAGAAAAGACGTTCTACGCGTCTCCTCGCATCGTCCGCGTGAGCTCCTGTCTTGCTAGCTGTAAGGAGGGCCTCAATTCTTGCCACCCAGTGTTCGACACTCGCCCCCCCTCAAATGCACCCTAATTTGCCAGCTGTTGCAGATGCAGATCTTGGCCATCCATTCGCGCACTGGGCATGTACAGTATACGAGGGGGAGCTGCTGCAGTAAATTCCGGGCAGCCGATCGATAGGTTTGGCCGTCAGCTGATGATGAAAGAAGCAAAAAGCAAGTGCTCGCGATCAGGAGACATGCGCCGTCCAATTCGGCTAACGCTGCCGCTGGTTCGTTCTGGGACTGCATACACTTAGGCCTGCATATCAATACCTACCAGTAAGCGTGCAGTCATTGCTGATTGCGTTTGCCGTCTTGTTGCATCCTGTGTCTCCAGAGTGGGCAGATGGAAGCCCGGCTCGCGACATATTCTGCACAGTGCCGCCCGCACTGCACTTACACCTGTGGTGGATTTACATCCAGAGCCCGCGGACGAACCCGCCTACAGCGCCCCACTGGTCGACGGTCTAGCGGGTTGTTTCAGCGGCCTGAAGCGCCTACCGCACCATCCGTGCGTCCGCGCCATACCGAGCTCCTAGCTGGTGAAAATTTCTGGCGCCCACTTTATGTGCTGTGCTTCGCTACGCAGCTTCTCCGAATCTTGGGCCTCAGCTCTTCCAACTCTTAATACCGTCATCTCCACGATCTTGCTCCTCCCACCTCCCGCGCTACCTTGGCTTATACTCTTCCATCCTGATTCTTCTTTTTGCAGCCTACTCTTCCAAAGCTTCCAACCGTTAATCCTCTCGCCTCTTTTATCGAACCACATCGCTACTGCTGCAGACAAACCCCTGCTTACAAGCCCCAAGCGTCTTCCACGATCGATCCCCCACCCTCAGAAGGAAAAGCTGCCTCAAGGCCCTTGACGGCCATCGCCTTGCACATGGTCTCGAGATTATAATTGCCATTTCAACATGGCGTTCAACTTCAACTGGTCGCCTTTGACGGCTGACGCCGAGTTTTACTCGCGTGCACGAGATCTGCTCACAAAGGCCCTGAACAAATCGCCCAAGCCCCCCATCATCGTCGATGACATCCTCGTCAGCGAATTCAACCTGGGCACCGTCCCGCCCGACCTGGAAATCCTGGAAATCGGCGACCTGGCAGAAGATAGATTTCGAGGCATTTTCAAAATGACCTACTCTGGAGACGCCTATTTGACGCTCAAGACGCGGGTTCAGGTACGTTTAGCAGTCTTTGGGAGGCTATCCCCGTAAATTTTTTTTTTTTTGTTCTTTTTTCATGGAGCTCCCTCGCGCCGCGCCGGAAACCCGATAATGCCCGAGGCACTCATGAATCGCGCCACCACAACAACGTATCTGAATCGCGCTGCGTTTTTTATTTTCGGTTATGGTTGGCGAGGGCGGTAGCCAATTCATTGAAGTTGTGGCAATGAGCTGGATAAGTGTCTGGCTAGCTGGGCAGTGAGCTTCGACATGTCGCGCTGCCGGGATGCAATTCGCCATCGCCGGCATTGCCGTCGATCGCTTAGCTCTTTACGCATCACACACAAAACCAGCCGCAGCAATCCCTCACTCTGGAACTGGGCCTGGCTTTATTCTGGTTTTCAATGCTCATGCATGTTATCTGGCTCCCTGCATGAATTGCTATTTTTTCTTCAGATTTCATATTTTTTCTTCTATTTCGCTTTGTGTGGCGGGGTTGAGGCAGCTTTGCATATCCGGAGCAATGGAGCAATTGGTTGGCTAACACGATGAATCGCAGGCCAATCCCCTCAATACTTATCTCTTCTCAAAACCAGAATTCACATCCCCACAGCCACTGGCCGCAGCCTCGGGCCTCACGATTCCCCTCTCAATTACCCTGTCCGATATCAAGCTATCGGCCTTCATTATCCTAGTCTTCTCGAAACAAAAGGGACTGACCCTGGTGTTTCGCAATGACCCACTCGAGTCTCTCAAGGTCTCTTCGACCTTTGATTCGATCCAATTCGTGCGGGACTATCTGCAGCGCACCATTGAGCAGCAATTACGAAACTTGATGATGGACGAGCTGCCAGCGATTATTCATCGCTTGTCTTTGCAATTGTGGTGTCCCGATCAGGCCAATAAGGGCGTGGAAACCCCCAAAGAGGAGACGGATGAGGAGGGGGTGAACCCGCTGTCAAGCCCACCTCTGGACCCTGTTGATGCTAATGGCAACGTGCTGGACCCAAGCGCCATCTCAGAAATCTCTCTGAATGGTGGAGGCGAGACACAGTCGCTCTTCTCCCAGAAGAATCTGCTACGTCTCGCTGCGCTAACCGATTCGCATCGGACCCTGTCTCTGTTTACCCCCGGTATAAGGGACGTGGTATTCCGAGCTTGGTCAGGCTGCGCCGACCGCGCTGATGTCGCCACTCCGACTGTTTCGTCCCCGAACCGAGTCAGGACAAATTCACACGCTGGCGTCACAGGCACTACATATACATTTTCCGATACGGGAAGCACCCTGCACGGCTCGATATCATCGCGGCCTTCCTTTGCAAGCGTCAATGCCTCCACGGGCTTGGGCGTTGGCAGCAATGTTCGATCAAGGCCAGGCCGCAAGAAGAAGAACCGCGTGGTCAATCTCAGAAAGACCAAGTCGGAAGCCGTCACTCCAGACAACCAATCCGAAGCCGGAACCCTAACACCGGCCTCGGTCAACATTCCCCTCTCGGAGCCCTTATTCGACAACTCGATACCTGAGGAAGATGAGCTGCAGGATGATCCCTTCACCGGCGATCATTTCCACCCGCAGACTCTCATGAACGACATGGGCGAGAACTCTCTCACATTGGAGGAGCTCACGTCCGCGCTGAAAGATTTGAAGATGCTGGCCGACGCTACGGCCAACAGCCGTAAGGCGACTCCCGAAAAAGGCAGCCCTCGGGAGACACCAAGCGCCAAGGCCCAGTCATCGCCTGATCTTCTGGACCAAGACTGGGTCATGAAAATGGCAAGCGAAATCGCACGCCGCGTCTATGACGAGAAGCGGTCCCAGCAACGGGGCAAGTGGGATGAGTCTGAGGACGCCCCGCCCCCAGCATACGAGGCATCGCCTCAGTCGCCTCTGTCCCGTTAAACCAACCCGGAGCCGAGCTGAGTGAAGGGCATGGAGAAGACATGAGCTTGAGCTTGCCACCCCACCACTATTCGCTCCCTACAAAGCCTGTTCTAACTGTCCCCGCGCTACGGATGCACAGATTGGATTAGACTTGATATTTCTTTCCTTTGTTTTTTTCCTTTGTTCGATGGCATTGTGCTGTTTCTACTACTAAAGTATGAATATGTATACATATATACATGCACGTACACACAAACATGGGTATCTTATATCTCGGCGTTTTATGGAGGGAAGGGCCACAGGGAATGCAGGGCACGCATCACAAATCACGTACACTCGGGACAAAGAGGGCAGGCAGGATTCAAAAAGCAGAAGCAAGCAGGAGAGCAGAAAAGATTGGCTAGGATTAATACCGGGTGGGGTCAGGATGGTGTTTTTTGGTTGCATGATTTGATACCCGGATATGCACTTGAACAAGACGAATGGGTCCAAAAGAGTTCACTTTCCATGTTTTTTGAGTGGTCTGCCGTCCCTTTTTTTTTATGGAGCCGTCTGCAAGCAGACGTGTACGATGGATGATGCGTGCCTCTTTTTTCTTTTTTTTTTTTTTTCACTTCGTCTGGTTCATTAGCCGCGCCAACCCCCATTTGCAATTGCCACCCCCGGCGTGTGTTGTTTTAATACGTCAAAGACTACGGAGTATGAAGTTCGGGTCGGGATTTATTGGCAATGTGGGGGATAGGGCGGGTTTTCATTTCATGGTGCGTGGTGTTTGCACCACCTCCGCGGCAAATGCTCATGATGTGCATTTTCTCTTTTGTTTTTTTGAGCGTTGAGCGTTCACAAGGCATTGTATTACTAGAGATGTCTTTCCATTTGCCTCTCTTCTCTTCTTCCCTTGGGAATACAAAAGAAAGGGTGCGGTGTATTATTAGTACGTCACGAATTTGTGTACTATTATCGTGTACTTTTATTGGATATTGGATCGGGAGCGGATCGGGATCGAGATATAAACAGACAGACACAACTCCAATCTGCAGAGAATGATTACTACAGCAAAGCTGACACTGGGGTCCCGTCCCCATATGTATCACTCGCATATGTGCTCGTTTCTGCTTGTGATGACGATGATGTGCTCTTCTCCGTTTTTTCGACTGCCTTATCATGCGAGTGTAAGTCGATGGTGGTGTTTGCATCAGGCTCTTTTTTTTCTTTTTCACCGCATTTCTCGGCTGTGCGTATTTATATGTAGGGGGCAGCAGCAACGATATTTTTCAGTTCACATGATCAGATTCGGCGTCAAAGAGGGTGTGCACAGATTCAGCCCGTTGTGTGTGATCTTGTAGCTTGCTAGCATCCCACCTTGGCGGCTACTAACATGCCAATGATAGATACCTACCTAGTAGTAGTATGCGCAAATACTAGAATACTACCACTTGTAAATATAGGTACATACAAGAAGCAAGTAGAAAATGCACAGCGACGATACCACCTGCTATTAAGGTAACTGGATATTTTATTTCATCTATTTTTGCTTCTTTTTCTTTTACTGTTTTTGTTTTGCTACTTGCCTGCTTGGTATGCCATGCCAAGGCCAGCATTTATATCTCTCATATATATGGAGTCTTGTTACCCTAAGTTTATGCAGCTACCACAAACAAGGGCAGGTCTCCAAGCAGTGGGGAAGCATGTGTCATCGCCGTCGTCCAACCATTTGATGCTTTTTCTTCTTCTCTCCCTTCGTCCAGTGCTACCGTCAAGAGATGGACTTTGAGGCCAATGCAGCTAAGCGGTAGCAACGGTAATAGTGCGTCGTTTCCATTGCATCTTCCTTCCACATACCCCCCTCCCCTCTCTTCGTCTCCAACCCTTCGTGTACATAGCTAGAATTTGATCGAAGGGTCGAGTAGATTAGTCTGCACTCTCCAGTACTGGTAGATGAGTAGATGCCTTGTATAAGCTCCAATAGCCAATCTTCTGTAGCCATGACCACAGCCAATAATCTCGCCGAGTGGCGATGTGCCAAAGCTCAGTCAAATACGGCGGGGGACTCGGGCTGACAATCGCGTCCGAATCATGGCTCTTGGCTCTCGTCCCCTCCCCCTCATTCATGCGGCCGTCTGCTGCGGCCTGCGGCAAACGTTGCTCGCCCGCCAAGATCCTGCTTTTGCTGCTTGAAAATCGATTGCCAAAAACAAGTGCGGAAAAAAAAAAGTGGCCCGATGCGCTGGCAGCCTATAGACCAACGAAAGCAAAAGGGAGAGCACACTTTCTGGTGATGGCATCCTGCTTGAAACACCGGCTGCTGCCACGCTTCTCAACCCTGTGCGAAACAAGGGCGGGGTTTCTGATCCAGAGATGCATAGTGCATGATGAGAGCTGTTGCTGATCCACGGACTTCCTCCTCTGCTTCCGTCGGGACCACGAATCACGAATCTCGGCGGGGGCGCTTCTTTTTCCGTTGCGGCCGCGGCATTGATGGCGTTCCTCCTTTCTATGAAGTCTTCGCCGCTGCTGCCGCGTTCTCGGCCTTGAGCTGGGCCAGCTGCTCTTCCTTCTTCTTCAGCTCGGCGAGAAGCTGCTTGGCCATCTGGTCCGTCTTTTGCTGCGCGTCCGAGAGCTTCTTGATCTCGGCGGCCTCCGTCTCCCGACTAAACGGCTGGCCGGGCCGGTTTGTGTTTGGTATCATGGCCGTTCGTTCCCAAACATCTCCGCTCTCCGGGGCAGGGAGTGGCGGCGGTGCGCGGTTCTTCCCTTTACCCTTGCCCTTTCCGCTTCCGCCGGCTTGCTTCCATCCCTTGGGGACGGCGCCAGAGGTGAGGATCTGGTAAAACGCTTCGTACGGCTCGTTGAACAACTGCTCTTCATAACTCCAAGCCCGGACCTCGCCGTTTGACGCCAGCATGGACTGCTTCTCATCTTCGGTCCTACCGTAGGGATGGAGACGCAGATAATGATACAGCGTCTGCGGCTTCTCGCCCGAGTCGTTGACGTAATACAACTTTATCGTGATATCAAACTCTCCCCATCCTGTTTCGTTGACGACGAACGGCTTGCCGGGTTCTCCTTCAACCACTGCCCAACAGTTAGCACGCGCCGTCCCGGAAACCATCATCACGCAGAGGGGAGGCAATGCTTACTCCGAACGTAATTTGGGATTGACTCGTGTAGCTTAAACTGTACGCGCCGCAGCCAATATGTAATATCCGTATCCTCCATCCCCCGTACAAACACCTGCCATGAGTGCGTATGATTGTCAGGCGCTCCAGGCGGCCGTGGATTCGACTCTGAAAAGGGAAGCGCCGTGCTGCCAACGACAAAAGGCCGTCGGACCTGTGTCAACTTGACACGCTTTCCGAATTGGTTCGACGGCGCCATGCTGCTGTTGTGAAATGTCGAGCTCTGAACCAGCCAAAGTTGAGTCGCGTCGATGGTGGGAAAAAAAAGGAAGAGCAAGTCGAGAAATGCACAGCACTTTTCAGCCTTGCAGATATGTCATCGGGGGCCCACTCTTTAATAGCCAATCAAAAACACGTATCGCCCAAGCTTCAGCAGTAGAGTTCCTCAGCCTTATATGCACTATTAAGCTCTTGCTTAGCTAGGTGCATGATTTCATCGACTTACCTCATGGCCTGATTCCTCCTCAGAGCTCACAGCCCCTTGAATTCTATCTCGCATCACCAATTAAGCGTCAATTTTGTTTGTCAATCCAATTACTCATTTCCATCTGCCGTCTCTATAAACAACCCCCTAGTTATAATCCACCATCTCACTCAATTTCGGCCATGGCAGCGGCAGCTAAGAAGCTCATCGTCTGTGGAGGCAACGGCTTCTTGGGGTCACGAATCTGCAAATATGCCGTAGCTCGGGGCTGGGACGTGACATCAGTCAGGTAGGCCATTCAAAATTACACATCTCATCTCATTGCTCTCATTATGAGCAACAAACATCCACCAAAAAGCCGCTCTTCATGAATACGATTGCTCACATGTACATGTCACATTTAAAAAGCCGCTCTGGAGAACCTCGATGGGACTCTGTCACATCAAGTGCAACGCCCCCTCCATGGGCTCATAAGGTCTCATGGGAGCGGGCCAACATCCTCGAGCCTTTAACCTATGCACCCTTGCTCAAAGGCTCCGATTATGTTGTTCACAGCATGGGGATTCTCTTGGAGGCAGACTACAAGGGCGTCATTTCTGGCCGAGAATCCCCCATCACGGGGCTCCAAAAGGCGTTCGCTACTGTACGAGATCGAGGCATTGACCCTATACATAACAAGCCCGAAGACACGATCAAGCCTTCCAACCCCAAGGACCAGATGTCGTACGAAGTCATGAACCGTGATAGTGCCATTTCACTAGCCAGACATGCCGCTGCCGAGAACGCCAGTGCATTTTGCTTCATCTCTGCCGCGGCTGGGGCACCGGTTCTGCCTCATCGATACATTTCCACCAAGCGAGAGGCAGAGATATCTATCGCCACCAACTACCCTCAGATGCGCGGCATCTTCATGCGGCCACCTTTCATGTACGACAGCTCACGCAAGATCACAATGGGCCTCGCCGCGGCGACCGGTGCAGGAGCCTTGTTCAACACCCTGACAGGGGGCGTCCTCAAGGGCTTCATGGGCGCTGCTGGAACCAAGCCCCTTCAAGTCGATACAGTTGCCGAAGCCGTGGTTGAGGCGCTTGCAGACGAGACAACAAAGGGTCCCGTGGAGCCGGAGCAGATTGAGGAGCTTGCGTCAAAGGGTTGGAGGAAGACAATGCTGTAAACGAAAAGTTCATGTATCATTAAAAGTAAAGTTCTGTACGTCTATATGTGCGGATTGATCCTGAAGCAGGAGAGGGAAAACTCCCCTCATGAAATTCAACCATAGAGTCCATATCCCCAATCAGCGCCTCATAAAAAATTTCAATAACAGTGTCCATATCCCCCAACCGGCGTTTCAAATCATCGTCCCGCGCTCAAAACTGTCTCTAATCTCCGCCGTGTATTTATTATAGAAACGTGACAGCTTCTGGTTGAACTGCTTGTTCTTCTCGTTGATGTATGTGACATCTCCGTCTTCGCCATTCTGCGCCATCCGTTCCTTTCTCTTCTTGAGGCGGACATCTTCTGCACGCTGAAGATCCTTGACCAAACGATCAATAGCTTCTTTATCGGGTTTGTTTTGTGTAAAAGATGTCGAGTCGGCAGTCGAGTAAAAGGTGCCGTCTTTATCCACGGCAATGAGCTCGCCATCCTCCGTCTCGACAATGTCCAGGCCACCAGATGCCGCAGCCTTTTCGATGGCAGCCATCTTCTGCTTCTCGTATTTTTCCAGGTCGGTATTGATGTTGCGCAGCTGCCTCTTGTAGGACTTGTTGGCTTCTTGATGGTAATCCTGAAAGGCGTTGTTGTCGCGATGCGCCCCCTTCTTCTTCATACGCTTATCCCATTTTTCGCTCTCGTCTATGGTCCAGTCCCACGCCCGTTTGCGCTCAAAGTCTTCGCCAGCCTCTTCAGTGTCTGCCTTGAGCAGCTTGTGGGATGCGATTGCATGTCTCCGATGCAGAGCAGTGAGTTCGCTGGGGTTCGTAGAGAGACGCTGTGATTCCAGAGTTGCCTCCTTGAAGTTGGTTTCTGATGATTTCTTGGCACGGGCCTGGAGAGCTTTGAATCGAGCCATGCGGTCTTGCGCTTTAGCTGCAGCATCCGGTTCATTCTCTGCTGCGGTCGGTTCGGGGGCTGTTTCGACGGGCTGTGATTCTTCGATATTTGACTCTTCGGCTTTTGATTCCTCAGCCTTTGGCTCCTCGACCTTTGGCTCTTGAGCTTGCTCTGCTGCGACGGCAACAGCGTCACCCCTGGTGCGTCTCTTCTTCGCTGGCGGCGCCATTTCTGGATGAACTTGTTGATCTGCTTGTTGCTTTGATTGATGATTGTTTGATGACAGAATTGAAATCTAGCTCGAAGCACTCGCTGCAAAGATGTAGCCTAGGTGAGAGCGATAGTTTCCGCGACAACGGGGATATCGTTTTGTTCAAACAAACCTTTGGGTCGCCTTTGCTCTCGAAGGTTTGAGTGGGCTAAATTTCGGATTTACGTGGCTGCGCTTCCGGCAACGCGCAGTGGAAGCAATTCAGCCTGGACAGAGCGTTTCGTTAGTGGGAGATCCAGTGGGTATTATCCGCTGAGGATTAGTGGAATCTGGGGTAAAATAGGTACCTCGGAAGACGCTGTAGTTTGGCTCGCGTGAGCAGTACATGTATGTACCTCTTCATCGGCAGAGCGATGCTACCATAATTTGCTCTCATCTCAAAACACTCAAAAGCAGAGGAAAATCTTGGAAAACCTCAGGCTTATGGAGTATCGACACCCATTGAAACCTCACTCAACATGATACGCTCAAGATGGCCTTGGACGCTTCGGCTCACAAGCTCAGCTCATCAGACTGTGGCGCGTAATCAAAAGCGTTGCAAGACCTTCGTGCGGAGAATCGACAAGAACAACGAGGTCTATTACACAATATCCAACAAGCGGCCACCGAAGTCGCCTGAGTCAATTCCCATGCGAGATGACTTCTTCGAGATGCCGGATCTATTGTTGGACCTTGACGCCGACGGAAGTCGCTTCGTCCGCCAGGCAGACGAGGCTGATGAGGTGCGACAGGAGAGGAAATGGGACGTCAACCCGAAGAGACTCGAGGCCCAGCATCAGTTGAAGCAGCTGCGAGAGCAGATTGCCGAGTCACGGCGAAAAGCTGATGATATTCTGTCTAATCCGGCAAACATCTGGAGACTTAATTCACATGATATTCTATCTGCAGCCCTTCGTTGCCCACCAAGAACCGTCGACCAGATTGAACTGAGTACGGCGACTTTGGAAGCACCCTCTACCCTCGGTAGACTCTCACTGCAGCAAGATGCTAGGCTTCTTGAGACACTCTGCCGGGAAAATGGAATCCCTCCACATGCCATGCAGGATGACCAAGTCCTTCTAGAGTGGATGTTGTTGCGGTACAAGAGTCTCAAGCGCTCCATAACAAATCGAAGCGAGCAGCCGCTATCACCGTCTCAGTTGGCAGCCGCTCTTCAGAGCCAAACGTCCATCGCGGGTATCCGTCGACTTGTGTTTCATGCTCTGGGTTCTGGAGAGATAGCCAAGACCTATTTCTCCAAGACAATAGGGGCTACCGACCAATCGAAAGACGCAGTGGACATCGCGAAGGAAATACGCAACGCCTGTTTAAATGTCTTAGACAAGGATACAGAAAGAGCGGCTGTCCATCTGGAAGTACTGAGTTTCATCGGGAACCTGGCTGCAAGACTCTCATCTTACGGTGCAACTCTTCCCCCTGCTTTGACTGGACTGGCACTTCGACTTTCCGCGGCAGCAGGAATTACTGGAGCTACATCTGAATGGCTGCACAGAGGTTTCGTGAACCGTATGTGGGAGCGGCATACTGCGTCATCAGGCGACATCGCTGAAACGCTTAGGATATTCGCCCAACATCTAGGAAGCCCAGGGGAAGGCGGCTTATACGCCGTTCACGATCGACAATTGCTATTACAGCTACTGACGGGCATTGATGAGAACCACACTCTCTCGAGTGATTCTCTGCGCTCGCTTCCCCTATTATATCTCAGTGAACAGAGTCGAGTACCTACAGATCAGGCCTACGACATGTACGAATCGTACATGACAGTCCTGGGCCATCTTGGGGCCGTGAGAACCATCTGGAAAGAATGGCATGTGTCTAGGCCGATTGTAACGAGATCCCTGAAGCCAAACGAAGGTATCCAACGACTCACGCATTTGTACGAAACATCGCTACTGAGCGCTCTTCGGGTAGCCCCCCCTTTGGAGACACGATGCCCTCCAGATATGGAGTTGGGTGAGTGCATCGCAGTGGACTATCACTCAATTGCCGCACAAGACGCCGATTCTTGGCTTGTCGATGGAACAGATACAGCTACAATAAGCAAATCTGTAGCCGTCGGCTCTTCAGGCTTGCCATCTTTTGATCTGCCGCTTGACGAATGGATTGCGAAACTCAACGAGACCAATCTTCAGAGGCCCCCCTTGGCTCGGTGATATACATGAATCTATTGATCATGAGCGTTTCGAGATCTACGGAGTATATAACGGCGCTAAATTACAGCTTGATACATGCTATTTATGAGTTTCAACTTCATATACGAGCGAGAAGACTTTAATTTTAGAAGTAAAACGGACGTTCATATTGAGTATTCTGATATGAGTTGACTACGGCTTGGGAAGCATCAACCCCTAGAGGAGGAGCAAACGATTGAACACTGGAATGCAATTATTGGGAACACCGTGTAGATACTATGAGTGCTCCGATCTCGCTCAGGGGGGAGGAAACTCGATATCTGTACTCCGTAGGGATGCGGAGAATGAGTTAGACTTGGACCGCCACAAGCCATATTGGCAAATTAGGTGGAGAGCTTATCGGGGATGTCGTTTATTAGATGTTGAGCCATCTTCATGCTCTTATCTTTGCAGCATTGGTAGAACCTACATAGATAGACAATCCATGTTTACATACCCCTTTATCCAAATTTCACATCTACATATATAGGAGTATCAGTAAATCCCCCCTTATATTCGCAACCATTCCCATCATGGTGGGTAATGCCGGCCTCTGTCTAGGAAATCCCCTCAACGACTCAACGCCAAAAACGATGCCCTCTTGTCTCCGCAAGGGAGGCCAAGCACAATTGAGTTATTAATTTCAAAAATATTGTGAGAACCCTGAAGCCTAAGCCCTAATGCTCCGGTCCATGGCAAAACTCGATCCAGATAAGGAGAACAGACCAGACAGGCACAAATCGATGCCCGTCCATGCACATTGTTCGCGGAAGACAAGGGACAGCTTTGCCGGCCACTTGCTGATGCTTGTCAGGAGACGAGCCTTTATGCAGAGCGTTGCTGGGGCATTACTCGTGCGTTGCTAGCAAACGGGGTGGCAGCGTCCGGACCGATCCCGCGCAGATCCATTCGGCGGGGATAAATGCCAACTAGCCCCGTTCCGCTGAGATTACCTGTTGCCATCTTGACTCCTGCAAGGGAGGGGAGGCTGCTGTCGTGGCATGCCGTGTTCGCTGGCAATTCTGGAAGTGAAAAGAAGGAACAGAAGAACAAGGACAACTGCTCCGTATACGAGGTATCAGCACAGCAGGCAAATCCGCCGGAGTGCTTGACAGATACGACGCTCGCGATGGGCTCCACCAAGCGACTCCCGCTCAGGGCAATACGCAGTAATACTGGTAGTCAATCCTCTTTTACGGCTATTACAGTAGCAGCTTGGCAAGGTTACTATATCAACGTATACGGAGTGGACGCAGCAAGTGGATTGAGAGGTATGCGTGTCACATACAAGTCACAGCTCAGGTAAGACGAATGGCTCTAGACAGCTGTCGACACTCTGTTTGAGACATGCATATGCGCATAACAGGCTAACGTGAAGCACGGACATGCTTCTGATGGCCTCAACCTGCACTGCTTTTGCATCAACTCCTTGAAGCCCGAGGCAGGATGCGGGGGCGGCATCTAGAAGCGGGCATCAAATTGCAACGACGGCTAATACTGGCACAGTCAGACAGATGCCAAGTCACTGCCACCGCTTCTTCTTTTCTCTATTCGTCCTATTTTGCCGTTTCAAGTGTTACCCCATCTATTCCAGATGAAGTCAAAGCAACGCCTCCGCGGCATGGGGTTGGGAAGCAATGCAGAGTCACTTTGCACTCAACTGCGTGTGACGTCTTGATTGGCAGAAAGCCTGTCCGGCATCCCTGTTAAGGCGGGCAAGACAGTTTGCTGGAATTGGCGGTGTTGGGAATGGCATGGTACTCCTCTCGAATTGCAATCTCTGGGCAAGGGGACACAGTCACGACCGTGGAAACGGAGCCGCGGCCCCCAGCTGCGAATTTGACCGTCTGGCGGTATGCCGGCAGAAACGGACAGCTTCGCCTGTGCAGCTTCTCCATAATAATGATACTCACAATGGAGCCGAGCCTGCACAATGGCACCCAACAGTGCGATGGCATGGGGTAGAGGTACATGCCTTATACCGGGAGCAGTGTTAGCACGGTTACACGTAATAGTGAGGTAGTATTCGCGATGGTGGCAATTGGGAAAAAACGCAATGGCCTCGCAACTGTCTTGACCATGCATTGAGCATCTCCTGACACAGGGTATGGTGGAATGATTGGGCAATTGACGGCTGAATTGGTCAGGATAATCCCAGCAATTCTCTCGACTGGCCAAGGAAAAAGTTTGGAGCATGGATGTTCTCCACAGAATGAAAAACGAAAAACCGCGGCTACCAATGGCAGATGGAACACGGTGAGAAATAAGCCAGACGTTTTGCCTTTATGTTTTCCCTTTGATTCTTCAAAGTTTTCTTTTTCCCCTGGCCCAGGTACGATGCACGGCTGAACTTATTTTTGCGTTTTCCTCGTCTCCTTGTGTGTGGGCCGATGGAGCGAAACCCGGCTTAGGCGAATATGGCTCCTTGGCTACCATCCCACGAGCCTGGAGTCTGGAGAACGAGTCGCCCAGTTCGGCGCCGAATATGGCCACAACCGACCAAGCTGCAAGCCGTAGGTGGATATCGCCGGGCAACTAGGCAGGGAAGAAGAAGAATGGAAACCAAGAGGGGGGAAGTGGACAATGGGCTCGGGAACAGCTCATGTTATGTCCTGGGCGGAGTTCGAGTACGATGGTTGAGAAGCGGAGTGTCAGAGACGGGAAGGAAAGCAAATAAGAATAGCTATTGCACGACGACGGAAGCCGGATATTGTGGCCCGTCAGCCCTAATTGAGAATATGCCTTTGCTTGGGCTGCAAAGTCTGACAGGCAGAGCACCGAGAGTTGCGGCTGGCAAAGACGGGACAAGAGCTCCATCGCACTGCCGTGCTGTCCAGGGACCAGCTCAGTGTCAGTCCTGTACAGTACTTGTACAAGTAGGTTTTTGGAGCCAGTTGAAGCAAGCGAGGGCCGGGTTAGTTAGCCCACGAGCATTCGGACCTGGGGAGAGAAAGTTTGCGGCATGATCTGAGAGATAGGTACTGTACTGTAGTTGCGGCAACCCCACAGAACGAGTCAAGATTTTAGATGAGCAGTTGTTAGTATCACCTGTAGTCGCAATAGCACCATCGCCCAGAGCGGGACGCAGTGTCTAGCAATCAATCACGGTCCAAACTAGCAGACAATAGTAGGACACATGGTGAGACTCGACGTCGAGGCGAATCACGTTCGTGGAGCTGCATGTCTGGAAGCCTGCCGGCCTGCATCAGTGCATTTCGGCTACTCTGTCGCTCAATTGGACCAACGGCGACAAAACGGAGCAGGAGGGGAATTCATGCGTTTGCTTGTCAGGGGAATGCCGAGGTCAAGGCACAGTACAGTACTGGACTTGTTCAGGTACAGGCACAGGTACAGGGACCCTGATGGTTGTTGGGAAGAGGAACGGAGACGGTAGATGCTTAGCCTGGTGTTGACGATGACAAGAAGAACAGTGAATTCGGAAGACCGAGGAAGAATGACGACGCTCGGAGTGCGAGGAAAGCGGTAATAATACAGTGAGTGAGTGGCATTACATTTGCGGTGCGTCATGGACGGACATCAAGGTGAGCGAACGGAGCCGCGGGGGCATTTGGAAACACCGTGATGGGCTCGCTCTTTTGTCTCGTCGTTTTCACTCCGTGCCTACAGTTAGTTCCCTGGAAGTTCCGGGTTGCCGATGGACATGCTGTACTCGTATTTGCCTGGGTACTGAGTAATACAATACGGAGTAGTACCTTGGTAAACAGAGTGGAAAGAGACCGGGAGTTGAATTAATGAGAGAGCCAATTTTAGTACCTATAGTACAGTAGAATGGAATCCATGTTGTGTAAAATTTAGATATTATTATGTACTACGGAGTAGAGAATTGTCTTTTTGTCGTCTTTGTTCGCATCACACTTGCGTAATAAGATCAATGCAACCCATGGGCCATCGGTCCTTTCGACTCAAGTCCCCCGTGGCCCCGAATCCACGGACAGCGGAGCCCATGATTGGATCGCGGGTGGTGCAAATATAGCGTTTGCACCGCTGGAAACGTGCTCGCTGGATGCGCAGCCCAGCAGGCGGTTTTGCGAGCGGATTGTGCCATTTTGATCCATCCAGTGCTTCGCCCGTCTCGTCAGCTGCGCCGTTTGTCCCGCCCAGCAGCCCCACGCCCAGGAATTACTGGAAACGAAGGAAACGAAAGAGAGAAAGAGAAAATAGTTCTGTACGTACAAGTACATACTCTCTCCACTGTTTGCGCAGCCGCAGTTGATGCACTACGTACTACAGCAACGCTACAGGCTGATACAAGCTCGTGTCAATGGCCTGTCATGCTTAAGCATGCCTGGAAAAAAAAGTTTTCCGTCTTCCCTCTCCCGTCACACCCCCTGGATCGCTCATTTTCCCTGTTGCCTTTTTGCTCTTTAAATTTTAAAATTTTTTAAAAAAAAATTTTTTTGTGAGTGATAACTCGTAAGCTTGAATGCATGTACCTACTCACAGGGGTCAAAGCCCAGAGACGGTTGCGATAAGGGGCGCCGCCGTGGCTACCAGCTGCTAGGAATGTGCTCCGTGCAAAAGCAAGGTACCGCAGAGGATTGCAAATGCTAGAAAATGCCACAATAGCAGCCCTGCCACTGTCGAAACCCCCCCATGAGGGCCAATGGCGGCCGCTGGAAGGAGGAGGCGCTCTGAAGGATCGTCGTCCGGCGTTTGCGGGTGCGAAGGACTTGGTCGCAGGTACGGAGTACTTGCGAAACGGAAACCGAAAGGGAACCAGTACCTGGGGGGCCCTTGCGCAAAGACCTGCCCAACGTCCTGGATGGGGTACCGGTACCGCCGCTGCGTGCAAGCCCAAGGTGGCCCCACCAGTGCAGGGTACCGCGATGGACCTTGGCCTGGGGGTCTTGCCGGACGCAAGTTGGCGGAGGCAGCGGCGCGGGCGGAGTACGGAGTACGAGCTGGCCAGCAGGGTGCTTGGTATTGGATACATGGGATGAGGTACCGCGCCGCAGAACCGGCGCATTTTTAGCAGCCAGTGACAAATATAAGCGAGACTGGACAGTACAAGTAATATGTAGATTGGTACATATTCGTTCAGTCTTGCTCAAAACAGACATTGGATATATGGTCAATACCGTAGATCTGACTTCTATCTAATCTTCAGCAGCCTGGTAATAGATCTCTATTCTGGATACAGAGAATAGGTACGGATACACATGGTTGATGCCTGCTGTCTCGGCCTTTTCATGCATATTTTTTCTTTTTTGTCTACTCCGTACCGCATTTGCTACTACTGCTGTACCTAAGTTAGTTCCGCAAGGCTTGCGCACGCCTTTTATAATCCCCCCTCTACCTGCTAAGGTACCCTCTTACCCCCCTGGCCGTGGCCCCGTGTGTCGATCGCCACCAAGGCGCCGCCGCAAAATCTCGGAGCAAGCCCATTAGCTCATGTCGGGGCCGTTGAGACAAAGCCAATGCATGCGGCCGGCGACTCGTCACTTTGCGTGGGAACATTGAACGCGTGCTGCTGCCCATTGGCCTCCACTCGTGCCTGGCAGGTCCACGATGCCAGGCTCAGAGGTACCTCGACCTGCCGTGGCTTTTGGCGGTGCCTGGGAGGTACAGGTATTAATTCCTCAGCATCCCCGGATACGGGCTGTTGATCTTTTGCTTCCATCTCATCTCATCTCGTCTCGTCTCGTCTCTCATCTTGTCAAGGCACAGCGAGTTGCAAGGCCTTGGTTTCCCATCGTTTGATCTGTTGCCTGTCCTGTCCTGTCTTGTCTTGCGTGCACTCATCGCACCATCGCATCATCGCATCACCCTTTGCCTTTCATCATCCTCTGCTTCTGCACACAACATCCAAGCAACAAGCTACATAGGCTTACATACCGTCCATACCTTTTGCTACTCGCACAGCACAGCACAGCACAGCACAACACAGCACAACTAGCTAGCAGCTTCCATCACACATCTTGGCTCATAAGCACGTCAGCACGTCAATAAGCTACAGGCCCGTCTTACAAGTCCATGCAAGCGAGCCCAGCCCTACCATTGATCCTTCATCCAAGCTTCAATCTCTCCCCCGAGCTCAAGGCCGCCAATCACCGGCTTTCCGTGCCCACATTTTCAATCACAGACGCTTTGTCTTTCTGCCAAAACCAAAGTCCCAGAAAAAAAAAACTTAACACAAGCAAACGAGCCCACAAAAACAGAGTCATCGTTGCCTGGTATCATCGCGACATTGTGGAGCCCGGCGTCGACAGTGTGTCACCGTCGGTACTGTAAACTTTGCGATTCAGGTCTCCGCTTTCGGCTGCTCTCCATTACTGTATAATTAATACAGATAATCAACCCGCGACAACAAAAGGAGTCACACACGCCAGCATTTCTCACCTCTCACCTCTCACATTTTCTGGCTCTTCTCACCTCTTCTCTTCATTTCCATCCTGCAGCTCCGCCTTGCCAATCGACGCGTCTCAACCCATCCAACTGCAGCTCCGCCTCCATTCGGCAGCACTAGACCACAATCCCGTGCCACTTACACCACGGCCAATCCATCTCACCCTGCTACCTGGGGCCATCTGACCGTCGATACGCCTATATTTGGCCTTTAGACTGCTCCTGTCAACTGAGCATCAAAAGTGGATAGCATTATCTGGCCCGACGAATCGATCTGCAGCATCCTTCCATCTACCGGATCCTGTCGATCAGCTCGCCCTTTGTCTCCGGTGTGACCGCCATCAATCCGTCTCAACTGCTACGAGTACACGAGGCACAAGGCCCATCCGGTTTCTCATTCACGCATGTGGACAACCGCCTCCTTTTATTCATCATCATCTTGCACGCTTTCCAGCACCGCCCGTCGCACACAGCCATTTGCCTGCCAATAGGATATAAAGTGGGCACAGCGTCTATTCTCCCACCAACCTGCAGCTACCTTGTTTTCGGTTATCTCTCGAGCCTTGGACCGTCCTGGTAGTTCCACCCCCCTCGTTCCACGAGCTGCCAGGATAACACCTCACCCGCGCACCTTGACTGGTCCAGCCTAGGGGCCTTTATTAGTTGCTTCAACTCCCATTGCAAATGCCTCATCAACGACGAAAGTCCGGACCTTACTCTGCCAACTCTTCTACAACAGACGTACGCAAGGCCGTTACCGCCACGCCCACGCAGTACAAGCGACCAGCCATGACACGACGACACACTCCATCCAATGCCCAGAAGCTCGGGCGAGGCCACCGGGAGGCCAACAGCGAAGTCTGGGACAATGACGAGCGGGAGAGCTTCCCCCAGTATTGGTATGAATACGAATACACCTGTTCTGGTTGCGATGCGGCGAGGCGTTTTACTGACTCTTGTTTTTGTTACAGCATGACCTGCGAGAAGCAGTTTGTCCCCCACGACGAGATGTTCTTATACTGCTCCGATGCGTATGTTGATAGACCCCGATTTCTACTGATGACCGCCGCTGACAATGTTGGATACAATAGATGCCGCCGAGTTGACCAAAACACGTCTTCGCACCAGGCGGCCTCTGTTCACAGCTACTACGGCGCCGTGCACAACAGCTACGCTCACTATCCTGGAGACAAGTCCGAGCCCCGAGACATTGTGCCGCGCGCCTCGCCATCAAGGCCCAGCTCGATGCACTTCAGCAACTCTCCCCCGGCCTCCCCAGGCACCGCGCTCAACTACCACACCTCTGCCATGTCTGCCTTGCGATCCCTCAACGTGAGGCCACCCAGCCCTCCATCACCCACGGGCAGCGGCATCTGGCCCTTCAGCCGCAGCTCAGCTACCAGCCCCAACAACTCGTACACGCGACCCTCAACTAGCGGCCTCTTCTCGTCGGCGAGCACCTACGACCTGGGCTATGGTGGCACCTACTCGCACGACTCTGCATCTGGCGCCATGGACCGACCACTGCCATCGCGAAACCCGGGGGGCAGCAGCTCGCGGCCAAAGAGCATCGAGCTTGTCATCCCCATGCTGTCTCGGTGATTTCGGACACAGGCATGCGCTGGCTGCTGCAGTCTGTCCACCTCGAACCCCCCTAGCGGCCTCATTCCCCCCTCCCCTTGCGGACGGCATGCCGGCTAGCAGCAGCTGGGCCACGGCGGCCTATCACCGGACTGTCTGAGCCTTGGCCAGCGCTGTGGGGGTGCTCTGGCAGCGCAGGATGCCGTGATGGTGCTGCAACTCACACCGCGCTCTCCGCATTTTGCCAGAGCCTAGCCAAACGGCGCTTTGACTCGATTGCGGGGTTGCAGGGGTCCTGGTGCCAACGGCAAGGGGGTCTTGCGGTGGACGGCAACATGTCACCACCATCAACTGACATGTGGAATGGTCTCGCCTGTCCGTCTAAGCATCCAGCCAGCCCCTTTGCTTATGCCCCCCCACGGCTGTCTGGCGCATTCGCTGGCGCGCCATTTGGTCATTGTTTTACTTGATTTTATTCCAGGCGTTCTTCAGGGAGAAACGAAACAAAAAGTTTTGATGTTACCGTTTATTATTACTAGTGTTTGTTGGTCACCATCATGGATGGGGTTTGTCGGGGCCTTTACCGACTTTGGACGACGATTGTTCCCCCTCGCTCGGCGCTTTTTCAACATCCCAACCCGAGTCTCTTATCAGCCGCTCTCGCTGTCACCTTGCACCGCGTATGTGACTGCATTCCACCAATGCAGACCCCGGGCGACCGAGGTCATCTGGAGTGTCGCCTCGCTTCGCTTCGCTTGCGGACGCTTATCTTCATTTTTTTTTTCTTCTATTCTTTTTTCTCCTTGCGTCTTTCTCCCCTTATTTCATAAAGATTTTTTATTGCCTCTTGGCACAAGATGATTACATATCACATGGATTAGATATAAAGCACGGCATGGTATATTTGGATGATGATTTGGCGGCGCCTTTACGAGGGCATTATTATTATACATATTATATTATATACAAAAGACGGAGAGGGCAAAAGGCTGCACTTGGCAGTGGCTGAAAGTATGCATCTCTTGGGGTAGACAGAACCCATGAAATCAAATAAATCAATAAATATAAATTAATAATACAACTCGGCTGAATCCCTTGGACCAAATCGAGCAGCTGGGATTCAGCGTGTCGGCGAAGTCGGCGCTTATCCCGAGCGTTTCGTATTCCATTCACGCTTCAACTGCTATTTATATCTGCCTATCTGGCTTTTATACGTAAATTACTAATGTGCCGTATGTATATACCGGGCATCAGAGGTACTCCCTAAAGATTACAAGGTACGTGTTTGTTACATGCAGAGATACCAGGGAGATAAGTCGCAGATACCAGATAAGGCGCCTAGATAAGGTGCCGTAAAGCTGCTTCCGGGTTTCTGTGCTTATCATGGACGGGCGGTACAAAGTACAAAGTCACTCCCCTTACACACCAAAAAGTCGCTGCGAGCAGCCCGATAAGCGTTTTTTGCGTAGGTTTCTTATCCGTTGTTCCATCTGCAGGGTTGGAGTATCTCTCTTTTGCATTGCATATGCCCTTTGCGTTGCATGTCGGTAGGGATTTAGGGAAAGGGACCTGCGTTTCTGGATGCAGCGGCTCGGAAGAGGGATGCAGTGTGTGTGAGATACGAGGAGAGTTTGTACCTAGTATCTATTACTGGGTACCTTGTACGGGTACGGGCCGATGCTTTGTAGTGTAAGTTACCTGTCTTGTTCGTTTTCGTTGGTCGGTGTGAGATGAGATGCTAGTATTAGAATTGAAGAGGTATGATTGGCGCTGCTGTTATTGGGAGTTTATTCACACAATGATGGTTTTGTTTTCGTCTCGTTATCCCGGGATCCTCTTAATCTCTGGTTGGTTGCGTAGCTGTGAGCACTCCTCTCATCTGTGAGATGGTACCGTTTATTCCAAGTCGCCACTGAGCAACCTTTGGTGCAACACGGCACAACGTTAAGACCTGCCTTCGGAGCTGGGAAAGCAGGAGATGCTGGTGGCGGCCAGTTGGCGGCGCATAAGTGCATGAAGCGTTGCATGTGTCTCTATCTCTCTGCCTCTGCCTCTCTCTTTTGTTTTCGAAGCAAAGGGGTGCTCCTATCGTACGTAAATACATGAGTGGCGTATGCAGCATCGCGCCATCTAGACTTGGCGACACGGCGTATTTCGTGCATCTTGTGCTGCTTGAACCAACTTTGTGCTCCTTGAACCAACTTTGTGCTCCTTGAACCAACTCTGTGCTCCTTGAACCAACTCTGTGCTCAAGCGAACTACCCAGGTATCACAGAGAATGCTTAAAAGTCTAAATCAGAGGTGATGCAAAGAATGCATCTCCGGTTGGCCAGAACGTCGAAAAATGGTGATGAGGCGGCGAGTTTCGTATAGATTGACTGGCTGTCCTTTCGTGTGACTTTTTTGGTCTGGTGAGCTGTTGTCGAGCGTCATGTGTTGCGCCGCAGGATTACGGGTGTATACCAACGCATTCATGTTCTATTTGAAACGTGGCACTCATGTCTGCTTGTTTGCTTGGTTTAAAACGGTTAGAACATTGCACTGCAACACACGCATACTATTACAATTCGATACACACATAACCATCCACAAAGGGAGGAGGAGGAGTAATGGTGTAGTAGTGAGTCCTGCTATAGGAGGCCACAGCCCCGCAATAAGACCTCCTCCTTACAAAAGAGATGGCACTCTCTGTTGGGAGTTAATATGCAGTATAAATTACTGTTCTGCCTATCATAAGGGGATTCTATATCACGGTGGCTGGCTTGCATGCAAACAATATAAATATAACGGAACGTAGTATTTTGCCTTTTTGGCTTGAATTAATAATGATATATAAATGAAGAGAAAAAGTCATAAAATTCCATGTTATAGCCTCTTATCCCTTGCTCCTCTTTCAATCGCCCGCAAATAAACAAGTTGTGTTACCACTGTTCACCATGCTTCTCGGCAATGGAAGCGATGAATTATGCCCTGGGCAAGTCTACGTACTGTCTATCTTCAACACAAATAGTGTCCTGACCGCCATCAATGGAGAGGATCTTAACTTGAGAGAATTTGACGACAGTCGCAACCAGAAATGGCGACTGGATCCACACATTGAGAATAGACTTACATTTGTCAATGTCGCAACCGGCCATTGTCTTGGCGCGAATCCGGCACATGGCTATTTATGTTGCAAATGGGACAACTTCGAGCCGGCGGAACAATTTAAGATGATTCCGCAGAGAACTGGTGGCTACCGAGTGTATAATTATTGGGGCAACCGGCCTCGACTAGTTACACGACAAGGAAATGAGGATTTCCTACGAACCACGACAGTTGGCGATGCCTTTGTGACCATTGGTGTTCACGGCGTTGAGTGAGTTATTATCATTACAAAATGGTCTATGCAACCGTATAGCAATTGCTTACTCTTGTTAGAAGCACAATATTACAAGTATCGGAACCTTATTACTCTGACTAGTGCCCTGAATAGTGAAAGTGCTAGTCTTCTGTAAACAACAAGAAGGACCTCTAAAATTATTTGTTCAAGAATGCGGAAGCAAAGAAGATATTAACATTGTGGCACAAAGTCCCTTCCTTGATAATTGCGATGACACTTCCACATAACATTGTCCATGTAATGGCTACCGTGACCGTCAACAACAAGAAGCCGCTTCTGCGTATCTGGACGCTTCATTCAAGGGATCAAGATTGTATAGAGTAGCAAATATGCCCTCTATAGATTGGGAGTAAATTTAAATTTATAGTACAGTGACGAACAAAATAGTTCCCGACTTCCAAATCCGTAATCCTCGATCTGGGACTGTTTGCCTAATTTGGATTGCTTGGGGGTTTACGGCTCCGTATCATGCGAATGGTGCTCTGCTTTATTAATTCGGCAGAGCTGATTACAAGTCTCTCTCAAGTTATGCCTTGTCTGCCCGCTATTGATCGGCTTGCCACGAAGCGTTGGACCTATAGTGTCCTTAGGAACTCACCAATGCAAACCCTCCTTTATATATCGCGAATATATCCTCATATAGTCGTGGGTCGAGTTTATCATACCAGGCATACCTTCTTCATAGGACCAAACACCCGCATGGGCTTACTCAAGCACTTGAAGCAGCAAACTTATTTCTCTTTTCATCATTCACAAGTCACATTTCTTCTCTCTCTTCAAATAGTTGCCATCGTTTCCCAATATCATTTGCTCTACACTACCAATCCTCTCACTACTTTTCTTTTCTTGTAACATAAATAACACAAAAGCGCAAACACCACCCCAGTAGCATAATTCCAACTCCGTACAACACAGGCAAAGCAGCCTTTTTTATTTCCACATCATTCGCGCCCTCCCACTCCTTGCAGTGCCATGCCAAGATAGGTGATGTAAAAAGCTCAAGATGAGAGAGAAAACAAAGCAAAGCACAGCCAACCTGGACGAAGACATCATATATGGCATAATAGCTAGTCTCGAGGGAACAAAAAAAAGAAAAGAGCAAGGGGCATCATAGCTTCATCTGGCTTTAAGTCGTCACAAAAAAAGGACGCATCGACGTGGCCACCACCTTTATGCCACTGCCCTTTTTCCCCCCTAAAAATAGCACCCACTCACTCCTTTATGACATGACGTAAAGAGAAAGAAAAAATCATTACAACCATCCTGAAACAACTTGTTCTTTTTTGTTTTTATATCCCGTCTATTGGTCTTGAGCTGGCCATTTCTCCGTACCGGCCACGGTGCTTTGTCGTATCGTATGCCTGAAGCACGCGCGTCTGGCTCTCATCGGCCTGCGAAAAGGCATAGCCACGCTGCTTACGCATACGCTGCACCTGCCGAACCTTGCGGATGGCTTTCTGGAATTGCTCCATCCTATTGATACAAAGTTAGCGTCGCGGCTCTATCGAAAATCGCCAGATTAAGGGGGCAAGGAGGCGGCTGTGCTGTGCTGTGTACATACCTAGGCCGGTAGTCTTGAATATTGTACTTTTGAATCTCCTGAATGTGGTGGTATGTCTGCGGCCAGTACATTCGCTTGGCGTATTTCCAGGCAATGTCTCGTGACAGACATAGCAACGCAAGGACAAACATCTGCAGCCAGAAGATTGGGCTGCTGTACAGCTTGGGTATAACGCCATAATATTCGGTTGAGATCTTGACCTTGGGCGCGACGGTACCGTAAACGGCAATAAACACCCACCAGATGACCATGCTGCCGGGGATGGCCATCACATGGTACTTGGTCCAGTTGTTGGTTACCAGCGCTGCCTTACCCAGAACAGTGAGAAGGACAGATCCGTAGAGGGCCGTTCCCCACACCCAGTGGCCGTCAGTCTGCCCTTGGTTATCAATCACATCGCTGTACCAGATGAGCTCAGCAAAGATGTAAAGGACAATGGAGTGGTAGATGGCGTTGGCAATCCACTGCGCAAACACCTTCAGCTTGAACGCGGAATTCTGCTGGCCCATCATGTAAAGCTGAGGGTAGCGATCGAGCAACCGAGCAGAGATGAACTGATCCAAAATACCAATGGCCAGCGGCGGGAGAACGGTGTAGAAGACGTTGTAGAAGGACAAGGTCCATGATTCGTAAATGACCTGGCCGGAAAAGACGTTCTGGAACGTGTACCAAAACTGCGTCAAATATAGGGCAATGTTCTTGTAAAAGGAAAATAGAATAGTCTTGCTCACTCGCTGGTAGCTCCATGCACCGTGGACAAGCAGCAGTTTCCGAAGATACCTAAACTGGCCAATGGCCACGTCGGCGCTTCGTGCAGCCTGCAGACCTTCAACACCGCTGATACCAACGCCAATGTGCGCCGCCTGGATCATGGAAACGTCGTTTGCTCCGTCGCCGATAGCGAGAAGAATCGACTGCTTCTGGTACTTCTTGACCAGCTTGACGACCAGAGCCTTTTGCAGCGGCGACACACGACAGCAGATGACGGCCTTGCACATGATGGCGAGGTCGAGGAACAATTTCTCCAGATCCTTTTCCAGCGCATACGTGAGAGATTTTCCATCAATGACTAGCGCCAGGGATTCCATTTCGATAGTACCGTCGCCCTGCGTCCTAATGGCATCGAGCTTCTTCTGGATGTTGTCGCGAGTTGCGGCTGCCGATTCCTCGTTGACAATCAGAAGCATCATGTCTTCGCTGAGAAGTTTGCAACTCATGCCAATGTTGATGGCCGTTTCCTGTCGATCTCCAGTCAGAACCCAGACCTTGATGTTGGCCTGTTGCAGGGTGTGAATAGTCTCCGGTACGCCATCTTGGAGACGATCCTCGATAGCCGTGGCACCAAGCAGGTAGAAATCATGTTCGATAATCTCGGCAGCTTTGTCCAGTTCGTCCGCTCGATTGCCGCCCACGGTCGTTGCCGCGGTGTCGAAGATTTGGCGCCACTCTAGGTACTCTTGTTCCGGTACTTCACGCATAGCCAAGCAAAGCGTTCGCAGACCCTCCGATGCATACTCCTCGAGGTGTCGCAGGGTGACTTCGACGTGAGGGTTTTGGTCGTTGAGGCGTTCCAGAATGACAGTATCGGCACCCTTGCAGTAGACTCGAATCTTTCCATCAGGACAGCGGAAAATGGCAGACATTCGCTTACGGGTCGAGTTGAATTCGCAGACGGCCAACAGCTCGTATTCCATTTCTCGTCCATTAGCTTCGATGATGACAGACTTGGGCTTTCGCGCAGTGAATTTGTAGCCCATGGTGACAGCTCCGGCTACTAGGGCACCTTCATCGGGGGAGGCAGCCTGGTATTTAATCTGGCCTTTTTCGTCCGTCTCAGGGATGACCGTGTGGCAGGTAGCAAGAAGCGCGAGGAAATGGTCAATCATCCCCGCGGTCTGGTGCCCTTGGGTCAAGTTGGCCTGGAGTGCCTTGAAGTCGTAAATGGCTGCCTCTTCGTCGTCCACACCGGTTGCTCGGCGGTCCTCGGGAACTACTTCGGCATACATAATGCCGCCAATGGAGCATTGCTTGAATTCCATCATGTTGCACGTGAGCGTACCAGTCTTGTCCGAGAATACATACTCAACCATGCCGAGCTCTTCAACCAAGCTCGAAGTTCGGCAGGTGGCCGGAGTATCAGTCTTGTCATAGTACATGTCGAGATCGTCGTTGATAAGGATTCCGTGCCAATACTTGACCAGCTCCACCGTGACGAAGAGAGAGATTGGCACCAAGGCAGAGAAGAGTACCCAGTACGTAACCATGTCCTTGAAAAAAGTCGAGGCTGCTGTTCCAGCGCTGTCGATTTTGTCCAGATAGAGATACGAAAGCGAGTCGCCAGTGGCGCCGCGCATAATCAGGTCTCCAACGGTACTGATGACGCTAAGCACCAACAGCATGCCGACCAGCATGAGCACGAGCCAGTTGAGCTGCCTCTCGACCTTGGTTCGCTTGATTGGCGTCGCCGTGGCGTTTCGCATCAGCTTGGTCTCGTGGCCGGTGAAGACGACTATGCCGTGAATCCAGGGGGTGTTTCTCAAAGTGGCACCTCGAAGGAGCAGCTGCTCGGGGTTCAGCGCCAATTCCTTCTCCCCTCCACCAGCTTGCATGATCAGCGTCGCTTCGTACGTATACAGACTGCTGTTGGGCTGCTCCGACTTGATGCGACCACCCAGTCGGCTCACTTCACTAGGGGATACAAGTGTCGACGTCTCTGGAAGGGCCTGCTTAATCTTCAAGTTGGTCTCACCATCCAGATTTGCCGTTTCGATATAACAGAGACCTTCGGGTTCGGAACTTGACAATAGCACCAAATCAGCTGGAAATGGCTCCTCGGACTCAACCCTGACCACATCGCCCACGGCTACAGTATTCCATTTCGCTTCCGTAAAAGATGAGCCCCGTAAAACTCGCGCCATGGAGGTGTTGAGAGCATTGTCTGCCACTCTTCTCCGGTAGTCCTCCACCAATTCCTTACCAGCAGAAACCAAAAGCACCACAGCCAAAGGTCCGATCGTTGTATACTTGTTCGTGGGCGACAATCCAGGGATCTGCTGCAGCGCAGCCGTAAACAGGAAGAAGATATTGGCAACCTTGGAGAACTGCTCAAAGAGAAACTTGGGCAGAAAGGTGGCGACATTGTACTTTGCGGTCGAGATATGGTTGCCGACGTACTTGTTGGCGGCATTGGCGGGGGGGTTGTTGAGGTGGATGATTCTTGGTCCCAGGCTCGCGGGATCTGGCTTACCCCGGCCAAAGCCAAACTTGAAGTTGCCCGACTTCTTCGCCTTGGGCGGTTGCTGTTGCTGCGAGCCCCCCATCGGACCGCCTCGATCGTGGCCCGGCTCGGTCAAGGGCAGGTCCATCTCCGAATAGCCCTGGCCCATGCCGAGCTTATGCTTCAGCTTGCCAAAGAAGCCTCCTCCCAGAGTCAGCACGCTGTTCCGGGTTCTCGCATTGTCCCTAGCAGCTGACGATGGCCCCGCACCTGCAGCGCCGCCATGCTGGTAATACATCTCGTCGTCGTCGAAGTCGTCGGCGTAGCGCGGGTAGTTGTCGAGGTCCGAGGACTGGCTGAATTGATGCGTGTGATACGGCCCCGACCGCTCTGACGGCTGCGCAATCTGCGCTCCGGCAGAGCGACCCGGGGGAGGATATGAGGGCTCGGCGCCGACAAAATCATCGTAGGACACCGACGGTCGGCTCTGCGGATCCTGATCGTGTTCGTACGCTCGCGCCAGGTCGTCGTCGTTCAAGGCCGACCGCTGCCCCGCGCTGTATATGGGCTGCTCGTTGTCCAGGTCGAGCAGCAGGTCGTCGTTATTCGAGGGCCCGCCATGGCCTCCTATGGGGTGTCGTCCAGCCATGCCGGAGGACAAGTGATGGTTAGGCGATCGAGATGTCGGAAGGGCAACGCATGCGGGATCGATGGCGGGTTTTGTTGTTTTGTTCGGGGTGTAGGTGGTTGTTACAGGACTGTGCAGGTTCTGAAACGAAACTGGCGGCGTGGTGGCTGTACTCGTATGTTGACTCGCAAAGCGAGCAAGCTTGAAATCGGGTTGACACCTGGTCCCGCGATATCGATAGGGCAGGGTCTGCTCCGTAAGACCGCTGCTGTGGTCCGTTGAAGGTTCCCCTGCACAGCCTCGTTTCGGCGCGCAACCCGCTAATTCGCACCTGTAGCGTCGAGGCTCGGGGCAGTACGTCAGCTCACTGGCAGTGAGTGATTGGCCTTGCAGCGGCAGCAGGTAGAGGCGCAGTTGAGGCCTAGGACGATCCTGGAGCTCAACTCGACAGTTCTTTTGCTGGCAGCTGACGGAGTAGTAATAAGAATAGCATTGAGCACGGATCAATGTCTAATCTAACAGCATCTGTCTCCTCTCCCCCTCCCTGGGATTTTTGATACGAGACGTCGGGTCTGATGCTCTCCGCCAAGTGGCCTGAAAGGGGGCCGTGTTAACTGCTGCTGCAGCGCCTGTAGCCTCGCAAACAGACGCCTGGGAGAACTTAGCGGGCCCACGTTCCAGCTCGGGTTCCCCTGAGCGTTGTCTCCTTTGCGACAAGTCTCTCTCCACCGCATTTCTGCTGGCGAGGTACCTTGTTGAATGCCAGAGCTAAATTGAGGATACTTTGCCACGGTCGGTTTCGTCACCCTTGGAATTCAAACAGTGCCGCGGCGGCAAATTGTACGGAGTACCGAGTTCGGCTGCCGTCTGATCTCAGCCTTGCCACAGGCATCAAACAAACAAGCTTCATCAAACATCGAATCTACAAGGCTGCCCCACCGTTCACAACCGCGGGCTGAAAGGAGAATTGAGACGCTGAGCCAGAGTGATCCCATCGGCCATACATTTCCTCTAACAGACTCGAGCTCGAGCAGACCCGTCACATACCAAAACAGCCATGGTCTGCGGTAAGTGTTTGAAGCTCCAAAAGAGCACAAAGCTCGCGACCCCCGAGGTCAAGAAAAAGAGTGAGATGTACTACGGATCACCGGCCAGCACCAAGGCGAGCGGCTCCAAATCAGCCACTCTGGGTAATACCGGAGTGTCAAAGGTACAAAGGAAACAAAGACAAGTCTAGCCCTCGATTTTAGATGGTTGCTAACGAGTCCCCAGAGTAAGCTGCTATCAAAGGCAGCGAAGAACCCATACGCACAGTACTCAAGGTGTGTATACAATTCTGGGTCTACCTAGTAGCATGCGCCTCGACTGACATTGAGATAGCTCGTGTACTAAATGCAAAACCAAAATCACACAAGGCCATTCTTATTGCCAAAAGTGCGCCTACCAAACAGACTGTAAGTCCCTTTCTACTACGTCCCACTTTCCAGGAAGATCACGTATCCAGGCTCACATTACCATCGAATAGCTTGCCCTATGTGTGGAAAACCAAACAAGAAATCCACCTCAAAAGCCCCAACAGTTGATGCCTACAAAAACACGTTGAAATAAAAGCATCGCCTATACGGAGTAGATGGCAAGGTAAGCCGTCACCTTTGACGCAGGAACCAGACTCAGCACGTCACATCAAAACGGAACATTCTGAGGAGCGGTGAGCAAATCTCACCCAAACGCTTATGTGCGCACTCGTATCGCCCCAAGCGACATACCTTTTCTGGATGTGTATATCAGCATTGTCCAAACAATCACTCTTCAGGCCCCTCCAATTCCCACATTGCAGATGAAATTACTCTCAAAGTGCTACGCGGCAACTCGAAATAACATGTACGGCATAGCTGGAGTGGGAAAACATCAATAGCAACTCCGCTTCAAGGGAGTCTCTACTGATACTTCTGTAGATAAATCAATATAGCTACCTACTAATTAATCCAACATTCAGTAATCGTGTCCTACATAAAACACAGATGAATGACATAATGTCAGCTCAGCTCATAGATTTTCTACTAATTTTTTCTTTCTTTTCTTTTCACATCTCGCTCAATGCAAACCAAGCCCTCCCATCTTACAGCTTGGGAGCGCTGTTGACCTTGGTCAGCCAGTTTGAAATGAGCTCGTTAACCTCAGGGCCGGCCTGCGTCAACGCCCAATGGGTAGCATCGACCTCGCCCCGGGTCAGATCCTTAAAGCCTGCCTCCATGCCCTGAGACATGGCCGGCGGTAGAGCGGTATCTTTGGACGCGGCAATGAAGAGCGCGGGCTGCTCCAACTTCCTGGGCGGGTTGGTCTTGCCCAGCGCGATCTCCTCCTTGGCGTTGATCTCGCGTGTTCGGTACCAGTTGAGAGGGCCACGCAGCTCGGGGGCCTTTTGCAGCGAGTACTGCTCGACGTAGTACTCCAGCTCGGCGGCGTCCAGCAGAGGGGGGTCTTGGATGAGATCCAGGTTCTCGATGATGAGGCCGTGCTCCATGTTGAAGGCGACCTCCCTGTTGGGGCCTTGGCCATAGTATATGGCTTTGAAGAACTGGCGGAGCTTGTCCTTGCCAGTGACGTGGTCTTGGACGAAGGTTTCCTTGAGCTGCAGTTGGTACTTGAAGTTCTGCAGGCGTCCCGCGCCGATGATGACCTCGAGGGGGGTGTACTCGGTGGTCATGGGGGCCGCTGGAGTGCAGACAGAGAAGACAGCCTTGACCAGCTTGGGGTGGTAGAAGGCTGTTCGCCAGACTACCGCACCGCCCCAGTCGTGGCCGCCAAGAACGATCTGGCCATCTTGGCCAACAAAGTGACGAGCCAGCTCGGCGAGATCGTCAGAGACGCTCTTATAGCTGTAGTGCTTGAGGTCCTCGGGGGCGTCGGTGCCGGCGTAGCCAAGCATGTTGGGCGCAACGACCTGGTAGCCCAGGGACATCAAGTAGGGGATCTGATGGCGCCATCCGAAGGCGAGATCGGGCCAGCCGTGAACAAGGACAATGGTGTCGACCTTGGGGCCCTCGGGCTCACCGAGGATGTAAGAGTATGTCTTGCCGCGGACCAGCTTGGTCTCGTACTTGACACGAGGGTCATGCGGCTTCAGCTTGCTGGTATCCATCTTGCTATACTTGCGGGGCCGCATTGTTAAAATTAGAGTTGCTATAAAGTGGAACTAAAATTATAGAGAGTAGAATCAAAGTTGTGTAGAAGAGAAGAAAAAAAAAGTTACACTGAGTAGGAAAACAAAAGGGGGTATCAAGTTGAATTGGTTATGTGTAACAGACAAAAACATACCTCGGGTCATGCAAAGCAATGAGGGGCTCCTGTACTACGACGCCTGTTGACTTACACGCTTAGCGGCTACCTAAAGCCTAGGCTTAACACAGAGTCAAAATACAATTGACTACTTGTTTAGACATCGGGAGGCTTCAATTCTAGCTAAATGTAATAAACGCACGGCCAACCGCAATGTATACGTTTCAATTGAAACATTGTGTCCAACACCAAGACACACCCCACGAGCCTCGGTCAGCGGCCATGACCGATCAGCTGCGGGGCCTTCTGAAAGGGATTGATCAATTAACTACCTACTTGCAACACAGGTAATCAGAACAGGGGACGAACCACCGCGGCAGCTCATTTGACGCGGCCAATTGTGCGTCGATCAATATATTATGGATTGTTAAGTGTTAAGATCAGTCTTGAGATGCTGTGTAAACCTGCATGTGGTATGTATGTTTACCGTGCCTCAAAGTAGTAATTGCTTACCGCACTGTATCGTTGCTTACCGTACTCCGTACCTGAAACATTCGCGGGCATATTCCAAATGGCCACGGACTTCTAAGCCTAATCAAGACGCCTCCAGACGAAATTCTGACACGGCACGGCAGCGTCCGCAAATAGTAGGAATCACGTCACTTTACATAAAGGGTTTTATCCATAAGTAGAAGGGTTTGTGATTACCTATAATTCAAAAGAGATATACTGTAGTTAGAAACCCGAAGGTAGCAGCACCGACTAATGCAGTAAGTAGCAAATACCTACATACTGAGTAGGCAATAATGCATCTGTTCGATTCGAGCCTCAATTGCATTCTACTCTACCGGTCATGTCCAGATTCTTATAGTACGTGCCCTTCAATGCAACTCATGGCAGCTCATCTCTTGAAAAGGCTGCTTTGAGCCCAGGCGCCAGTTTTCACATGACGTTATGCTATGCCTGTCTGTCTTGGTCTCTACCTACAATACACAATACACATTTTGTAGCCTCCCTATAGCAACCAGCGACTCCATCCCATAGTGTAGCTGAATAGAACTGGAATTAAGAATAATCACATCTGAAAAAGAGCAAGGTATCACATGGCCTCCAGCAGTTTGAAAAACAAAAAGGAACAGGGGGGGATCATATGGTTCGCGCCGGTCAGTAAATCACCATGTCCTCCTCAGCCTCCTCCAGGTCATCACCAGATTCATCGTGATGCCCCCTGTGCATGTCTTGGGACACTCTTCGCTCCTGTACGTGTGGCTTATCGGCGCTGTGATGCGGGCTTCGGATAGGGCTCTCGCGCTCCGGCGCTCTCGTCGTAGCAGGTTCATCAGGGGTCACGCTTGTTTGCCTCGTTGGGGGGCCATACCGCTCAATATGCCGCTGTTTTCGAGCCTTGAATTGCTCCACCTCCTTGTTCACTGTGGCTTTCGCCCTCTGGATCTGGTCATCGATGGTATCTTTCTGTGCTGGCGTGGTTTTCCATGGAAGGTAGAACTGTCCATGGCCCAACGTTAGCGTACATCTCCAATAGATGATGGTTAGATCGATGGTGATGCATACAATTGCGGGCTCCGCCCTGGTCCGTAAGAACCTTGCCATGGCCAGCCGTTTTTCGTGTTTCTTCTTCATCTATATTGATTCCCGAATTAGCATCAATCTCTCCCCCACAGGACAAGGCTTGTGTCTTCTCCATACCACTTCTTCGTCAAACACAATTTGTTCCGCCATTCGTACTAGATGCAGCTTCTCCAGCTTCTCAGCTCTCTTCTGGTCATCTTCGGCCTTTTGCTTCTGCATGCGATCTTGCTGCCGGCGCTCAATTTCTTGTCGCCGCTTCTGCTGCTGAGACGTGTTAGATGTCTGGCTCAGGGTACTCATCAAGCCGCCAAACAGTCGCTTCCCCCGCTTCTTCTCCTCCTGCATCGCCTGTTTCCGCCGATCTTGGGTCGCGGCTGATGCAACCTCCTTGTCATCGTCGCCGCGGTCGTGATCGTGAGTAGGTGATGATTGCCGCCTCGAAGCCGCAGCAGCGTCATCGTCATCGTTGTGCCTCGCACGCTTGGGAGAATCGTCCTCGGGGCCATCGTCTTCCGCTTTTCTCTTGAGAGATGCATCTGGCGCCTTGTCTGGCGCTGGAAGGTCCTCATCAGTTGGCTTCGATGCCACCCTTGAAACAGCTGCCTGTCAGATTCCAAACCTGCGAGAATGAGGATCAACCCACACTTACGTCTCCGACTCCCCCATCGTAGCCATTTGTCGTGCTGATGCAAAGTTACCTCATCAAAGTTGCGTAGCCATGAATGACATGATAAACCAGAGCCAAGGCTGGTACTGGCGCAAAACAATTGGCTGAGGCTGTGGAAGTTGTCAAGGCTGAGTAAGAAAGCTGTCTCGGTGAAGGTTCCTCGACAGATTCGGCCCCCACCAGAGAGCTGTCGTAGCGCGTGATTGGCTAAGCAGCTGTTTTCGCCTCTCGTTTCCTCTTCAACGTCACTGCAAGGCTGATGAGAAATCCACACGACTCGGCCCTTGCATGTCTAGCCTCTGGAATCTTGGACCTGTAGCGCATTAAAAGTTATCGTTCGTCCTTTTCCAGCTTCCGCTGTCTTTTCTTCTTTTTCAACTCAGCAACGTCCACTGTATCTCGAGCTCCCCTTGCCCACCATGTCTCGCCATCATCCGTAAGTTCCCTCTGTCTCTGCTGCTGCCCCTTCTGCCGTCCTCAGCTAACCACTCCTCTCCAATCCAGCGATCTCGTCATGTGCCGCAAGCAATCCGGCATCGCCATCGGCCGCCTCTGCGACAAATGCGACGGCAAATGCCCTGTCTGCGACTCCTACGTCCGCCCCACGACCCTCGTCCGCATCTGTGACGAGTGCAGCTTCGGCAACTACCAGAACAAGTGCGTTGTCTGCGGCGGTGAGGGCATCTCAGATGCCTTTTACTGCTACGAGTGCACCCGCCTAGAAAAGGACCGTGATGGATGTCCCAAGATTATAAATCTGGGCAGTTCAAGGACAGACGTATGTTTCCCTCTTTACCCTGTCACGTGCGAGAGTTTTTTTCGCGATTGAATGTACGTATGCTAACCTACTCGTGAAATGCAGTTATTCTACCAAAAGAAAACGAATCGGCAAGCAAATTACTAACACAGCTGTGGCCCGGGATTGGGCAGTACGGCAGTGGAGAATCACACGAGAACCCTTTTCAATGCATCTTTGAAATCATGTGTGTATACGGGGGATTGGAGTATGACGGCGTAAATACCGGACATCTTTTGGCAGTCTATTTGTGGTTTTGATCTATTTTTTCTCTGTTCTGGCAATTAATTATGAGTACAAATGGCGACGATATTCGTCCACACGACCTAGTTCTAGACCCTTTTGAAGATTGATATAATTTAGAGCTAAGAAAGGCATGTTCATCATAAAATTATCGTGTCCGCGAGGACGTTGCACCGCAGTACAGCCAATATCAGCTAGCTATCCAACAATAAACTCCATCTCAATGCACAGAGAAAAGAAAAGTGATACAAAGGAAAATTATAAATATATATGGTGTACAATCCCGGCAAACCGTCGTCTTTTAAATATAACTGACTTTGGTTCCCATTCCCACTGTTGCCGCAATCTTTGCCCAAGACGCTCCCAGCATTTGCTCGAGACGCTGTCGTGTGGCTTTGTGGCCCAGCATGATAAGTAGTCCCATGGTGAAGACCAACAGTCTCATGATTACGGTAGGGTTGCCTTTAACAGAGCTCGCAAGACTCTCAAACACCTGCCGGAATCGGGTCAGGATCAAGGTAGCCCGGGCTGCAATGGTCATGGATCCAGCCGCAGACGTGGCCTTGGATCGTGATTTTCCATTCGGGCGTGTGACGTTGTTTCGGGGTGATCCAGGTCGCTCAGCTGTCCCTACTCCGCTATAGCTTGGAGTCTGTTCGATGCCGTAGTCGCCCTCGCTGATCTCTCGGCTTTGCCGTTCTTCTTCGAGTCGTTTCCGCTCCTTCTCTTCATTCTCAGCCTTTAGCCGCTTTGCCTCAGCAATGTCTCTCTGTAGTTGTTCCTCTTGACGCTGGCGCTCTTCCCGCTCCAGCCGCTCCTGCTCTTCTTGCTCCTCCTGCAGGCTTTGTAAGGCTTGCAGGAAAGCCTCTCTGCGCTCCTCATCGAGCACAGCGCTGACATTGATAAATTCGCGAGCATAGTCCCACTCGTTGTTTTGGGGAAGAACATGGAGAGTATAAAGCTCCAGAAGCTTGACTCGGGAGTTGAGATCTCCAGGGGTATTCGCGCCATTGGCCCTTCTGGCAGGGGACTGGTAGCGACGCGATGGTGCCGTGAAGTCATTCAAATCAAGATTGGGAATGTTTGACGAGGCCAGATAGTTTTCCAGCATCTTTTGATTCAGGGCCTGATCACGGGCATGTGCAAGCAATAGTGTCGCCCTATCATCACCATGCGGGTTAGTGACTGTATTAGGAGTGTGCGGCACAGAAAGAGCAGTTCCGACTCACAAGTTTATCACCACATCGGCATCAACATCTCCTTCTATGCCGTGGTATCCATTCTTGACAACCTCCTCCCAGATGGATCCATCTCGGACTTTGGTGCACAGCGCTCTCCACTCCTGATTGCCAAAGGCGTCTTTGCCCTCCTCAGGCTCCAGCTCAACAATGGCATTTAGAAGAGTCAAGTATAGACTCCAGACTTTGACTCTGGTCCCTCGCGAGGACTTGGTCACTGGGGCTGGCTCGCCATCGTCGGCCGAGTTGGGGGGAGTGATGATCGGACGTAGCGTGCTGAGAGCTTCGGGCAGTCGACGCGTCAGGAACAAGGTCGAAGCCTGGCGGTATGTCTTGGACACGGGCGAGATGCGCTTGGATCCGGATGACGACAGGGAGGAGATGGACGAGGCGAGAAGGCCGCTTCCAAAGGACTCGTTGCTCGACACTGCCGGGTTGAAATTGGCGGTATAAGAGCCCCCGTACGCCATGGCGAGCACTTGACGAACGCGACGAGTCGGAGAAGGAAAAAAGAGGTGGCGGAGATGGCGGAGTTTGCGATGGCGGCAGTTAGGGCTGAGTGCCAAATGGTAAACAAGAGAGAGAGTGTGTGAGAGTGAGAGTGAGAGAAACAGAGAGAAAGAGCAGCAAGCGCAAGCAAAGGCGATGACTATCCCTATGCCATGCGCGCCTTGCAAGAAAGATTCGGCCCTAGTCAATGAAGAAAGGGGATGAGAAGAAAAGGAGGCAAAACGAGAGGAGACGAGACGTCAGCTGTGCTACTAATACGGGATGATTTCAGCTGTTGAGCAGTTGAGCAGTCTTGTTGATGTTGGCAAAAGTCGCGACCAAAATGACCTGCAACCACTTGCGGCTGGTCGGTGGGCAGACCAGCTTTTTCTCAGCCAGTGGAATGGCCCAGCTTTTAGCCTCGGCACCTCCAGAAGGGAGAGGTTCCACAAGTCGGGAGCAAGCTGAGAAGGTCAACCGAGGCCAGCTGATGATGGCGGCTGCTATGCGCTACCCCAGCCACCACAGGCCGTTGTATGGCGCGCCAGGTACCGCGCTAACCTCCGCTACCCGATCTACATGGCAGGCCAACATCTGATCTCCTCTAGCAAGGATCCATGGGCCAATTCCGGAGATGAAGAGCCCTTTCGAGAAACCCGCGATATGCAGTGGCAGCTTCTGTGCAGCCACTCATTTTATGTAGGGGCCTCCGCGTCATGGGGTCGCCCGTCTCGGCCGGCGGGGGTGAATGCACGATCAAGGTTGATTGATGTTTTGCAGCATGTGAATCATTTCGTCAGATTCGAGTACATAGTAATGGTAGTTACTTAGTCGTGGTTATTCAATTATGCCAAGCTTGAACTAACTCGTCATGCTGGTGTGAATCCGACAACATATTCGTAAGCTTCGTAGTATCATGAGCCAACCTCTATACCTGGAAAAGACAAACCACCTCCAAAAAAAACGCCTCTACTGTACATATAGCCTTATATCATCATACATATTATCTTGCTGCCTTTCCGGCAAGCAATTGGAAGTCATGCATACTGACTTGTCAAGCCTCACGCCGCCTCCGTGATCTCCGCGGCGACACCTCGACATTCGCTGCATTCCTCGTAACAATGATGCTGTCCTCCCGATCTATCACAGAGGTTGATGCTCCCAGAAGCTCTTCTTCTCGTATCCAGCCAGCATCCAACGCAAAGCAGGCTACATCGGCGGCACATCCAAAAGAAGGCACATCTTTCGGAGCGTCCGGATTCAAATATTTCCATAGTTCTGCCGTGTCCTTCTTGAATTTTGTAAGCTCTTTCTTACTGCCTTCGAAGTGGTCCACCATGTATTCGTAGGTATAAGCCAGCCAAAGCACATTCGTGTACGGGGCATATGCGTCCCAAGAAAGCGGTCCATCAATACCCTTGGCATACGGAACGTGGTGAGCTTCTGGGGGAAGCCATTCTCGGTCAGCTCGAAGCAAGAAGGACCTCATCTGCCGATAGACTTTACACTGCGGGTTGTAGGTGCTAGTAAATAAGCTGAGATCTCTCTCTAGGTCGTATACAATGGGTGTAGAATCGTCGTTTGTTAGGTCTTCGGCTCGCGAGAGGCCGTAGTCCAGGATTGTGATTTCAAGACCCGAATAGCCAAAGAACCCATCTGCGTTGGGATCCCTCTTCTTGGGAGGGCGAGCCTGCTTAACACAGAGATTACCCTCGTGCAGATCGCGATGCTGCCATGAGTCAGGATTGTGTTACCATTGATGATAACCAGAGATGAGGTGTAATAAAAGGGATGGAAAAGTGAAGAAATAAAAACGAACAGATACATACCTCGAACATGGCAACTTCTTCGGCCCTGGCCAATGCAATCGCCTCCAATAGAAAAATGTCCCATAATTGATCCGTGCTGTCCAATTGCCAGTTTTCCAGAGATTTGCCTGCGTCCCCAAGCTCCACTACCAGGAACTTGGTATCATCCAAGTACCGGCTCGGTGACGGGTAATACTGCGCCCTACCCGGATCTTCCCTCTTCATCTTCTTCTGGACTGTTTGATGCGTTTCGAGAAGCTCACTCGTCGTCTTGCCCTGGACAATGTACCGCTCTTTGTAAACGGCGAATCCCGGAATGTCAGAGAGCCACTCGGAAATCTGCAATTCATTGTCGACATCGCTCTCTGAATGCGGCTCCTCGTCAATGAGGCCAGATGCCACTTGTGTCTTTGTTAGGGCCTTGATTGGTGATGGTAGTCGAATGGCCTTGATGATGCTTGTGCCTCGTTTGTTGGTAATTCGATATACCTCTGCGGATGAGGCCTCGGCAATCTTGACGATCTGGTCTCCTGGAGGGCAGACATCGCCCCATGTGAGAACTCGCAACGAGGATTCATTCTTATTCGGAGAAATGCGCTTGCTCGTGCGTGTCCTCTTCTCTCTAGGTTCATCCTTTTTGTGTATGCCAACTTTGTCCTCTACTACTTGAATCTTTTTCGCCGCAGCGTCTTTTTTAATGGTAGGTGGCTTGAGCCCCTGAACAGAATCTCGCTTGAGCTCAATGACATCGGGTTCCTCGAACTCGTCTTCCACAATCGATGCATCTTTCTTTGAAACTCTCCTTGGTTTGGCCTGACGTGTGGGACTCTCTAAAATTGTTACTTCAGATAGCCTTTTGGTCAAAGGAACAATTTGATCGTCAAGTGGCTTTGCATTTTGCTTTGCTTCTTGCTTTGCTGGGGCCTCTCGAACTGGAGCCTGGACCAGTTCTGCAAACATCCGTTCAGCGTTGGATTTCTTGGACTGCTTGCCATATTGTCGGGTGGTTGTTGCGCGTCGCATCTTTGATCATATTCCTCTACTCTTACGCCTTTGTCCGGATGCTGATTTGGAAGTTTAACTTAATAATCTTGATGCCCACGTTAGGCTTGAAGATTACTACCGTCAGTCCCAACGTTGGCCAGGCAACAGCTCAGGGGTCTCTGTGTTAGTCAGCCGGAATGGTCCACAGCACGACGACGCAACGTCATATGTGTTCACACGAGACAGGGCCAGGGCATTTTGAAGCTCAATTCCATATCTAGATGATTTTATTTCATCTTCTCTCATCCGCCAGTTAAGCAGATGCCAATGCATTGTGCCGGCTGTGTTGGCAACAGGAGGCCAGGACAGAACAAGCAATCTGGTCCGTGGCCTTAGTAATAGACGCTAGTTGGCGATAATTCCAGCGTGCTACCCCAAGTAGTAGTGCTAATGCAGTGGGCGGTAGACTTGTGTTGGGGAAAGCTAAGCTCTGGGTGATGGTGCACGGGCGAGGCGAGCATCTGGCAGTTGAAGAACGCCGAATTGGACAAATCATGACCCATTGGCTCAATGCTTCTACTAACCAATTCTGATCCATCATCATCATCATCATCATCTTGTCAATTAAAGTGCTGCTCTCGTCCTCGTCCTTATCAACGCTCATATTAGGCGTGGAGGCGCTCAACCAACCACAGACAAGGCTAGGAGGAAGCCCAGAGAAGCAGGACCCCACTCAGCCTAGCCTTCGAGAAACCTCCGCAAAGATTCCACGTTGGCTCAATCGCCATCTCCATCTTCTCCTCCTCCAACCTCAAGCCATTGACCCGTCATCCGCCATGGCCGACGTCCTCAAGAACATCTTTGGAGGCGCAAAGCCAGAGCAGCCTGCTGCCGCCAAGCCAGACTCTGGTACGTTTTCCGTTTTCCGTTTCCTTTGTTGCGCCTCCAATTGCTTGCTTTGCGCCTGTGCTGCTGGCCGCTTTGGACGGGCCACGCGATGCCTCGAGAGAAGCCATGGCCAAGAGCTGACCTTATTGACTAGACTTTGCCGACTTTGTCGGAGCTCCTGATGCCGTCCCCGAAGCCGTGCCCGAAGCTTCGACGCTGACCGGGTCGGCCTCACAGCCCACGGGCGAAGTGGTCTGGACCAAGTGGTACAACATCCATGAGCGCCACTCGCTGTCCGAGTTCAAGCCCGAGGGTATCATCCTCGTTATCTCGGCCATCATCTTCCTGTTCCACATCTTTGGCACGCGCGCAAACCGCTCCAAGGCGAGGGCATGGATCAAGGCTCATGCCCCCGTCATGAAGAAAGAGTTCGCCTCTGTCGGCTTCCGGGGCGTGCCCACGCTCGACGCCGACTTTGACCCCCAGTCCTTCATCAAGGAGAAGTCGCTCTTCGAATTTGCCTCGTATGCCACCGGCCGCCAGAACGTTGCCTTTATGGATGTTAAGATCACCCTTGCCAAGCGATTCAACCCGTTCATGCACTACATCGAGCATGGACTGTCCCTGGTCACCGATACCTTTCCCGCTCCCCAGGAGGTTGTAGAGGCAACCATCTACCCCTTTGATGGCAAGGAGGAGCTCACTCTCCCTCCTTCGGCCGGCGGAGTTGAAGGTCGCCCCAAGGATAGCAAGAGCACCTTTGACGGCTTTGTCTGGGCCATTGTCAACAAGTCCAGCATGCAGAAGCTGCGCGATGATCGCTACGACGTCTCTCTGACCGCTACCAAGGACAACTCCAAGCTGCCTAACTGGCTGACCATTATGAGCGAGAACGCCGAGATTACCGATGCCTTCCTTACCCCTGAGCTGATTGAAGCCGTCAGCAAGGCCGGCGACGCGTTCGACTACATCATCATCTCTGACCAGCCCATTGAGAAGCCCACTCGCCTCGAAGAGACTGCGCCGCGCAAGCGAGTGTTCCTCAAGTACCGTCTCCCGTCCAACAACAACTATGACCAGTTCTTGCCCCTGTTTGAGCAATTCCTTCGCATCCCCGACGCTCTTGTCAAGGACGCCCATTTCCGGCCCGAGGTTCTCAAGAGGGTGCGTGCTACTCGTGAGGCCATGATTGCCCAGCTCAAGAAGGCGATTGAGGAGGAGAAGAACGAGGAGCGCCAGATTGAGAAGGAAAAGGCCAAGAAGGCAAAGCGCGACGCCGACCTCAAGGGCCTGGATGCCAAGGCACAGAAGAAGTATCTCGAGAAGGAGAGGGAGAAGGAGATGCGCAAGTCACAGAAGAGGATGACTATGCGAGGATAGAGATAGCGATAGCAGATGTGTGTGTGTGTGTGTACGATGGCACGACATGGCGGCATTTTTTTGAGGTGACGCATGGGGGAGAAATGTGAGAACGTTGTAATTTGTACAAGTAATGTGTACTATGTGATACTGGAATCTTTTTGTTCATTTCTTGTTTTCTCAATGGGTTGAGGTTCGGGCACCGGCAAGTTTGGGTTGCAATGACTCAAAAGATCGGCGAGGGATTCATACTGAAGGCAAGGGAAAAGTACCAGGTAGTAATTAACACTCACATTAATGTCATCCATGATTTTGTGTCACAGCCCGTGAAGTCAAATTGCAACCTTGTATAGCGTCCTCATTTGCTGTCCTGGTTCAACAAATCCTCTACCCTCTTGACCTTGTCCTCGGCAGTCTGCTTCTTATCCGTCCTGTCCCAAAGAATCGTCAGCAAAGCCCACAAATGACACGTCTCCATTTCATCAACCCCGAAAACTCACCTCGATCCAACCCTCATCGACGACTGAACTCTCACAACCCCCTTCTCATGAACCGCCGAGTGCGCCTTGCCAATCACCGTCATGACATCCTCCCAGCTCCCCTCTACACCGGAAAAGCATTAGCTCACTGCCTCTTCTTCTTTCTAATATCTAACATCTTCTCTCAACCCATCAAAGGTGAAAAAAAAAAACTCACCAACCGTCGTTCCCGCAGAGTGCATCGTGTACTTCAGCCCACTCGCCTTGAGAACACGCTGAACCTGCGCAACTTCTTCCGCCACGGAAACACTGCCCGTGCCAACCTATGTATACATCCATCAGAAAAAACAACGTACATTTTACACAACAAACACACAAAAAAGAAAGAAGAAGAAGTAGTAGTAGACGAACGGGAATCAAGCAGAAATCCGCATAGCACGAAGCCGGCGTCGGAATCGAAGCGTAGTCCATAGCTGCCGCAGTAGTGCGAAATGCTCGGCGGAACGAAGATGCGTAGATGTGCCTTGAGGCGCTGTAGAATCGGGGAGAAAGGCGCTGCATTCGATGAGTTCTCTTGAATCCTCTTTTGTAGAGGTGTTTGATAAGATGAGGCGAAATTGGGGCGTGATGGTGGAGGGGCTTTGGTAATATGGGTGCTTTTTTAGCGGGTATTGCCGGGTATCACAGTATATACATGTATGCGTGCTGGGAATAGGTCGATGGCATGTATGTCTACAGAATTCGAAACCACCGACATGAAAAGAGTATATCAATGGATATAGCGAGCTGGTATACTGGATTGATTAAAATTACCTTTTCAACGGCATTTCATATAAAAAAGCATCACATGAAATTATATGCTAGGCATGGCACTTTGCACTCATTATCACAAGATGGCAGCATGTGAGATGCAAGAGTCTCTTCATCAAGATAGAAATATTCAATTGGTCGGCGAATAGAGCCAATGCCTAAAGGAAGGTATACAAAACTCAAGAAATGTTCAAGATAATATCTATAGTCCCCGCAAGAAGAAATATTGTTTTCCCCCTCTCTTTCTCTCAAAAAAATATCGAAAAGAAAAGAAAAGAAACCCCATGTATCGCAATCTAGATTGCCTTTAAAAAACGCCTCGCTAAAATGCCAAATGCAGCGTGCCTCGAGAAGAATAAATGGGTCGATGTTTTATTTTGTTTTATTTCCCCCCCGTTCTCGTATTCAGCTGAGCTTATATTGAGCCAAGCATGTAATCAGCCCCTTAAATCATCAGCAGCGTCGCCGCGAGAAAGGCAATCAAGGCCCCCGTGCCAAATTCGCGAGCCTGGTTTGTTCCATCTGCTGAGGAGTCGCTCGAGCTGTTGTTGGTGGCGTTGGTTCTACCGGTGACCTGGTTAATGCCGTTGCTGTTGTCCGCGGCCTTGACCGTCGAGCCTTGGTCCCAGAAATCAACGAGGACGAAGCTGGGGCGGTGGTTCCACTGAGAGTTGCACTGCTGGATGTGGAGACCCAGGTTTCCCGTCGTGGTGGTGTTGGCACTGTTGACGAGGAGAATGTTGTCCGTATCGGGGATGATGAGGCCCGCCGTGATTTCCTGGTCCTTGAAGTGGTTGATGAGTCCCATGAAGCCCGATCCAAAGGCTTCCGAGGCAGTGCCGGCGTTAGAAGGCCGATCAACGGTGCAGTTAAAGCCGTCAAGCTGAACAACGGTAAAGGGCGTCTCGAAGACGTAATCGAACTCGGGTAGGAGGTAGGGCGCTGCAGAAGACGCGTCGATGTTGGTGATAAAAGACACGACACGGGTGTCGTTGGCGATCATGGTCCGCAGACTCGGCCATTCTATCTTACTCTGCGGAACGAAGCCAAACTTGCTAAGGCCCGACTGCTGGAAAGCGGCTGCAAACTGAGAGACGTTGACCTCATCCGAGTTGACCAGCAAGATGGTGATGACGTCCGAGGGATGGCCAACGACCCAATCGTTGATGGCTGCCAGCCAGTTTTCCAGCGGCCCGGCATCCAGGAGACCGCATGAGGTGTGACACAGGTGAAGAGTGCCATTCTCGTTGTGAACTTGCGCCTGCAGAAGACGAAGGCCAGCATCTAGAGCCAGCGTGGCGTTGAGGTACTGGTTGCCGGCGATGGAGTTGCCGGTGCTTGCGTCTCTTAGAAAGGCGCTGTCGTGGGCTCCCATGTAAGTGATGTCGTTGTAATGGCGGTCACATAGCACGGGCGAGTTGTTGCAGACCAGTGACTGGTCCGAAGATGAAGTTTGTGATGGCGATGGCGATGAGGTTGAAGTTGAGGATACGGCAGACGATGCTTGCTGGGGGATGGCCGAGACGCCGGCAATGCCCATCAGGGCACCGGCCAGGACGTGAGACAGTGAAAAGCGCATTGTGATTCTGTTTAGCCGTCTGTCTTTGATATGTCGCCCCTCTAGGTTCCCCTTGTCAGTTATCAAAAGTCGAGGGATGAAGTCGCTTAAGGGATCCCCTTGTACATACGCCAAGTCGTTGTTAAGCTTCCAGATACTAGTCTTGGCGGTATATGAACAGACTAGAAGATATGCAATATGAACATATATGATGCAATTCCTTAAAAAAGAAATGAAATGAAATGAAGGATATGAAAGTGAATATGTATAGAACGAGTGCAAGGGAGAGACGAGAAGGAGACAAGAAAAAGAGAAAAAAGTTTAAATCATAAAGTACTAGCGGAGCATTTATGATACGAAGGAAAATCTAGTCTCCAGATCAACCCTAGGAATAAAACACAGAGAAAAATAAGATAAAATAAAAGTCGCGTCCTGCTTCAGCGAGTGAGAGAAGCGACCCAAGAGAAAGAAGAAAGGTGTTGCATGAGAGAAAAACGCAATGCTGGTCAAGTCTGATAGGGAAAAAAAGGGCCCCCTATCGGAAACTGCTAGCGACAATCTTTTGGCGGATCCCTGCTGTGCATTTTGGCAGTGCCAGAACTGCGCCTCGAGACGTCAGCAGTGGAGACGCGCTGAAACTGCAGCAGATGTGCCCCTAAGGCGATTTTCTGCAGATCGTAGAGGTGAGGCTCTAACAGCGGACTGCTGGTTGCGAGGGTTTTGTCAGATGATCAACGAGGTTATTTGTTGTGTGATGTACGAGTAGTTACGCGGAGTGAAATACTACATAGATACCTACTTTGATTAAACAACGCTTGATAATGTTCACTCTTCTTTTTCCCCTTAATATACACAGCATACCCAGCAGTACTGTATATACTGTACACCGGAACCCATATCACTAATATGAACCGCCCATCTCCAAAACTACCCCAAAACGTGCCCCAGAACTCCTCTCAATTGGCCCCTCATCGCCCCTCCAAGAACCCTCATGTCACTCCGTCTAAAATACGAAACATCGATGTGACGAGGCTGTGTGCTTCCCACTCAGCTCACCCAAAAAGAACAAGACAAAAAAAAAAGATGATACTATTTTTATCCACTTCTCTCTCACATGCACATACCGGAAATCGGCACTAATCCCCTCTGGGCAGTTTTCCCTTACCAAGCATATACGTACGCCCCATCTCGATCTTGTCTTTTCGCTTCTTCACCGAAAACCGATGAGATGCCCCCCAAATAAGCTTTTGGACTATTTCCCTTTTCTTTTTCTCCTTATACGATATTAACTCCCAGTTTTTTATTTAGACAAGGGGAATAAACTAGCTAAACCTCGTATCGAGCACATCTGACAGATGCGGGGGAAAGAAAAAAAGGCGAAAAGCCACGCGACACTACCCATCTTCGTACAACTTGGGCAGACACGTAGAAAGCAAAGCCACCTCCAGAACTTGGGTGATACTTCTTCCAAATCACTCTCATACGAAGCGTTCTCTCTCTTCCTCCATCTCTCTCCCACATCCCATTCTCCGTTGATTCCACCGCCTTTATTCCCCCGGAACAAACAAGAAAAAGACATACGTAACCCTCCTCGTAAAAGACAAGCAAAAACCCTCCACCTTCTTTCCCCCTTCCCCATTTCATGCAAGCCACGTCAAAGCCACCAAGAGAGAAAAAAACTGCAACACCATATTACTACATACCAATCGCCCATCTCACCGGTCCCCCAAAAAGGCCGCGCGGTCTGTGGAGTCTTTTGCCCGCCTTATCACAAAAACCCATAGCCTCGAATCCAGAGGGCGTCGCCGTGGGATGAACAGGATTGGCTGTGTACCGCGAACCTGGCCTTGTTAAGCATAACATAAGCATTGGTGCCCTTGAACCAATCCTTTTTGCCAAATCATAATCCAAGGATCAACATCTTTCGGGTTTAATACAACTGTTCCGCCTACGTCCATCTCCGTTACAGCATGTAAGCCATCGGTTCTAGCATAAAGATGACAAACATTTGCTCCCTGTCACACAAAGCCCTTTCGGCGATGCCATCGTCTTGGCAGGAAACACAGCCCGCATGTGCCTTTTGGTCCCTATTATTACATATCTTTTAGCTGTCAACCCATGCAAGGCGAACCTCGACGAAATATTTGCCAAATAACTCGAAAAGTATCCCATTTGATTGATTGATCCCACGCATTTCCATTCCTTTGGTTGGTATCATCATCATCCTGCAAGCGTTACCCTCTCGTGCTTTTCAATCTTTCCCTCCAGTAACACGGTGAACCGGTGAGTCGGTACAAGTCATCTTCACTCAGGATCGCCCACCTCCTCTCTCTGGGCCTCTCTCTCGGCTGCTGCTGCTGCTTCCATTTCTCTGAGCTGTCTCTGTCCTTCTTCAGTCGTGGCATCAATCAGCTCCTCTTCGAGGCTAAGAATATTGGCCTAAGAGGGAGAAAATACGTAAGCCTAGTATTCTCAAATGATGGGGGGAATGTTGTCCGCATGCCCAGATATGACCGTGCTTAACTTACCTCGCCAAAGAGACCAACCAACTCCTCCGCGTCCTCGACCTTCATGTTCCCCAGCACCTTGTTGACCTCATCCAGTTCGCCAGACTCCAGTGCCTTCTTCATATCGGGGGCAAAGCTATCAAAAATCTTCCGGGCCGCCTGGTCATCTGGGTCCTCGGTGTCGGCGGGGGGTACTCTGATCTGGATCGTAGTACCAGGCTCCATGGCATGTAGTTGAATCTGCTCGACCTCTGTCGGCTCCTTGGCCCTCTCGGCGATGATCTCAGCCGACCTGTTCTTGATTCTCATGTATGTCTCCTGGACATCCTTATAGAAGACATCTTGTGCTTGGTGTCCTTTGGTCGTGATTCGCTTGAAGAAGAGCGCAACGCCATCCTTGCCCAGCGCACGGCAGTATTGCAGCAAGAGCGCCTGGTGAACGCATTGACGAGCCAAGTCGTCCTTGCGCTCCAGGGCTGCGTCAAACGCAAGCACAAGCAATCCGTCCGTCTCACGCTCCGTCAAGATCTCTGGGTGCTGAGCCAGGAACTTCAAACTGGCCTGGTATTCGTTGACACCAATCTCCGAAAACTTCTTGGCGGTAGGCGACGCTTCCACTTCGTCATCATCGTCCACCGCGACCTTGTCTGATGAAGACGCTCCTGATGCCGATGCAGAGGTGGAAAAGTTAGGATTCAGCAGCTCCACCTTGGTGTCCTCCTTCTTCTCCGACGGCCCTGCCTTGTTCACATATGAACTGTTGAACCCATCATGGATGCTGTCGCTCGTAATCTTCTTCCCTTCTTCCTTCTCGAGTGTCTCCAGCTCCTTTGCCTGTTCCTTCTGCAGCTCCTTGATCTTATCCACGTGCTCCTGAATCTCTTCCATCATTGCGGCATACCGATCATCGGGCTTCTTCTCCTCAAGGGTCTTGTTCACTTGGTCCAATAGTTGCATCATCATTTTCGAGTATGTAGGAAGAGGCTGGTCATCGCTGAAGACCCCCTCTGGTCGCGGGGGCGGCTGGTCGTCTTTGGGGTTTCCGGCGGCAGACAAGACGGCCTTGAAAGCAATCTCGGCCTGGTTTCCAGTCGTAGCCTCGGAAGCGTGGGACTTGAGCGAGTCCAAGAGAGATATTATCCGGCCCAGCAGGGCACTATTGATGATACGCTCATACTTGAGTGCCGCAATGCGGTTCTTCCTCTGTTGACGCTCCTGGTGGATCTGGTTTTGCTTCGCTCGGATGAAAGACCGCTTGTCCACGTTGGGGTGAACTTCGATATCGGAATCGTCGCTCACCTCGATCGCGTCCTAGTTAAGCAATGCCACTGGTCAGTAAAGCTGCACTCCTCACGAGAGCGTGGCGTCCAAAGCTGCGTACAAATCGGCTGTAATCGATAGGCATGGTGGGCTGCTCCAAGAGCTCCCGAGAGCTCGACTGTACTGCAGAAGGGCCGTGTGTACGAATGCGAGTAGAATAATACGCACGGCTTGTATACCGCTGATCTTGTGACGCCGCTTGTTATGATTATGATACTGAATAAAATTGTGAGTAAGGAGAAGCTTCAGAGCTTGACATCACCGTAGAAGAGGTTCGCAAGGTGGGGCGATAGAAGTCCACCGAAACTTTGGCGGGGTTCATCCTGTGCATGCAGGTATGTATGTAATAATTAGGCATCAAGTTTAAAATCAATAGTCAAATCAACGCCAAAATCAATCAGTCAGCCAACGGGCTGTTCATTTCTCAGATTTCACATTATATAATCCTGTAGCCCTAGACGTCTCCTCTGCAGTCAATCATACAAAAACGCACGTCGCGCCGTCGCTGGTTTTCAATACCTCATCTATCTACTGTACAGGCCAAAGGAAAGCATTCGGGTTTTGTTTTGGTAAAGACAAAAAAAACAAAGAAAAATACCAAGTAAAGAAGAAGAAGCAACAACTAGGGAAGCAAAAGCATATCGCGCCTACTAGTATTAAACGTGTAGTCATTGTTTCGTTTTCTGCTGTTTTTTTGGTAGCAATCCTTTCTCAGATCGAGGCCCATGTCAGGGAACCCCGAGAGGCCAACTCGTCAACCCGTCAACCACCCACTATCTCGTTTAAGCCATGGTCTTCATGAAATCGTCCAAGTCGAAACTCTCTTCGTACTGCTTGTTATCCCACAATTCTCCCAGATCGTCCAGCCATGCCTTCTTGCCCGGCTGCCGCAGTACATCACCAGTTTCGAGATCAACCATATCCTCCTCTCTCCCATCGATGCCATTTTGAGGCTTGTCAGATATGAGGCTTGGTCCCGAGTCGCCCAAATTGAACAAGTCAAGGATTTGATCTGTGTCCATCGTAGCCAACCCAGCGTTTTGCTGGTTGACTACCGTGGAGGCGACATCGATCTTGAATCGTTGAAGGCTGAGAATCTTCTCTTCCAATGTGCCGCGGGTGATGAGACGGTAGACATTTACTACCTTCTTCTGCCCGATTCGGTGGGCACGATCCATAGCCTGTAGATCCTTCTGCGGGTTCCAGTCGTGCTCTACGAAGATGACAGTATCTGCGCCCGTAAGGTTCAATCCAAGTCCGCCAACACTAGTGGTCAGCAAGAGCACATCATACGAGGGGTCGCTGTTGAACTTGTTCACGATGTCTTGTCTCTTATTCGCTTCAACGGAACCATCGAGTCTCAGGTATGAAACGGAAGGCAACATTTCTTTAAGCACCTTATTCTGGACCATGTCCAACATTTCCTTCATTTGGCAGAAAATCAGAGCACGGTGAGGTTTGATAGGCTGGTATAGCGGGTCGTTGGTGTCGTCCTTGTCATCGCCGATGCCACAGTCAATCAGGAGATCTTTGAGAGCAGTGAGCTTCGGAGCATGATGAGCATCTTCAATAGATGTTCCTTGCTTCTGTAGAATCTTTTGCGTCTCGTTATAGAGATCGCTTCCGGGCTTCATGACCATGGCAGGCGAGTTGCACAGCTTCCGCATGTATTGCAGGGCTTGGAAGATGTGCTGCTTGGCTTCTTTATCATCTCGGCCAGCTTCGTCTTGAATCTTCTTGCCCTGTTTCTTAGTAAAGTCTTCAAATAGTTTCTTTTGTAGGTCGCTGAGGTCGCAGTAGTAGTTTTGCAAGATCTTGGGTGGCAGGTCGTTAAGGACTTCTTCCTTGAGACGGCGGAGCAAGAAAGGAAGCACTTGCTTGTGAAGAGCCTCAATCGCCAATGCGCCAGCCTCCTGCTCTTTAGATGATGCCTTGCTGTATCGGCTTGCCGCGATGGGCTTCGCAAATCGGTCCAAAAACACCTTCTCGGCTCCGAGGAACCCGGGCATGAGGAAGTCGAATAGAGACCAAAGCTCCAGTACGTTATTTTGGATGGGGGTACCCGTAAGGATCAGTCGGTGGTTACTGGCCAGCCTTTTTACGGCTTGGGTAATCTTGGCCTTGGGATTCTTGATCAAGTGTCCCTCATCCAGTACAACGTAGTTCCAGCTGTGCTTCTCGAGCACATCAGAGTCGTTTCTAGTCACATCATACGACGTAATAACAATGTCAGTATCGCCAAGTCTATCCTTCATCGCTTTACGCTCCGCTGGTGGTCCAACGTAGGCAGTGACACTTAGGAAGGGGGCGTAGGTCTTAATCTCCTGCTGCCAGTGTCCTGAGAGTGTTGGTGGGCAGACAATTAGAGACGGCAGCCGCCTCACATCAGGAGCTTGAGTTTTGGCAAACTCTTCCTGTCGCTGGTGGTGATCACTGGCGACGATGCAGATGGTCTGTAGAGTTTTTCCGAGGCCCATATCATCGCAGAGAATGCCGTGGAGGTGGTACTTGTTGAGGAAATTGAGCCAGTTAACGCCGTCTTGTTGGTATGATCGAAGCTCCGCTTTGATCGCTACAGGGATCTGGAACGGCTCAACCTTTTTGGGGTCGAGAAGCTGAGCAATAAAAGTTCGTTCTCGATCTCGTCCCTTTAGAAGCTCTTCAGACAGGCCGGGGGGGTCGGGAATGCCGGCTTCGAGGGGTACCAATTTGACAAGCGTGGCGAAAGATGTGGTAGCGATGAGACGAATCTCATTGTCAGAATCACTCATTCGGCCAAGGACAGGCACAATCAGGAAGATGACGTATGGGAGGATCGCGTCGCCCATGACGGCAATCAGGTGATAGATAGCTTCGATTACTCCTTGGCGGAAGTTGAGATCAAGAGGGTTAGTGATCGATGGGAGGACCTTCTCCACGAGTGCAGTCATTCCGTCTACGGTGATGACACTGCAGATAGTTGCCAGACACTTGGCGGCCATGTAACGGAAAACAGAGAGATCGGAATGCAGAGCCTTGATGACAAGGGGCATCATCTCCATAACAAACGGATGAAGGCTCACATTCAATGTAGGCGTCATGGTTCGAATGACTGACATGGCGTCCACAATCTCCTGACCAAACGCCAGCTCCGGATCCCGAGCTTCCGCGGGTAAGTCCCCGGTGAAAGCCTTAACCAGCGCATCTTTCATGAAGCCCTGCAAGCTTGGCACAGAATCGAATAAGGCCGCGCCGTACGTCTTGGACAGTATCTCCAAGGCTTCTTTGGCACCCCTACGTGTGATGCGGGCAGCCTTGGCTTCCCGTGCCCACTTAGCGGCATCTGGATGGTCAACGCGATCCTCCTCCTTTTGCATAGAGAGAATGCAATCGGTCTTAGCAGCATGAACGGGAAACTCGGGAGTCTCTGCTACTTCAACGCAAGAAAACTTGACCAGGTTGGCAACAACCTTTTCTGCGGGATTACGCCTGCCCTTCTCCGTAAATAGCTGTACCAGTTTTGCGATGGTTTCTGACGAGCGGCTTTGGAGCTGGTGGTTTTCCTCAGTCTTTATCGAATCCATAATGCTCTTGATGAGGGGGCTAGGTTTCTTGGGCAAGAGCTTCATTGCGACCATGGCACAAGCGGCACCAGCCTTGATCCTAACGTCGCGGGCATCCTTGAATGTCTTGGCCTCTTGAATAGCTGCTAATGTGTCCTCGCGAGCTTCGGCTAACTGCTGACCGGCGATCAATCGTTGACCGGGAGGCATGATCTTTTTCAGCCGCTCAAAATCTTCGCCAACGCACTTTTCAGCAGTGGCAATAGAAAAGGCACTAGGGCCGGCTTCGGCTTCACCTTGAACCACGACAGGAAGGGTGGGTAGCTTGCTGTGCGAGACTTTGCCGTGGTCGCGGAACAGGTGAAGCAGTTGCTGGCACTGACTCCTAGCTCGCTGGATAAAGGTCACCAGGTCTCTGTAAGCCGAGGGCCGATCTGATTCTACAATCCGCTGAAGGTGATCCAAGTAACGGGCGGGATCCTCGGCGTTTTGGCAGTTCCTTGCAAATTCATCAATGACAAGACAGGCAGTGAGTTGTGTTGAGGAGAAAGCGGAGGTGAGGCCTGGGACAAGCAGGGCATCATAGTCATCGAGATTCGTCGACGGCACCAAGGACATGATGAGGCCCATGGCCTTTGCAGCCGAAACTCTTGACCGAATCAGAACCTCTAAGCCAACAAGATCAACATCACCTTGCATCATGTGGCCATCCACATCGTGCGTCAGGTTGGCGGGGGTGGCCTCTTCTATCTTGGTAGATTTACGACGACGCTTCACCGGTCGTTCAGGGCCCTCGGGCGAGGAGAGTCGTCTCCCACCAGGCTGCGCCGGGCCTTGGGCCGAGTAAGTGCCACCAGATGGTTTCTGGAATAAGCCCGCATGCATAGGGATCGGATGCCGCGACACGCCAATGGGATGTAACGTCAGCTGCATCAATGGGTCAATGTGAGGAGCAAATTCATCAGCAAGAATGGCAGGGTCCTTTGCCAATGAGCGAACAAGGGCGGCCCAGAGTTCCAATGACATATCAAGGGTTTCTTTGTCCCTTTCAACAAGGATATTCTGGAAGATGAGGCGGAGGATTCTGCCGTTGAGCCAGCCCTGTGATGTCTCATCACCAAGATTTGCAAAGGTCAGGAGAGCTTTCAGAACAGCAAGACGAACAGATGTGATGGTGTGTCGTAAAAATGGGTAGAGGCGGGGAACCAGTAGAGTGAAGGACCGCTCTTCATCTTGGGCAGCAGACGTCTTCATGGACTCAAGAACCTGGGGGAAACTGCAGAGCGTAGCAAGAAGGTCCATGATGCGGCCTGTGCTGGCACTTAGGTCGTCACCCAAGTTGGACAGGCTTTCCCACACAATGTTGGTGAGACCATCGAGGGCAGCTGGGCGCATGGTGACAAATTCTCGAGCCATGGGTATGAGGGTGGCAGCGCTGACAGATCGCACATCGTCATCAAGGTCTCCAAGGCCCTTCATTACCGCCTTGATGACGCCATCAATCATGTCTCCATCCTGCAGCAATAGGTCCTTCCTGACCGCA